AACGCGAGCATCGAGCTGCATGAGTAACCGAAGCTCTTTCGTGCTGCTATTCGCTGCCTTGGATGCGTATTGTAGTGTGTTGACAAGCGGACCCTGGGAGTGCTAGTCTCACTGTGCTCGGACAATACTCACCCGGACAGATCCCGGGCGGGGCTTTCGTTGTCTGCGTGTTATGATTTTGAAAATTTTTGAAGTTGGAAACCCCGAAGCCAATTTTTTTGCGGAAAGTTTTTCCCGGCAATTTTTGCGCCCATTTGGCAAGACGAAAACATCGGGACATGGCTGCTATGAGGGCTGTTATGGGAGGTGTTATGGGGGGCGTTATGGGGGGTGTTATGGGGGGTGTTATGGAGGGTGTTATAGGACGCGTTATAGAACGCGTTATAGAACGCGTTGTAGATCGCGTTATAGGACGCGTTATGGGGGCGTTGAGAAACCGTGGCAAACACCCCGGCCCGGGGTGTTATAGGATTCGTTGTGGGGCGCGTTATAAAGCGACCCCAGCAAAATCCCACACAAATTTCGCATCGCTGCCCATAGCGCGTCCTATAACGCGCTCTATAACAAATGCCCCAGCCGTCCAAACGGGGTGGCACAACACCCAACCCCGAAGAACCACACACGCCCCCCCCACGAGAATCGAGAGCGTATCGAGGGCCCCGGCGCCCTCCGGCGCGCGGCGGCGTGCGCCCGCAGTTTGCTACAACAACACGGGCCCCGCCGCGGGGACGCCGCCGAGCTACCGCGCAAAGGCCGCCCCTTCTGCTCATGCGACGGACCTATCACGCCCCCCCTGGTGCGAACCCCTGGCCGGAGCCGCCGGCGCCCTTCCCGGGAATTTCAAAAATTTTTTTTTTGATAACGATTTCAAAACGCCAAATCCGCCCGGGATCTGTCCGGGTGACAATACAAACATGTAGCTGTGGTCGCTTCACGCAGTAGCGGTGTCCATGCCTGTGGTGTCTGTGTTCGGGCTGTGGTGCTGCATGTCACCTGATAGTCGATTGGTGTGGATCGTGAGGGAGTTAGCATTTTGATCACATGACGGCGTGTAAAAATGCATGGCAAACATATTGCGCTATACCTGTGCTTGTTCCGGCGCGGACGGGTGCAGGTCGTTCGCAGTGTTCTTCAGCGCGTGATGCGACGATGCCAGGTGTGTGCATGGTGGTGCCGCAGGTCTGCATATGCAGCAGGATGCAACACCACCTGCTGTCACCGTGTGTGGTGCCAGCAGGTTGATTACTAGCTGCTCAGGTCGGCAGCCTGTAGCAGCTGGTGGCCCGCAGCGGGCTGCGCTGCGCCACGACGTCGGGCGATCAAGCATCGTGTTGCAACGTGAGTGACAACACATAGCGTCGGGGACGACACCTACGTGCTGCGCACGGGGGTTGTGCTCCATGACTTGTGCTTGTTTGCGCCACATGGGACAGCGTGCACACACGTGCACGCGCATGTGCGAGCGTGCTGGCCGATGCACGCGGTCATGCGGGTGGGGACCCGTACGTGCCGCTGCACGCACACTTGCAGCGTGCTGACACACACGGTTGAATGCGTACACACGCTGCGCTGGCGCCGGCGGGTGAAACCACCGTCGGCCGCAGCATGCTTGCCGGCAGGCGCGCATGCACAAACATGCGCATGCGCGCCGGCGGGCGCGTGCGTGCGCGTCGATGCGCACGCACATGTGGGTCGAGCACGTGTGCACACGGCTGTGCTACCACGTGAGCACGCCTGCGTGACGCGCGGGTCACGCAGGGCAGGACGGACGGGTCGTGCGAGTGCAACAAGACGTTGCCGCCGCAACCCGGCCGTGCAGTGCAAGGGAAAGAGCGGCGCGTCACACCACATCGCGGTGGAGGGACACGCCGGTGCCACGGGTGGCGTGAGAAGTAGACAGGGAGCGCTACGCGCGCTCCCCGGGAGGACGTCAGGATCGCAGGCGCACGAGCGGTGCACTGGAACCACGACGCCACCCACGCCGCACTTGGATGTGCGGGCGGGAGGTCCATGCGCCCGACCTTCACCTACGAGGTCGCACGACGCACGGGCCTATGCACTTACACAACCCTATCTGGACCAGACGGGGAGGTGCAAGGCGGCGGGGGCGCGGCAGCTGCCAAAGCAGCGCCCCCTAGGCATGAAGTGTGAGTGCCGACACCGACGCGTGCACAGGTCTTCTAGCCTGCACACCGGTGGAGCATAACACACACGCCTTGCGGTGTCCAGCCGCACGCTGCACGGTCCCCCTCGGGGGAGCTGGCAGCGTAAGAACGCGTGCTGCAGAGGCAGCACTGGGTGCGAAGGGGTGCTCGCGCACCACAGACGCGTGTCGTGAGGGACACAAAGTCGCATCGACGCGACGGTGCTGCGTGAGGTGCAGCGCTGCGTGAGGTGCAGCGTGGCGCGAAGACGCAGCCACAGTGCCGACGGGCACAGATTCATCACAGATGAACCGATGGTGTACCAAGAGGTGGTAACTTTGTCATCCAGGACAAGAGAAGTTGACCTCTCCCCCGAGGTGGGACGGTCGTTTTGTACCCGAGACCCACCCCCAGTCGCACAGCGAAAGGAGGCAGGGTCGAGCACAAACGACCGGTGGCGAAGGCCACGAAGAGGCGGTGACAGGTTGCCAGACAGGCAGCTGTCGCCGCGTGAGGGTCGAAACCGACACGACAACGAGTGCGGCTGAGCCACACAGTATGTCCAACCAATTCGTCGAGACCGCTTACGCGCGTAAACATCCATCAGACCAAACAGCATGGGCGGCACCTCAGTCTAGTTACCAAGTCCTAAAAATGTCTGGGTCTGGAAGAATCCGAAATTTGTTATGGTGTTTTTGCATGACACAGAATGTCTGTCATGGAAGCCCTAGCATCACAGATTTTTAGAGGCCTTCCTGATGCCTATTCCGCATGACAAATGCCCTCCACGCGTAGCACAAACCGGACTCCTCTTGCTGGTCATGCAATACAGAATTTTTTAGAGTCCAAAGTTAGCATCACAAGTTCCAACCTTCCAGACCCAGACACTTTTGCAATCCATAGCACTTGTGCGCCCTTTATCGTATGAAAAATGACAATCAGCATCAATGCAGCACAGCACTACTTAGACTTAGAGGGAGGTTGTGCAGCTGCATACTTACGTGCGTACTGTGCCAGATAGGCTTAAAAGTACCCAGCTTGTTACGCATCCCTACGGCGCTGATGCTGACGGTGTGAAAACTATTCATGGGACGATACTTCTGGGACGGACTCCACACACCCGCGACCTCCAGCTTGAGGGGCGCTTCACGATTGTAGGGAAAGAAGCTGAGCTGTGCAGTCCCACCCTCCGCGGAACGCGGATCGTCGGTTGCGGCGACCGAGGCGGCAACGTCCACATAGATCCGAATGCGCGCCGCACTGTTCTCTACTAGCTCGTCGGCGACGGCCTCGCCCAGAGGCACAACTCGTTCTGACGACTGAGGAACATCTCGTCTAAGGACCTCGACACTTAGGAGGGTAATTGGCAAGCTCAACGCATCCTCATAGGGCAGCTCGTGAATTTCCCCGACCGAAACTTCTACCTCGGTGTTTTGCATGAAGGCCGGCGTCATGAACGTAGCGCGCAGGAGCAGTTGAGGACCAGCGGTGATGCCTGCTGCACCTCCAGCACCGCCTCCACTAGCATCATGTTGCAGTCGTTTCTGCTGCTCCTGGTTGTCATCTTCTTGATTCGGAGCTTGAGTCCCGGGAAGAGCGAACTCGTAAACCGTTGTGGTCGCGTTTACTGCTACCTTCGTTTGTTGCAATACGCTGGAACAAGAGCTTGTCTCGTTTATGTTTTCCGGTGTTTCATCAACGAAAAGTCGATCTTCGCCGGACTTCGTCGAATCTGAGGAAAGTCGGCTGCTGGAGCTGCCGAGAAAACGATAGCAGTGATCGCCAACGGTAACCAGCCCCGTTAGAGGAACGGCGTCCCCATTCCAATGTGAAGTTTGTCGATCGGTTACTGTATCGCTTGCAAGTGCATGTTTCTAGGTCTGGAGCTCAATGTGATGCACGTCTACATGCAAATGGCAGAAACGCGGGTCACCGCGCAAGATTTCAATATTCGAGAAGTGAAGATTTAGCATTCAACACACACGGCGAGCTGCTCACCGATCGAAGTACTTAATTGAGGAGACGACCTAGTAAGTAGCAGCATGCTTGTTCCGCTCCTGTCATATGCCTCCAGAAACAGAAGCAGACATAGTTGCACTGGATACAGTCGGTCTGCGGCTGACCAAAGCGAGACGTAGGGGTCCTGCACAACGAGTGGGACCGCAGGTGGGCGGAAGGGCACATCTTGTATGCTGGCACCGCACGCTGGGAGGGGGAGGAGAAGACGTAAAAACAAGTTGAGGAAAAACATCGCCTTGGTGTTGGCGCAAACATGTCCCATAGCTTCCACTTTGGAACAGCCTCTAGCTGCCCTAATTCAACGGCTTTTCTGATGAAAAGTTATGGAGTTGTAGATGAAGATAAAGGAATTCAATGAAAAATACAACGACTACTCCGAATTGTTGACTTTGTTTGACCGAAAGCTACGAGACTGCATCTACTTCTGCATGTCATTATCTTATTCTGTATGACCATGACGCATAGCATGGCATATGCGCATGTATAATGATCTTGCATTTTTTGCTTTTACAGCAACAGCCACAATACGCAAACAAGACAAGAAAGGCAGCACACTTAGTCCGTGCGCTTCCACCGCATATGCATCAAATGTACGAAAACGGGACACGTTGACCACCACTCAAAGAAACAGATGCACGTCAACCGAGTGCAGCACGTCAACCGAGCGGCGCACCTGCACCGAAGAATGGAGGCGACTATCTCGGGTGTCCATTCCCGCCTTGCCAGCAAACGCCAAGCTGCGAACACAAGCAGTAGCCATGGTATGATATGCTCCTGACGCTGTGCTTCTGCTTCCGCCTACAGCCACCGTCTCTTAACTTGGAGCACCTAGTAGCTCGACAAATAATCGTAGGTGTTATTTGTAGTTCTTTCGCGGCTGGCGGAGATGCTTCCATGATTGGTAGTTTTTATTTCAAAACAAAAGGGTGAACTGATACTGAAAGAAGACCACACTGAGGCTTGATGTGCATTTATCGGAGGTGAGAAATCAAAGATGTAGATGAGTGCTATTAATTTCTTTATTTGTGCGTCTCCCATCGCTTCTTGCTTCATGTTCAATTCCGTGGCCGTAGTTCGTCGCTAAAGCTAGTTTTCTGAAGCGGAGAAATCGACGGCGTGACGAGAATACCAACTGGAGAGCAAATCAGCGGAAATCCACTCCTTTGCGCCGCGATTCGCGAAGAGGTTGAGATCTTTGTCCGCCTCGGCGAGGGTCATGACGACCAACTTCAGCGGCTCAGACTCCTGCTGTGACAGTTCATCCCTCCACTCCGATTCAGTAGAGAATTTTTGGTTTTCATCATGCGCGGGCGAGGAGTCATGATCTTCGGAAGCGGCCCGTGCTGACGGAACAGCAGTGCTCTTGGAGGTCTTGCCTGGTTTTATACTGCTGGGTTTTCTACTGTCGGAAACCAACCGAGCCGCAGCCTTGACGGCGTTTCGAATCTGCTCTAGGTCTCCTTCTTCGACGGCCAAGATGGCTCGAATATTCACCCGGTCCGCCCACTTCTCACATCGGCTCATGATGTACATCTCCCTTTGCCAAAAGCGCCGCATCCAACCCCTCGCTTGGGACGCGAACGAGGTAAACCACGAGGCAATCCACGGCGACGATTCACGAAGCCAGGAAAACTTTTCCATGAAGCCGTCCGACTGAATTTCGCTGTGAGGGCTCACGTCGACCAGGTATCAAACAAAAAAGCGTTAACCTTTTTAACGGCTTAGGAGTTTTCTTTGCAGGGATTGTAGCCATGCATGACATATTTTCTCTATTATGCATGCGGGGATGAAACACATGATCAAATTTTGATATTTCACTTCAGTTTCGATTTTTCACTTCATGCCGGATTTCGTTAGCGTTAACATTTTTTCACCCAATACTACATCGCCCAATACTACAACCGGCAACGCGCCCGGGCCGAGCTGTCGGTGCAGATTCTTGGTGACATCGTCGCTGGCCGCTTTTGTCCACCACGCAAACGGCGAAGAGTAGCCATGGCTCCGCAGGCCCGCGCTTTTGTATGCGTACTCCTTCGCGACGTCCCACATGTGTGCGTTTTCTTCTCCCTGGCACTGGTGACGCCGAAAGGAGAGGGGGGAAGATACTGTTTGTCTATGGCGTTTGTAGTCGTTGAACTTTTGTTTATGGCTGTTTTGAACCTTTTCGTTGCCCTCCTGGTCATTCTTGTGTTTTTGTTTTTTCGTTTCCTGCATCACGTTCTCTTCCCCACCGGCAAATTGTATACCCTTGCGGGTCAAAAACTCCATCCCTGCCCGCTGCGCGTTGGTGAATAGGATCGCGGATATGACGTGGTAAATGGCCATGCCAGCGGCCGACCAGGGTCTCGGAAAAGCCAGGTCTCGGCTACGTGGCCTGACCAGCTCCAGTGCGCGGGCCGCAACCACGGGGGAATTGCACAAATACGTTTCAGCCAGAAACGAAAAGTATAGGTTCATCCATCTGATAAACGGCCTGTCCGCCGGCAAAACGCCACTGTGTGGGTCTGGTTGCAGGCTTCTAGGGAGTTTGTTGCTATAACATTAACAGGAACTGTGCAATGTTTGCGCGATAGCTGATGCGTTGTGGTTGAAGTATGCCTCAAGAGCAGGAGTTTGATGCGAATAGTACTTCTCGTCGTTGTGTGGCGGATCACATTGAAGAAGATCGCGATGCGACCCGGTCAAGCGTTGCACCAGTCCAGAAATTCCGTCGCTATATATCCTAGAACCTGGCGGTGTGTTGGAAAATGGAGAGTGCTTGATGAGTTCCAAGTACTTGCTTGCCAGCTTCTTCGCCTCGACTTCATCTACTGCGATGAAAAACCGCTCCCCCTTTTCGGTTCTGTTCAAAATAGCCTCCGTGTCGTAATCGTAGAAACCCGCTCCCACGCAACGCGGTCGCAGTCGAGGCTGGTCGGCATGCAGCACCACACGCGCGGCAACATCGGCATCCGAATAAACGCGCTCGGCTTCCAGAGACGGCAGCCACATTACCTGGCAAAAGTCTGAGTGTCGCTCCGCCTCCGCATGCGTCGAGTTTTGACTCCTGCCCGCAGTTGCGCCACCTTTGGACGCTACTTCGTTGTCTACCGAAGTCGAAGATCCCGACAGGGCTGCTGCGTTTTCGCACGGGCAGTCTGGGTACCACCGTAACAGCTGCAGACTGATTTGCGCTTCGCAGTTGCTCCGCGACGGGGTTCGCGCCAATCACAAAATCGCAGATTTCGTTTCCGCACAAGGATGCTGAGGTAGGCGACGTCGTTGCTTGTTTTCCTGTTTCAACATCCTCGCGAGTTCCGGCCTGCACTTCGCTCAAAGATGAAAACCCAGACGGCCGACCGTACGTCCTCCCAATGGAAGAGTCTTTTGCTCCTTGCTCTGCTTCGTCATTATCTTCACTGTTACCACCTGGCGGGACGAGTAGCCGCAGCACTGGGCGCCCGCTTTTAGTATCTACTTTGTCGACCTCGACGTCCTCTACTCCTGAATCGTCCTGGAACAAGAAAGTAGACGGAGCTGTCTTTGCTATCGCTCCATCACGAGTTGTACTAAGTGGTGTGCGAATGGAACTGCCGCTGGAACCGCGATCGTCGTCAGATACAATTCGCGGCTCGGCCTCCGCGGAGAAGTACAGCGAGTGGTGGTCTAGGTCTTGAGCGTCGTCAGTTTCGCTTTGAACACTTCGCACGAAGGCTCGACGCCCGGCAATAAATGAGGAGGGAGATGAGGACCGCAATGCTTCTGATGAATCGGCTTGCTTGGAAGCACCGTCTGCAATGCCATCTACGTCCTCTGATGGCGATGGGTGGTGATATAATTGCTCTTCCTCTTGTTCGTCGTGTTTCGCTGCTCCGGACGAGGAATAAAGCGATGGCTGCTGCCTGTTTGCTCTCACAGCTTCGTGATTTAAAACAGAATGGAAGGGAAGCACGACTTGGCAGGCACGTTGGAGGTAAGTCATGTGGTGAACGAGCGGGGCGAAGCGAGACATGATCCAGACGGAGTGCGCCAAAACCCTTACCCACTGGACGAAGATGCTTGTTTTCAACATCGTCGTTTTGAATTCGCGCCGGGCACTACAAATCTCCTCATGGTTGTGTGACTTTTTGAGGTGCGTACGCCCGCTTCGCATGGTGTTCTGTTCTACGTTCTTTGAAGCAAAGAAAGAACGAGAACGAATTCAAACTTTTGACACATTTTCTCATTGCCACTATTTTGTTTTTGCAGAAACGCAATGGCAATGTTTACGAGGCAGATTGATACTCGTATACGACGTCTTTTATCCTTCGATTGCATCTCTTTGCGCACTTATCCTTTACCTTTGCCAGCGAAAGACGACGACACCACTCGTACGAGAATGCACGCGACGTTGTTAATATGACGCAAGATGAATATATGCAGAAGCAAGGAAGAGGGCCGACGAATGCGTTTTATCGTTAGTCCATCTCAATACTGGCAACGACCACAAGTCGTTGGTTCCCAATCTCATATCTACGTCATCATCCCTCATGATATCGTCTCGGTTTCTTCACGCAATTCGTAGTTCTTGTGCTAGCCCTACCGATTACGGCGTAAGAAGATTCGAAAATAACTTATTTGAACACCGTTCGCCAGAAAAGTGCGACCCTCCTTGTCGAAAATAGGATACGACACGCGGCAACTTTAGCGGTTTTTTTTTTATGGAAAAAAAGAGCCATCTATATGAACCTTTGCAAAAGTAAGCGCAATCAACATCCGGACGAGTTCAGCAGTCTCGATTACCGGTACAACGGACTAAATCATAATGAAAAATTCCAGTGCGCGATTACCGTTTTCTTCCCTATGCTCACAGCCGTTCCTGCACCCGTTTTGTGACGGTTCGCAGGTGCTGGTAGACCTTGCTGGGTGCCTGACCAAGAATGAGGCTGCAGATAGCGTCGCGCGCGAACTTGATGTTCGAAAAGCTGCCCAAGATGTGTATGTGCGAGTCCGCGACCACCACTCGGGTGCGCGTGGCGTTCTCGATAGCATACTTGGTCTGCCCGTTCTTGCCCGCGATGCGGCCGATACACCGGCTCAAATGGTCGCCCTGCAAGCGCTTCACGTCCTTCACTTCGAAGGAAGAAATGAACAAATCGTCCAACCGGAGAAGTGCGATGGCATCCTGCACGTCGAAACCCATCATGAAGGCCTGGTCGTGGGGTGATTTTCATTCAAAACTATTCCGAAATGACTCATCCAAGGATCCAGCAATCGAGGAAGCAGTTCGAATTTGTTCTGTTTCCGCACACGAAAAAATCGAAAAGGAACGGTGCACCCACGAAGAGTGCACTATTTCTGTTGTGGTAACATAAGTCAGAGTTCATCTACAACATCATCATTGCCAATACATATGATTTCAAGAATATTCATACCTTGACGAAATCCGTAGCTTTCTGGAGCGCTCCGATGTCGCTGGTTGCTTTGGACATGCGGATCTCCACCGCGCGCTTTTTGGTGTTCATCCTAACCTGCAGCTTCATGTGTTCCACCAACGGCTTCAGAATGTCTTCCCAGTGGTTCCTCAGCGGGGAAAATCGGTGTTGCGGCACGATGATTCGCCTGATTTGCTTGAGCAGGTTCGTCTGCTGGGTCTTCTTGGACGACAGCGCTTGTTCCGCCGAGAGGGGGGCAAACTTTTGCTTCGCGTCTCCATTTTCGTTGTCCACCTCCCCGTCCATCTCGACCTCCTCCGTCACCAGACTTGCACCCATATCGACATCTTCGAACACCAGCCCCGTTTCCAGCTTGCTGCTTTCCTGCTTGCTGGCATTTTTCAACTTGGCATTGTCTTTCCGCACACCACTTGTGGTGGCGGTGGTACTGCTACTCGCGGCCGTCGCGCTCATGGTTTTGGTCTCGTGGTTGGAGTCGCTCGATTGATCGCCTTTTGCACTAGCGCTGAATATCAAATTTTATGGCAAATGATGCTTATGTAGCAGGAGCTTCTATAGCAACTACATCTACACTCTTATGTGGCACGGCTTCTCCTGCGAGTCATGAGTTGCAATCGTGGTCGATATCTTTTTTAGGATGAATGCGCACGGCAATATCAATATCTTCGTCATTCCTTTTTCGTGAAGTATCCATTTTGCGAGCTGAATACAGCAACGACAGATACCTACCTTGTTCCTAGTATTGACTTGGAGTTCAAAAGATCGTGCTCTTTCCGGATCCAATCGCGTTTTTTACACGATGTTTTTGATGATCTAGTACAGTCATGATCTAGTACAGTCATGGGCGGAATTTCTTTGTATGCAAATGCACGATCGGAATTCGAATTTTCAAAACGACCTCGAGTGTCGTTATTCTGCAGCGCAACTGGAACTTGGATGATCTTCCGTATCTTTATTTCAGGATATCATGACTGCGACATCATCCTGAGTCACTTCACGATCGCGTTGCTGATCTTCATCAATTATTTGCACCACGACAGCATTTCGGTTCCGGCAACAACAATAGAGGACGATCAAATAAAGCTCAAGACGTCAAGAGCCTTTATGAACCGCGACCAGATTGCAAGCCCTGGCGTCGTTGTTTCACGGACTCTCACACATGTTGGTGACTTTTTGGGAAATGATAATTTGCAAAAGTTCTTGTGCGTACAAATGCTGAATAAAGCGCGTTCGTCTTCGCGTAGACACATCACACAAACGAAAGACGACTCTTCACACATTTTTTCGTAAAGTTAGTTACTTATTTTTGTACTATCCTCGAAGTTACCGCTACCGACGGGAGCAGGTACAACGTCCTACTTCTTTTTGCCTCCCTTCTTTTTTGCGCCGCCCTTTTGCTTCGGTGCGCGTCCGCGGTTGCCCTTGTGCTTTCCTTTCTTTGCCTTCTTCTCTGCCTTTTTCTGACCGCGCTTGTCAGTTTTCATCCTCTTATCGACCACCTTGGATTTCGCGCCCTTGGTCGGCTTGCCCTGCGTGACATTCCTGCTGCCTCCGGCCTTTCGAATGGCCATGTAGGCCTGCTTCTTGCTACCCTCCTTCTGCTATCAAATGTAAAAGTGTCTGGGTCTGGAAGAATGCAATTTGTGATGCTGCATTTGGATTCCAAAAAAATCTGTATTGCATGAGTACCAAAGGGAATGCAATTTTTGCTACGCTAGTAGTAGTAGTAACCATTTAACTCCTGGCGGGTTGGCGTTAGAACAGATTTAGCCTTTGTTACGCTGAGAAGGCATTTGTCATGCGGAATAGGCATCAAGAAGCCTTCAAAAAATCTGTATTGCTAGGGTATGCATCACAGACATCATGGCTCATGCATAACGTGCATGACAAATCTCGCATTCTTCCAGACCCAGACATTTTTACATTTGATATCTGCGCTTTTCGGAGCATCTTCTCCATGTTTCTCGCTTTCGCTCCGGCGCTCATTTCCGTGTCCGCAGCCAGCTGCTTGGCCTGCTTCCGCACCTTGTCCATTCTCTGCTGCAGCCGCTTTTTGTTGCGCGCGTTGGCCTCGGCGACCTTCCGGATGGGCCGCTGGTTGATTTCCTTCAGCTTGGCCCGGTACTGGTCCATCAGTTCCTTGGTCACCGGGAGCTCTGGCTTGTTGTACTTCTCTTCGTCCTCCACAAACCACTCGGGCAGATCCAATCCCTCGTCGTCCCACGCGTACCGGTTGTACGCACTATCGAGGAGTGCCATGCGCGACTTTTTCCGGATCATCATCGACCCCAGGGCCTGCACGGCAGCCAGCTCCTTCTTGTCGGTGGGGGCCTGGTGGAGAAGTGGATTTTTGAAATGCAAATCACATAAATATGGATCAATTTCAATTTCAATCAGTAGAAACAATCCAACGCCTCTGGTCACGGCGGCTCGACTAGCCTACAAGCGAACAGACTTAGAATTCAGTGAGATGTAGTTGTCGACAAAAAGATGATCGGAATGAACGCACCACTTTTGAGCTATTTCATAAAAATACCTTCAGATGGTCCGGCACGTCTGCTGCTTTTCCGCGCAGAGATTCCTGCCCCGGCAGTAGGATGTTATCCATCTCTTCGTCCAGCCGTCGCTCCACAACGTCGAACTGCGTTTTGTCGTCGAGACTGCTTGCTGCAACAGCACTTTCGTCCTCGTCGACCACCTCCTCGCCGTCCGGACCGACAATGCCCGACTTTCTCTTTCCCTTGCCTGTCAGACTGCCACCGATGTTTTGCGCCGCCTTCCGCGCCTCGCGCTCCTTTTCTTTCCTCTTTTTCAGTTGCCGCTTTTTCTTGTCGCAAAGCGGGATGTGCGGGAGCTCGTCGTCGGACAGTGCCTTGATCGACTGCTCGTCTCCGCTGTTGTCCGCATCAGAATCGGATTCATTTCTGGAAGTAAGAATGGCTTTGCTCTGATTTTGATTCTCCCGTCCAGCAGTACTTTTTGAGGAAGAAGAAGCTGCGGACTGCTTTGCTTTCTTCCCCGCGGCTGCAGCTACGGAGGCCGACGCGGTGGTCCCCGCCGTCGCCAGGCGCTTCTGCAAACTGCTGAACAAGTCCTGGGAGAACCACCTCTCCGCCCGAACTTTGTCCTTCGTGCTCATAGTACCCCTTTCCTCGTCTGCTGCATCTGCTGTTGACATCGCTTCGTCGTCGCTCAAGTCCATAGCATCATCTTCGGCCGCGGTGGAGATCATCGCTTCTTCCTCCTCGCCGTCGCTGTCTAGCTCGTCAGTCAACTTCGGCTTCTGGTTTGCCGCCGCAGCGTCGCCAGCTGCGTCCTCCTCGTCGTCCTCAGAGTCGTCGTCGTCATCAGAGTCGAACTGCTCCCGTTCCTGGTGCTGTTTCGCAGCTTCCTCGTCGATTTCGTGGTTGAAGTGGTTCATCTCCCCCGCCCATTCGCGGTACTTCTGCTGCCGCCGGGTTTCCTTCTTCTGCTTCAGCTCGCGGCCCTTGGCGGCTTGCGACAGTTTGCTCTTCTTCTCGCGCATGGCGAGAATCTGCTCCGCCTCCATGTCGGCTAAGCGGTTCAACTCGGCGATCTCCGGGTCGTCGGAATCCTCTTCGTCGCTGTCGGAATCATTTGTATTTTTCGATGTTGCTGTGGTCTCTTTTCGGTCCTCCGCCGTTTCGAGTTCTTGTGCAGCTGCTTCCGCCTCGTTCATCTTCTCCTCGTCATCGCTGTCCATTTGCCCACCTGCGCCGTTTTCGAAGTCTCCAAAGTTTTTCGGCGCTTGTTGGAACAACTCCGCGTCGTGGGTGATTCCGGAGTACCGCATACCCATCGACATCTTCTTGCGCCACTCGAACTTCTTCTTCAACTCCCGGGCCTTCTTCGCCTCGCGCTTCTCCTCCTGCTTCACCTGCTTGATCATCGCCTCCAGCTCCTCATCCGCGTTTTCGAATTTCACCTTTTTCGTGCTGCCGGTTGCTGGCTCGGCCTGCGAGTGAATACGGGTGAAAGTTCCAACATTGTGATAAACATGAAGCAATTTTTGCGCTTGCGACAGAGGCATAGTAAGAGTGAATGCTCGCGACCGCGAGGAAGTCGCGAGACATCAAATAAAAACACAACCACAAAGCGACAGAAAAGAACAAAAAGAGAGGAAAAGCCGAAGATATCATGGGTCGTCTTTACCTGCTTTTCTTCCGCATCAGCCTCCTTTTCCGATCCAGATTCATCATCGCTCTTCTCTTCCTTGTCCACTTTGTCAATCGAGGTCTTCTTTTCCTTTTCGTAGTTTCTTCTGGTCAGCATGCGCCACTTGAGTAGCATGGACAATTCCCGTTTCCCCAACACTTTCAAATCGTCACAATACTCGCGAAGCTCGTCGCTTATCGTCAAACTTTCGTCGTCGCGGTACAACAGTTTGTGATGCGTAGTGAGGATCAGGGCTGGGCTTTGGTTTTTCACAAAATCCATCAGGCTGCACGTTCGCATGTCGTCTCCAGGCTCGTAACCACCTGCAGTTATATTGATATGAGGTTATTCGTGTTGTAATTTTTACTGCAGCTACAGCTACTAGACACGATGTATTGTGACACGAGCACGACAGCGCTTGCAAAATGAATATGCGGTGTGGGTTTACAACTTTTTAGAGAGTCAAATGTTTATGCGGTCTCCGCGTTGCAGTGATTTCGATCTTCTGCGACCACCATTCACATAGTAGATCTCTGTACCTCGGTGTTTCTTTGCTTGGTACTTCAGGAGGTCCATCAAGCTGGCCTGGGATTTCTTTTCCTTCGCCTCGCTGTCGACCGCCTCCATAAAGACCCATCGGGGATCGAAAAATTTCGGGTCCGTCTTGACGGCCTTGTAGTTTTGACACAACACGAAAATTTCCGCGGACACGTTTCGACTGGCCTGCGGCTTCGTTGCTTCCACCTTGCCGAACAACTGCTCGAACACCCACAAAAGCGAGGTGTAGTCCTGGGAGCGGAACACCTTCGTGACAAAGGTTCCCCCCGGACGCAGAATTTCGGCCGCCAATTTTGTCGCGTGCAAAACCAGCTCATTCTGCACGTATGCGTCGTGGGACCATGAACTACCCACGTTCGGAGCACCATCGTTCAGGACAACGTCGGCAGACCTGAGGGAACAAGATAGTGAATGAGAAATGGGGCAGGCATCAACTATTCCAAAAATCTGACTGGATGAATCTGAATATGAAAGTCCCGTGAAAACATAAGGGTTCGCTTCTTCTAAATTTTGCAGATGAAGATGCAGATGCTTGCGCGCGATCTCATCTTGATCGCCCATGATGTATTCCATGAACAGGACCAATGAATTGATGTCGTACCTGCCCTCCAGTTCCTTTTTTATCAATTGTCGGCACTTTGGCGTGGTGATGTCACACTGGATGCTATCCTGAGTAAAAACGTCCCCACACCAGAGTTGTAATGCAGATTTGCAAAGACAGGAAGACTTGTAATGCGCATCCCCATGAGAGCCATTCCCAATCGTGTTTTGGAATTTGTGATGCTGTGAACAGGATGAGCAGACGAATCTGTGATGCGGCTGCACTTGCTAACCTGCACTACACTGCGGAGTGCAACTTGTCATGCGTGACTCACAAAACTCCTCGATTTGTGTTGCAAAATCCCCATCCTGACTCTGGTGTGGGTACGTTTTTACTCAGGATAGATGCCGGTGACACCGGGAATCGGTTTGATCGGACACATATCAAATGTAAAAGTGTCTGGGTCTGGAAGAATGCAACTTGTAATGCGCATTTCAGAACACAGAAAGATCTCTCATGCATAGGTAGCAAAAGCTGCCCACTTTCTGTCACCAGAATGCGGGATTTGTCACGCGGATTCGGCACGACGGAAGCTTCTCGGAACCTGTGATGCTAGAGCTTCTATGCCAGACCTTCTGTGTCATGCAAAAACAGCATGACTCTTCCAGACCCAGACATTTTTACATTTGATAACACAGATCCAAGCAGAGAATCTTTGAGTTCCGGGGCATGTTCTTGGCAGCCACCTGACTCCACCCACCGGGGGCACCGCACAAATCCACACATACCCGCGCGTCGGAAAGGAAGTCCACCTTTTTTGCCAGCTGCACCAATTTGAACGCGGAACGCGCACGGTAACCCTGGTCCTTCGCGAGCTGGTAGTACTTATCCAACCGCTCCTTCCCGACTTTCTTCTTGGAGCCGCCCATGGTGTTCGTGTTGCGGATACGATTACGTGCGTGTGCTTTAAAATTGACTGAAAGAAACGGCAACAGATTGTCGTGTCAGCGTATCTCTACATCAATGACAATGCGTAGATGAAAATGAAAATGGCGTTACTTCTTAATAAACTGCCAGTACTGGTGCCACACCCAAGAGACTCGGCGCTATCAAGTGAAAGTACACTACTTTGTGTGCCAGGTGACCTTATTCTTCGCAGATGTTTTCCACTGTACGAAGACACCTGCTTTTTTGAAATTGATTCGCGAAGAGCTCTTGAATATGTCGTAACAAGATTTTCATCTTCACATACATGGTCGCGTCGGATCGGGATCGGCTGCAGGCATGATGGTGATCATTACAGGGCATAAATGACTCCGACATCGACCATGATGAGCTCTGCATGATGTAGTTGTGTAGAGAAGCTCTTTGTGTTGATCTTGACCTACTGGCGTCCGCCTTTTTGTCTGATCCGATAGATTGTATGTAGCTGTAGGTTTTGAACAAGGTCGATCTCTGGTTCAATGAGATCGATTCTCTTTTTCTTTTTGATCATTATGTGCCCGAATTTGCGAGGTGGTTCTCCATTCACACATTTCTAGATCGCTTCGGATCGGGATCTTCATCATCATCGCCATGCAATACGCTTTGCACACGTACTCGTACAAAGTAGAAGTGTATTTACTTGTCGATGTGCGTAAACATCAACTTGCCGCGGAGCAGAAATGAAATCCGCAGAACGTTTCATCTGGTGAAATTTCAACGTTTCAAAGCTGAATAAATACCAAGGAAGTTGTGAACAAATGCATCATCATGAGTCCAGCGACGATTTCGCTGCCATCTTGCTCTGCACATCTGGCTGCGTTTTTTTTTTTTGGTACACCAATCGTACATCATCTCCGTCAATTATGCAAGGAAAAATGCTTTCCATCTCAGTGTTTCTTTTTTTTCTTCATTGCATCACCTCCACTGTGAGTGTTTCTTTTTTCCTGGGACCCAGGATTGAGAAAACAGTGACTATTTTCTAGAGAGACAAGAGTAAGCACAACTTCTATCACCTTGTCATAAAATTGCAGCGATCTAGATTTTTGTCTTCTCATCATGCATACCATGGAGTGCATGCGCATACTGTTAAAAAAATCCGGACCGTTCAACGTCTGTCGCTTTCCAAATATTCACCGCGATAATGGCGGCATCGTAGAAAAAGCTAACTGACACAGCTATTGCATGCTGTGGATTTGTGTCTATGTAGTCGTGAAATCGTGGCAATTCCCTTGAAAGGCTTGCTTTCTCTTCACACTTCTAGAGTTACTGGAAAGCGAAGTGCAAGAAAAACCAAAAGGCCAAAGCCAAAAGCCTCAAGCTCCTAGGTCTCTCAAGAGGGTAGAACTGTACAAGTGCTTTCACACTTCGCGCCTTAACTCGAAAGCTTGCTTTTCGTACTGACAGTTCAACACTGAATGGTACAACGAGAACGAACTCAGACTCAGAGGCACAAATGAACTTGGAAAGTGACCACTTTGATTAAACTCAATCCATGAGCCGGTCCATCACATGATAGCGCTAGACTATGTCTATGTTGTCTTGCTGTCCTCGTGGTTCCTTCACCTTTGGCCGACCAGGACGACCAGGACGAGATGCTGCAGTAGATGACGGCCGACCAGGACGAGATGATGCACGTCGCCTCCGCGTCGGCGTCGCACCCTGCGACAGGCCCACTTCACTGACGCGTTGTAAAAACGGCTCCGCACCACTGGTCATGGTCCCTGAGGTATTTTGGGCCATTCCCATTGCACGCCCCGGCATCCGCAACTTTGGTTCTGGGGCTATACCGTTTCTTTCTCGCCCACACCCTGTAGCGCCGACATCAGGGTCCGTCGGCAAATTACTGAAAACCTCGTAGGCGGCATACACCGCCGCGCTGCCAACGACAGTACAGCAACAAAACAGGCCTGGCGTACACTTGCGGACCGGACGATTCCTCAAATAAGGATTAGGAGACGTGCAAATAAATTTTGCACCTGCATGGAAAGGGTCATTATTGTAGCTATCGCTACTGGAGTTGGAACTGGAGCTCGAACTGCTACGGGGACTTCTTCCTGCCCCTGCGCGTGCTGCTGGTGTGCCTGCAGTAGTACCAAGTCCAGCGGCGTTCAGTGTTGCAGCCGTTAGCGCAGGCACAGCACCCGTGTGTGCGCGGCTGGAGCGAGCAGTAGCAGAGGAGTCAGCAGGGCAGGCGCATTCATGACCATGAGAACAAGGAGCAGCAGCAGGAGCTCCATTATCTTGAGTTGCGGCACCAGAAGCATCATGTTGTTGGTGTTCGTCTTCGTGGTGCCGATGACCTGCCGGCTCCATAGAATTTTCAGGTCCACGTCTTTCTCCATTCGTACTAGCTCCACCTCCTGCCCGAGCAACAGAAGCTTCAGCTTCCACGCCACCAAATGTAGCACCAGCAAAGCACTCCCCAGTGCTGCGAAGCAGACCCAACAAGAAGAAGTTTCTGACAGGAAGTACCATGATTGATGATGATCAAATACACCCGCTATGATGCTACTCAAGAAAGTCAAGGAAGAAGTATACAACGGACTAGAAAAATCATACAAATCCGACTTAATTTAAGCGAAGATAAACGGCTATGTTACTCGTAGGTGGCACTTCACTTGAAGTTGAAAATAGAAGAGCTGTTACAGTCAGTTTGGATTCTCTATCTTGCTTTACTTGCTTCCGCTTCGTGTTTGTGTTGAAATTAAAGAGGATGTTCGTGTCTGTTAGCTGTTTTTAGTGATGCTTGTTCTTCCTTGATATCAATCGTTAGCCTCCTACAACTTTGTCGGAGAAGCTGAAACCTGTGAAATCGATTGGGTTTGGGATTGCTGGTTTACGATGTGTTACGCATGATACCGCGGCTCCCGCTTACCCAAAAGGACAAACCGAAACATTGTCATCTGGGATCTCTAGTAGAACATACTGCGAGAATTGTGAACCAACTACACATTTCGGTTTGTTTCAGTTTCTTGTTGATCGCTGTTGAACGTAGTCAGATCTGTACTTTGATGTCCTCGGACTAATCTGTCACACCGATTCAAGGGCCGCAAACCACACGCAAAGCGCGTGTGCACGTTTTTTGTTTCTGCCAGACCGAAAGTGTAACCCTATTTCGGATGATCGCAGGACAGCATTTGTCTTGTCAATAAATTGTGAGTGTCTACTGGTATTGATCATGTGCATTCGCGTTTTTCACGATGTAGTTCTCCATCTTCGTGTTCGAATCGATTTTCTTTGATGTTTTGCGGACAAAATTTTCCCTAATTGACCGCTCAACCAGAACCACGAGTATAAGCATAACAACGACTCGGACCACCGCTACATCGTCTGATCTTGGTTATTTTTCTGACAATCGAGTTGTCCTGAGTTGATTTTCGTATGTGCTTGCCGATTCTCCATCCCATCACAGCATGAGGATAGACACACGAGGAAGACAAAGAAACCTCTTTCGTTTTTTCCATAATTGTGTACTTATACATAATGTCATCATCTTCGTCTGACACACTCAGAGAAGTCAGCGCGAAGAACACGGGTTAAGTTTAGCAAGCTTCTGCCACTGCTCAAAGTTTATGCGACTCCGCGTCTGCAGATGCGCATGCGGCTTTACTTACTTGCTGTCGTGATTCCTGTAATCGGTACCGGGCGTACGCGTAGTTCTGTCCCTGAGTCTGTCGTGTGACAAGTTCAAACACATTAATTTTCCTGAGGCGCCGCAAAGGCGGCCGCCTCATGAATCCTTCATGATCCCCGCAGCCTTTGTCACCAGCGAAAAGTATGGCCTTCTGTCGTGCGCCGGTGTCCATCAGTTAAGTTATGATGTGCAGGTGGTGCGTAAAAGTTTTACCTCCTAGCCCTAGCCCCTAGTAGGCCGCGCCACTTGCCGGTATTGCTTTTCCCGAGGGCCGCACCAGGATCACTTCCCTGTCGGACCAGAAGCTGCTTTATTCGGTGGTGTCGTGGGTGCTCTGTTTCCTCCGCGCGGTGTGAGAACGACGTTTTGCGTCATCTGGGCGTTTTTTCGCTTGTTTTCCTCCAGGACTCGCTGGCGCTCGATCTCGCCCTCCGACATGTCTTCGTCGTCGTCACTCTCCTCCTCGTCCTGCATCATACCCCGGGCCATCATCTCCTTGATTTTCATCCCTTCATTGTAGTGCTTTTTTCTCGCGTCCAAAAAATCTTGCTTCTTTTTCTCCTCCTCCGTTTGCTCCAGGCTCAACGCGTTCAGCTTCGCCGCCAGCTGGTCAGTCTGTAGCGGAGCGTGCGACGTCGTCATGCTGGAGGACGAGGAGCTCCTGCCCTGGGGGGGCGCGTGGTACGGGGTTTTCGGTTCGTCAATTTTCATTCGGGTGCCGCGATCCTTGTCGTGCTCCGCGATGGTGTGCTCGTCCCATTTCACGCGGTCCGTCATGTTATAGTGTCGTGAAAAATTATAGCCCCAGAAGGTAAATCTAAATCTAAACCAAGAAAGGGCCCATAGGGCGGCAGCAGAGACAAAAAGGACAGAACTACAACATCAAAAAAATAGGTCTTTATGGGCGGGAAGGGGATTTAAGTATGATATGAAGCTGATGGTGTGGTGTCCTCGTAATTCTAAAAAAATGAATTTCGTTACTACTTGCTGACATTGGAGGGAGGTTCCTGCGAGAAAAGGTTCAAGTGTACGACAGTATTGTTTTGTTGCACGTGAGAGAGCATCTCTTTGCTGATCTTTGCAAAACGGATCCAAATTTTTTCCCTTCTGTTGAATGGACACCATTTATTCCATCTCGGTGCGAAAGCGAATGCGATAGCGATTCTACGATCGTTTAGGATATCGCCGGTGTTACGACCAGACGACATCCATCTTGTAGATCACAACACGCTCATCCGCAACCACAACCAGGAGAACGACGCCAAAATTAGCTGGGTTCGTCCGCTCGACGCTCGTATGGTCATGGTCTTCCATGTTGCAGTAAAATCACAAGCGAACGCCTTGCAACATGTTCAGTTCATGTATCTAGGAAGTGCATGTGCATCCATCACTATCTCATGACATAGTTGGTGGCGTGGCCAGCAGATCTTTGTTCATAGTCAAGCTCCCGCTGAGATCCTTTTCTTGGAAAGCAACCAGGAGAACAAGGGAGGCGAAGAGGATCGCGGCCCTTCTGTGCCATGCATGTTCGTACTGTCCCTGTGTCATAGTGGACGTGGAGGTCTGAGAGAAGATCTACAACAGTGTCCTCACCAGCTACGACCCCCGCGCCCGCGGCTGGGTCTCTCACATACTCTCATCCCGCATCAGGTTTGCGCTTTGCTTTTGCTGCCTTCAACCGTTCCAGCTTCTCCTTGACAGTTTCTCCGTCTCTCGAAGCACTTCTGCCGGCTGGTGGCGGCCCCCCTGAAGGTGCCCGTGGATTGCTCGCGGTGCGTGACGCCCCGTTGGTTGTTCCCGCGGCGTTGCTCCCGCTTGCGCGCCCGCGCGCTGGCGCAGCGGAAGACGCGGCGGAGGCTTGCTCCGCTGCGCCTGCGGCGCTCTGTCCAGGAACACCCACAGAAGTCCCAGACGCAGGCCTTTCGGCCAGATTGCGAAAGAAATCAGCACGGGAATCACGAGAATTTGCTCGGACTTGTGACGAAGAACTACCTCCTTGGTTGTTCGAAGAGCCACCTGCTCCCCGATTCGCGCCCGTTGCGGAGCTGCTGCTTGCAGGCATTGCGGCGGAGGACGTCGTCCCGTAACTCGTGGCCTCTAGCTGACTTCCGTCTTTCCGCGAGGCCATGTCTCGCATCGTTCGCGCCAGGAACGCGTTGGCCGGCTCGGCGCGTAAGACCGGCGGCAGCTGTTTGTCCGCCTGCGGAAAAAGAGCTGGCAACCGCTGCACCAACTCGCTGAACGGCCGTGCAAACTGGGCCGCGACGGTGTCGGCGGCATCGTCCAGAAGACGCTGCTCGTCATCATAGCCGGCGGGGACAAGAATTTCATCGACTGATGTCGCGTCTACGGCCCCTTCGAACCTGGATCATAGTTGTAGTTTTCGAACTGCTGGAAACATCGAAAAAGGCAGAGTGCGTCATTGTTTTAGAGAAGAATCTTTCGCGAAAAAGAAGGATCTTGAGCACCTTGCCTTTATATAGTCTTAGCATCTGAAGGAAATGCTGTTGCTGGCACTATCTGTGCAGAGGACGTTTCAGAAAAAAAATTGAGTGTAATCATTACTTCGTGTCGAAGAGGCGGTGGCCGATGTAGTCGTACAGCAGTGACGTGTTCTTTCGCTTTGCGACTTGGTGAAAGAAAAGCGACCCCCCGCACGCCAACATCGTTTTCCGTAAGTACAATGGCACAGCGTCCATCCAGCCGACGCACGATTTTTCCTTTGCAATGCCGGCCGCTAGGTCCGCTCGGCACACGACAAAAATCACGGGTATGCCGAGGTTGCGCGTCAGCGTCTCCAGCGCAGCTTTGCCTGTGTCTCGCCCGTTCGAGTTCTCGGCACCATTCTTGTCCTGCCTCTCGTTGCCGCTGCTTTCGCCGGTTACCTGGGCTTTTGCTCGCATGGCGCTTGTCGCGTCTGTGTCGCGAGCGTCCGCTGCAGTATCCGCAGACGAAGGACCAGTGCGGTATTTTGCGTAGGCTTTTTGAAGAAAGGTCTCCACGTTGCGCATGCCTTCCTCGGCAGAATCGGTTGACGCTACGCTTTGCAATACACCTTTGAGGACTGCAAGCTGCGACTCGACCTGAGAAGAGCATTCAAGGGGTAGGTTACGCGCATGTTGCGAAACCCAAAAACTACTCCTGTTTCGCGTAGTTGCACTTCTTACTTTGCATGTAGAGGACATCAGCGAGGAGGATACAATTTGCTAAATTCATTGTGCGAGGACATCCCGTAAAACAAACGCCCAGAAGAACCTGTTCCATTAGCCCCCAGGGCTCCTCCAAATTTAGGCAAATCACAGCACAGAGTTTGCGCAGGTCCGAGACGTTTCGCCTGCGAAGCTGGGCCAGAAGGACTTCCTTGCGGGTCGGATCCGCCAAGAGCCAAACCGCGGCGTGGCCCCCTGCGTTTTTCCATTGCAAGTACGCGTAGTCGACGACCGAAGTTGCATCCAGGCGGTCCTCGGGAGGAAAGTCCGCAAGTTGATCCACTAAGTCCGCTGCGACTGCGGCCTCCCCGAGAATCAGCAGATCCGCATCTTGTCGGCGCAGTCTCTGGGCATTTTGCGCCTCGGCTAAGATGCTGCCCCACAAGGACGCGGATGCTGCCGTGGTGGAATTACTGTCCCCGGCGGCAACGGCTTTTGATGTGTCCCCAGCGGAATCGGGCATAGACTTCGATGACGTGCCTCTTGTCGTTGTGGCTGCTGCAATCTGTGGCGGTCGCCCCCGCGTGTTCGCAGTACGAGAAGAACTTCCGGAACGCGTAGCCATGTTTGTATGCCATCAGCTTTCAGTGTTGCGCTTGGACAATAAACTGAAACTCAAATAAACATGAGCATTGTTCTTCACATCTGCACCGGCTTCTTCAGAACAGCTTACCGTGACGTCACTTCGGGTGTATCTATCGTTACATCAGTGCAAAAGATATTTTCAAGGGACTTCGCACACAAGTTGACAGGTCATTCGAGACCGTGTCGACGGGGATTTTTTTTCAGGAACAAATCAATGACGAGGATGATTATTACAGCAGCAACACGAACACCAGACCGAACCTGGGACGGATAATCAATCTCAATGAGTTAACGGATCCGGATCGCATGTTGTAATAAATACGAGAGCTGCGCGTGCACTGAAGACGAAGTGGCTGGCCCTGGAACACTCGCGAGTGGCGTTGAAACGACACCGATATGCGACGACGCGAGGCACCCGAGGCGCTCCACCAGTAGAAGCTCTGGCGCATCGTTGTGGTGAGATGTTTTGTATTTTTTGCATGCGGAAAAAGGGAAAATCACAATCAGCGCTTCGAAAAAAAAAACAGCTCGTCATAACTCGAAGTCCTCGACCTCCAAGAACAAGTAAACCGCAAATAATACATAGCATATCAAGTTGACGTCTCAGCTGACGAGCTAGTTTTCGTTTCCTCAGAAACATAAGTAAGTTGGATATGGATACATAGAAAAAAAGCTCTCCTACGTGGAATGCAGCCTTTCGGCGCGTTATTTGTTCTTGTTCATCTGACAACTAGAACTACCGAGAAAGAACATTTTGAAAAAAGACAACGACTAGTCTGAGCATTTCCTCCGTGTCTGGGGCTTCAACTCGGGCACTAGCTTGCTTGTGACAAGAGGGAAGGGAAAGCTACTCAGTGCCAGAAGTATTTTCGTGAGATCGGCTGCGGAATGGAGACTTCTGACCGCGGTCGTGTAATATCGCTGCAAATGCCGACGTCAGGCGATCCGTTGCCGTTGTCTTGTCGTTTTACATTTCCGTCGATAGGCCGTGCGAGGCGTCGCGACGCGAAAAGATGTACTGCTGCAGCTCCTTGATGTCGTCCGGAAGCTCCGGGAATTTCGTCTATGCATAGAGAGTCGCTCCGTCGCCAGCAAACGCAAGACAGGACTTTGTAGTAGCGCCCTTTACTTGTGGTATTGGGCGCTGTTCTTGATCATGTTCATTTTGCGATACTTGCATGCATGCGCCATACTTTACATTTACACATGCAGGCTTGGTCAGAGAGCAGCTCGCTCCCAGCATTAACGAAAAGCGCAAATTGGAAAACTGGGAAAAGAGCGGCAACGACAAGCGTGACACGAAGCGCCACGCCTCGTAGTAATCTATTACCTTGCTCAATGAAGGCGGGGACTTCTACAATCATGGTCATAGGTTCACGAGGAACACCGCAAACATGTAGCACCGGTCCGCCGCCACGGTTTCCTCCGGCAACTCGGACCACCACGGGAGATTCTTCGCGGCCGCCTCCAGATCCTCACCGTACCACTTGAGGGAGATGAATGCTTGGACAACCGCTTCTTGTTGCGGCATCGGGTGACGGAGGACATTGTCGATCATCCGGATAAAGTCAGCGGGATCACCGCCGAAACAGGCCAGCTCATCTTCTGTTTTCGTGCCGGGGTCTTTTCCGTTTCTTCGGAGTCTATTGGTTTCGTGCCGCGTGTTGTTGTCTCGGATGATGAGCGCCACCTTTTCCCAGGTGGCAGCCGGTGCCAAATCTTTCGGATTGGCGAGCATATCGGGCCTGTATTCGGCTAAGTCGCTGCTCGGTCGTCGTTGTCGTAAGGAAGAGGATGCGGTTGCAGATGTGCTGCTATCTTCTTCTCGCGGCAAGCTCCCGTTTCTGAAAGGCGGCTTCGTTAGATTGCTGTACTTCGTAAATTTCATGTCTATCCAATTTTGGAGCTCGCTGTAAAAGGGAGAAGGAGCTGCTCGCTATCGCTTCTTGTTTCTTCTCAGCTATCGTTTTGCATTCTAAAAAATCGCATTTTGTGTACTGTGATGTGGTGACAAACTAGCACTGCAATAAACTTCAAGAACTTACTGTGTTTCTGAAGCAAAAGTGACCTCCTCCTCCTTCATCTCATATTTCTTAGTATGTCTTTGTCCGAAACTGAAGTAAAAGATGAAGCATGGTTTTCACGACGGAAGGATGACCACTTTTGTAAGCACGCCTGCAAGAAGATGAAGGTGACACTGATGACAAAGATTGCAGCTGTGCTAGATTTTGAAAATTAAGCGAGCACTCCATCACAGGATATTTTTCGTCCTTCCAGTTCTTCCCGTCTTCGTTTAGCCACTGCACCAAATTCATGAGCGACGCTCCGACGGCGTGTTGCCTTGATTGCTGCAATAATTCGATCCTTCGACTCTTCGTCGGCGTATCCTCCATCTCCGCATAATTCAACGAAGACAACATCTTTTTTTGGCTGCGGCGAATACGCGAAGCGAATTTTCTATCAAGTGCAATAACAAACCAAGACGAAATAAAAAAAGTAAGCAGACCGACGACACAACGCGTTTTTTCAAAACAAGCTTTATCTCTTGTACTCAAGCTCGTTGGGTGCTCAGTAGGCTAGGGACGGACATTGAAGTACCAGAAGACATTCTCATACTCTCTCGGAAAAGTACTACATTCAAGAAACCTATGCAGATGCACATCGGCAGAGAGAGAAAGAGTCTCACTGCGGATCCGGAACTCACAGACAGAGTGTGGGCACATCTTCGAGGGCGGAACATTATCAGAAGCAAGACGCAGTCGTCGCGCGCGTCGCACCTTTCATCCAGGTGCGTCCGCATTTTCGCCGCCCGCGCAGCAAAAAGAAACGAGCTCAGTGTTCAAACAAGAGGGTGTTTATTCAAGTACAAGTAGCGCACCCTACAAAGCATACTTAAATGTGCAGAATCAGAACGAAAGCAGTTGCCAGCAGACAACAGGCAAAGTGTCTGCAAAAACTGCGACAAGAGTGCAACGATTGGGCGGCTACGTCGGTCGCGACTGAAATGCCGCGCGCCGTGCTCCGTCACTTCATGATGCACTCGACAATTCTCCGGCGCTTCGCGGAATCCGGTCCGTCTTAAGTTGATCATTCACGTCAGTGTCTGTCCTTGTTCAATCCCGCCCTCGAGGATTGCATGCGCGAGTGACGGACACAGTAGACAAAGCAGAGCAAGTAAACTCCCCCTGAGAGGGTACTTATAGATACTTCCCGACGCTCGCGCTCCTGCTAGTAACCGCTCATGCTCTCCGCATGCGTTGGAAATCACCCGAGGAGGATCCCTCCTCCTGCCGTCCGGATGACCTGGAAGGTCCTTGAAGCAGGTACGAAACATCCTCGATAAACTGTGGGAAATGGTGCTCGAGGGCGCAGTAGAACAGCACGGCCTTGCGGTCGGGGTACGATTTGACGATCCAGAAAAGAAAACTCCTTTCGAGGTGCTCGAAGTAGTCATCCAGCGTTTCTTCTGGCACATCCGGAATGTCGGACCCCACAAGCAACATGCCGAGGACATCAGCCACGAACATCAGCAGCCCGAAGACGTTCTCTTCGTAAGCTGCAGAGAAAAAAGGCCGAGGGAGGTACTCACACCCTTTCCAATTTTGATACAGGCTGTATCGCTGTGGGTGCATCTGCACGATGGGGCGAAGACGGGTAGGAGCATGCGCAGCTTGGTCTCGAGCCGTGTCGTCCTGAACACCACCTCCCTGTCCGCCCAGACGACTGGGCGATCGTGCAATTTCAGCTGGCGGAAAGCGAGGGTCCGCTAGCTCTTCGGAAGCGCTGAGGCGGTCATAAATTTTGTGCCGAAGCGTCAGAATCCGAATTGAAGCAAAGAAGCGCGATTGAACAGGACCGTCTCTCTTTCCCTCTTGCGCTGCTGATCGCAAAACCTGAAACGCGCGGCGAGCGTCGATGCTGGGCGTGTGTCCGCGTTGGCACAATTCGCCTAGCTTGAAACGAAACAAATCATGCGGCGTCCACCCATCGCGGTTCATCCAATCAATAGACTCAGGTTCGCGCTGGAGGTGTGCCCGGACGCTTTCTGTGATAGGTTCGGAAAGATGTTGCAGCGTATTCGTATCTGACGGTATGAACGTATTCGTGGACTCAACATTCTGCATATCACTTTGAGATGAAGCTGTCAGCTGCTCCGGGTTCAGAGAATCCACATATGCATGCAGAGCTGTGTAGCCGGTGCCGGGAGCAACATGAAAGCGAGGTTCTTGCCAACGGTGCAGAAGGATTTGCTGCAGGCGGCGAAGAGACTCTGTGTTGCTAAAGCGGCGCGCGTGTCCGGACCCTGGCGCTGGGGTCACGCGTTCTTTCGCGTTCTCCAAGACGAGTCGCGCAGCGCATTCCGCCAGGTCTTCGCCACCTTGCAAAGCACAATGAAGGCTGTGATGTGAAAGTTTACACACGAAAACTCGCTCTGATTGCAGCCAATATAAAAAGCGCAGCAAACCGGCCGGGCTCATTGGGTGAGGTCGGTTCGGAGGTGCATCGTGAATTAGCCACGTGTCCAACACTTTTTCGCGCAGTGCTTGTGGCATGTCAGAAGACCACTGATTCCAGTGCGCCGCAACACGGTTAACGAAGCATTGCCAAGCGGTCGAGTAGGCAGTTCGCGTGCCTAGCGGCTCTGCGAGGTCTCGCAGCACCGACGCAATAGGCAGGACCATACTGCCGCTGCCATCCGGGTCCGGCAACATATTCGCTAACTGGCCGTCTTCGCGAACCACCGCTAGCCCTGGAGGCCCTGGGCCAGCGGCTTGAAAATTTTCAGGATGCGAGCCTTCATCTGCTCCAGTGGGCGGCGGCGGACGAGGACCCTCACTCAAAATGCCCGGGAACCGGATGGCCTCACCAGATTGTAAGTGGGCAACGTCAACATCTGCGATGACGTGCGGCTCTGGCGAGTTCACAATGTCCATCGGCTGGGAGTCCTGGACGGGGGAAAAAGCACCAGACTGCGACGACTGGAATTCCTGCTGTGACTGTGAGCAAGGGGCTTGAGTGCTGACTTGACTTTCGTGAAAAACACTTTCCCCACAGCTGAGTCTACTAGTTGTACCTGCTGTTGCAGCAGCGTCGTCTGGCCCTGGGGCACTATTCCAAGGAGGATTCATGGCGCCGTCTGGCCCTGGGGCACTATTCCAAAGAGGAAATGCAGGAAACGACGAGCCTCGGTTCGCGTTCGGTCCAGCTGTTTGCCCCGAACCTCCAGACTGACAATCACTGTCCATGTTGTTTTTGGTAAGTGCCACAGCTGTTCACAGAGATCTACTTCGATCGCTGCGGACTTTACTTAAGTACTATGCTAGTACGACCATCCGCGTCAGTTTTACGTCTTGATGCGGAAAAACATGGTGGATGTATAAAGCAGCACACTGCAACAAGACCGACTACAACGTGTCGAGCCAGCTTGCAGCGTCCGGGAACATCACCATAAGGCCTCATCTTCTGCCCGCTAATTCTATGCGGCAGCTATTAGCCTTCGCCTTGACGTTCTGATCTGTTCTTGTCTGACTGTTGATATAATATCTTCCATGTGCAAAAAAAAGACTGCTTGGCGCTTTTCAGGCCAGATCTGTTCATTTGTCATCGGTCATGCGATGAGTCTGATTTTTGCGTAGATTATTCCATCCATCCTTTCCTTTCTATGAAACTAGCCTTTGCGCTTCTTAGGAAAGTGTAAGCTTTTGCGTATTTGCGTATACTAAAATCGAAGAAGATCTTCACGAAGACCTAGCCTCGTCAGTTTTTAGTCTAGAAAAAGAACTCGTCGAGAAATCTTCAGCGAACTACCGTTACTTAGAGTTCGAAGAAGTTCCAGACACACACGCTCGCGTCAGCGCCGGTCGTGACGATTTGTCGCATGTCGGGTGACCAGACAACGGACGTAACCGGCCCGGAGTGCCCCTCGAGCTGCGAAATCTTTTCGCTGGTTTCTAGATCGAAAACGAAGAGAAACCCGTCCTCACTTCCGGCGGCGACATACTGCCCGCTCGGCGAGACTTCCACGCAGAGGTATTTGCAATTTCGCTCGTGGAAGCAGCCCACCGGATCTGCCACGTCAATGTCCCAGAAAAGAAGGCGTCCGTCGAGACCTGCCGAAAGGAGAGCATTTGTTTCTTTTCAAAGACATTTACCAAGAGCAAGGAGGACCACGCACACATATTAGCATAAGCAGAGGCAGTCGCTGCACTGTACTAAACTTCTGCTATCAACAACATCATGGGATTAGTTTCCTTCTACCGCAGCTGACGACTTCGCGTTCACAGTCTTTCCTCTGCGACAGTCCGGTCACGTTGCTGTTGGGCGTTGTTCGCTGCACGATAGACTTGTTGAGTTTGACGTCGTACGTGACCTGAGTATGTTGTAGATATAATTTCTTGATGCCGTGCCACTGGAACATCCCCGAAGTGGTAGGTGGAAACATGAAACTCGGGCAAAACCGAAGACAAAACCACAGGTACAAAACTAGCTGTACGATGAATCTGTCCTCGCTGCCGGAGTGGAAGAGGTGTGGTCTCTCGATGTCGAGTTGCAAATCCGTAATGGGTTTCCTGTGCACGTTATCAAATGTAAAAATGTCTGGGTCTGGAAGAATGCGCGATGTGTCATGCAGCTTTTCTATGACCCATGCGGTCTGGAATGCAGGACCTAGCATGACAGATTCTGTGCGATCTTTCTCATGCCTATCCTGCATGAGAAACTGCCTCCCGACTTTGTCAGAACTGGACGACTTTTGGTAATCATGCAACACAGATTTTTGCATGCTTCAGATTTAGCATGACAAGTTCGCATTCTTCCAGACCCAGACATTTTTGCATTTGATACACGTGGTACTGCGCCAGTAGTTCTCTGGTTCTTCGGTGCCACATATCCAGGAAAAAACACCCATCCCCATCCAATTTGTCATGCAAAACGTGCATAATTTCCACTATTTGTCATGCAAAAAATGGACAATAGACAATAGACACCCAAAATAGCTCGTAGAACCCTGTCAACTTCCACCAAGTGAAACATCACTGGTGAGGTGAGCCCAGGGCCCCTGGAGGTGAGAAACGAGGGTGGCACCTATAGTCGACCATACCAACTGGTCAACCAGGAAATGAGGAAGTGGGTAAGGAACACAAATGTCCCGGGATAACAAAAACTGAATATCCCGCACAACCTCTGCCAACCACTGCCCTCGAATTCACAAATGAAAAGGCTGAAAGCCAATTCAACTCCGGCTACTCTTCCCGAAGCAAGCTCAACCACCTCCCACCAAGAGCGAGCAACGGGGCAATGCCCTGAGGGACCGTTGAGAATCTCCCCAACGCAAACGTCATATAGCTTCAGCTCTAAGAGGCTGGCTGACGAATGAAAACGCACACCTCCGGCTGCAGCGGCACAGACCAGAGGGGCAGGGGCATAGGAAGAATCGAACCGCACAACCAACTCGACCCAGGTAACCCAGAGAACCAAGGCCCTGGAACTCTGGGGACCAAGCACAACAGGAGGAGCAAAGCAAGGAAGGAGGAAAACCACCAGTCAAGAAGCACAACGGGCAGCAAGGTGAAGATCCGCAGCAGTCCGAAGACCACCCGATCTCAGGGCAACACACCTTGAAGCGCGAGGCCGCGAGACCTGCCGAACGCCTTGAAGGAAACCCCAGGGTCCAAGCGAACGACGATGGCAAACCACCAACCCGACCTACTACCCGAGTGTGCCGGGGACGTGGAATCAGACAGGGCAGGATTATCACGCAACGGGAGTCACCCACCAAATCCTATCCACGACCTCACTGAGATGGAGGCGAGAACGGTCTTGCTGGAGGGGAAACTGGCGAAGTATGTTGACCACACCACCGAACACTCACACCCGCTAGTCCGGAAACCGCCTCCCTGCAACAGATCGCAGCCGCACGACGACGAGCACCCGCGAAGGTCTGGAGCGCAGGCATATAAGTACCGACCACATAGCGGGCATCTTTATATCAAGGCTGACCTCTCGCATTTGGGAGGCCGCGCCGCACACATTTGGGGGCGATCGGACCAGGGCTCATTTGGCCCTGCCTCAGCCTTGATATAAAGGAATAGCATAGCGAAAGATTCCAGCCGTCTGCGACGTGGAGTTGATGGCCACGACCGGCGAATCCCCTTGGACATCCTGCGGCCGGCACTTGTCGCACACTGTAGATCACTGCAACCACAACAGATCTCGAGGAACCACCGCGCCGTAGGCAGGAGAAGCTGTGTCCAGGCCCGATTTGATCACACCGACAAGCCGCTGCAACACGAAGCACCCTCTGCAGGCAAAGGCGTCACAAACGTAAAACGAGGCCGGAGCCAGCGCAGACGGTCCGAGTACGATGATGAGCCTGAGATCAGTATTTGAGTATTGGGCACTTAGAATGAGAGGAGATCGCAAAATATGTTGCGGACACCGCTATCCACAACCAGAACAGCTAGAAGCGAAGCAAGCAGGTTCAGAGACATGCAAATGAAAATACGAATTTTTAAATTTAATTTTAATGCATGAAAAACAGGAAGCAAAGAAGGAAAATATGGTAAGAGTCCCTGATCTCCCAAGCAACAGGGCGCTCCGCTAGTGTGCGCGGCATCCTCGTGGACCGGAGATGGAAACGCGCCGGCAATCCGCGACGAGTGCTCCGACCCCAACGCAACGCGCCAGTTTGCGGATTGTATCTGCCGATCGAAAGGCTAGAGCGCATCGCCACTGATGCGGAGCTGTCCCCTTTGCTTCGTTACGCTACGTGTGACCGAGGAGAGAAAACGCGTCGCGTAGCTTGAACGGCATTTCCAAGCGAAGGAAGCGCGTGTTGATTTTACAGGTCACTCCAAGAGGAGGAGCTCGCGCAGAGCCGACCCGTACTCCGAGATGAAGAAGTCGCGCAAGTTACTCTGAGAGGAGAAGCTCGTGCTAGGTAAGCCCGCATTTACTCCGAGAGGAAAAGCTCGCGCACGTTACTCCGAGAAGGAGAAGGCTCTCGCAAGTCAAAATGCTCGCCGCCGCTGGTGACAGAAGAAGAACCGGGCGAAACACCCGCCGGCACCACCGAAGCATTTTGCGCACGTGCGCGCTTCAGGTGGAGGGCAGATGATTCCTCATTTTTGTTTTGTTTTGATTTACTAGGAAATTGGATGGGTGTTTTTTCCTGGATACCACACGCGACAATAGCAGTCTTCACCGCCAGTCACGATGAACTGGGCCCATTCCTTAATTGCCGTGATCTTCCCCCGGTGGGCATTGGCGATTTCCCAACTCGGCGCGATGTTCTGCGCGCGTCTAGACAACCGGAAAGCGCGCATAAAGCTGTCCTCGCACCCGACCAGAATCTCGTCCTCCACCTCGCTGACACAGGCGCAGAGAATCGGGCTCTGTAGTAGAGTAGTAGAGTTGGTATGTTCATACTCATAGCCTCGCCCGGGGCTGTCAAAGCAATCGTAGGTAAAAACGATGCTCGACATGATCAAATAAACTACCCGACAAAGCAGTTGCACTACGTACACGTAGCGTATTAAAGTGCGCTCATACCTTTATTCTGACGCTCTGCAAATGCGAGTAGTCGGAAAGGTCCCAAAGAAACATCTCCCCGGCGGTGCTGACGGTGACCATAGCTTCGCTGTCCTTTGCCCCAAAGCATGCCATTGCTGCGTCAAACTGTGATATTCAAACGATTTTTGTTGTGGAGGTTCGAAGACATTAGATAGAGGCTGCAGTTGTGAGAGTCATGCTCATGCAAAACTACGAGGCATGCGCAAATCCAAATCCTGATGCTGAGGCGAAGAAAAAAATCATACTGTGTGCGCTGCGGAGTGAAGCGTTGTGGTCAAATCCTTCGTCAGACACCTCCAGAGTTTGCCGTTCTTGGTGCTAACCAAAACCTCTTTCGCGTCCGCACTCAGAGTGACGCTCACGCAGGGGGCTTCTAGTATATTCTCGACGGTCATGTCCCAATGAGTCTGGTTTCAAATTTATTTTTTCTCTGTGTATCATCTTCGACAAAGAGGACATTGGCATGGAAATTGATTATACGGCTCGATTGACCTTCACCTTCGCACTCTCTCTCTCAAAAGCGATGGTTTTTGTTTTGCAGAAGTGAAAAACATAGTAAAGCAGGTGCTACTTCAAAACTTACATCTGAGCCCTTGACTCGCTTGACTTTTCCGTCTCCTCCAGTGAGAATGATTGTCGTCTCGTCCAGCATGGTCATTCCAGTTACGCCACCGTTGACGATCGGCAAGGAGCAGCGGAATACCCTAGGTTTTGTTTGGTTGGAGTCCTGGTCGCTAATTAGTGGACCGAAGAAAAACTGCACGAAAAGAATGCATCATTATCGATCGAAAAGTAAAACGCACTTGTTGGTCAAGTTGAAGACGCAGAGGTCGCCTGCCGCAGTGCCGGTGATTAACTGGTCCCCCTGGATGAGGCCGCACGTGTGTTTTCGATGAAGCCCCGAGGGTGGGAGCTGGAACTTCGCCGTTTCCAGCAAGTAGCTCATTGATCGGATGTCGAAGATCAAATCGTGCATCAGGACCTCGGACTCGTACGTGGTGCACAGAAGGTAGCTTGGGTATCGATTATTGGCATTTGGGGGAACCACTTCGCCCCAACATACCATGTGGCAAACCGTCTCGGTTTGGCGGTCGTATCTGGGAAGGTGAAAGTTGTAGGAATCGATGGTTCAGCTTCACTCCCGCGCATTATAGCAGTCGAGCTGGACCTTTTTGAAAACACAACCCCATACTCATCAACGAGTACATCATTGCGCAACAAGCACCATATACACGACTTCCCCCGTTGTGACGTCCCAGATTAAGATCCGCGCATTTGCGCCGGTGCCGCAGAGGAACCGTCCGTCGGGTGAGAAGGCTAAGCAGATCACGGATCCGGTGAAGCCACCAAAATCCTTGTAGATGGTTCTCTGTTCCTCGTCCCACACAATGACGGGGGCGATTTGCCCTTTTCTTCTCTCCGACCCCCGCTGCCCAGAGGCGATCATTTTTCCGTTGCGCGACGTGGTGATGGCGGAGACCTCCGCGTCGTGGGCACGGAGGAAGTCCTGGTTGTGAGGGTTCCGCAGATCCTCCATAACCACGCAACAACCCACCGGGTAGATGTAGACATCGCGTCTGGCTGGATGCAACACCACGGTGTTCGGAAACCGGTTCGTCAGCCCGCATAGGTGTTCGAGCTCCACGGCCGCCGCCGGCTTTTTCGTTTCCTCCGCCATGGGGGGCGGCGATTTCACTGATTCTTCGAGAGAACAAAGCAGTAATGCAGAAGCAAAGCTCCGGGGCCCCTCATGAGGAGCTTGGCATCGTTTCTCGGTCGGTCTGCGCGGCGTCGAGGCCGCTATTGAAGCTGCCTCTGTGCCGCCTACCGCAAGAGTGTTGCTTTGGCTTTGTGAATTATATTGATTTCATTTACTGCGATGAGTGTGCTTTTTACTTTTAGGTCGTATTTATCGATCGATCTACTTTCAGTACACCACACACTTGAAAATTTTTGCAACTCTCGTCCGCGTGCGTCGTTTACTGAAGTTCCTTTTCCACTCGTCACCTCTTGATTGCAGGGTCCTGCTTCCATCCCTTGATTGCATTGCGGTACAACGCTCCTTACGGTTGATTGCGACTCAACATTGGCGAGAAACCAAAAAAGAAAAACTCAACATCACGGAAAAATAATTCCGAGAAAAGAGCAGCTCAGAATCAGAAAACAGACGATGAACCTGTCATGCAGGAGGAGAACCCCAGCTCCAGGTACTGCCACTTATGCTACGTTGATACGCTCTTTCGTCTTTTTTCTTCTTGCGCGTCAACGAAAAAGTCAAATCCAACAGGTGTCGCTCGACAACCCCTATTGAATCCTTCTCACGCAAGAAGTTGTGAGAGAACAACCAACATCAGCCCAACGAGGAAGTCCCAACATCAGCCACGTTGCACCTACCGCTCAGGGCCTGATCTAGTGCCTCGATTTCTCGGGACAGGCGTATCTCCTCGTCCACTTCGTACTGGCTTTGGTACAGCTGCGCGCGCTGGATTTGCTGCTTCACTCCCTGCCACCAGTAGCTCGGTTCTATCCAGTCGGACGATGACGAACCCGCACTTTGTAGTATGTGTGAAGTCCCTGCCCCGACGCCACGTGATGCCAGAGACCCAGTGGGCGAGCTACGCCGGGCCCCTCCATCCGTTTCGAGCGGCGGTGGCGTGGCGCGAGCCGCAGAACGACGGCCGCTCAAGTGGTCACGTCGCCGCTCCCAGGCGCCTCTTGTCGGACGGCCAGCAGAGGAAGATACCGTGTCGTGGCTCGAGGAAGCTTTCAGCCCGGATCCAGACTGGGTGCTCGGAGCGATCCGCATGGCCGACGAGGAGGAGACGAGCATTTGCAAGTCCTCGGGAAAGAATTCTCCGAGCTCGGTGCCACCTGGTTGTGCTTCGGCGGTTCCGTGAATATCCACCGTTGCTGTCGTTGACTGCCGTCGAATTCGGCGGACGCTCGGCGCGGTCTCGTGGGTAATGTCAACCGTGACGGAGGGCAGCTGCGAATCCGCGTCGTCGCGCACCGGGGCAAAGTTGTCTGTGTACACTTCCTTCCCGCCATGGATGTACGAACACCGTCCGTAGCGCGGTAACCGCACCGACCCTCCGCCTTTATTTGTTGCCGCTGCAGCGCCCGGTGCTCGAGGACTGCCAGGGCTGCCAAAAGGCTCGACTCCCGTCGTGGTGCGCTCTTTTATTGCGCTGAGCCGCGGGGGCGAGTGGTTGGCTCCTGTGACAAACGCGCACCCGTCGTGCGCGTAGGACTTTCGTATTGGCGGACCACCTGCAAGAACATCCGGGCTGCGGCTCGACCTCTGCATGTGCCGTCGCGCAGCCTCCTCGGTGGTACTTCCGGCGAAGGGCTGGTTGCGGTTGTGTGCCAGGTACCAGTTGTGGGATTTGCGCTTACTGCGCAATCCGTCGAACAGAAACCGCACCTCGACCAGTTCCTCATCCGCCTGCTTGGTGTACGGTTGCAGCAAGTCCCAGTTCTTTGTCGTCCTTGCTTCAGAAAGCGCTTGGGCGAACTCGGGGTCCAGTTCCACGGGTGCCTGATTGAGCGCCCTCTCGCTTTGTTTCAGGCGGGGCTTCTGACCCGCCGCGCCAAAGGCCGGAGACTCGACAACGTTGTCGAGTCTGCAAGCCACCAGGGGGTGCTGCGGTCTCGTCCCCCGCCCACCTGCTCTCGTACCCCGCGTAGTAGTACCTGCTCCTGCGGCATTATAGGGGCGCGGCGGGCGGCCACGCCGACCGGGCTTGGGCACCGAAGCCAAGGTCCCGTAGGCCGGATCCATTTGGTATGCTGGTCCTCTGGCTCCAGCCGTACGACTGCCCCGGGCCGTTCCTGTGCTGTCCTGGGCTGGGAGCAGTTGTCCTGCGGCCGGCGCGCCTTGCCGCGAGGACGCGGTCGAACTGGAGGAAGCGAGGGCCCCGCTCACCAGCCGCGGACTGGCCTGTCCGGCGCTCCGGCTGCGACGCACACTGGCCGCGCCCCGAATCTGCGCCAGGAGCTCTCCGGGCGTTTTTGGTCGGGCCAGCGCCACGTCCCCGACCGCGGCGGATTTGCTGGTGGGCGAGACCGAGACCGTTTCTCCGTAGGTCAGCGTAGTCGGGCTGCCAAGGTGCATCTCGCCGGCGCCGTCCCAGTGGTCGGCCACGCGGAAAACGCCTCCGTCCGCAGGCACGACGCTAGCCCCACCTGGCGGAATGGTTGTGTTATAGTCCGCGGCACGAAACGGGGCGGGCTTGTTCGCCACATCGATAAAGGTCGCATCAATCACTTCGAGTTTCGCTTGCTCCAAGTAGTGGCGGCAAAGCTCCGCGATCGTGAAGACGCGCGCAACTCCGTCGGACTGAATGAAATGAAAACCCGCAATTTTTGAAGGATCGCGCTCGAGGTTGCGACGTTTGATTTTTGTTTTGAGCAGTTTAGAGAGAAAAGACCGACTCGTCTCGTCCTTCATGAAGAATTAGCACAATGCATCAATCACACGAAAGATGGGCGTGAAACTTCCTCGTCCTTGTTCCTCGAACAAAACAGAAACAAACATCAATACCCCCAGCGCCTCGATTTTCAAACTGAAGTAGAGGTGCAAAACCCAGTACAAGTCTGGCGCGGTCAGCTTCAGTGTGTCTGAGCGCAATTGTGCCAGGTCCTCGTCCTCCAGTCGTGCCAAGACCTGGCGGAAACTGCGGTAGACGAAGACACGGCGGCCCTTCGGGGAGCTTGGCACCGCGTTTTGTGGCACCTTCGAGGCCTCTGGGCTCAGTGTGAACGTCGGCGTGATCGTTTTCCCCCGTGCGAAAATCGTCAGCGGCTCCTGCGCGGGCGCCAGGGGTGCGCGTGCCGCTTCGCGCAAGACTTCCCAGAAAGGCAGCTCCCCAACTTCGGAGATCCCCGAGAGGCAACTGTACACTCGGAAGCGGCAATCCTCGTCAAGTTTTGGATCTGTGACGGAAGTGGCAGCTCCTGCTCGTGTCGTGGTTCGCCGGTTGGTGCGGGGTGATTTTGCGGAGGCCGCGCTGTCCTCGTCCTTGGTACTCAAATCCCCGGTCGTCATACTGCCGCGTGTACGGCGCCCAGTTGAGCCGCGCGGAGTCGTGGAGCTTTGTGACTTTCGCGGAGACGTGGACGTTGCGGGACCGGTGCCTGCCATCGCAGGTCCGGGCTGGGCGATGGGCCGCGGGTCCTCACAGAGGACCTGCATCACGCGCTGAAATAGGGACAGTTTGCCGACGGCGAGCCGCTTCTTCTGGAAGTACGCCCTGGAGGGAGACAGTTGTAGAATGATCTTTATTGCGATGATCTTAGCGATCCACTTTTCAGAATAGCATCTTCATCGACCCCAACTTCCAAACTCTTACAAAACAACAACAAGAAAAGTCAAAAGTTACTTCATCGAGTCGCAGAAGAGTTCCGCCGCACTGGTGGGGAGTTTGTGAGTCGCCGCCACATCGTGAAAATCCCGAGTATAACTTTCCCGGTCAGGGGGTGCTTCCAGTAAAGCGACGGCGCTGCTGAGAACGGTCGCGGGCTCGCCCGACGATTGCCGTGTCCCGGTGAGGTTCAAATGCAGGAAGGCGTGGCACGAGCTCCGAATTGACAGGAAGCTGTCTGAGGGCAACACACAGGCGAGCTGCGAGGTCAGGGGCGTTACCGTTCGTGTTGATGTCACTGCGTTGTTTTCAGCGGCGCCTCGCGGCGAGTTTACATCCTTGCTGTCCGGAGGAGTGAGATGCTTTGATGAATTTCCAGTACCACCAGTAATGGCCGCAGCGATGTTGTCGTCGTGTACAAAGGCCGGCTTCGCGGCCAGTATGGTGTGCTGCGGTTCGTGCATGGCCTCGATCCAGCCGCGCAACGAATCGGAGAGCCGGGAGCTCGAGCTTCCACTCTGCGCGTCGTAGTCCGCCTGTCGCTCGCGATAACGCTCACACAAATCGTGCAGTATTCGCGACCGCGTGCTCGTCCCTACGACCGCCTCAGTGAGAAAGTGCTCCCATGCGTTGGATTCCAGAAACGACGCGATCAGAACGCGGAGCTGCTGCGCATCGTCGGTGGAACTGACCAGGTGTGGGGGCCGAAGTTTCTCCAGAAATTTCTCGTCATCGAACGAGAAGCGGACCGTTTGGTTAGCCGCGGAACTCGGGCGCTTACCGGAGGAGGTGGTTTCCACACTTTTCACCAGGTAATCGCTGTAGTTCCAAAACAAACGCAGGGTGGCCTCCAAAAACGTCGCAATTAGCTTCGACCGGACACGCGTCTCGTCCTGGCTGCTGTTGCCGCGAAAGGAGCCGTCCGTGCGATCCGTCTGCGCTGCGGACGACGGCTGAGAGGATTGAATTCAATTCATTCAAATTATACGTCAAAGGTTTATCGTGTGGGGGGCATAGTTACAGAATCAAGCTTTCATTTAAGTTGAAAAAATTCTCCTACTTCTTGGTGACATGAAAAACACAAAAATAACGCATCAGAAGTTAATACTTGCTTCTAACCTCAGCGGGCGAGAGCGCCGGAGCGTTGGTGGTCGCTGCGTGGTTCAACAAGTGGCAGTGATTCCATTGGTTCTGCGCTGCGGTGCCGCCCGCCCCACTCCGTTCGTGCAACGCTGCGTTCCGGAGCTGCGCTTGAAAGAAGCGCAGGAAGCTCTCCGGGACGATAATTGGCATGCAGTCTTGGTACACACACGGCATGTTTTTGCTCGACGCGAACTCGTGCTGCTGCTCCCCCGCTTGCTGGTCTGCGGGCTGTTCTGGGTCCTGCTTGTTCATCGCGCTATTGCTCATAGCGTACGGAGCGTTAAAGGCCACCTCGTCGTTGTCCAAGTCGAACACCACGACGTCACTGGGACACGCCCGCACGATTGCCGTGATGCTGTCATGGTGCACGCCTACGAGGAAGGGGGTGGGGCATTCTAAAATGATCCACATGTGCCGCGGCAGGGTCGGGATGTAGACGTGGTGCCACTGAAAGGGAAAGAGCAACGCCTTGACCGCTTCGGAGATCAGCGTGAGCAAGGAGAGCGAGCGCTTGGACGCGGCAAGCACGATCTTCTTCTCGGTGAGGAGCAGGAAGAACAGGTACACCAGGTTCTTCACGTTCAAACAGCCGAGTAGCGGCCGGAAGGTGAAGTCGCGGGCCAGCGACGCGGGGTCTAAGACGCTGTAATTCCGGAGGTGGTAGCCGAGCGAGAAGAGCGTCTGCGTGGACTTTGTGAAGGACAGCAGGTTGTTGTGCACGGTTGGGAGAGGGATCTCGTAGAGCAGATAGGCGAGGTTGTATGTGAGCAGGAAATCCCGTTGCTTGCCACCATCCTGCTGAAACAACTGCTCCAGTTCCTGCATCACTGCAACTTGTTCACTATTCGTAGTACCAGTTGTACTTCTACCCGCGTGGTCCGAGGAACTGCGCTGATCCCGCTCCCCAGCCGATAGTGCGACTGCACTCGTGCTGGTGCTTCGCTTACTCGCACCCCCACCAGAAGCGGACGGCGTCGTGGCGAGACGCAGGAGTTCGGAGAGGAAATCCCGGCAGCCTTGCAGATACGGATATTTCGTGACCAGACAAATCGCTTTCGGCACGAACAGCGCGTCCGGGCTATCGGCCTGGTTCTCCGCCGTTTGCAGACTCTGGTCGTTCTGTTCGTCTTCCGGTTGTAGCTCAATGAGGCTTCCATCGGCATCCCCACCGGTTCCGCCCCCACTGGTCGACGAGGACGCCCATCGCTTCAGGGATTGCCGGCGCCGCGAGGTGTACGGCAGCTTTTCGCTTTCGAAAGCCACCAAGCAGGTCACGTAGTAGTTGTCGTAGGTGGGCGTGGTCAGCACGAAGCTGAACACGTAGGGCTCCAGGTCGGGTTTGCGCTTTGCCGAGGAGGCCGGAACGCCGCTGGGAAAGACGAAGTCAGGTATGTCCGGCAGCATCGGCGCAATGGGTCGGTCCGTGTAGTCTTTGCCGGGGAACCGGGCTTGCACCACAGGCTTGTACAACAAGCTCTGCTGTGCGTTTGAGCCGCCCCGCCGGCCCGCGGCTTTGGTCACCAAGGTTCCCTGGCCATCTCGTTGCAAACCGACAACCAGCAAGTAGTCGACCAGACGTTCTTCCACCGGTGATGGCGCGGCACTGGCGGACGAGGCGCCGCTCGCCATTTTGTTTTTGAGGGAAGCTTGCTCCAACTGAAAAGTATAAAGTGGTTAACTTCACATAATTCACTTATTCTGTACTTTCATATATGTGATTTCATTTCGAAAGAAACATCTTCTACGCCTACAAGTGAGCGAGGTCATACTACGACTCATGACGACTGCTGCAACTGCGGTAGTACATGCACTCCATCTTCTCCAACGCTTGTCCTGGTAGAGATAGTGAGCACAGTCAGCACAAAACTACTATCTCGGATAATGCGGCGCGGCTACTGCAAAGAAAAGAACACTAGATGCAGCTGCAGGTGCAAGCTCAATTTCTCCAGTGGTTGCCAGTGAAGACTGCGCAGCTGCTTCTCTTCCGCTTTTTCTTTTGACTGACATCACAATATCGTGATTTTTTTTGGTCTTTTCGAGCGGTCAGCTCAAGAAAAGCTGTTGCTGTCTGCTGGTTCGACACAAGTGACAAACATCGGGGCAACAGCGGCCGGCGTAGCCAACACCACATCAATCTTTCAGTTTGTAGTACTTCAGGGTTGCTGGGTCGTAGTAAACTCCAAGGAGAGGGTCGTACATTACCTCGATGTAAGCGCCAGGATTTTGCTCCACCGCTCGGTCCGGCGAGGTTATCGGCACTACAGGCGGCGTAAAGGGACGCTTCATCTGATGGTACGGAATGTTATCCGGGTGGGAGTAGGACGAGGATGGTTCACTACCCGTTGACGCGGAAGCGCGGGGTTGGCTCCGCTGCTGTTCAAAAGCAAGTGAGCTGCGCGACTGCTGGTGTTGGAAAGCGCGAGAAGCAGTTGCTACTCCATCGGTTCCCTGCCCAGACTCCCGTTTGGGCGAGAAGGAGCGGGTACTTTCTGGTTCTTGCATAGACGGTGGGTCGCGTTTCATTTGCAGCTGCGGATGAACCAGCGGTTGACCAAAAGCAGCGCTGGCTGGCGCTTCACGCGCGGTTATTCTTGGGTCGGGTGGATCTACTCCCGGCCTGTAGTTGTTCATATTGAGTTTGCTGAAAAACGAATGAAACTGCAAGCTCATGCAGACCCTGAGTAATGCTAATGCATATGCAAAACTCAGTACCAGTAGCAGTTCGTGCATCAGCATCACAACACGTTGAAAGATCAAATGATAATGAAGAGAATCGCGATTTTCCTTTAGTTGCTCAGTCGTACTAGTAACTTACCTGCCGCGTCCGCCGGCTGAGATGCTTGCGTGATTCGGCAAACCGGGACTCAGGTAGGTGTCCGCCGCATTTCGGGAGGCATGAATCGAAGATGCTTCTTGCTCCGTTGTAAGTCCCTTCGTTGGAGAGGAGCGTGTCCAGTTGATGCCGGTGTCACGCTTGTCTTTTGGGTCCAGCTGCGTTGATTTTTTCAGATTTTCCATGCTGTAGCGAAACACCTCCTCGCTGGGCCCAAGCACAAAGTCGTCCTCTCCCGTAGTCCCGCACAAAACATTGGGTGTATCGGGAAGAAGCTCGTTCGGGGTGCTGGGTAAGAACCCGCCCTCTTGCGAGTACCGGGTGTTGGTTGCCGTGGGCACCAGCTTCGTGTTGCGATACAAACGAAACCCCTCGTCCTCCGGAGATAGCTCATTCGAGGGCGCAGACGCAGACGGCGACCGTTGCACCGCTTGTTGACCTCGTTTTCGCCGCTCTGGCGAATTCGTTGCCATGCTCGTTGTCGTTGCTGCTGGATTTGTACTGCTGGTAATATCGTGTCCTGATAGTGATATCTTGTTTGCGTGGTTTGCTGTGTCGGCAACCTTTGACGATGACTCTCGCTGTTGCAAAAAACTCGTCGCTTCAAACTCGTTCCGCTCCGCTGCTTGCAACGGGTTGCCGTATTCTTGCACGTGCCTGTCCGGAGGTAGTTGGTGGTTTAGTTGTGTATGACTGCCAATTCCCCGCCCGACACGCTCTCCCTGCTTATTCTGACCCTGCTGTTGCTGCATTTCTTTGCTAGGTGGGGCGGAAGCTCTATTGCTTTGCCGAAGTGTGGTCTGTTCCTCTTTTCGAGCTACTGCAGCTACAGCACCATCTTCGTACGACTTTCGACCTTGCAAATTCCCCTGCGCGGCAGCCTGTTTGCGCGCTTGCATCTCTGCTCGCTTCGCGTAGAAATTCGTCGAGTGCTTTATCGAAGAGAGCATGGACGACGAGCTGACGCTACCACCCACTTCCGCGTTCGGCGCATAAGAAAATCGCATGCGATCGACAGACGATTTCATGGGCGATGCGCTCTTTATCGGGGAAGCGGTCTTTTTCAGCGGCGAGATGAAACCCGAGGAAGCTGAGGCGGATGGCACATGATTAGACCCCTTCAGATCCACCACGGGCCGGGTAGAAGTAGAGGAAGGCGCGGGCGCGACGTGCTCGGTAGACCGATGCGGATTGTGCAAGCTCGTTGCTGTCGTAGTGCTCGTGCTTGGGCCCATGTACGAGTATCGCATGTCCGCGCCGGGATGCGGATCCGTTGACGAAACAATTTCCGTCATGCTCGTCGAGATATGGCCGCGCGGCCGGCGTGTCGGCGAAACGCCGGAAGCGTGTCGCCGCTGTGTCAGCACTGTAGTCGTTCGAGCCCCCTGCTGCGAAGCTACTGCACTCGAGGTGGTCTTGTTGCCTGTAGTGGTCGGATTCCCAGTGCGTCGTTGCCCAGTAGCAGCTGCAGCCGTTGCCGTCTGTACTGTTGCCGGAGAGGGCGCAAGTTTTTCCACAATTGGTTCTATCATGAGCTCGTCAAAACCGTCATGCACAGTTGCTTTTTGCGGCGCAGAGACAGAGGTCGCTGCAGATGATACCAAGACTTCGCGATTGAGGTCGGGAGATGGGTCCGTTGCCCCCCGGTGTGACGATTGAGTAGTCATCTGCTCCGGCTGGTGGTCCTCATCCTCTAGCACTGGCGCGAGGATCGGTGCGAGGGATTCTTTGCTTGTCTTGTCCTGGTGGCTCGGCACTTCGTCAGCGAAACTGTCACGAGACGCAGTTAATGAGGAGGAAAATGGAGGAACATTTGTTGCAGCGCCAACCTGTTGATCTGTTACGCCACTACTTCCGAACGTCGGACTAGATTGCGCATACAGCATCGGCATCCCGGTCGTCCGAAGCACACCAGCATTCGATGTGGTCGTCGCTGCAGGAGGGGCAACAGCATCGCTGCTCGCACCACTCATTCCGATTGCACTCATTGACGATATGGTGGCAGCGTTCGGCGGTACATTGAAGCTGTACCGCATAGACGACTGCGGTAGGGCTTCCAACGTCACATTCGAGTTCCGCCGTTTGTGCGGACTCATTTTTGATGCACCTTGGCCTGCATTGTTTCCTCCACCGCTCGTCCCTGCACCTGGATTCGGACCGTTTGTGGCGGACAGGCCCACAGTGACCGGAGAGATCGACTTTACGGGCGAGTTGGTGGAAGAATTGTGTGACGGAGGGGCTTTCATGTCTAGATCGCCGTAGTCTTCGTCCTTATGGATAGTCGCCATCGCTGCAAGTGACGAGGAAGAGGAAGACGATGCAGCGCTGTTCCCAGACAGTACCGGCTGCTGCAGGTCTTGCAATGCTCCTCCTTCTCGGTCTGATGGAGGTTGTACAACTGTCGCAGGCGGCTGGTGGTGCCAGGGGTTCGAGGTCTGCACTCCACCTGCTGCGGTAGCACCGCGCGAAACCGCAGACGTTGTCCCCATTGGGTGCTTTCTCGCCGGCCCGCTGGAAGACCGACTCCCAGAACTACCCGCCACGACGCCACCGCTGACACTTGCCAAGTTCTTCGAAGTGAACGGCTGCTGCCCTGGCTGGTGGCCAAAGCTAGCTCCACCCGGCTGCCCCCAACCGCTCTTGGGGGTGGTGGTCGTTGACGACGGGTGGTCGAGTTGGGCGAGCTTTTTCTTGTGCGCCGGCACGAAGTTTTTCGTTCCCCGGGAGGAGGAGGACAGAAACGAGCTGTTGTTCGGCGTCGTTCCACCGCCACAAACCCCATTACCGCCATCCGACAGGTCGAGGCTGCTGTCGTGCGTGCTGCCGTCGATGAACGAGCGCTCGATCGGGGCGTTCTCGTGGATAAAACTCGCCTCGTGGCTCGCCCCGCCCGGCGTCCCCGAGGAGTCGCTCGCGTAAAGCGAGGCCGAGTAGAACCCCGGCTGGTTCCCGCGGGGGCCGCCGCTGCCGGCGCCGGGCGTCGGCCCGGACGTATTCAAAGCAGCACTCGTGTTCGCCGCGGTGGGCGTGACGCGCTCTATGGACGCAGACCGGTCGCGCTGCTGGCCGGCGCGAGCAGGGTTCTGCTGCTGGTCCGCTGTTGTCTGCTGCTCCATCGATCCGCGATGCCGCGCCCAGGTCTGCTGGTCTGTGTCCAAGGGTTGCAGCCGGTGGCGCGTACTGCGTGGCCCCGACCACGTGTTCTCCAGCACGTCGGTAGGCGCGTCGCCGCGCTCCTTGTTTTCGTTCTTGGCATTGAGAACAAAGTCTCCCCTCGCTGTCGGCACCCGCAGACCAGACCTGATGAAGCTTATATTCTTCTTTTGCTACGTATCATGGAAAACATATTATTTTTTCGTCTTCTCATCAGGATCAGCAAAACAAAAACATGATCGTGATCGAAGTTATTTCAGACTGTTTACGATTTCGTGGATCGGTTCTTGCTTAGCATGAGTCCTGAGGTGGTGTGGTGCAGCTTGTGTTTGCTCCCCTGCAGCTGTTCCTTGTCCGCCGCTGCGGAGCCGGAATCGGCCCACGCGTTCGTTTGTCGCAACATCATGTGTGGGGCGCCGGAACCACGGTCGCTCGACAGAGATCGTTTGTTCTTCATGCGCTGCGTCGAGTGGTGGTCCGCCGCACTGGCGGTACTTGTCTCCAGCAAGATTAGCGAATCCTCTTCACTTCCACGCCGGCTGCGCCGTGTCGCGGTGGTCGAGCTTCCCTCTTTATCGACATCCTGGGCCGGAAGCTGAGTTTGCGAATTTAAGTTGAGGAGCATGCCGCAGGAATCTTTACAAACACGAATGCGCTCTTCTACAACTAGATTGCAGGAGGAAGATCAAGATCAACGGAGAATCGAAAGAAGTTTGAAAACTGTAGAAAATGAGCAAGAGGTTGCTGGAGCTGCAAACAAGTAGCAGCAGCCAGGCCATTGGAGATAGAAGTACGCGATTCTGCAGCGAATTCCTGGATGCGTGCCGGCGTTTTTGTTTCGCGGCATAACTGGTCGAAGGCGCAGCTGAAGCGGTGGGCTCCACCCCGGGAGCACCTCCGCCCCGGACCAACATCTCCTCGTAAGAGAATTCGTCTGCAGCTGGGACGTTGGTGAGGGACATCTGCGAGATGTCCAGCAGCTGACTCGAAGCGGCATGCTGGTCCCCAGCCGCGTGCTGCGCTTGCTGCAACGGGAATGCAGCGCTGGAGGAACTGCTTCCCCCTGCTGTAAGAGTTCCTGTTAGGTGTAACGCAAGCGGCTGTTGCGCGTGGCCGAGCGTCGCTCCACCGGAGGCGGATGCAGGCCCCCCGCCGCGACCCCTCGTGCGGAGCTGCTGCGTCTGCGTTAGTGTTCCGGTGTTGTTCAGCAGCGATGGCACAGAAGATTGCGACTCCTTACTCGATGAGGTAGAGGTTGTTGGCGGAAATTTGTTTCCTGCCCCCTGGCCGCCGTTTTGGTCGGCTGCAAAGGACGTATTTTGGAGCTCGTGCAATTGTCCCTGCTGGAAAAACAACCCGTTGACCAGAACTGTCGCCGATGTCACGCTTTGCGCCGGAAAGTCCAGGCTTTTTGGTATTTTTTCCGCGAAGGAGCGCAGGGTGATATCCTGTGCAAAAGTATCGTACTCGTATAAATGCTACCGCTTTTTTTTGCATGAAGTCACTTCGAAGTTGGTGGGAGGTTGTTGGGAAGTCGGTGGAGAAGTTCGTGAGAAGTCGGCGCCGAAGTTGGTGCGGAGGCCCGTGAGAAGTGGCGGGACGTGTTGGCGTCGTCATCGCCCCGGCCGAGTGCCGCGGCACGGCACTCCGCCGTGGCGAGTTCTGTCCCCCTCGCTGCTTGCAGCTGCAGCTGCAAGGGCTGGAAAGAACTGCGCTACAGGTAAATAGAAAGACGGCAACTGCCACGCTTTTTATTTATTTGCAGCGCTGCTCGACCAGGTTGCGCGACGGCTCCACGCACGAAAACGTATAGAAGATGCGGCAAAAGTTGCGTCTTTGATGGCTGCACGCACAGACGCCTCTCTGATGGTTGCGCGCGCGCGACGATGTGGCGCTGCACGTCGCAGAGGCGCGGAAGTTGTTCACGTAGTCTCAATTGCAGCACTACGTATAAATCAGCAAAGTCGATTGATTTCGTAACTAATAATAAGAAGGCTTTGTTTTCTTTTGCCAAAAAACGCAGTTGTGCGTGACGCCTACACGTTATATGACATTTTTTCCTACGATACTTCTCAACAACCTCTCAACAACTTCCAAACAACTTCCTCCCCAACATCGCTACGAACATCCGACCAGCTTCGTAATTTTTTAAAGGCTTCATGCAATTAATTTTTATAGGAAGGTCTGCTCTCCCAAATTAATTGCGTGACGCCTCCAAAAGATCACTTGCAGGAGCCCGCAAGCTTTTAGCAGCAAGAGGCGTCCGAGCCTCCACACGCGGAGGCGCGGCCGAAGTATGCACAGCCAAACTAATTCGCGACTGCGCACGCGGTGGCGGCCACGAATCGAGCATAAAGAAATTGGCGCTCCTACAATTCAAATCCGCACCAATGCCCAGAAAAAACCCAGCCGCCGACTTCCGCCAACTTCTCAACAACAGCTGGGAAGTTGGTGAAAAGGTTGGGGAGAAGTTGGTGGGAAGTTGGTTAGAAGTACGCGAGAAGCTGGCGAGAAGTTGGTGAGATGTTTGATGCAGAAAAAAGCGGGATCTATACGAGTACGATACTTTTGCACAGGATAGGTGAAGATTTTGCGCAATTTGCACTCCTGACTGATGGAAATCAGATCGAGCGATTTGAACTGCACACTCGGACCCCAGGCGTTCCTCAAAACGCTCGGCAGGTCGATGCACAGGTTGATCCACTGACCGCGCGGAACAGGCTCCGTGCAGCCCTGGACGGGAAAGCGGGCGTGTAGGGGATTCACACTCTTGTCCTTTACCGCATGGGAGAACGCAACGCGACGACGTGTCTTGCTTCCGTCCGTCACACCAAGCTCCAGGGTGAAGGTCCGATCCTTTTGGACGTCCTGATAGTAGGTGGGTTGGGTCTTGTTCTTGTTTCGCATCACTCAGATAATTTCTCGGTTGCGTGTATGTCTCGTTCGAACGAAGATTTATCGTTTACATTCATACACTTACCAGCAAAGAACGCCTGTGATACTACTCGTACCTCGCAAAGTAGCAACTGGAAGACCAAAATCGGCTGAAAAAGCTGCAAGCTTCTGTTCGCGTCTTTGGGTAGCTGAAGGCTCGGTGACGTGGCACTCTGCGAGGAGTGGTAGATGTAGCCACGAATGGCCTTATCGTAGACTCGCTGGACCGTCGGCGCGACCTTCCACGATACCGTCGGATTCGAACCCTGGGTCGTCAAAACCTCAAAGGATGGTCCTCCTTGATAAGCTTTGTCAAACATCGTGAGTGCTGCTTATTGGCAACTTCGTCTTTTGAATATAAGTTTAAGTGTCGCTGAAATCAATAGCCCCTTGTTTGTGTGTCTCTCCTACTTGGTTTATACGTGTAGCGTGTGAAAAATTTGAATTTATTCCCATTGGAGTTTTTCTACTTCAGAATCCACACGTACACATAGTACTTCGTTGTGACACTACTAGTGCCACCAGTCTTGATTTGCTATTTAAATACTTTTTTTTTTCGCATGTGCTTTTGAATTTTCAACAGCATCTTCTCTGTGCCAAGCACTAGCTGCGCCCGCCCAACTGCTTCAGCCCCAATGAAGCAAAGTGCGCATCATCATATTGCTCGGAAACCAGCACGGTGGAACAGGCTGCCCAATTTATGTGAGTGTCAGTATCGCCGATTTGCGTCATCCATCGCTATCGGGGCAACCAATGACACAGTTTTTGATCATCGTTCTTCTTTCATGCTGCTGCTGATTCATCGCATGTTCACGATGAAAAAATCCTACATTGCCTACCAAAAAAACCATCACAATGCTGCAACTGCAGCCGGCACTGCAATTGCAATCCCAGGCAGTTTGCGTGAATAGCCAAAGCCATGTATATTTGAAACGTAATCTACCACTTTGCTTGATACGGAAATTGCCTATCTTTCCAAACCTCATATCTTGTTCTTGGAAAAAAGTAAATTTGTGTTGGGCCAGCAGGCGGGGAAGCACGTCAAAAAATACGTACGGCAAAAACGTTGCCCCTCTGCACCTAGCTAAAGAGTTAAAGTGTTTTTCGCTAATTTTTGTTCGAGCGGTAGCGTCATGCTCGACCCCAGTACTTTTGGATTTACTTGTATACTTGAAACGAGTTGTACTTAACTTAATGGACCCACGCGTTAACGGAACAGATTGTGGAAAAGTCAGTGTAAAACGATTGATAATGAGTAAAAATCTGTATCTGGTAGCCTTCAGACAACTTTCACTTGGTAGCTGGGTGCTATCAAGTTTAGTTTTCTTCGAAAAGCTTAAACCCAAATTTGATGTCCGACAAAAACCTTCTACAACTGATCTTCTACATCTAGCACAGCAATCTCGCCATAGTCTCCGGGGTCGCCTTGCGATCACGCACGTCGCCCTCCGAGGATTGCCTTCTGTCTACATCTCAGTCACAACTACATCTACAACGTAACAATGGCACTTTTACAGCTAATTCTGTTTATCGTGTCAAACTTGCTTGAACTATCTACGTACTTACAGATACCCTAGTCTACGTAAAACAGTCACGATATGACCTAACTTCTCAGCACTCTGCCCCAGGGTCCACACCACACACACGACCATAAGGGTCATGTGTTTGCTTTTTCGCCGTTGCAGCAGCTCCCCTTGTTTGGACTATTGCTGGTCTCTGCTTCCCTGTAGAAGATGAAGATCCTCTTCTACTACTTCTCGACCTGGTCACGTGCTCTAGCCTCAAGCGATGCGCCAGTGCTGGAGATAGCACGTCGCCGTGCAAAAGGTCCCGCCTAATGCGGTACAAAAGCTTCACCGCACTCAGCTCCCTTGTTGACGTGCTGCATTCTTTTCTCCAGCGCGACTGTTTGATTGCGGCAGTCGCTAGATCTGCATGCGAGGAGCCACGGGCCACCGAGAATGGGTTGCTTGCCTTGATTTTACCCGCCTTTCTTCCCCTACCTGAAGTTGCCGTCCCAGCGATTTGCTTGCGGGAGAGCCACAGTTGGAGGCCGTTTCTATGTTTTGATTGTTCCTGCCCGTTTAGGTTAGCGTTCTCATCCTCTACAGCTGCCACGGCTTGCCACCTGCCCGTCTCTACGAGACAGAGTCTTCGCTGATCGCGTGCGTCTCCCGCAATGGTATGTCTGATGAGAGAAGTCCGCGTAGAAATAGAACGAGCGAGAACAGACGTCGTCTGTGATGCTGCTGACTCACCTTCTGAAGCGCGATTTTGCTTCTGCTCTCCGAAAAACAAGCATTTCGCCGCGTCATCAGAACTGCCGCCGTTTTTTTGAACCAGCATCCCGAGGTCGAATGCGACACAGTCCGGATCAGTGGCACAAATGCGCGCGCAGTTTCCTATTCTTTCATCGAGTGACTTTTTGAGATCGGTTTCCCCTTCTGTTAAATGCTGCAACTGGAAATCCGTGATGGGGAGGAAGCCGTGGCCGTCGTCTCTTTTTCGCCCGCAATTCCCGACGGAGTGGCGGAAGCTAGTCGTGCCTGGTGTTGCAGGGATTGGTTTTGTTCTTGATTCTCTTTCCTCACTAGCTTCTATCCATGTAGCGACCGCGTCGTTCCGTCGAGCTATTACGTCTTTTCTCTTTACCTTTATCTTGGTGCACCCGTGCAGCTCTTGCCCTGCGTGGTGACTTCGCGGCGGTATTGTCGAGCACAAGGACCACACCGGTTCCCGTGCGAGGGACGAGGATCTTTCCTCCTGCACACAGCCCGCATCGTGCAGCATGACGCAGTTGGACTCTCCGTCGCTGCAGGCTCTCTCTGCTTCGCCGAGCGTCATTCTCACATTTGCGTCGCAGTATGCGTCGAAATTCTCCGGGTTGCCGACGCTTGGGCCGTCGATGTAAACGTCACTCGATGCGTCTGTGGAGCCCGATTCTGTATCCTCGGCACTGCTTTGACTTTGTCTCCAGCCTGCACCAGCAACCACTGTATCCGAGATACAAGAAGTCACCGCAGCTACTATTACATCCTGCACGCTTGGGTTGTGCGTGATGTCTTTCAGGGTTTCTCTTGCTTCGCGGTTTCTTCTCGTCGCGTTTTCCAACTCCGCCTGTCCTAAATCCTCACTGCTGAGTCGCATTTCAAGAGCAAGGCTTTCCAAAGTCACGACTTCCGAAGCTTTGTTTTCCAGCGCTGTTTTCTCCGTCGGGTTACTTCTAGCGCAGGCGAACCCTCTGCGTTGCGTTTCCCACTTCGCTGCTGCCTCCCCGACGGACAAGAGGATCTTCTCTTCTGCAGGAGTCGCCAAAACGGCGTCGTACTCTTCCCTGCAGATGCGGTCCGCGCGGCGTTGGTCGACAGGGAACAAACTCTTTACAACTCGTGCACACGTACTTCTACCTCTCGAAGGTGTCGTGCCTATCCCAACCCAGTCGGGAGAAGTTCCGCAGTCTACTGAAGAACTTGAGAGATGAGACAGAGACTCTCGTGCTACCACATCTTCACTCGGTGATGCGGAAGTAGGCTCCGGCTTTGCGAGAGCAGCTGGTCTTTTCGGTGAAACGCAGACGCCAACGTAGGCCCGGTCTACTGCTGCAACGTCACCGCTCGCGCTTTCCGATTCGCAGTAGCCCTCGGAACCGCAGTCCATCTGTTCGCACGGATCTACGCACACGTCCGTTTCTTCCCCCTCGACGCTACTGAGGTGGAGCGCCACCCGATTGAAGCCGGACTTACAGGCCCGACAATCTCCCGGGAGTCCTTGGCGACGCGGGTCGTGGCACTCGCACTGCGGCTCGCTTTTCGTTCCGCCAACACAGGTACCTCGATCGCCGCATTCGTCTCCGCAGACCGATAAACTGCAGGCTGGAGATTGTAGGGCCAAATCTACCTGTCCCGTCCAACCCGGGGCGCAGTCGTTCTTCCCCTGCGCGCAAGTGTACAACTCGGGTTGCGTCGGCAAAAAGGCGTGCGTCTCCTGGCGCGCAGCGCAGACACAGACGTGCTCCGTGGCGTCGACCACTTCACACACACCCTCCGTCAATTGCCCCATGTTGTCAGTTAGGGAGCAGTCCACGTTGAGACAGGGATCGTCTACAAATGGAACTTGGCATTCGTAAGTGAATCCGCCTGCGGAGAAAAGCGGTCGGCAAATCTCGTCTTCCTGGCAACTTCCTGGTGGGCAAGTGTCCGGCACACATTGTCTTGTCTGCACATCACGACGGAAGCCGACGAAGCACTCCTCGCATTTCTCTTCGTTCGGGACTGTACAATGCTTGTCGGTTGACGGAAGCCCTGCGGGTATACCTTCGTAAGTGCACTGACATGAAGACGCCGCGGGGTCTACTTCTGCAGTTGAGGGTGGAAGTCGTGTTGGAACACAAGAGCCGCCGGCCGTTCTTTTGTTCTCTTCACCTTTTTGCTTCCTCTTCTCTACTTCTTCAGGGTCGTCTGAGATGAGTATGAGACTCGCGTCTTCGCTGTACGTCGTGCCTTCGTCGTCCACGTATTCGTAGCCCTCAGCACAGAATTCGCTGACTTTCCCTGCGGTAAGACCTCGTCGACAGCTGTGGCCCCCGTGCGCGACACACACGTGTTCGGCTGAAGTGAGCCACTCTTCCGGTTTGCCGTGAGGGCAAAGACAGCGATTGGGAAGGCATTCTGGTGTTTCATCATGCCCTTCCTCGGATTCTGGACTAGTTGCAACATCCTGCGGAGAGTGAAACCCGGCCAAGCAGTGGTTGTGGTGTCGCGAAATTTCCTCCTGAAAGAAACTTAGTGCCGGCTTGAGGAACGATCCCATGGCAGATATTCCAGGTCTAGCAATCTTGCTTTTCGCTTGGTTCGAGCCCACAGCAATGGGCGACCCACCTGCCGCAGCGGCTATTGCTGAAGCCGCATCCTTTTCTTCTATGTGGTACTTCTTGACGAAATCTTCCATGTATTTTTTTGAAAATTGTTTCTCTTTCACGGATCGCGACCGAGGACCGTGATGTCGCGAACTGCGCTCCTCAACGCCATGGAGCAACGCTCGGTGAGTTTCAGACAACGATATTCCATCAGACACGGGTGACGCTGCAGAAGTTCTTGCGCCGGTGGATTCATGTTTCGGCTCTTCGTCTTGACACTGCTTACTGAAGTGTGTATGGCAAAGTCTGCTCGTCGCACTCTCCGTTCGCCAGTACATGTTCTTTGTCTCGCAGAAACACGTGTTCGGCTCCCAGTCCCCGTCGACTTGGTGGTATCCCCACTTGTTGGTCACATCAGGAGGAACCATGTGGTAGTACTCTTGATTTTCATTTTCAGCCTGGTCCTCCGGCGCAGGATTTTTGCTCGTCTCTTGTTTCTGATTCACCAAAATTGGCATCTGCTGCTCTTGTTGCACGACCTCCCCTGATGTTCCTGCCTGCTTCTTAGTGACGAGGAAGGGATTTGCACCCGCGGCGGCAACCGCCTGGTCGTAGGTCATGCTGGTCGTGGTGTGGGTGTTGTCCATGGGTTGCGGTGCCTCCGCACAGAGTTTCGACACGACGTCATATGTGTACCCCGGTTTGCAGTCGTTCATCTTGCAACAGGTCATGCCGTTGTGCGGGCAGATGTCGTCTCCGGCCGACTGCCACTGCGTCGTGTTGCCATTCGCGCAGAAACACTGGTTCGCCTGGCACACGAAGGCTTTTCGCTGCTGACCGGTCGTGCTTGCGACGACCGGGACGTTCTTTTCCACCAACGAGTACCCCCGGTCGCAGAAGCGACAGGAAATCCCGCCGGACGCCTTGCAGCCGATAGCCGGTTCCCCGTTCGGGCACTCGCAGGTCTTCTCCACACAGGTGTTCGTGTCCGGATCCAGCTCGTGGGTCGGCAGGCACTTCTCGCAGCTGTGCATGCCGTAGGACTCGCACTTCGCACTGGGCACCGCGGTCCCGGAGCTGCAGATGCAGTCGTTGGGGATACACTGCCCCTTGGAAACGGACTTCCCCGGGCCGCAACTTGCGCACCTCTCCGCCCCTGCGAGAGGGCACTGTGCCCCCGTCGCTGGCGTTCCCCCCGGGTCGCTGCAGACACACACCCGGATCTCGCACACCTGCCGCTGGGTGCTGTAGTCGTAGCCGGTCAAACAGAAGTCTCTTTCCTCGTCTGGCGTGGTCGGGAGCGGGCAGCGGTACTTCTTCCACTGTTCGCACGCGCCGTGCGGGTCGCCGCTCGTCCACGACTGAAACTCCGAGGCGCTGTTCGCGCAGCTGCACTTCTGGGGTTTGCACGTGCCCATGTTTTTCACGCCCTCAACCGGCACGTAGTAGAAGCCGGCGGCGCACCGCTTGATCTGCGCCGTGCCGTCCGCGTTCAGCACGATCGGTTTGTCGCTGTAGCAGTAATTCCGGGTGGCGTTCGTGCAGATCTTCGGCGAGTCCTTCTCCACGATCAGCCGCATCACGCGCATCAACTCCAAGTCGGACACGATGCCCTTGTCCAGGTCGTCGAAGGGGAAGCGGGTCAGGTTGTACGTTGTCGTCCAGTTCCCCGGATCGGTCCCGTTGCCCGCCGCATTCTCGCAGCCGCACTCCTCCGGCTCACAGCGGCCTGATTTCCGACTGAACACGAAGCCGCGCCGGCATTCCTCGCAGATCGTGTACGGCATTTCCGCGCTGCACTCGGACTGCGCAAAGCCCCACTTCTTGCACCTGACAACATCCTTCTTGCACGGCATGCACATGTCCTCCTTGGTGGCCTGGTTTTTCGTCATGAAGTTGCCCGTCCTGCACTTCAAAACCACTTCCGTCTTCAGCACGTCCGGCGGGGTACTGTACCGCATGACCGGGGCCTGGCCGCCCGAGTGCCGGTAGGCGGAGTCGAAGGTCCGGTCTAATAGGCCACGAAAGCTCTCCACGTTTTCCTCGCGGTTCATGCCAATTCGCGCGAACACGTCCTCGATGAACTCGGTGTTTGCGTACCCTGGCTTGTGCATCGCTTGGATCTCCACCGTGACGTCGACCAACCACGCGGCGTGCCCGTCCGGAAGCCCCTCGGCGGACGGGTCCTGCGCGGTCGTGGGGTCACTGCTGACGACCAAGCTGCGGATGCGTACCATGTCCATCGTCCACAGGGAAAAAAAGCGCATGAAGGACTTTTTCAGCGTGTCCGCGTAGTGCGAGTCGACACTGCCCGCGTTCTGGGGGATGTTGATGGTCGGGATTTTCGGCGTCTCGCCCAAGTCGTACACGGCGTAAGAATGCAAATCCGGCTGCTGGAAGGGCTTGTCGTTTGCGCCGAAATAATCCAGCCTCGCACCAGAATCCGTGCGTGCGCCGACCATCATGTTTGCGGTGGGGAAATTGCAGTCCGGGTCGGCGCTGGTCAGCATGCTGCTCTTCGCCTGGTCCATGTCCTTCGCAAAAGCGACCGAGTACGTCTGCATGTCGTTCGGCCCGCTTTCCAAGCTGATCGCCACGTACCGTGCGTCGGTCGCGATAAAGCTCCCAAAGCAGCCGTCCTGGATCAGTCTCGTCAGGGTTTCAATCGGCCACGGCTCGTCTGGTGGGTCCGCACAAAGCCCGGCGTGAAAGCCAGCGGATTCGGGGTGCGCAAACCCGAGCGGAGGCGCGGCTCCCTCGCTCGCCAGGCACATGAGCGGTCGGTACAAGCCGTCGGCGATCTGCCGTTGCACAACCCGAGTTTGCTTCAGATGCTGGACAAAGCCCGTCGCCGGCATCGACTGCGGAATGCGCATTTGGACCAGTACCGCCCGCTCGGGCGCGCTGCGCAGACTGATCTTCAAAAGCTCCGATGGCTTCATCACGGGCGGCGACTGCTGCTCCTGCTCCTCTTGAGTTTGCGCCCCAGGCACTTGTCCTGCTGTTTGCCTACGCTGCACTTCGCCCAGAGCGATGTTCATCCCAGCCGCCTCCGAATTTTTCGGCTCATCTGCGAGCGCGCCGAGCGGGCCAGCTCCGGAATCTGTGGCGAAGAACTCCTGCAGAAAGGCCGGCTGCTGCGCGGCTTTCGAGAAGGTCGCGTTTTTATCAAACGTGGCGTTCTTGCCACAAGTTGACAGATCCGGCCGGTACAAAGCTTCGTACTTCATCAGAATGAACTTCTGCCGGGCCACCTGCGCAGCGCTGACGCCGCCGAAACGGGCCACGAACGTGGTTTCTACGATGATGTTGTTCATTACCACGATGGGGTCGGCAATTGCCGGGTCCTTCACGATGGTTGTGTTTACCGTGATGCTCTGCACGCCCGTGTCCTCGCCAAACTCCTTTTCCAGCCAGTGCCGCGCGTTCTTCTCGGTTACCGGAAGACTGGATTCCGGGTTCAGCACCGACCTGACCACCGCGGTTACGTCGATCGGGGGTGACACGTCCACGCTGGGCTGCTTCGTTCCGGTCACGTCCTCCACCGGGTGCTCGCACTTCTCGGCGCCGAGCCCGATCGAAAACACGCCGGCGGGGCACCGGAGACACTCCGTCGCCCCCGGACCTTCCGCGAAGTATCCCTGGGGGCACATCTCGCAGAAGCCCTTCGTCCCCGCAAACCCGGGCGGACAGAACTCGCAGTCCGTGTTTTCCCTGTTCGGCATGCGACCGTCCTCGCACTGGCGGCATGTCTTGCCGTCGGAAGACACAGAGCCGTCCGCGCACGGGATGCACTCGATGCTATCCTTGTCCACGATCGTCCCGGGCTCGCACGTCGTGCACCGCGTCATTCCCTTGATGTTCGCCCTTGTGTAGGCCTCGCACCGCTGGCAAATGCCCATCAGTCCCGCTGTGCCCTTCTCGCACTTGCGGCATCGTGACGGGTCTGACGGCTCCACCTCACTGCCGTCGGGGCACTGTACACACGCGCCCCCGATGCCGGCGTAGGAGTAGGGGCACTGCACGCACATGGACCGATCGTCTGACTGCCGTCGTCCGTCGGGACAACGGATGCACTCCTGTAGCGCCTCCGTCGGTGCGTAGTACCGGTCCGCACACGGAAAGCACACGCCATTGTGTCCGTACTTCCCCGGGGGGCATGGCTCGCACCGCGTTTGCTGCGCCGAGGGCTGGTAACCGTGCTGGCAGCGACGGCACTTGCCGCCACTGCCCGCCTCCCCGGGCCCACACTTCTCGCACGTGCCGCGGGCCGGATCGGGCGCAAACCCGTCGGGACACTTGCCGCACTTCCCCTTTTTCCCGGCGGAGTTCGCTTTGCAGGGCTCGCAGTGCGTTTTCGTGACAGCGGGTTCAAAGCCGTCTGCACAGCTGAGGCAAATGCCGTCCCGACCCGCCTCACCCGCACCGCAGGGCTCGCAAGCAGTCATCACGTCGTTGGGCGCGTAGCCGTCCCCGCATTTTGTGCAAATCCCGTTATTGCCGGCGTAGTTTGACGGGCATTGGATGCAATCCGTGCCGTCGGGGTTTGGACGCCGTCCGCCTTGGCAGGGGTAGCACTCACCACCTTTCCCAACTAATCCGGGAGGACAGGGCTCGCAGGCCGTGCGATCCGCATTCAGCTGATGCGCATCAGGACACCTGCAGTTTTTGGACATTCGGACTCAGCTTCGTTTTGACTTGCTTCAGTTCGACGTCAAGAACCTAACCACGACAGCTGGTAGTATCTCAAAAGCAATAAGCAAAGAGTTTTGTATCTGGTACTGTCGCGAAATGCCGAAGATGGCGGCACGTCCATACAGCGGCTTGACGAACGTGGTATTAGTGTCGCTCGGGACGAAGCCCGGTGGGGCAGTTTCGCAGAAGCCTTCCTTCCCAGCCTTGCCAGGTGGACACTTTCGGCATCCGTTTCGCCCCGGGTTTACCTCGCTCCCATCAGGACAGCGCTTACAACTCACGGATCCTGCGGGGGCGTGCGTGCCCGGGGGACACATCGCGCAAGTTCCGTTAGAGCCTGCAAATCCCGCCGGGCATTCAATGCATTCAAACTTGGCTCCATCTGGCACCATACCGGGTGCACACCGCTCGCAGTTGCTGTTTGCTCCCGCGAAACCTTCGGGACATTCGACGCATTTACCGTTCTCGCCGCGCATACCGTCGTTACACGGCTCGCAAGTTTTTCGCACTGGGTCAGACACCAAGCCGCTCGCGCACTTCAAGCAGACGTTCATTCCCGAAGTAGCGTCATATCCGAGCGGGCATCTCACACAAAGCCTGTAGTTGTAATGGGTGAAGCTGATAAGACGAGTACGGGTAGCTCACGAAAGATGGACAGCCATAGAAGCAACACAAACACAACAAGGGCCAAGCAAAGTACGTGTTGCTGTCATTGGGTGCGAAGCCGTCCGGGCACGCCTTGCACTTGGACAAACCTTCCAATTTCGTGTAGGTGCCGGCCTTGCACAGGTCACACTTGCCGTCGGTACCGGCCGACCCCGGCGGACAAGGGGCGCACCGTCGGTTGTTTTGGGGATCCGGCTGCGATCCGTCGTTGCACTTGAAGCAGATGCCGAAGTTCCCGGCGTACCCCTCCGGGCAGGGTTCGCACCCTGTCTTCGCTGCATTGGGCTGGGTCTTGGGACCGCAAGTCGTGCACTTGCTCTCCCCGACTTGCGGACTGTACTGCCCGATCATGCACACGTCGCAGCGACCCTTGGTGCCCGATTGGCCGGCCGGACAGGGTACGCACTTGGTGCGCGTCGCGTCGGGCTTGGTTCCGTCAGCGCAGAGTTTGCAGTCGATGCCGTCGGTGTTGTGGTGCCGGGGCGGGCAGAAGTCGCAGGCGGACCGCCCGGGGTTTGGCGTGTACCCGGGTTTGCACGTCTCCGGAATGCCCAGGGTGGCGACCACTGCGCCGGACATCTTGCGGCAGAAGGTCTTGTCGTTATTCGGCGTCATGCCATCGGGACACACGAGTACCAACCCGTATTGCGCAATGTTGCCTGCGGGCGGAGGCACGCAGTCCGTCAACTTTGGGCTGGGGACCAGTCCCATGCCGCACCGCTCGCATGCGCCGCCCGTCCCGGCCATGCCGTTCACGCACGGGACGCACGCCGTCCGGCCGGCGTTGGGCTCCGTCCCATCCTCGCACGTCTTGCACTGGTCCTGCGCGGCCAGGTCGCTGTAGGTCTTCGGCGGGCAGCGGCGGCAGGTCCCCTTGGTCCAGCATGTGTCGATCTGCTCCCGCGGGACGCGCTTCGCTGCCATGTAGGCCAGATTCTCGCACCGCATGGTTGGCCGGTGCCACGCGCACTGCGTCTGTGCGCGCAACACGGGACGCGTAAACACGTCTGTGGGTGACAGCGCAATGTCGGTTGTGCCGTACGCCGGAATCTCTTTGCGGGTGTCGTACGTGCGAAGACAGGTGAGACGGTCGGTCACGGTGTTGCAGGGCGCGATGTTGTACTTGTAGACGACTTGCGAGTTGGAGGCCTGAGCATGAGCAGGAGTGTTGTTCTTTTGCAGATTCTAAAATCGAAAGTGTTTGTTCATGACACATGGCGAAGATCAAGACACAAAGAAACACAAATATGACTGCGGCGCCAGAGACTGACATCACATGAGTATCATAACCATTGGGCGTGATCATGAAAAGTAAGTACTCAAATTTGCAGCTTAGAAACACAAACATTGAGTCGCTTCTCATCATACCTTAGTCTTCCCGAAGGTGATCGAGGTGGCGAGCAAACTGACAGCATCAGCAGCCAGGGAGACGCCGGTCACGTCGAACGATGCCTTATCCTGCTTTGCCGTCGCCGTCGTTGCAAGCGCTTTCTGCAGTGCTGGTATGTTTGTTTTCAGAGCTTGTTTCACAGCTTTCGTGTTCACGCGATATTTTTGCTTCCTAGGCTGAGCGGCAGTGTTGAATGTAGCCTGGTTCGCGCTCGCGTCTGTCGTCAAAGTAGCCCGGTTCGCGCTCGCGTCTGTAGTCAAAGTAGCCCGGGTCGCGCTCGCGTCTGTAGTCAAAGTACCCTTGGTTGCGCTCGCGTCCGTAGTCAAAGTAGCCTTGGTTGCGCTCGCGTCGGTATTTAGAGTCGCCTTCTTTGCTTTCAGTTCTGATTCCAGCGTGGCCTTGTTCGCTTTCATTTCAGATTCCAGCGTTGCTTGCTTTGCCTTCAGCTGCGCACTGGTTGACTCGCTCTGCGCCGTCACACCGGTACTCACTTCCGTTTTGTCTGCGGCAACGTCTGCACTGATTTCGGCTTTCTTGGCCGCAACGTCGGCGTTGAGTTCTGCGGTCTTTGACGTCACGCCGGCGTCGAGGACCCCTGTTTTCGCCGTGATGTCGGTGGCCACAGTAATCGGACTGCGGGGCATCGCGCTCAAAGAATTCAGGGAAATCCCGGGAATCGCCGCGCCCGCGACCGCCACTGTCACGGCGCCACTCAGCGAGCTCAAGGTCGCCGCGTCCATCCCCGCGTCCGGAAAGGCCACTTCCAGCTCGTCGCTCTGCTCCGCCGACACCATGATCTGAAACGACGCAATCATGCTTACGTCGGACCTTGTGGTCGCCAGGAGAAACATCGAGGTCGTGTTTTTCGGCGTCAAGTGAAAGTTCTGCAAATTCGCTACCGTCGTCCCCGGAATCGAATTCGCCAAATACGCAGCGGTACCCGTCTTCATGGCGTTCACCAAAGACGGATTCGTGGCGCAGCTCTGGGGATCTCCCGTGCAGGAGACCGAGGCGCCGTACTGCAGGGTGGGCAGGGGGTGTTTCAACTTGACCAGGTCGGTGTTCAGCTCCGTTTTCTCTGAAGTCACGTCGGCGTTGAGTCCGGTCTTTTCCGCCGTCACGTCGGACTTCAGTTCCGTCTGGTCCGCAGTAACGCCAGCGGAGAGCTCTTCCGTGTTCGCCGTGACGCCGCTGTTCAGTTCCCGTACGTTTGCGGTCAAATCGCTCTTCAGCGTCTGCGTCCCCTCCGTCATTTCGGCGTTCATGACCTCCTTGCGCGCAGTCATGTCCGCCTGAAACTGCTCCTGGTTGGCAGTGACGTCGCCGTTTAAGGTGCGCACTTTGGCCAGCATTTGAGACTTGTAGGTGGTTTTCGTCGGGAGTAAATCCGAGGTGACGTTCGTCTTCAAGGCGTAGACCACGCCATTGACCGTGGTCGTCCCCTCCTTCGCGGTGGACTGCAGCGTCGTCGTGTTCGGGGTGATGTCCGTGTCCCATTCGGTCACGTCTGCGAGCATGTCGCTGTTCAGCTGTTTCGTCTGGGCCTGCGCGGAGAGCTCGAGCGCCTTGTTGTGGTAGGGGTACAGCACCGCGATTACTTGCGTGTCGTTCAACGCGGGCGGCGGGGATGGGCACTGGTCGTCCGGAGGCAGCCCGTAGGGCGCCGAGGTCCCCGGCGGGCAGCTCTCGCACTTGTCGCCCTCGAGGCTGGGTCTTTGCCCGATCGGACAGAACGCGCAGCTGTTCACGTTGGTGCCGAACAGGCCGGGACCGCAGAAGCCGCAACTCCCGTACGTCGGGAACGGGTTCCTTCCATTCGGGCACGCGGCGCACTGGTCGCGATTCGGGTTGCTTGCCTCCGGAAACGCGCACTGCTTGCACTCAAAGGTCCCTTCCGTCGCCGCGGAGAAACCTCTTTCGCACGGGTAGCACTCCGCCTTCTTGGAGAGCTTGAACACGGGGTCGGGTGGACTCGGCACAAAGCCCGCCGGGCATTTCAGGCACTGTGCCAGACCGACAACGGGGGTGAATTCGCCGTCCGGGCAAGCAAGGCATTTTCCGTCGACGCCATAGTACCCAACTTTGCACGGGAGGCACCCGCCGTTCTCCGGATCCGGCGCCAGGCCGGCCGGACACAATTGGCAGATCCCCTCGCCGGGCGTGTAGGCTTCGTTGTCTTTGCAGGCGATACAAAAATCACGATCATCGTTGGGCTGCGTTCCATCCAAACAAATGTCACATTTGAGCTGGCCCGTCTTACCGGCATAGAACCTGCAGTGGGATTTATTTTTGTGAAACGAGGAATGTCACAATGACTAGGCGCTTCGAAAAAACTTCGCAGATGAGAAATATCTAAACACAGCCTCTACTCAAGTAATTACATACCCTGGCACGGTGCAGGGACTGCACTTTCCAAAACGCCCCGCGGTGCCCTTCTTGCAGGGAACACAGCCGACCCCGTTCGGGTCCTTCTCCTTGCCGTCTGGACAGATGCCGCACTCCACCCCGTCTGTGCTGGTGGTCCCCTCGGGACAGGGTTCGCACTTGTCCCGGGCCGGGGTGGGCTGGAAGTCCGCGGGGCACTTGTCGTCGCACAGCCCGTTCTTGCCCGCGTAGCCCGGTTGACAGGGCCTGCAGCTGGCGAAGGTGGTGGGGTCGGGTTCGAAACCGTCGAAGCACTTCCGGCCGATACCGCCGATGTAGACCTTGCCCGCGTCCGCGGGGATACAAACGGTCGAGTTTCCGTTGGGCCTGGTCCCGTCCGGGCAGAGGGTGCACATGCCGCCCGTTCCCGCGCTGCCGGGGGGACACCCCTCGCACAACGTGTTGCCCGGGTTGGACCGCGAGCCGTCGGGGCACTGACTGCAGGTCGTGGCGCCGGGCTTCTCCGAGATGGTTGCGCCGGTGCACAATTGGCAGGTCGCGTCGTTCACGGTCTTCGCCAGGCCCACGGGGCAGTCCACACACAAATCCCCCTGAGGATTCGGTTCCTGCCCCGCTGGGCAGGCTTTGCACTCCAGACCCTGCGTGCTCACGAGTCCGGCGGAACAGGGCTTGCACACGCCGTCTTCCTGCGCCATTCCCGGGGGGCAAGCGATGCAGCTGTCTCGGTAGGGTGAAGAAACCAAGCCGGAAAGACATGGCAGACAAGCCTTCGCCCCCGAAGCAGCCGCAAAGCCGAGCTCGCAACGGATGCAAGAACCACGCCCGGTGGCCGGGTCTGGCGCAGACCCGCCGGGGCAATTGGCGCATTTGTCCTCCGTACCGTTAGGAGCGTACTGATAGATGGGACACGTCACGCATTTCGTCTTGTCCGGAGCCACGAAGGTACCCGCGGGACACTGCTCGCAGGCTGTAGCATTTGCGTTTGGCACAGCACCGGCGGGACACTTGAAGCACTCCCCAGCGGTTCCCATACTGGGGGCGTAGGTGGCCGCGGGGCAAGCAGTGCAACTAGTCGCTGCAGGTTTTGTTTTGCAGTGCATTCACACAAACACTTCGTTCAGTTTCGTTGCATTCATGATTCATCGTTTAATAAGAGGGAGACGTTCATCATCTTCATCTTGTCCTCCTTATCTCGATACATATCCAGCCCAAAACCTAAAAATCAGCTGTTTTTCATAAGAAAGCAATCAAGGTCAACGTCATACCATCCTGGACGGAAAAGGTCCCGGGTTGACAGGGCACGCAGATGCTCTTGTCGGGCAACGGCACGAACCCAAGCGGGCATGCCCTGCACGCAACATCTCCGGCGATCGCGACCTTTTCCGGCGGGCAGCCCTCACACATCGTCTGGTCGGCGTTCGGAACCTGTCCCGCGGGGCAGGTGGTGCAATTCCCCGCACCCCCAGCCGCTATGGTACCCGGTGCGCAGCCCTGACACGTGTTTCCTGTCGCCGGCGCGTACTTACTGTCAGGACACTTCTCGCACTCCTCTTTGTTCGCAGCCACCACCTGGCCCATCTTGCACGCGCCGCAACTGGTTTCTGTCATCTTGTAGGTGCCGACGGCGCAGGGGCGGCACGTGCCCTCACGGGTCAGAATGTACCCCGCGCTGGTGCAGACCTCGCAAACTTCCATACCCATCATCGTGCAGCCGTTTGCCTTGCCCTTCGCCGGCGTGCCATTGGGGCACTTGCAGATCGGCACCGGGGTCGTGGTCACGGTTTCGGCCGGAACAACGAGTCCCGTGGCGGACACGTTGGACACGTTTGCGGTGGTCGTCGGTTGCCACTCGAACTCCCGCCGGACCCTAGTACTCCGGGCCTTCGCCTTCGTTTGCAGCGCGCTCATCTTCTGCCAGGGCCACCACCGAGCACTTAGGTTCCTGCTTTTCGGCGGAACAGCTTGGTTTCTACTCCGGTCGCCCTGGTTCGGCTGTTTCTCGTCAATCAGCCAGGTACTGGATGTCGACCCGGTGAGAAGAAGACTTGGGTCCGTCGCGCCCGGAGTCTGGCCGGGTTTCATCGCGTTCCCCGATTCCGCCAGCTTCTTTTGCTCCTCGTCGTACGCAATGCGTTCATACTTCATCCACATGTCGAGAATGGTTTCAGGCGCATCATTGAAGCCCAGCTGCCGCTGGATCCCCAAGGCGCCGCCGACACCCAAGTACTCAAACGTAATCTGCCGCTTTGGGAAACCGACGACAAATTTTCCGCCGTCCTGCCACTCCCCCCTGCCTTCCACTCCAAGCACGTACTCTGCCATCACGCGCCTCCACAGATCCAGTTCGCCCGGGACCTCCACTTTGAAGCAAACCCCCCACATCACGCGCTGATTGGTGGTTTGCTTCTCGTACACGGTGCCCAACTTTTCCAGCACTTCTGTCACGTTCGATCGGTCGCTGGGACCGCTCAACCCGAGGTCCAAGGTCTCGAAACTGCCCAACATCGCCTCCACTTTTCGCAGCTGTTTCTGCCCGCCACGGAGCACGAGCTCGAAATCGGTGCGCACGATCACCTCCTCCTCTTGGACATCGGTCGAGAAGCGGTTCTGCGCCAGACTCAAATCCACGTTTTGCGTCGTCTTCTCCGCCTTCATGACCCGCACATCGCGGTGGTCCAAGCCGAGCACGTCGCCGAGCCGGCGTTGCTTACCCCGCAGGTACGTGGGTGCTTGCAGAACGTACTTCGGCAAGGCGCCGGTCGTGATTTTTGACGAGTAGGACCAGTCGATGGTAGTCGCTTGGTCCGGAACAACGTACGTCCACACAGACACGTCGTCCGCGTCGCCCGAGACTCTCGCGAGTCCCTGCATCTCCCCGTTCAGCACTTGAAACAGGCGGATCTTCTCCGAATCCGCTCGGAACATGCGGGAGAGGTACGTCGCGGCCGCTTTCCCGGCGGTCACGCGAATGCGGCAAATGCTGGTCACGTACAGTTTGCCCTTGCGCATCACCTCCATGGTCCGCTCAACGGTGACGTCGGCAAGGATGCGCCTCCTCGGGTCTTGTGTGAAAATATCGATGGCGCGCTTCTTGGCGTTCTCGTAACCGACCTGTGCATGATGTGTTTCCTTTTAACTTGACAGTAGAACTTTGCCTTTGGCTTTGCTTACCTCCGAAGGTTGTACTGCTTCAGTGCGGTACATTCTTGAAAACAAGCAAGAAGTGACGTAAAAAGAACAACACCACCATCCATACCTGGTTGAACACTTGCAGACTGCCCGCGGTTTCGCGTATTTCTGGAACCGTCAAGACCAACACGATCGCATGCGGTGGCTCGAAGCTACGGTACACCTCGCTTGTGGCGTTCAGGTCGACCTGCACATCGTGCACCTGAATCGCTCGCAGATTGGCCTTCACCTGGTCCAGCTCGTTCAGAATCGCGGCCGTGGCAAGTTCTTGGAACTCGGGCGTGGAAAACCGCAGCTCGGTGAACACCCGGGCGCCCGGAGGGAAGACCGAGAGCATAAAGGGAGTGCGGACCACATACCGCCGCGCCCCCTCGGTAGTAGACGCGATGGAGCTGTAGTCGGCGGTGGCGTTTTCGATGTCGCTGAAATTGGTTGCGTTCGATGCGTTCAAGTTGTTGGTCTCTTCCATGGACAGCGGACTCGCTTCGATCGACGGGTAGTGGTCGCCGTTCCCCAGTGTGAGCTGCAGGGAAAGCCCCTTGGACTGTCCGTCCCCCAGCCCGAGCGCCGTCGCGATGCCCCGCTCCTTCGCCAACACGTAGAGCCGCTCTTGCTCCAAGGTCCTCGGAGTCACCAAATCGCTGTACGCGCCGCACGTCGGGTAGTCCTCTCGGCAGCGGTGGCAGTCGCGGATCCCCTTTCCGAGGTTGATCTTCGTCAGCGTCTCGATCGTGTCCACCGTGAAAACCAGCCGCTCCGCGGCACTGGTGGATACCTGCACTGCGTCCTCCAGAAAGAACTCCGCCGGGTAAAACGCGTTCGGCGCCGGCGGGAGTGCTTCCACTTCCTCGGCCTCGATGGTATTTCTCGCTAGGTGCAGGTACATTTGCCTTAAATCTCGTTTCTTTTGCTTTTCCATCTCGGAGAGCGTAACCGAGGTCATCCCGCGTTTTTCTTCCGCAAGCGATGCAGCTGCGTTGGAAGCCTCAAATGCCTCCGCATCCTCGTTGCGCTGGACTTGGTCCACAGCTTCGCTTTGCACCGAGCTGACGATTGGGTGCCCGTCCGCTTCCTCCAAGAAATTGTCGCCGGAGCCCTGTGCACTGTCCTGCACAAAATTGTTCTCTGCAGCTTCCATAACGCTCCTGTCCTCCATAATGACCCCTTTTGCGACCTTCCCGGCTTTTGTTCTCATTTGCATCAGAGCGAGTTTGTCAACTTTACGCGGCGCCGGAACAGGTGCGACAAAGTCCTTACTGGACAGTCTGTTACTTTTCTGCTTATTCTCCTGAAGGCGTTGTGAACTACGAGTGCGAGCTATTTTGTGAACCCGATCCTCCCCTTCATCCAAATGCACCACGCGATCTGCCTTGGAGTCAAGCTGCAAAAACGCGCCATAGCGCTCGCGGGCGATCCGCATGGGATCCGCAACAAGCAACTCCGTGATGGTGACATTGGTCAGCTGCGATGCTAGCACCATCAGCTTCTGGGGGAAGGCCTTTCGTTTCAAGTAAAAGACCAGAATCCCCAACCCCACCCGTCCGCCGGGCGCGTTCCCGGCCACCATTTTCACGAGGCACCGCTGCTTCTTCCCGCACGCTTTCACCCGGCAACTTTTTTCCTCCACCGTGATGGAATCCGCACTCACTTTCGTCAGCAGCTGCGTCAGCCCCCCCTCCAACCCGGATTCCAGCCTGTTTGCCTGCCGCAGCGACGTGCGCTTGGAGTTTAGATCCGTGCCGTCCTCGGTGGCGTTCACCGATACCTCGTGCGTGACGTCGAAGTAAAGCGTCAAGTCCTGCGCACTGGCATCGGAAATCGCCAATTGCCACTGGATCAACGCGGACGCCTGCACCCACGTGTCATCCAAACCGAGTCCGTAGAGCGAATCGGACAACGCGGTAGTGAAATTGCTGAACACCTTCTGCCGCAGGATCTCCTCAATACTCGCGCTGGTCCCGTCCATACTGTTGGGCGAGATGGTCAAATTGTAGTCTATGATGAACTGGTCCTGCCACGCGCGATCCATCACTTGCAGTTCGATCCGCCCGAAAGCCACTTCCTTGTTCACCAGCTTTGACATGGTCTCGCGAAACGCCCCGATTTCCTGCGGAGTCAGTTTCACCTGCTGACTTTTCTCTGCCTCCGTCTCACCCATCAGGTTCTGCACGACACGAACGAGGTCGGACTCCTGTCGACGTTTTAGCGCTGCCGCGAGCTGTGCTTGACTTGTTGATCCTGAAGATCCGCCGTGCGCGGTCGCTTGCAACAGGCTCGTTGAGGTGTTGGTCCCGTTTGCGTAATTGGCGGCGTTTCGCTGCAAAACGACTAAACACCGCACGATCGTGGTCGCTGCGGGGGTGCTGAACGCCATCGGCGGGAGGCTCGTTTCGCTCAGGGTGACTCCCGGAAAACCGCCGTTGGCCAACGCTTCATTTGTGTAGTTCTCAATTGCGTCCGCGCTTTCGTTGTCGGTGTTCGTCAGAAACTGCTGCATGGTCTCCTCCGTGGTCGGATCGCCCTCCAAAGCGTCCAGAGGTTTGGACCAAGCGCGGTAGCGAAACACCGTGTAGAGCAGATTGTCGGCGGTGAGCCAGTAGTCAGCGATGTCAATGTCCATACGCTCGATGTCCATCGCTTTCGCCATCCCGATGCGGCGCGCCAGCCGGTACGCGTAAGGTAGCGGATCGCCGGAGGTGAAGTTGACCTGTTGTGAATTATTCAGATTCGGATATGGAGCGAAAATCGGACCTGGCACCGTAATCTGTCATCATGCAGTGGAAAAAAATAGCAACCACGATGTGATGCAAAAAAGGCAATACCAGCTGAGTCTGCAGGAGTCAGATGCCGCACTCCTGTATTGCTTTTTTTGAATCACAGCCGCAGCCGCCTTCCACTGGTATAGCATGAACAGCAGATCACGGGACCAGGACACGTTTCTGCCAGTGCGTAGAAGTGTGTGCTATCGTTTCGATTGAAGCATGTAGTTGTGAGATGTTGTAGTTGAAGAAGTTCTCGAGGTAGATCTTGTAGCAGATTATTGCCTTTTTCCACTTTGCTTCAAGCGGACTCGTTCGATGATGTGGGATATTCATTACTTGTGGTGAAGTGCACCTGCACGTGCAAGAATCAGCCGAAGCTGCGGAATAAAGGACTTCGTGTCCTCTGGGCACTGTGATCGAAAACCAAAATCCCGCCCCGTATGTAAAAATGTCGCACTACTTTAAAGAACCGATAGAGCAGCGAAACTTCTAAAGCTCTCGTACCGCTGGGTTTTCTTCCCGGTGAGCCACGCGTAGATAGTGCCACTTCGCGTTGGGAGACTCGCGAGAAATCATCGGCGGCGGCCCGGGAATCTGCACCCCCGGTACCAACGTTGGGTCGTCGATTCGGAAATGGGTCCCCGTATTGAAAAAGAGCGCCGTGCCATTCCCCGTTTTCAGCCCACCTTGGGACAGTCCGTTTCCCATGGAATTCGCGAAATTCGTAGCGTTGTTTGCAGTAGCCCCACTCTCGATCTCTGTTGTGCCACGAAGCAGCTCGCTCTCTGGCAGTGCAGCCGAGTCCGTCGCGATGCTTTCCGTCGAGAGTTTCCCGTTCTTTTGCACCAGGTGCGGCCCTTTTTCGTCTTGGCGGACGAAGGACAGAGACGAAGAACTCTCGAAATCCGGGACGACCATCTTTTCGTTCTCAACATCTCCTCCCTCATTGTCTTTTGACCCGACCTGGAGGAAGAACGGCGTGGTCGCAGCACTTTGCTTCGCCTGTGTCGCAAAGTAGTCAAAGATCGCCTGTGCGTAGGCGTTGGTCGACGCGCCGAATGTGAGGCCGACCGCGACGGAGTCCCCGGCGGCGCTGGCCTTGATGTCGTCCACACTGCAGAAGATCACCGGCAGATCCGCATCGTACAGCGTGAGCACGATGGAGCGCTTGATGTACTCCTTGAAGATCGGGTCCGTCGCTGCGTTGGGCGGCACCGCCCCGCCGACTTTCAGTTCCGGGATCGTCACCTGCACCTTCGCTTGGGTCTTCTGCGCCCCCGTCACCTCAATCATGTACGTGACCCGGCCGTCCGAGCACTGGACACTGAAGGAAGTCAGCCGCGTACACACCTCGCCCTTCTGGCAGGGACTGGGCTTGCAAATGTCCACGATGTAGTCCTCCGGCTCGTGCATGTGGTTCGGGTTGTACTGGTATGCAAGACAAATTTCTCCCCGCACACGTACAAAATGCGTCACAAGTTTCGGCCTTGTTCTCATGCAGACTAGCATTCTTGAAAGCAGGGTCGCTCATGCAGAAACCGCATTTGCACCTGTGCGGGAAATTCCCTGTTGATAACTGGTTTTCCACTTTGGGATAAATCAAATCCGCGCCCGGCGTGTAGCGGAACGTCAGTTTGTCCCCGTTGGGAATGCCCGCGCCGGCGGTTGCGTTGAGCTGCCTCATCAACTCCTTCCCGAAGTCGCGTTGGAAGGTCTGCTGCTTCAGTTTCAGAGAAAGGCTCGCCGTCTCCACGCCGGGCAGCACGACCGTGACGAAGGTCTGCGACACCGTGCTCTGCGTGCCACTGGAAACCGGTTCGACGACGCTCTGGCCCATCTGCGCATTCACTTTCAACCGGTCGACGCCGAGCACGTTTGCCAAAGCGGCTTCCTTCAGCTGCAAATACGCCGGCTCTGTCTGCAAGACGTCGATCGGGGTGCCGAGTTCCGTCGTGTTCACGTCGAAAGACGCGTAGTTCTCGCCCGAGGGGAACACGTCGAAGTAAATCGCGTTGTCCCTCTGCGTCTTCTGAGCGACCTTGCTGGGTGTGGCCTTCGACCCGCCGGGCACGAGCTGTTTACTCCTCGTGGCTCCTCGGCGACTGATAACAGATCTCTTTTCTACTTCGTGCAGCTGCAAGAACATGCCCATGTGCATGTTTTCGTCCTCCGGCAGTGCCGCATTTGCATCCGCTTCGGTTTGCGATGGCGACGAGTCTGATTGTTGCAATTCCAATTCACCGTTATTTCCCCCGGACGATGACTTAGATTTCGATGTTGAAGCCTGCTGTTGCAGAAGACTGACCTGCTGCTGGTCCCCACTTTCTTCCTGTTCATTTTCCCCCTGCTCCTCTTCACCGCTCTGCTGCTCTCCGGTGAAGGTCGGATCCGTTTCTTCTTCGGCGGAGCTCCGAAACAGAAACGGCGTGGCTCCAGCCTGCGTTGCGGTTGCCGCGGCCGTCCCATTCGCACCTGGGGCTAGCACTGTGTTGTTGACCGGGAGAAAGTTCGACGCGTAGCTGTAGTTGTATGCCGGTTCTAGGGGAACGAGGGTTACGGATTTCAGCGGGTTGGTCGTCGTGCACACGGTGGTGCCGTTCACGACCCAGGGATTGTCGCACGGGTACTCTTTCCAGTGGTCTTCCAGCACCGTCATCCAGTTGTCAAACATGTCCATGGAGACGCCGGCGCGGTGCCGGCGGAGCAGCACCTGCATGGGCAATTCGCGCATGTCGTAGGTGCCGAATTTGCACTCCAACGCCGCCTCGTCCACCCCGTAGATCGGTACCTTTCCGATCAAGGTTTTGCTCAGCGAGCGACAGAGTCTCTCCTGTTCCAACGCGACGACCTCATCTTTGAAGACGAGCAGCATCCGGACAAACACATCCCGCAGCGGCTCGTCGTAGATGATGGGCATGTCCAGACGTGACCCGGCCCAAAGGATCTCGGAGAGAGGCGGGAGTTGCACCTGCGATGCGTTCGCCGCGACAGTGGCGTTGGTTGCGGCTTGTGCGGCTACCTGCTGCATCTGTCCCTGCCCCGTGTTGGCCAAAACCGCACCGTTCCCGAACGCGTTCGGGTTGACGACGCCATTGGTGATCTTGTACCCCATGCTGTTCCACTGGCCCTGCACCGCCGGCATCACGGAAGATTGGTACTGCGCAATCTTCGCCGGCAGTGTCGTGTGCGCGTCGCTCGTGACTTTGTCGTGCGGGTTGCTCACCATCGTGGCAATCACGTTCGCTTTCTCTTCGTCCGTCCCGGGCAACTTGTGCGGCGGCTCCCCGGCGGGCATCACGCCGGTGATAACCTTCTCGTTCGTGATTGTGACCCCGTGTTTCACCGGGGTTGGCTCCTTCGCCTGCACCTTCTTCGTCTCGGCTTCCGCGTCGTCCTCGATGCGTTTCACGCTGTCCTGCAGCGCTACCCACAACGGGTTGCTGTCCTCCCCCTTGGCTGGGAGACTGGAGAGCAACTGCGGCCCGAAGCGGTACATGGACTGACGGAGCAGTTCTCGGATCGTCGCCGCGGACTGCAGCACTGACTGCCCCTCTTCCGAAGGCAAAACGTGGGTCGTGTAAAACACAGTGACGTTCATTATCCCGTACACCTTCGGCCCGTGGGGGACGGCGTAGAATCCGTTCGCCTTCCTGATGTCCACGGAGACCGGGTACTTCAGCAGCTCGCTCATCGCGTTCTCGTACGCGGGGATCAGTCTGTGGGACAACCGCAGAGGCTGCGTTTCGTACTTCTGAAACGGGAGCGCCATGGTGATCGCAAAAGTGAACTTCTGCGTCGGCATCTGCGTGACGACGAGATGCTCCACAATTTTCGTGTCGTTCAGCGGATTCAGGGCGGCTAAAACCTTCGCATCCACGCGGCACGTGGGCGACTCTTTCGTGCTGCAAGACCGCAACTTGGTACCGTCACCGCTCCCGCCCCGGTAGAGGCAGCAGGTGCCCTGCTGATCCGGCAGTAAACCGTTGGGGCGGTCGTACGCCCCGCACCCGGGGGTGAGGTCGCACCGCCAGGCACAGTCCTGCTCCGTGAAGATCTCCCCCTCGTCGACCAGGCAATCCGCAGGCTTCCCGGTTTTCTCCCACGCGGCACCGCCGTTGCACGCCCCCAGGCTGTCCATGTAGGTACAGGCGAGCCGGGCGTGCAAGTACCCCACTTGCGTGCCGAACATGGTTGCGAGGTTCTTCAGGGCCTTCTCCACGTGCGGACTTTGCATCAACCGCTGGTGCAGGCGCGTCGTGGCGGACTCGCTGCTAAATTTGTGTTGCGCCGCCAGCTCCGTGTTCTTCTTCAGCGACAAACTGATGTCCAACCCGATCCGCGCGGTTCCCTCCTCCGGCGCTTGCGTCGCTTCAAATTCCTTCACGCCCATCTGCAACAAACTCGCGGCGCCAACAGAATGTGGCGATCTCTTCGAGGATTGATGTTGCGTATCTTCAGTAGCATACTTTTCGTGTTGAATCCAACGCGACACCTTGTGCGACTTGTCCACACTGCTTCTCCTCGACGAGACCCCATTTGTTTTGCTGGAACTTGCGTAATTCAGTTTCGGATTCGACATCTGATTCGCTTGGTAGTTGTAATCATCCTCCATTTCATCGGCCTCTTTCGCCAGATTGTCCTCTGTCGTTCCGACGAAGCTCACACTGGCGTGCAGGTTTTCCGCCTGGAAGGCCGTTTGCAGCAAGGATGCCGCTTGTTGTCCCTTCTCGTCGTGCGACTGCCCCCGTGCGACGCGCATCGGCACCGAGACCTGGTACAGCATCACCTTCGCGACGCACTGGAAGCCCTGGTAGGAGGAGGCATCCGGGTAGCACTGCTCGGTCGCGACGTCGCACGGGTCCGGGTCGCACACGTCGTCCGCCAAGCGGTTCGTGATCACGTCGTCCACACGGGAATCCAGCTCCAAAACCTCCCCGCGCGCGACCGTCACCCCGAAGATCAGGCGCTTATCCGGTTTTTTCCGCCGCTCGCGCAACTGGATCGCGGCCACGTTCAGCTTCATCTTCTTCGCGAGGGCTTCGCGGATCATGTTATCGCTGGCGTCGAAGATGTCCGGCAGATCGTAGGGATCGGACACGATCAAGTCGTCGAGATTCAGCGACAGCAGGGCCAGCTGCGACCCAGGGGAGATCACCGCCTGCGCAAAGTAGTCCACGTAGTCAAGGCTCAGATCCACCGGGTGCTGGCACACCACGTACCCGCCCACGAAGCCCTTGCAGCGGCGCGGGGCCACGCAGGGATCCGGGTCGCACACGTCCTCCTCGGGCGCGACCGGCGCGTCGCTGTTGCACTGCATCTTGTACTCCACGTTGTCGTCCGGGAAGAGCAACGTCGTGTCGCTGTCCCGCTCCTCGCACGCATTGGTGAACCCGTTCAAGCACACGTCTTTGGGGAAGAGCGGCGGCTGCTCGTAGATCTCAGCAGGGCTGTACTCGATCTTCTCGTTCCACACCACACCTGGGGGATCAATGATCTTGCCGCGCTCTGTCACCGTGGTTCTGGTCATGTTCAGCACGTCATTCCGGTACAGCGTTCCCAGGGACCGGATCACCGCGGTCTCCATCTCCCGCCCCTTGCGCAACGTTTGCCAGAACCGGGAGGCGTTGTCCCGGGTGGGGAAATTCCGGACGTCGTACTTGACAGACACTTTGCCGTACCCGCCGTTCCCCCACGTGAACTTCGAGACGCCTTCCTTGCAGGGCGGGTCGGCGCACACGGTCAAATCGCCCGAGCATTCGACTTTGACCGACGCTCCGAGCCGCACTCCGAGCGCCTGGTCTTTGTAGACGGCCAGCAGATCCTCCAGCGCTTCCTCGAGTAGCTTCTGCAAAACCCGCTCGACACAGGGTGCGCCCTGGTTGAACAGCGGGACGAGCAGAAAGGTCGACTTTGCCTGAATCAAGTACCCCTCTACGTTCGCCCTCGGAAAGCAGTCGTTGCGAGTGCTGCCGCCGATCGGGTAGGCGCGGAGCGGTCCTCCCTGCGCGCCGCAGAAACACATCGACCGGTAGAACCCGTTGGTGGCCGGGTTCGTGCTGACGGCCTTGTCGCCCAGGTCCCAGGTGCGGTTTACTCCGATACGCAGATCCGTCGTGCTCATCACCGGAGTGCTGGTCGACTGCAGGGGCGCCGGCTGATCGACCTGGAGTAATGACAGGGCGAGCGAGTGCGTGCGCTCTGCGATGGATTTCCGATGCGCGCGCGGGACAAGGGAGCCTTGATGTGTCACCACCTGGTGCTCATCTTCCTGTTCTGATTTTGCAGCTCCAAGTGAGGAAGCCGCGGAAAAAGTAGAGCCTGCTGCTCCTGCATCTGACCTGTCATTCCCAGCGCTCGTTGACCCACCTCCTGAAGTTGTTACTCCCTGGAGCAAAGCGTAGAAATTCCGGTCGTGTAGTTCTGCTGTTCTCAGGTTTTGTTGCACCACGTCGTCGTAGTGGATGGGAGTCGGACCTAGCGAAAGCCTCTCCGCGGCTTTTGTCAAACTGGAGGAGGGGTACATACGCAAATTCTGCCCGGAAAGTGACGCTCCGCCGAACCGCCCGCTAATCGTCTGCTCGTCCGCCAAATCGAGTTCGCGCAGTTGCCGGATCGCATCTGCGCGCGCTCCCGTTTGCGTCAACGAAACGTACGAAGCGGCGGTGCTTTCAATGTCTTTTTTCGTCGGCGGCTTGGGCTTTTTCACGCAACTAACCCCCTGGAACTCCTGCGGGTTTACCTTCTTGCGGCACTCGCTCATTTTGCCATTGACGCACAAGTTCTTGCACTCCGGATCGGGACTGTTCACCGGAAAATCCCGACCGTTCGGACAGCGACACACCCCACCGTACAGGTTCGTCAACTTTTTCACAAAGCCCTTCCCGACCGTGTCCGTTTCTGCGACGCGTGCCGGAAAGTCGTACCGCCGCTTCCGGGTCGGCAGCTCCTTCGCGCGCTCCGCAAACGGCGCGTACGTTGTCATGTCGTAGCCCGCGATGGTGTGCGAGTTCCACTGGCCCCGTGTGAGAATGTTCACCGTGTTCAGCATCAAATACTTGAAATCGATCTGCGTCGTGGCGGTCGGCGGCTGCATCCCGCACTGCACCCGCTGGTAGGGCCGTACGGTCGGCTGGCCGAAATAGCAGGCCTTCACGTCGAAACTGCCCGAGATGCAGAGGTAGTTGGTGCTGAACTGCGTGCAGTCGGCGATGCTGGGCGATCCGACCTCGTAGTACCCGCCGTCGGCGCAGGTGCACACCCCGCCGTACATGTTGTCGAGCGCGTTCGCGAAGGGGGACACGACCACCAGGGTCCCCGGACTGGACGACGTCGGCACGATGGCCCGGCGCGGCGCGGGCACGTTCTTCGGCGCCTCGCAGATTTCCATTCCGTCGAAGGGGCAGGGTTCCCGCGGCGTGCCGGTCAAACACGTGCAGGTGTTTTGCCGAAACGTGATGTCGTCAGCGTCCAGTGTCAGCAGCAACGGCGCCGTGTCGTTCATCGTCTTGAAAAACGTGGACCCGCGGAGAGTGGACGGGAGGTTCATTTGCAGCAGTTCAAACAGCGCTCCCGGTTCCCCGTCCACGCCGTTCCAATTGACCACCAAATTTGAAATCGTGGACGTGGCGGAGGTGTCGCGGGAAGTCGTCAACACCCGCCAGTCCGTGGAGCCGCTGGCTTTTGCCAGTGCGTCGAGCACCGACGCGTCGTAGGTCGCGTCGGGCGTAAAACCGGTGTCCGTCGAGAAGACGATGTCCCCCGCGGTGCCCTTCAAAATGTACACGGTTTCCGTCGCGACGGTTTGCTCCGAGAACAGCGAGCACACGTTCTGCGCGAACGCGCCGCCGATTTTCTTGCAGGTCGCCTCATCGTCCAAAGGGTCGGGGAGCTCCGGTCGGGTGCTGCACAGAGTAAAGGTCAAACCGGATTTCTGACGTAGCGGACAAGGAGGCGCTTGCTTCTGCTCTTGATGAGACTCAGCCTGCACCAACTGCTCCTCACTTAGCGCAGGCAGTTGCTTCTGCTCTTTTGCAGTGCCAGTGAGCTGTTCCTGTTCTTCCTTTTGCTGTCGTTCCGTCTCTAGCATTGTCGATGGCATGTTGAGGGAAGTGTCTCCCGGTGACCCTGCTGTTTCCTCGACATGACTCGCAGCCTCAGCCTCTTCAGCGCGTAGATCGGCATAAGTTTTCTCACGCCCGTAGGTGGTCTCGCCTCGCGCACTGGCTTGCTTCTGATCGGTGACCCAGCCTGCAACGGACTTGCTTTCTTCCAGCAGTGCCTCTTGCTCCTCTTCGAGATTCTGCAGATTTCCGCCCGCGTAAGTATCTCCCGAAGGCGGTTCATCTTCTATTCGGTGAGCTTCCGGCAGCGCTACGTCAGGAAGAGTCGTCGCTTCCTGAGATTTACTTCGAGCTTGTGCCTGGACAACGGTCGGCGCTGCCGCAGTTGCAGTTGAAGGAGAAGCGGCTTCGGCTTCCTTGACTGCCACAGGACTTGATGTAGCAACATCTCCTGCAAGCGGACGCGCCTGTGCTACATCTGTGCTGGTTGAAGATGGTGGTATGATCTCGGCCGCCACTGTGGTCCCCTGTTGGTCGGATGTTGGAGAACCGCTGTCACTAATTTTGTGTTTTCGGTGCCTTTCCTTTTCCGCTTCTTGCGCAATCTCGTGCAATTTCGCAGCCGACACCTTTTCCTCGTTCAGCTCCCTCTGCAGCGTGACATCTTTCGCCGCTGCCTGCTTCTCCGGGTCGTGATCTGGCCTCTGGCTTGCGTCCGCCAGAAAATCGCTCGGATGCAAGTCATTGTCATCCTTTAGCTTCTCAGACGCGTGTCTCAAATAATTCGCGAGATCTTTTCCTTGCAACCCCACCTTTCGCGACACGCGCGAAAGCAGTTCCGCGAGTCTCGCATTCTTCCGTGCGCTGCGGCCAGGATCCATCGAAACTGGCCCGCCAGTCGCAACGCTGAGGAGCCCCAGGGCGGCATACCGCCGACAGTACCCCGGCTTTCGTCTCATTCTCAGAAGAATGGATCTTTGTGACGGGCGCAGGCACTCAACATCATGCGTCAGAGAAGTCCAGTCTCTGTGGATACGCCGGACTTCTTCTTTTTGCCCACGATTCTCGGGTGGGCTCCAAAAATACTGCCTGAATTCTTGCAAAGTGTAAAGATCATCATGGACACATGGTACTTAGTCTGTCGCACACACTCAGCACATGCCATCACACAACGCACCCAACCTTTATCCCACGCGCGGACATGGAGGTGCCAGCCTCTTTCTTTCTTCGCCTCTCTCACTCTTCTGTTCCTGAAAGCAACTTGAGATTATGTTGATTATTTTCGCCCTATTTTGAAGCAGCAGCGTAACAGCCGTAGGTATCCATCTCGCTCTCGATGCTGTTAGCTGCCTTGATTGAAAGGAAAAACTAGCCCTGTTCCTCACTCCTGATGCACCACTGCACTCCTGCAATCTTTGCAAACACAGGCGCAAGATTCCGGTCGGCGAGCAGCCCTGAGTCGTGTGAGACAGGGTGGAAACATGCAATATCGTTGTTGCGGCTGCAGAGAACGACGAATTCGGAAGAGAGACAACATAACCAGAAGCGTGGAAGAAGCAAAAAATCAAAAACAACATCAAACGGTGGATAGAGAAACGGTTAAATTTGAAGAGCGAGGAGCGACTGCTTTTCGTCTGCGTCATCATCGTGGCATTTGTACATACAGAGTATCCGACGTATTTATTACTGCTCCGAATCAAAGTCGGCGAAAAACTAAGAAAAAGTCGAAAAACGACATGGAAAAAGCACCAACCTCTTACTCTTTGCTTGTGTTCATTTTTTTATCTGTAGAAATCCAAATGCTGGTGAGGAGAAAGAAGTTTTAACATAGTCGATCAGGTGCAGGAGGAGGATATACTGCCACGTATACCTTCTACGTTCAAATTCAAAACTGCCTGCTGACCTTCATCGCTACATAAGAAACTGAGGAGTCGCAAAAGGACTGCACTTGAGAGGAAGACTGTTCATAGTGCTCAAATTCCACGTGAAAAGGACTCCGACCTTTTCCGCTGTCTTGTTTCTCCGTAGCCGCGTCGAGGACAAAGAGAAACAAGCTGATTGGGTGTCGCCCGCAAATGGTGTTCTGCGTTTTTCGTAGGTATCGCACAAACGCGTCCGGCTCTTGGCTGCAAATCAAGTCGATGCCTTCCGAATCCAGCTCGGCGACGTACTGGGAAATTTTGCTCCAATTTTCCAAGTCCCGCAAACCCAATCTGCCTTGAAAACCGGGGTAATTCTGCGGCGGGCAAGGACAGTAGTCGAAATTCTGGCCCCAGTGACAGAAGTCCGAAGAAACAACAAAAAAGTTGCTCTTCGAGTTGCTGCTTTTCGGAGTTTCCTCTTCAAGGAAGCATTTCCGTAGCACTTTTCCGAAGTTCGCTTCCTGCTGCGTGGGAAGGGCGCCGACCATCATGACAGCTATCGGGATGTCTAGCATTCCTGCCTTTTCCAGGCAGTAGCGGATATAGGGGTACTGCATCTCCCCAGAATGCTCGGCCTCGTCCACGTCTTTTTTCATTACGGTAACGGGGAGACCAGCTGTGTGATAGATAGAAGTGGAATCTACTTACTTACGTATTTTAATCACTCAGGAGTACGAGAGCGATACGCCCGAAGATTAGGATGAGCAACACTTTATGAATCTCAGTCTTTCGTAAAACGTCCTCACTACTCGGAGGATGTGAAGCAAGACCAAGAGCAGCCTTAGATCATCATCTTCGACCACATCAATCATGTACTACCTTCCATCGTCGACTGTTCCACTTTGCGCATGAAGTCGACGTCACACCTTATCGGACCCAGAGTCGTTTGGATTTCTTTCGCCCCCGTAAAGGCAACCGCTGTCAGGTACACATGGTGACTCGGATGCAGAACGACGATGCGCTCGACCGTGTGGTTCTGCAAAGCGTGCAGCAAGTGCTGGTACGAGTAGGCGGCGGTGGGTCCTGAATAGGAATAGCCCGCGTGCGGTGCGATGATTCCCATACACACTGAAGTACTAGAACTACTCGAGGTAGATGCGCCGCCGCGAGCGCTGCTGGAGTTGTGTTCTGAAAAATCTGCCAGGGAAGGTGCAGGCCCTTGTGAACTACTGGAAGAACTCGCCTCAGTGAGCCAGTAGCCAAGCTGCCCCTGCAGCTGGGTGGGGTCGTTAGTGTACCAACTACCACAGTGGCTGGCGTCGCGAGTGTAGGAACCTAGTGCAGGAGCCATTTTGTTTTCTTCTGTGAGCGCTACGATGCATACGCGTAGCGTTCAGCGCGGTGGGGTCTATTTAATGCAGAACCACATCGTTGTCACTTCTTACATCTACTTCTACATACCGATAAATTGATGCTGTAAACCGGAGGTTGGGAGTGTAAAGGCACGGTAAATGATATTGATTGAGTATAGGCTTAGGCTTTCGGTTTTTCTGGAACTAGCACTAACGCACGCCAAAATGAGACGGCCTGCGCGGTATTACGTTATTTCCGCTGTGGTCGCATCTATTTGCAAGTGAAAATCCGAGAAAAGCGAATCGTAGACGGAGTAGAAAAAAGAACAAGACCAAAACAAAAAGAACGCTCGAGAAGTTGATCTTTGCTTGAAGAGATGTTGATAAGCGACTTCTGCGAAGTGCAGAAGCCGGGAACATCCGCAGATCCAGAGTTACGCGAACACCCCAGATAGGTTGCGCCATCGCATCACCCGAAGAAAAGTCGCACTTGGAGGTGCTGTGCTTCTTGGTGATAATGAAATTCGTTCGGCTGTGTTTCTTATTTTGCCCATCCTGGCAAATTTGGAACCAACCTTGGTGAGCGGTTCCTCAAACATAAATCCGACATTGAAACTGGCCACGACACGCGGGCCCGAAATCATTAATTGTCGAGAAAAACCGGTTTCGGGTTTCGGCATCCATATCAAACTCAATAAAAAAAATTCTACACGATTGAGTACGATATTTTTGTACGACGTACGTCGTAGTTGGTGCAAATCCGAATGCCTTTAAGCAGTCTCATTGGGAACAGAAATTCCGTGTGAAGAAAGCAGTGCGGTAACTCGTTCAAAGTCACACTGGAGCAGGTAGACTAGCAATGCACGACGCTGGCCGAAATCGTAACGCAATCCCGGCTGTAGGACCGAGGACACAAAAGTCGGGTCGTCCTGAAGTACCTCGCGCAAGAAACGGAAAAGCTCCTCGCGAACCACGCTCGCTTGCTCTGGCCTCACTTTTTTCACTCGCATCGCAGTCGCGGTAGGGATCCGCAGCAGTCGCTGAAACTCCGCGGATTCCGCTCGACGCCACTGCGCCTCAGAAAACCTTTCGACATACGCGCGCAGGAGCTTCACTTTTGGATTCGTCGGAGCAGCTGCTGCTCCTGATGGATTTGGCGCAACCTCGTCACCCATGTCATCTGTCGGTGACAGCATGGCATCGCCGACTTTGTAGAGAAACACGGCGGCCCGCCGACAACGCTCGTGGGCATGCTCGACGCAATTTTGCAGCCGTCCAACGCTACTGGTAAGCAAGTGCCTCACCTCCCCGGCCAGCTCGGCGGACAATTGCTGTGTGGCGGACTGCCTACCTGCGAAGGCTTTTTCGGACTCCTGCTCGTGAAAACTTTCGGCTTCCGCCTTCGTCGCGGCGACCTGACCAATCATTCGCTCCACGAGGTCCGCCGCCCGGTAGCTCGCCACGGCTTCGAACCCGCACTCTTGCGCAACCAACTTGTGGTGAATCGCGGTAGTCTTGTCGAGAATGCTACTGCTGACAGAGCGGAGGACGATAACAAACTCCTTTGCGGTCTCCAGCAGTACGTCGGTCAACTGCGTCGCGTGCCGCAAGTGCGTCCCCACAACTACCGACCGCGATACCGCATGCACCAAGGCCGCGAGCTCTGAAAGCTTCTCTTGGTCAGTGGCTGGAATGGCAGGAGCCGTTTGCTCGCTCTCGTCGGCATTGTTTGCGACGTCTCCATCGTCCGCTTTACTTTTCGCGCCTTCTTCAGCTTTGGTAGGATCCATAGCCTCTTTGATCGTGGTGTAGGCTTCGTGAAGGCGCTGAAAAGCCTCCTTGGAGCCGCCTTTGTCCGGATGGCACTCCAAGCAGCGGTTGTGGTACACGGACTTCAACGCCTTCGTGGATTCCGGCACCGCATCGAGGCCGAGGATCCGGAGCGCTTGGTCGAGTTCGAATCCAATCTGCTCGTCGTCTGGCAGTTCGCTATCGGCAGTTGTGTGCGTTGGGCCAGCTGCGCCTGATCCGCCGCCGGAGCCGTTCCGAGGCGCCGCGTCTTCACCGAATTCCGACGCGTTTTCGGCAGCCTCGTCTTGCATGACGCCCACCATAGCAGCCATGGTTCTCGCGGCGCGGGAAAGTAGCGCTTCGGCCCAGTCGGAAAGCTCTGATTGATCTGTGGGTCGGCGCGCCGTCACTCCGGAACTTGTTTCGAACAGGATCTCTTCCGGAAGTGGCGCAATAACATGCGTTGCTCCACCTAAGGCGATGCGCAGCAACTCCCAACGAACGCGCAGCTGCTTGCGAAGACAGCTTTCCTTCGGTCCGCGCAGCTGAACCGGCGGCCCAGCAGTGGTTTTCGTTTGTTCTTCGTCCGACGACGGCCCGCGCGAGGTAGCGCAGAGCTGATCAACAAAAAATTTGTTCAGACTTGCTGTGTAAGAAGCTGACTCTGTTGAGCTGCTGTCCCCGACAGCAAGACCTGCAGACGCTCGCTGAAGACACTGCTGAAATTCGACGGTCTGCAATAACGCTTGCAGCTCATGTTCGGCCAGATGAATGTTTCCTGATCCTGTCGGAGGAGCCACCCCCGTGGGGAACAACGGTTGGCCGACGGCAAGCATCACGGCAGCGGCCGGCCACTTTCCCCCGGCCCATTGCTGCACTGCCCGACGCTCCGCGACGGACAGACCACAACTGACAAGTTGCGAGCCGTCTGCTTTTGCTAGATGTGAAACAACGCGTTTGCGACTGCTGTCATCTAGTACAACTTCTCCCAAGGATTTCTGCAATACCGCGAGCAGACGGTTAGCCGCTTGTTCTAGCATGGTGTCAGTCGAGGACGTTGCTCTCACAGTTGCCGGATCGTGGTGCCCGTCGAGCAATACTTCGATGTACTGCACGGCCATGCGTAAGTCCGCGATGCAGGTGTCGCCGACGAACACCAATCGCTCCGCTTCGCATTTCCACCCGACACTCTCCAACAGTCGGATCAAAAGCTCTTTCGGGTCGGTCTGTCCATGCCTCTCGGCGGATGAGGAGTTAACCCCCGACTTGGTCGTCCCATCCACTTGGTGGAACACTGCATCGCAAAGCTTATCCACGTGGATTCTCCGATACTTCGTCACCCCAGGGGCCTGGATCACACGTCGCAACGCCTTCGCCACGGCGCGTAGTCCCTCTGTCTTCGGAAATGACCGCAGGCAGCGCAGAAACTTGTCTTTCGCTCGCGACGAGGACGCGGAGCTGCTTGACTGTGCCTGCCCTGCCGAAGCTGTGAAGCCGCGCTGTGTTTGGCGAAAGCTCATGGAGCTGGTTTGCATCTGTTGCGCGGAAGAAGGTTCGGAATCGCCCGAGAATTCTTGTTGTTGCGAAGGAGAACCAGCAGGAACAGCTGCGCTGGTTTTCGAATCTACGCGTTTGAGTCGCATCTCCTTCACAGCATCGGCCGCTACTTGTCGTCCGCCGAGCTTCTGGCCTTCAAAGCAGCTCTGAGGCAAGATGTCGAACAAAAGGGCTTCCTCCGCCTGGCTGAGGCAGCTGGCTCCACGAAAAAATAGCCGTCTCTTGTCTGCTGCAGGGTCCTTCAGCGAGTCTAACGTCGGGTCGTCCTCCGCGACCAACTTCATGGCTTGCTCCAGCGTCACCGGCTCGCGATAGTGCGGCATTCGCTTGTCAATTGCGTAAAACGCTGGTTCGGGGAGCTGCTGCTTCCCCGACGCGATGTCGCGTAGTTCCGCTAGGTTTGCACGGTCCTCGTCCGTCAGACCATCGTCACCAGATTGAGATGCTGCCGCGGCCGCACTGGCATCTTGCTCGACCGACGAAGCACTGCGACTGGACGAAAGCGCGGCAGTGCGCGGGGACACGCGGTGATGCAGTGGCTGGATCTTGGGAAGTGGGGGTCGCATCGGTTGCGATTGTGCTGTGTTGAAAGCTCCTGCAGCTCCAACCCTTTTGGCGCCGGCCGCGCCGCCAGGTAATGGCGGGATTCCGGGCATTCTACTCGTGACGATGTTTTTGGTTTTGCTCGGGCGACTACTGCTCGTTCCCGAAGCTGTGGACGAAGGAGCCCTGTCGACATCCGACGACGCAGCGCTGGTGCTGCTCGTCGCTCCACCGCCACCTCCCGATGGAGCAGCGGGCGAGCCGGTAGTGACCCACCCTTTTGATTCGAAGTCAAAATACGGCGTTGCGTCGTAAGCCTTTTTCTCCGGTGGCGAAGCAGTTCCATCTTCTCTGCCGGCCGAGCTCGTCGTTGGCTTTGCGTGCACATTCCCAATGAGATCCCGAAACCTTTGCGCGAACGCCCGCTCTTGATCCTTGCCGCCTTGTTGTGATTCTGTATTGACGCCGAAATCTGCAGTTGCAACAGACGAAACACCATTATGATCAACGCTCGCTCCGCCTCCGTAAATGTCAGGGTATCCCTCGTTCAGAAGAGAACTGATCGCACTTTCATTTTTGGCCATCAGGCTCTGGCGCTGCTGATCGAGCAGCTTGAGTATGTCCTCGTCATCCTCTTCCTCCCATTTTCCGGAGTAAAGAACTCCTTCTCGATCAACCATTTTTTTTCACAATTGTGAGAATGAGAAAAGTAAGAAAATGCATGCACGAGCACTACATTTTTGGGCACCGGCACTCTATTTCGATTTTGGTCAGCATTTCCATGCACGGAGACAGATACCTCATGGCGAAACAATTTTTGCATGTGAAAATGCTGCTGCACGCACCTGCTTGAGGGCCGTGACTTCCAAAGAACGACGTTGGTGTCAAACTAGCAGGATGTGATCCAAAGAATTTTGTTCGCCCTCACACACAAAGAAACGCCTCGGCCTCACGACTTAAGCAATCTCGTTCGCTAGTAGTAGCTCGAAACAAAAGCCAGCCTGCTCTCCGTGCTCGTCCTTACTCTATTTGCTTTCCTCTCGAAGCCAAACAAGCAGCTTTATTCAAGGTAGGGCCATATTTTGCTCTCGTACCCTCGACCACGCACTCGCGTGCTACCAGAAATAGAGAGCAAAAAACATACAACGTCTGGTTGTAAGGCAACTATGCAAAATTTGCTCTTTATTGTTTCCAGTTCAGGTGGGAACCCCGACGCCGACCTGCATGTATCGTACGTGCTTCTTGAAGCATCGGAAGTTGAAGTTCTTTGTTGAGTATTCTCAAAGGGAGAGAAATTGCGGCCGTTTCTTCGAAAAGACAGTGGTATACTATGGGGCTTTTGACGTCTTAGTCTGGGGGGTAGGGGTATTTTTCATTTTCTGTCGATAGTGGACAGTATCAACGAAGGGTCAAAGCATTCGCAGTGTGGGCCGTATTAACTGCCGGCAGAAATTGACATAGGCTTAACAGATTCGGATTGATTCCAGTCAATGTGTTCCTTGAAAATAAACAAAATCAGTCGAGCGGTGCAGCTGACGCGAAGCGTTTTCTACAACAGCGCTCGACTTCACTAAAAGCATCTATTCGGTTTGTGACTTGACCTTGAGTACCATGCATAGAGATAAATTAATACGAACTCCTCGTTTGGTCTTCTTTTCCGTTTTCTAGCTTCTTGCAGCAGCTTGCTCCCAACATTGCGATTAAACTTTTACCTTCTGCTCCTTGGGTTCAGCTCCTTCCGAGACCCACCGTAGATGTGGGCGATGAAAAGAAGATGGCGATCATGTCGAAATACCAAACAGAGACACATCGTTCGGCAAATCACAAAAAACAATAGCTGTGGCGCCCGTACTATGTCTGACGGACCTGTCACAGCTGAGCTTAGCCTCAGCCCCGACGCATGGGTGGTTGAATCCGGTGTATTCTAGGGCCTGGTGGGCCTCCGCCGCCGCCCGGTCCTCCCTTCGGCGTGCCGTTCATGACCGCCGATGGTTTCGACGGCGCAAAAACACTCTGCACGAAGAGGAGAAGGAACTTGAAAAAGTACCAAAACCTGTGATGATCGTTTGGATTCACGATGCTGACGTGTCTAGAATCAAGCTTGTTCATGCACTGTTTGGGGAAACGAAATGCCGGAGCTGGATCAAAAAAAGGCGACCCACGAGTCAGAAGACAAGTGGGCGGCGTAGTTCCAAATTTGGGGAAACCTCCGCCAAAAACAAAAACTTCGGATATCGCTAATCAAGATTCCCGCCCTGTTTGGGGAAACAAAATGCCAGAGGTGGATCAAGAAAAGGAGACCCACAAGTCAGAATGCAAGTGGGCGGCGTAGTTCCAAATTTGGGGAAACCTCCGCCAAAAACAAAAACTTCGGATATCGCTAATCAAGATTCCCGCCCTGTTTGGGGAAACAAAATGCCAGAGGTGGATCAAGAAAAGGAGACCCACAAGTCAGAATGCAAGTGGGCGGCGTAGTTCCAAATTTGGGGAAACCTCCGCCAAAAACAAAAACTTCGGATATCGCTAATCAAGATTCCCGCCCTGTTTGGGGAAACAAAATGCCAGAGGTGGATCAAGAAAAGGAGACCCACAAGTCAGAATGCAAGTGGGCGGCGTAGTTCCAAATTTGGGGAAACCTCCGCCAAAAACAAAAACTTCGGATATCGCTAATCAAGATTCCCGCCCTGTTTGGGGAAACAAAATGCCAGAGGTGGATCAAGAAAAGGAGACCCACAAGTCAGAATGCAAGTGGGCGGCGTAGTTCCAAATTTGGGGAAACCTCCGCCAAAAACAAAAACTTCGGATATCGCTAATCAAGATTCCCGCCCTGTTTGGGGAAACAAAATGCCAGAGGTGGATCAAGAAAAGGAGACCCACAAGTCAGAATGCAAGTGGGCGGCGTAGTTCCAAATTTGGGGAAACCTCCGCCAAAAACAAAAACTTCGGATATCGCTAATCAAGATTCCCGCCCTGTTTGGGGAAACAAAATGCCAGAGGTGGATCAAGAAAAGGAGACCCACAAGTCAGAATACAAGCGGGCGGCGTAGTTCCAAATTTGGGGAAACCTCCGCCCAAAACAAAAACTTCGGATATCGGTAATCAAGATTCCCGCCCTGTTTGGGGAAACCAAATGCCAGAGGTGGATCAAGAAAAGGAGACCCAGAAGTCAGAATGCAAGCGGGCGGCGTAGTTCCAAATTTGGGGAAACCTCCGCCAAAATCAAAAACTTCGGATATCGCTAATCAAGATTCCCGCCCTGTTTGGGGCAACAAAATGCCAGAGGTGGATCAAGAAAAGGAGATCCACAAGTCAGAATGCAAGTGGGAGGCGTAAATCCAAATTTGACGAGAACTTCGCCAAAAACAAAAACTTCGGAGATTTCTGCAAAACGCAACATGATAATGGTCGCTACTAGTGCATAGAAGTAGGCTCTATACGGCTCCGTAGCGTGAGAAAGCAAATTAACAAAATGATTTACGCTGCGGCCGCGTGGTCTAGTGGATTCATCACACCCGAATCGGTTTGTCTGCTGACAGGTGGCGAAGCTTGCGGTCGTGGTCGCCTTATCAACTGCAAAAGTGTCTGGGTCTGGAAACTTGTAATGCTGCGTTGGGAATAGTGAATGCTCTGTAATGCACAGGCAAGCATGAGAACTATCTGCGCTTCTTTGTGTTGCGTTTTTCGCATGACAAACTGCGTTTTTGCATGACAGGCAAAAGGGTCTCTTCTTGGACACGCATCACAAACTTTTTGGTCATGCCAGACAAGCATGACAAATTTCAATTTCTTCAAGACCCAGACATTTTTGCATTTGATACGCCTTGGGATGGATCAGGACCCGCCCTCTTCCTCCACCGGTGGCTGGATCGGTCGCGCAGGCGGATCACCCTCCTCTGCGACAACTTCGCCATCGACTATTCGTACCATTTCTGAAGAAAATTCAAATAAATGCGCTAAGCAATCAACAGAGTCACTATTCACTCTGCTGCAACTACCACCATTCGGCTTGTTACGAAGAGAACGTCAATACATGTACAACTTTGGTATCCCTCATGGTCATCATCAGAACATGCATCAAACAAGACGTAAAGTGGAACGGAGATAGAACAGATGTCGCACTTGTTTCGTATAGTCGGGTTTAACTTAGTGCCGGGAATAAAGGGAGAAGCATAGGGGTCATTGCCACAGAGGTTCGAGTACAGCTTGTAAGAAGGATAGGAGGGTAGAAATGCGAGACGTGGGTCAGTAGTGAACAGGGGCTGGAGTTGCTGGGCGCATGTTCTGGTATTATGTTTTTGTTTTTTGAGCGATTCGCGGTTCGTCTTTTTTGCTTCGCTCTGCTTTTCTCGATCATGGATTACGTAAAAATGACACTTTACAAGGTGGCAAAATCAAGTTCTTTGTCGAACACGCCAGTATCTTCTGTCTCGGTAGAGGTGAGTTACAGACTCGGTGGGATCTCTCACGTAGTCAGTCGTGGTCTGCGCCATCGTGATTATGATTTCAGGATTTCCACCTTAGCCTTACTTGTTTGTTATTGTTACCGCTTAGCTATTTTGTTCTTATCGTTGTATTTGTTGTGATTCATCGGTCGCACCGTGCGCACCCACTGCGTTTCATTTGATTTGGTCACGTCTTCTTGTTCGACACCATTGTTGGTACTTGGAACGCCAATGCCTTCCGCTTTCCCCGACGTGGCCCACATTCCAAATCCGCTGAGCACACTGCCGGCACCCACGGCTGCGCTGGCGGTGTAGGTGCCGACGTAGGGTCCGAATTCGTCTACCCCGGCCGAGACGCCAAACACAATCGGCGCGAAAGAGATATCGTTGCTGCGGGTTTCCGACGTGTCGCCGAAGAGCTCAATTTCCGCATACCCTTCGCCAAACCAGAGGGAGCCCAGAGAGGAACCGACAGCAATCCCGCGGTTGAATATGATTCCACCCGTCCCGCCGCTGGTGTCATCATCTGCTTCTCGTGCGGACGCGCCACAATATCGGCGTTGGTGTACTACGCGCGAGCTATCAGGATTGGTTCGCTTCATTTCTGCGCTAGTTGGCTTGCGGTTGGTCTTTATTCCGGATGTTGTAGTCGTGTCACTGTTTTTGGCTGGCGCCTGCCTGTCTTTTCTCGCCGCGGTGGAGGTTGAATTTTCGTTGCACAACCCGATGTATGCACTGCAAAAGTATCGCACTCGTATAAATGCACTACAAATTTCCTCAGCGTGAGAAATAAAATTTGTATTGCGGATTTATCCTAAGAAGAAGCTTTGTAATGCATGATTGCAATTACTACGAGTACGATGCTTTTGCACAGGATACGATGTACGGCCCAGTGTCGATCGACCAGCCCAGAATTGACCGGGGATCAAACGGAGACCAATACACACCGAGGAAAAGACCCGCTTCTGCGAGATTTTCGGTCTTACTAGCCAGTGTATGCCCGGCTAATTCATCGAGCTTCTTCTTTTCTTGAAAGCGTGCCAGAATCTTTTCGCGGCCCGACGTTTTGCTTTCGACCGTTCTTGGGAAGGTCGAGACCAAAAGCTGTTTTCCGGACGAATTATCGGATTGCAGTTTTGCTTCGTCAACAAAACTATCTCTATCGACTTTTTCAGGTCGGTGCGCTGATGCTGTTCTCGAGGCAACACCATCTTCGGAGGTGTGTGATTCCGCAGCTAGGACCGTCGGTTGACGCCGACGAGACGAGTGATGCAGATGCGCTTGCGTCAGTGTGGGCTTTGAAGATCGGAATTCGTCATTTTCACTACTTTTAGCTGGGTTCTTTTGGTCACCCTCACGACGCAACAACTCTTCCACATCCACTGACGAAGTCTTGCTCGCAGTCGAACCTCTTCGAGTCGGTAAAAAAGTCCGCGCTGCCGGGATCGAAACTTGTTTTCGTTCCCCGTAGCGAGACCGACGCTCGCGCCGCTTTGGTGCCGACAGTGCTGACGCGCATAGCTTGGTTTCCTGCCCAACGACCTGATCTTCCACAGGAGGGTTTTTCTCTTCTACTACTCTGCGTCCAGCAATGCGAGAGGCCTGCTCATGACTGCTCCCACGAACAAGCAACCGCTCCACGTCGATGCAATCTGAATCTTGCAAAGCATGATGAATTTCTACTACCCCTTCGTCGGCACTGCTACAATTGCTTTCGACCGATGACGCTGAAACCGATGTGGCCGACGTAAAGGACGAGTTGTAATCCTCGTCGGGGGAGGTATCTCCATCGCTAGTAGCCGTCGTACTCCGGGACGAACCGACGCTGCGACTACCAACTTCGTCATCGTCCTCGCTCACACTTTGTCGTGGCGCCACATGACCTTGTTCCGCCTTGCGTTTATTTTGCGGATTGTATCTTTTCATGCTGCCTGCACTTCTTGTCGAAAACGAAACTTACGATACGGATATTACTGAGACAAGAGACGGGGACAATGAGGCTGGGCAAAAATAAGTCACGGGTGATTGAACTAGAACTTACTTGAAATCACGCTGTGCAAGTAAATAAGTACATGAGTGGTCGGAATAAATGGCAAATGTGGGAAGTTCAAGTTGGTTGAGAGGCGTTTGGATAAAAACCCGAATATGTAAAAATCGCAAGACGCATCTGGCTTCGTACATTCCGATGGATTTGCCTTCTTAGCCACTGACCGAGCCAAATTTCACGTCAACAAATCCAAAAACTCGAGCCGTTACCGATTCAAAACATGCGCCCAGGCACACACTGCGACCGACCAAGTGAACCGATTCCTTAGATCAACGAGCCACGAAACTGAAATACCGAATGATCGGGAGTGGACAAGATGATAAGCCTGCTTCTGCTTTATCATTACAGCCGTGATTTCCGACAATACATCGAGGATCCGCTCCTGTCGTGTACCGCAGATGAGCTCCAATGCTGTATTCAATGCTTTTCGTTTTCCTCGCTCCTGCTGGGTAAGAGGCCAAAGCTCATCAATACTGCTGCGCGAGCCGCCAGACCGGAGCGCGATGCACGACATGCAACTCGCATGCAAAATGAGAGAATGTTGCTTACAACTGTGATGACTTCTTCTAGTTTTTCTGCTTGTTTTCTTGAGGATGCACGAAGATGGTTCTACCTTGCATAGATACCGTTGGAAGATACAGCCAATCTCTCGTTTCATTCATTTTCTGAATAGAAACTTGCGTGTAACATATCTTTAGCACAACACAACTACTGGAAACTCAAGTATCTTTCCGAAATGGAGGTTCCTCTACGTTCATTCTTTTTTCACACCATGGATATGGGCGCGAAGACTTCAAAAAAAAGGAACAAATACAAAGGGACGCGATATTTTACATGGATAAAAGCACAAAGGTTCATGTTCGAGTCGACTTTGGACTTGAATTTACTTACTGTAGCGACAACATATCTGTAGCAACAACACAAAAAAAAGCTCTTCAAGAAGATTTATGAAGAATAGCGAATCATTAGTCCGAAGAGGAATCTTGTATTTTCTAGATGGATCATTTATCTGAAAAATCCTCGTAATCCTGATGGATAAAGTTCGAAAAAAAGAGCGAGTTCGAGTTCGAGATCGAGTTTGAAAAAAGATACGCGTTTGGGACTTATTATTAAGTCCTCCGGCTGACCACGCCCTCCTGATACTCTAGCGCTGAAGAACAACTCGTGGTCAGTACTGCTTTTCATAATTTTACCTTTCTGTAGCTGTACGTGGTCTGCCGTTTGAAATACGATAAGTAAAAGTCATGAAAGATGAAAACGAAAACTGAGAATAGATAAGATTGATAGGAGGAAAAAAGTCTTCGTACTAAGTGAGTCCAGCAGCTAAATGTGAATTATCTACCTGCAGCCAAGTACTTAGTCTCTCAGTTGATGTTGAGCCTGGAAATGGACAGGGAGTCAGCACCGGCGGAACTCGACTCCTGGGCCGGGATGAGTTCCTCTGGTCCCTTGAAGATGCGCACGAGATCTAGAACGCATTCGCCCAACAAGTCTTCGAATAAGTCGTCCGCCAGCTGGTGCTTCACTTGCACAATCTCTGTGTCCACGTGCAGCCAGTTCTTCTCCTCCTCCTTGATCTCGGCAAATAGCAGGCGATCCAGGTCTTCCTCTTGCATCGGAAAATGGTACTCCACAGTCGTATCGTCGCGCGCTGTTGATGATGTTTTCGATTTCGAGAAAAACAAAAATTTCACAATCTCGAAAAATGTAGCGTGCTGTCGTCCGACTTTGAAAAGAGAACCCCCCAGAAACGAAGATTGAATCTACGTATGGACGTCATACAAAGTCATCAGATGAAAGTACCGCCAGTATTTCCCTGGTTCCCCAAGTGTGGCGCGTTGATGCAGAAGCGCAGGCACTCGTCGCACAGCAATTGCGTGAACTGTTGCCAGGTCGGCGGTTTCTGGTTCTGCATTTTCAGGGAATAGAGGGGCGACACGCCGACGCCGGTTTTCCAGCGTTGCGACTGCTGTCGGTCGAGCAATTGCTCGCGCACGTACTTCTGGTCGCGCGCCAGCTCGTAGAACGTGTCAACCAACAACTCCAGGCAGTTGAGCTGCGGGAACATCTCTTCCTCCGCGGATAGCGGCTCGGCTCCGGAAGCCGCAGCGCCGCTGGGCTTCAAAATTTCAATCGCCCCGCCCGTCAAGCTGATGTTTGCACTCAAGCTACAACAGAGTTTGCGAAAGAGTGCGGGGAATTTCTGCTCCAGCCGCTCCGTCAAGTCGTCCGCGGTGAGAAACTTCGTGAGGTCCGCAGGCATGTACATGCTACTGTCCGGGTAGTTTTCGTGTAACTCCCGCACTGCGTCAACAAACTCACTGACCAGGTTTTTCACGTCGTGCACCGTCCGTCTGCGAGGCGAATAGCTAGACGGATCCTCCTCTTGCTGGAAGTGCTGCTGTTGTACCAAAGACGCTTGGTGTTCCTGTTCTGCACTGGACAGGAATGGATGTCCTAAAATTTGCGAAGACGCCGTGGCCTGGGCCTGCAGGGACAACATGTCCGTACTTATTGGCTGGTGAAGCTGCGGGTGACTCAAAATCGTGCTCGTTCCAGCTGGAGATGACGACGACAAGCACAAGCTTTTCAAAACGTTCGTACGATCCACGTCCTGCCACACTTGTTCGTAGATGTCCCGCACGACGTCCTCGATGCAGGCTGCGAGCCGGTCGGCCGGCGGGCTTTCTCCACCTGTCGCAGCAGGGGGGGTCGACCTCCTACTGGACGAGATTTCCGCACTGTGGTCTTCTGGTAACTGCAACTCGACTCCGACTACTTCCGCAGAGCCCCGCGCCCGCGCGGACAGAATGTCCTCGGAGGAGGAGCTCGAAGTCGAATCCCCACCCAGCGGCCCCAGCATGTCCCGCAAAGTCCTGCGGTCGCGCGAGGGCACCGGCTGCAGCACCGTCACCACAGTTGCGGTGGAGGAATCCATGTTGTTCATCAGATGCGAGCTGTCGCTCTCGATCGCCGGGTAGTCATCGAACGGCTTCCCCAAGCTCCCCTGCGGGCGGTCGACCAGCCCTTGCTCGTTGTCGGAACTGCTCGTCTGCTCCTGCTTCAGCGGACTGGTGACCTCCTCCCACAGGTCCGCGTTGTTTTCGTGATAGCCAAGGTCCCCGCTCACGTCCAGCTCCTTTATGGAAATTTCGTCTTCGCTCGCCATGCCGGCGATCAGCGCTGCCGTGGCAGAGGTGCGGGCTTGTTCGACTGGTCGCGCTGCGGGCGGCGATGATCCGGTGGGTGAGGGTTGCTGCGGGGCTGTGGTTTGCTGTTCGGGAATTGCGGGCTCCTCCAAGACGACGACCCTGGACACAAGAGGTTCGTCGTACGCGTCGTCTACACTTATGTCTTCTTCAATTACGTCAGACTCGACCTCTTCTGCCGCCGGCGACGCCTCCTTGGAGACACCCTGCAGGTTTATTTTCAAACAATCTCATTGTCATTTTGGATTTTCTTCTTCTTCAAGAAAAGCAACATTTGCAAGGAAGATCAACGTAGACAAGAGCAGCGAGCAAGTTCTTGCGCAGCCCCGCACCTAGATCTTCTGATGGCATGGCCTTGGCCATGGCGGATTCAGTCCCTCTGCAATATTTCTGATTCTGTAGTAAGTACCTCAGCCTCTGGCACCGAACTTCGGTCTTTTGCGGAGCTGCTGCTGGCTTTGCTCAATCCGGGCGCAACTGCGTCCGGCGCTGAGGACTTGTCCTTTTTCGCCTCGGAGTCCGAGAGCGCGGGGGTGCTGTCTGAGGATATGGCACCCAGCGCTTTGTTCAACAGGTCCTCGTCAACGGCATCCGAGGGAGATTCCTGTCGACTAGATCCCCTGCTCAGGCGGGCCTGATTTTGCAAGAAGTGTGTGAGGATATCACAATAGCTGCTTGGAGTTCATCATCATCTAGTTTCTTTATCGTTATCGAAGAGCAGCAGTAGTCATGCTCATGTCGATCAAAACATACAAGCGACTAACTCGAATATTTTTATTTGTATTTTTTCGTCAATCTTCATCATACCACAGGCAGCTGCCCGGCGGGCGTTGTTGGTGTGTCGGCGGTTTTCTCTGGCGCGTGGTCCACGAAGCGACCTAGTCGGACCTCGATCTGCGCTTCTGAGTGCGATGACGTGCTGGACGCGGACGAGATTGCGTCGTCCTGCTGTGTCGTCCGTGGCTTGAGCTTCGATCGCTGCGTCGCGGTCCCCGGCGTCATCACGACGTGCGTGGCGACAGATCCCGCGGGCGAGCTGCTGGTAATCGGGATCTGCAGCTCATTGGGTGGATCATCCGGCGGCGTAGAGGCCGGCGCTTGCTGCTCCGTCGGTGTGGCCGCCGCCGCAGCTGCCGAGCTCAACGCTGCCGCGGCGCTCAAGCTGGTCGTGAGTTTGCCCGCGGTCGTCCCGACGGGGGAGGAAGAAGAAGTTCGCTTCGACGAGTCCGCCTTGATGCGCAAAGACGTCGACGCCTGGAACTTGTTCATTTGCTGCTCCAGGTCGTTGAACTCTAGCCGCCTCTTCGCGTGAGAGGCTTTTGCTTCCGCCTGCTGCCTCTCCAGGTCCGTCCGCAAGCGGTCCGCCTGGGTGCGAATGCTCTTCATCTTGCGCTCCACCCACCGCGGGGACCGGAACACGCTGCTCTGCTGGATCTCCTCGATCTTGGCCTTTGCGCGCTTGTCCAACGCTGACTTCTGAATGTCGTACAACTCGTCCTCGATGCGACGCCGGCTCTCCTCCTCCTCATCGAGCTTCGTGGAGAGAATGGAAATGAACCGACTAAAATTGTCATTTTCCATACTGGAATCCAGCAGCGCATTCGCCCCGAGAGCAAAGCGTCCGCCCAACTCGCCCACGTTGGAGCTGCTGTTCGACACCACCGAGCGGCTGCTGCTGGGCGCGGAAAGTAACAAGTCCCCCCCGGCTCCGAGCGGCTTACTTTGCGAAGGAAGTAAGTGTCCGTCCAGGGACGCGGACAGCTGGTGGTGCTCCGACGCGGGCATCGAGGGAATGATCTTCTTGATCATCTTTTTGTGCTTCGAGTGCTTCATCACCAGTCGGAGGCGCTCGCTGCTCAGACTCGAGGCCTCATTCGGCGAGCACAGGTTGAGCGGGCTTTCGCCCAGGTGCTCTTCGATGTCAGCGAGGTGCAGAGACTTGAGACCGATCCCGGGCGGTTTTTTCCTGCCCGTCGTAGTCGTCGTTGTTGTCGACGACGTCGTCCCTTTTACACCAGCAGCTTGAGCGGAGAGCATGGTGTCCAGGCTCTTACCGATCAAGCCTTGTTGGTTCAGCCCTGAAGACGACGAGGCCATCTCCTGGAGAGAGAACTCGCCGTCGGCGCTCGTGCCGAACCCTAGCGCTCCCGTTCTTGTTCCCGAGCCCGGGCTTGGCTCCAGCCCCGCCTTCTCCTCGTCCGCGCCGTCCTTGCTGCGGTTCACGGCTGGCGTGGAGGAGGAAGAACTGGTGGACAGGGACTGCTGTTTAGTCGCCGCACTTGCTACATTTTCTCCTCCTCCTGCCAGCAGCGAGGAACCGACGGTCTGCGCCAGCAGCTGCTCTTTCAGGTTTTCAGTGTCCTGTTTCCACCGCTCCATGGTCTCCCGGCGTTCCTCGGCCCACGCCTCTTTCTCCTTTTGTAGGGCCTCGCGCTCGGCCGCAAGCTTCGCTTCCTGTTCCTCCTTTTCCTGCTTGATTTGTCTCTGTTTCCGCTCCAGCTCCTCCTTCTCCTGCTGCAGCGATCGCTGCTGCACCATTTCCTGTGCGATCACGGTTTCCTGGGTCAGTTCCGCGAGCGTTTGCTGTCTGGTGCGCTCCGCCACGTGGAAAAAGTCCTCCATCATCTGCTCCTGTACCTCCTGGTGCTCCTCTATCATCTCCTGCTGTACGGCCACGGCGGTGACCACCTCCGTTTGCCGCTCGTACGCCTGGGCGCGCCGCGTCACCAGGTCGTTGGCCATCTGCTCTTGCGCCTCGATGGTGTCGAGCAGGGCCAAGCTTGTGACAAACTGGTCCTGCAGCTCGTCCGGAGAGAACCGGGGCACCTCTGACTTCTGCTCGGCCTCCGGCAGCACAGCCAACGTGAAGCCCTCGTCCTCCCGCTTAGTGGACGTGAGATCCAAAGCTTCGCCAGCACTTCCGGAGGATACTTCTTCGACGGCAGTAGAACTCGCTGCTGGAAGAGTTGCGTCTAACGCACGAGAGGACCCGTCATCCAACTCGGGTGCCTGAAAATAGAAATAAAAATATGCGCTCAGTAGCAGTACTAGTACGATAAAAACACTAGTTTCATTCTAAGTATGCAGGTGCTGCGTTAAGGACAATGTCAATGAAGAATGTAAACTGCTGCTTTATTTGTGCTGGAAGCAGTTAAAGTAGTTGAAGTTGTCGGAGCAAATGGCAGCACAACCCTTAATACATAGACATACCCTTAGTGCAGCTGCCGCTCCTGCCCCAGAAGTAGTTTCCTCAACCGCATCTGAAACGACTGGAGCGGCGGGCGGACGAATCACCGTAACGGGTTGGTTAGCGATGCTTTCGAAGAACGAATCCCCCCGAAGCACCTCTTCCGATTCGGACAGCGCGCTGCGCTCGCCGCGCGCGTTCTCTACTTCCGGGTTCGTGACCCGGATCTCGGAGGCGGCCGGTGCGATGGAGTCCAGGTTGCCCTCTTCTGCGGTCACCGCTTCCTCCAGGCCGTCCACGGTGTTCGCCGGCTCCGGGGCGTTTAGCGTTGCTCCGAGCTGGCGGGTTAGCACGTCCGCGATAGAGAGATCGTACTCTTTGTGCAGCTGCGCGTACTGTGTCAGTTGCTCGGGCGTGGCCTGCTCGTATGCCGGCGGCGTTGTTTGACCAAGCGGTTGCCACGACTCCCCGCCGCGCGACGGCGGCCGCGCTTGTTGTGCGCGGTGTCCACCACGGGAGGGTGGTCGGGCGCGATCCAAATTGCGGCCTTGCTGGTGCAGCAGTGCAGCCTTCCGTTCGCGCCGCCGACGAACCCGTTCCAACGCGGACTCGCCGGAGGGAAGGATTCCTGAGAAGTTTTGGCGTTTCGTTTTTGGAAAATCGACATGCAATTCAAATGAATGACCGGAGAACCAGGTCCTGAGGGGGCATTGCTGATCTTCGTATACGTAAAAAATTCATGAGAGATTCTTGACGCTGATCATGTTGCCAAGCAAAAGCAATTACGCAAATTGGGTTTTACCATGGTCATCCTGTTCCACCTCCTCCACGGAGCGAGCGAAGTCCATGAGAGGGTCAATGTCGGCAGTGGTCAAGGGAAATTCCTCTTCTGATCGTTCGTTGTCACTCCTCGTCCTTCCTAGCGGACTGGACTCGTCCCGCTCGTGCGCTTGTCTTTGCCTTTGTTCCCCGACCGAAAACTGCAACATTTCTGGTGCTCGTGCTCTTGCAGGCGATCGGTTCGCGGCCCGGATGTTTTCCTGGTCCTCGGCCATCTCCGTTGCTGTCCACCCGAACTGCAACCTCCCTCCGCGACTTCCCGCGCGCCCTCCTGCAGGAGCACTGCTCGGCCGGGATAGTTCCTCCTTGACTGGACTGCGCGACCGGCTCCGGCCTTTAGTTTCGCTCAGTGGATCCGCGTCTGTTTCGCTCAGCACTGGCTTCATCTCGCTCCCGGTCCACATTAAGGGTACGCCTGGCTGAGCACCGTCCGTGTTGTTCTCGTCTGCGTAGAAACTCAGGATGTAATTGTGCAGGTCCTTTCGCACACGTCGACCCCGGACATAGGCCTGCAACCTTGTTGCCGCAAAGTCCGGGTCCATGGTGTCAGGAGCTTCCTGGTGCACAATTTTCGTGAACTTTTTCTTCGTATTAGCAGTTTCAGAAGCTGTTCCTGGGGCACGTGGGCGTTGAGTGCTGTCGGTTTTTCTGGTACTTGTTGCATCTGAAGATACTTGCTTTGGCGTGTAATCATTCATCGGTGCAGCTGGGGGGGTGGTCGGACGCGCAGCAGCCGTGGCTCCAGGACGTCTCTCGGGATTCGATGACGCTGCAGCCGCGCTTACGGGGCGAGTAGCGGACGAACTTGCATTTCCTCTACTAGTAGCGGTATCCGTGTCCAAGATCGTCCTCGAAGGGGCTACAAACGCTGGAGGTTTCTTTGCCGACGGTCCGGAGAGAGACTTTTCCGCCTCTGCTTTCATGGCCCGCTCCAGCGGAGAGGACTTTTTGCTCGGTTTTTGCGAGTCCAGCTGGTCCGCGGGTTTGCTTCGTGCGAGGCGTCCGGGGGGGTCGAACGACTTTGGCGAGGCCTTGTGGGTGGGACTGTCGCGAATCGATAATCCTGCAAAAAACATGGCGTGTAGGTCCTCTGCACTGGCGGTCGCCGCTCCGCGTGAAACATACTCTTCCAGGACCTGGTCAAAATTGTCTGTGTACCGAGGCAGCCGACTATCTTCCAAATCTGCGACGTACCGCGGAAGCACATCTCCGATCGTTCGCTGCGGCGCTCCTTTCGGTCGCGGTTTGTCGCGGCTGAGCTGACCTCCGGTCGCGATTCCGCCACCAAAAAGGGCGGAAGACCCCGGGAGCCGCAATATTCTTGAAGGCGGCGCAGAGCGGTTGCGGCGCTTGCTGCCCGCCTTTGCATCCTTTGGTGCGCTGGTTGCGCGTTGCGCAGCGGTGGAACGCTCGCCAAGCCTGTTTTTCCTCGCGCGATCCTTCTGTACATGCGAAAACGTTGTAGCTTGTTCAATGGGCAAGTCACTTTGTCGTAGGAGAGGGTCGCTAAAATCTGGCATCATCTCGCGCGCTTTCGCGCTCGGCTTCGATGAGTCGCCTAGTCTTAGCTTCGTCGTTCCGAGTGACCGGCCTGCAGCATTCAGTGCTGTCTTCGGAACCGCCACTGCAGCAGAAGTCCAAGCTCCACTGGCACTACTTGTAGAAGCCGGTTTTGTCTTGGCTTTCGGTTTTGTGAACTTCGGCTTTGAAGGTCCGCTCGTTTCTGACTTACTGGAAGCGGGCTCGCTCTTGCCGTCGCCCACTTGCGGTATGTTCACAATTGCACCGGTAGGGACCTTATTCCGTGGCTTGCCACTCGAAGACGATGCAGCCTGGGCCGGCGCCGGTCCGCCATCTTGCGAGCTTCTGTCTGTTGCAGAGCCACCTGCGAGATCGGCGTTGGGAGAGCCACCGATGATCCGCTCCTCGGGCACAAAATCATACTTTATTTCGGCTGCTGTGCTTTTATCTACCTCACCGGCCGCACCCGCGGAGGCTCTTTGATCTTTCCTAGATCCAACTTTTGCACCAGCAGCTGCACCGGGCGTCTCAGCCGGCTTTTGCTCCGCTCTTCTATTGCTAGGCGCAGTGCCTTGGTCGCCCGAGGCTGCGGCTGATGGCTTGGCGCGGTACATTTCGTCCAGTTTTTTCAACTGCTCCTGCTTTTTTCGCTCCTTTTCTTCTTCAGCGGCTTTTTTCTCCTGCTCCTTCCGGTTCCATTCAGACAAAAACACCTTTGCCTGCTTCTGCGAATATTTCGGAACATCTTTTGCTTTTGACTCTGCAGCAGTCGCGCCGGCCCCTGTCGTGGCTGTCGACGACTTTTCTGCTGCAGGCGGCTTCTTGCTTGCGGCTTCGAGCTCTTCTTCCTTTTTCCGGAGCTCTTCCTGCTTTTTCTTGTACTTCGCAAGGTTGGCTTTGGCTTGTTTCTGCGAATACCAACCCTGATAACCGTGTGTCGCTTGTTTCTTGGCGCTCGGGGTCGCATCCGGATCTAGATCGGCATTTTGTTCTTCCGTGGCATTGTTCCCCTGCGTGCGCGCACTTGCTCGGGCGGAAAACTTCGCTTTTGTCATCGCTGTGGACGTGCTGCTCTTGGACGACGGATTTACGCGGCTGTCGGCGGAGACCGTACGCGCATTGCTTTTTTTCGAGCTCGCCGCGGACGGCGTTGCGTCCTTCTTCTCGGGGCTGCGCCCGCGCCCCGCGCTGCGATCTCGAGCCGTCTCTACACCGCCCTTCGCAACGCCCGCGCTCGCGGCACTGGGGCTCGTCGTGGCTCTCAAACCACTACTTCCGTACAGCAGATTTTTCCGCTCGTTCAAGATCGCACTGATTTCGCCCTTCAGGCTCGTAAGCAACGGCTGCGTCTGGTTAAAGCGCTCTCGCACACTATAAGAGGCTCAGCTGCACAAATCAAAGAAATTTTAAAAACCTCGACTAGCTACGAAAACCGACTTCAAAAACTATCTACTGCTGTATTTAGCACGATGACTAGCTAGCCAGTTGAAAAGTGGGCTGCCTCCTCGCGGATGCGCGGAGGACTTGGCAAAAGAGGAAACGAGCATCGTCAACCCCAACCCCAACCGTCCTTACCGCGAACTGATGGCCCGGGACATGGGCGCGAGCACAATTTCGCGAAGCCCTGCTTGGTCGTATACCTCCGTAAAGTTTTTCTCTTCTAGAACCAGCAGTCCGCTGCCCTGCCCTAGAAGAAAAGGAGAAAAAGAGTAGCACTCCGCGCAGGTTTTGTAGCTCCCCGGCCCAATGTCCGCATGGTATGCGGAAGTCCAGGTGTGCGGTTTTTTTCCCAAGAGGAGCCCAACCAAAAAGGATGGCACTTTTAGGCCTGCGCTAGGGGACCCCCCCTCGGGACCCCCCTAGTGAATCAAGGACCAAATCACCATAGCATGGGGATTGGCTTCATAAAAGGGGCAAAAAAGTGCATGGGAAAGTGGCAAGATTGCTAATTTTTGTGCACCTGAGGAGTTGGGCGGCTTTTGCTTTTGGAGCTGAATCCCCCTGCTGTGGTGAGATTTAAAAGTTGTCAACTTCTCGGATTTCGCCTCTCGGATTGTGCACCTGAGAAAATGCCGCATTTTCTGAGCTCAATCCCCATGCTGTCGTGACGTTTAAAGCTGTTCAAAAGTGGCGCGCTGAGGCTTTGGGGTTGTGCACCTGAGGAAAAGCCCCGCTTTCTGAGGTTAATCCGCATGCTGTCGTGAGCTCAAAGGAATTCATCTTTTTGCGCTTCGTCCCGACCGCGAAGGACCAAGCACAAACAGCTACGCCACGCATCCGCGAGGAGAAAGCCTGCATGTGAGCTAGCTAGCTTCATAGTTACCTTCATCAAAAAAAACGCGCTCAAAGTGAGCACTTTCGATAGCTAGTCGAGGTTTTTAAAAATTACTGACTTTGTGCAGCTGAGCGCGTTATACACACGCAACCCGCGGGCCTCCAGACGCTCCGAGACGCCCTGTACGTCGTTTTTGCTCGGAGACGAGGAGCGTGCCCGTGTCTGGTCGGCATCGGTAGTTTTCGAGGCAGAGGACACAGACGTGGAATCGATCGGTATCGCTGAAGTTGCTCCTGCCGCCGGGTCGGCAGAAGTACTAGCGCCAAGCTTCGTAGGAGCCGCGACAAAATTCGGAGTAGCAGTGGTATTAGCGACCGCTTGAGGTTGAGCTGCGCTGCTATCCGGCAATACATCTCGTTCCTTCACTTTTCCAGCGACGCCGAGTCTCTCGGCGAGCGGTTTCGTGGCTTTTGCGCGACGAATAATGAGCGGCTCCCGCGGAGACTCTTCCGGTGGTTCCACAAACCGCTGCGAGGGGCCTGCAGTCACCTGAATCCGTTTCGCCTCAACGCTGCGGATCTGCACAGAAGCATTTGGTTTGCTATTGCTACTGCCTAAGCCTACCTTTGGTGAAGGACCGCTTGCGGCGCTGGAAGATTTGATATTGCCGTCTGTCGCACTTTCTGGCCCCTCACCCAGCCCGGCATCGTCTGCATCCACGAAGTTAGTTTTCCTTGGACCCGGGGCAGACCGGCCTGCACCACCGACGCCAAGATCGCCGCGTCTGAACGGCTGATTCGTGTCGTCATCAAATTCAGCGTCCTTAGACGAAATAACCACTTGCTTCTTGCCCAAACCCAAGGTCTGTTTTGTGGCTGGCATTTGGCCTGCTGTGTTCGACGGTCCAGCTGAACCCATCGGTGGGTCATCTGTGTAGAAAAGCGGGGTCGCTCTATTTGGGGCTCCGGCCGTCCCGGGGCGATTCGATGGGGTGGAAGAAGATGAGGAGGACCCGGCAGTCAGGCGAGTGGTTGTGCTTTTGCCACTACCTTTCATCGCAGTTGTACTCCCAGGTGGTGCCTTCTGCTTCTCCTTGTCCTGCTGAGACAGCAACTGTCTTCGAGACGACGAAGTACTCGTGTCGCGGACCTGTAGCCGACGCTCCGGGCTTTTGCGTTCTGGGCTGCGCCGCAGCGGCCGCCAGGACTTACCAGGCTGCGGAGGTTCTCTGCTGCGATCCAGCGAAGTTTCGCGCGCGCTGCGCGACAGAATCGACTTGGCCTTCGGTGTTCTCGCGGAAACTGTCATGGCGGGCGGACGGCTGTTTTTGCATTCGATGTTATATTCACGCCAATCTCAACATATGATAATTCATTGGAAATTCTTCTTCACCCTATTGCTATTCCTATTGCTACTGAAGCACCACACAGAAACCAGCACAGCTATGCTGTATACTCATCGTCAGCACAGAATCTTCAACAGGATATACTTAAAAAACAGGCGGAAGAAAAAAGTCCACTACTGTCCACGCGCACTATCGCGCTCTTCGACGGCTGGCATGGTGTGGAACGCATCGTCATACATCACTTTCTTCTTCGCCGTGAACTCTGGCGGTGCCGTCCGTGGTGGCCGCACCATGGATGAGACAATGGTACGCGGCACTGGGGCGGCCGCGGCGGCACTGAAACTGCTTTCGTTCACCACGCTCGGTCCATCCCGGTCCGACAACAAGGACGACAGCTGCTCTGGGCCGCTCAAATGCGAAAAGTTGAAGTTGTTGCCACCGCCAGGTGCGATAACTGAAGATGATACTTTGATCTTTTTTGCGACAATGGTCATAGTAAGTTGAACAACGTGAAGATTGCATTCAGCAGTCGTAAATTAAGTAAATAGCAATGGACAAGGCTAAGGCAACATTCGGGGGTCAGGTTCCAATACCAAACAATACAACAAACTAGATGATTGAGGAAATATGAGCTGAACTGAAAAGGGTTTCTTCTATCCTTTCTACCCCTTTGATGTTGTTGGGACGAGCTGCTCGACGCAAAAGTCGGCTCCATCTGGTCGACGAACTTCCGCCCCACGATTTTTGCCGTTGGGGTCACGCTAGAAACCACAATGGTCTTCGCCTCTCCCTGGCCCGGCGCGAGAAACGACCGCGGTGGCGCTTGCTGGTGCAGCAGTTGTGCCGGCGACGGGGTGGACAGGTCGAGGGTCACCGGCCGCGCCGGCGGCGCGACGAAATTCGGCCGCGGCTTCGTCATCGGTGCAGGCTGTTGCTGGGCCGGACCGTCGCCAGTCTGCGATCCGGACGGACCCGCCGCTCCTGACGAGGACGAAGCCGGTCCTGCAGCCATGCTTGTCGGCGTCGTAATCGGCACCGCGGTAGGAGCAGGTAACCCGTCGGAGAGCGGGCCGCGTGTCACCACGGCGCCGGCCCCATCGATCCGTTTGCACGTTACAGACCGCATGATCTTCCCTCGACAGTTCGTCGGTGCGTCTGGTGACCACCCGGTAAGCAACGCAAGCTAGAGCTACGCTGCTTAGACTCTAGTACCGGAACACGACAGATGGCATGGTCAATAAACACAAACTAAGGTCGAGCCTAGCAAAGGCCTCCTCCGTGCAATGGTCAGTAAGATCTACCTACGTGTAGTACAATTGAGCACGCACGTCAGAAAGGAAGAAAGCTCGGCACTTTCAGTTGGTGCTGGAGAAAATCAATACTGTTTCTCGAGCGGTGTACACGTTGAAGTGCCTGAACTTTCTCTGCTCCTCGAAAAAAAAACGACGGACCAACGCCTCGTGCTTCGGATGCAATACACACACAACAGCTCCGCTGCAACTACAACTCGCTCAGCATCAATAGAGGACAAATGCATTTTCAGCTTGTTGTGGCGGAATTGCACTAGGTGTAGCTGGAACACATCGCGAGTTACCATCCAACGAGGAAACTCTTTTGGTTGTGCCCTTCTAGCGATATGAACATGAAGAAGGAAAAAAATCCATCTACTTATTTGAATTTCCGGTAGCGGAAGCCACCGTGCGCACATTGATTCTTGGAAATGGTCAAATTCGAAACACTCCATCAGCCTGCCGGCAAAAGCGATACGGAAAGCACACAAGAAATTGCGCTGCGTGTTCATTTAGACTGCGAAGGCATCGACATTCAGTCTCCCTGATCCTCGCCAAAAGCGAAGAAAGGCATGACGTCCGGGCCTTTACTTGCAGCTGGAGGGTTCGACTTCGCCGCCGGTTGTGCAGGGTCGGGTAGTTTTGGAAACACAAGTTGGGCGGAGATGCACTCTCCAGACAGTACCTGATCTTTCCTCGGGTATTTGAGATCTCGCATTTTTGCCAGCCTACGTGCGGACTCACCGTTCGCAAAAGTCACGCGAAACTGTGGTTTGTCCTTCTTAAGCTTTACGGTCGGGCTTGTGGCTGAGAAGATTGTTGGACTTGTAGATGCCCCACTTGAAGATGCGGCAGTGATTCGTTCGGGTAGCACTTGCACCACCGGGCCGAACATAGATAGGAAACCACCCAACGCGTTGCTGTCAATGTTATCCGGAAGTCCTCCAGAGACCAAAACCGTCCCGGTTACCGGATCGGTGCTCCACGGAGAATCGGCCATCGTACGTTTTCAGTTCTTATTTGACTTGCGCTTTTCTACTAGTAGGGCGTTGTAACTAGTTCTTTCTCGAAAGAAGATTTGCCCCTCATGATTCATCTTTTTCCTGCATTCTGCGGCTGGCCTTCTCAAAATCTGGTTCTCAGCAGCTCGAAGGCAACACATGCCGAAGACGCAAAACTGCGATGATAGATGACAGTGCTTCTTCTTCTAGAGTGATCCGAAGGCGAAGCTGCACTCGAGACAAATCACTCGACGTTTAATGTCTGCTCGAAGGGAACTGGGAACAACATATAACTCATTTCACGCTTCGTAGTACTTCTTGAAGAAGTAGAAATCATCCGCAGATCCAACACCGAGTATCGATTTGTTCTCTATTGGAGGTTCGGTAAGTGCGAAAAAGAAAAACAGAGTAAAACCAGAAGACATTAGTGTGCATTTTTTGGTAGTACTGCAGTGCCCCTTCCGTGAAAAATCGGAACTATAAAAATAAAAAACTTCTTAACATCAACGTATGATCTCAATCCTGGTCGACATCGCATTCACAACTTAAAATTGGCCGAAAAAAAAAATAGTACTTTGTTTTGCGAAATAATCTCTTTGCTTTTTGTTCGAAATAGGGATAAAATCATAAGCAATCCGTACCAAAATTTGAACTTTCACTGGAACTGAAGTGTTCTGTGTTCTTTAACCACTTGTGTTCCATTAATTTCAAATTGATTTTAATTATCTTTTTTTAGTCCAGCATGCGATGGCGAAATTGTGGTTGTGCTTCATTGTCACCAAGGTGAATTGTGATAAAGCAACAAAAAGAGGCTAGAGAAAGAGTCTATCTGTCAGTCTCGTGACATGAGTCACAGGACATCTAAGCGTAAGCGGTAGGCGGTACTGGTGAAGTAGGTGGTAGTACTTATTTAGTTTTGCTTTACTACAAGTACAAATTTATATTTGTTCGGCGACGCGACTGTAAGTCGGTGCTAGTACTAGAATTTGCACGGCTGCGATGATTTGTCTTTGGGTCAACCAAAGGCAATATTCGACTCTGGTTTCTCATTGCGATAGAAATCGCAGTGGCTTGTTTGGTAGCTTGTATTCTGCACGCTAGGTTACTTTCTGTTTCTGCGGTTACTTCAGTTCTTTTCTGGCGCCTGGTCGTTTGACAGCCTTGACTTTCGTTCCGTGTCGAAGCTTGTCGATGTTTTCTGCAGCTACAAGTACTTCTCTTGTTGCCGGCTTTTGTCTCCAAACCCGCATCTGATAGGAATACTGTGCCCACCAGGACCAGTTTTCCGGGGCTGTATAACCTGCTCCTGCAATCAAATCAAATCTCTCTTCTGCGCGTCAGAAATCGAAGTAAATTGATGGAAATGTAAGTAGTCCGTCGTAGCGTAACAGTAACTTCTAATACAACGTAATCCGATTGAGAAAGTCCTGAAAGGTCTGTCTCAGCTTCTTGCGTAGAAAAAAGCTCCTCTAAGAATTTTTGGAATCATCTAAAACTCTGTAGTATGAAGACAAGTTGTGTTAATACTCTTCGCGTCCTCCAACCACCTAGTCAGTTCTGTGCATCAGTTACGGTCCAAAAACAGCACGGATAACAAGCGCATCACATCTATTACGATAAAAATCTGCGATATTTTCTGTTGCGCACACAAATACGATGTAGTTCTGCGGGATATGAATCCCATGACAATAGTCTGGATAAATCTTCTGATCTTTCGAATTCAAAACTAACACTACTTTTCCTACGTATAAATTGAAATAATTGCTAATGCCATCTGCTTTCGTAAAGGTACTAAAGCTCTCATATGAGTTTGTTCTTTTCCTGAGTTTACCTCCAGCCTTCCATATTGAATCATATCTACCGGAGGCAATCCTGATCTCGTTTGCGCAATGCAGATAGTTCGGCAATTTTGTTTTGAAGTCGAAGCGAAAAAAAAAAGCACTAAGAGATAATTTACTTCTTGTTCTTCCAGCAGTGTAAAAGTGAAATTCAATCTGATAAATCTAAATTTGAAGTAACAGGAAAAAAAGTGCGTCCATTCTCGATGGATCTACCAATCTGGTTGCGCATAAAAAAATCAAAATTTTCATTTCTAAAAACAAAACCGAGTACCTCCTCTTTTTTATATTGTTCTCAGTTCGTCTTCTATTTGGCAGGCTTCAGCAAAATGCGTAGGGTACATGTATCAGCGTCTTTATTTTCTGAAGATGAGCTGTGGTTTTCTGATGCAGGCGATATGATCTAGTACCGGCTGCACCAGAGCTTCTGATGCTGATATTTGCTGTTGAGGAGCGTCGATGAAAGCCCACAACCTTGCTACTGTAACAGAACTCCGCTGACGGGGGCGCAGTACTCATCTTCATCGAGCACGTAAGAGGTTGGGAACCAGCCGATAGTGTCCTGGGTGAAGTTTTTGCCGTACATCCAACCATCTTCGTCGTCTTTCACGATCGCAACACAATCCCCCTGGAACAAGTCGATGTAGCCCTCGCCATAGGAACTCGCATCTGTGGTCGTTTTGGAATCGCAATCTGTATCGCACGGCAAAAGGAAAAAAATAACAAAACACAAATACACATACAAACACATGCAAACCCGCCACATAATCACGAATCGTGATGTTATCAACAATTTCGCAACAAGCTTCTGCAGCAGTATTCTCTAGTGAGCAAGTACCGAAATCCCCTTTCGCCTTGGAGTGGACCAATTTGATGCCCCTTTTTGCATCGCCGCCCTTCAAACTCTGGAGCGGTGGTGCTTTCTTCTTTCCCTTGATATCTGTCAGCAAGGCAGGATTCAAATATCGTGTATGATAGCAACGGGCTAGTATCTTGATCATGCACTTCATTCTGCACAAACACAATACTTATCGGCTTTGAAATCGAATCTGTCTTCCAGTCATAATGTTGCGAATACTATCAAAAACACCAAAAACAGACTATACTCGCCATAACTTTCATTGGCAGGTCAAAGACTTTGCGCAGTTCTGAAACGGAGTGTGCGTAGCGGCAATTTCCTCCGAAGCGGCAGTTTTCGCAGGAGCCTGGGTGGTATATTTCCGTTCTGATAGCATGCAAGTGATGTCAACGAAGATATTCAGCACATTCCTTTTTCATACCGCTGTATTTTCCAGAACCAAGTACCGCAACTACCACATCGCCGTTGAAAAAAAAGTGAACAAATTAAGTGCATATACCGAAGCAGACTTTTGTCTTTGCGAAGCAGTCGGTAGATCGTAATTCGTCACGACTGTGGGCGTAAGGACAGTTTTTCCTCTTGCAGTCTCCAAGCTTCGGACAAATAGAGGTCTTGCTCTGTGTTGAAACAAATGAAAGGAGTATTTTTCGGGGCGTCGAGTGATGAAACAGTACTGGAAAGTGACAATTTCTTGTTCATATGCGTTCCTTCCTCGAAAAAAACAACTGGACAAATCATATCTATTGCATACCAGATCCGGTTTCTGCTTCAATTCTTCCAGTGAGTGCGCGTGGTGGCAGGATTCTCCCCACGAGCAGGTGCCGTGGACATGGTAGTAGCAGAGCTTCGTTTTGTACAACTGTCCATTGGAAGCCGCAGTGACAATCTTCCCCCGTCGTGGTTGCTGCACAATCGGGCCTCGGTACCCACTGCTGTAGTTGCTATTCTTGTTGTCGGGGTGCTGGGATGCGCAGTTGTAACTGTCGGCGCTTTCGTAGCCAGCCGCACTTGCTCCGTAGCTCTGGTTCTGGCTATGATGTTGCTTGTAGTTGTTGTACTGTTGCTGTTGCTGCTGGCTCGCACCGTGGTAGCTGTTGTACTTGTTTTGCTGATACTGTTGGCTTGTGGCGCCTTGTTGGTAGTGCTGCTGGGCTGCGTTTTGTTGATTGTGCTGCTGGCCGGCACTGCCTTGGTTGTATTGCTCCATCCCATTGTTATTGTTGTACTTATTGTGTTGCTGTACGGAAGCTGCACCGTGTTGGTTTTCCCCCATATGGTGCTGCTGTTGCTGGTGCATACCACCATACGCATTGTTACCCTGTTGCTGGTGCTGCTGCTGGGCACCGTAGTGAGCATTGTTGTTTTGTTGTTGCTGTTGGTGACCCGCCGTGTGCTGTTGATGGTCCATGGTGCCGGTGGCGCCACTGTGGTTGTTATAGCCACTGTGGTAATTGTTCGCGTGATTGTTATTTCCACCGCTCATCTGGTGCTGTTGGTTGTTGTAGTGGTGTTGTTGCCCTTGCTGGTGCTGACCACCAGAGTGCAATTGTTGCTGTCCTCCTGCACCAGCAGCGCCTCCCATGTGGTGTTGCATCTGCTGCTGTCCTCCATGGTTGTTGTACGCCCCAGCCTGATTTTGTTGCTGCTGGTTGTGGTAGTTTTTGTATTCGGACAAGACGGGATCGTGCTGGTTCGCCGTCGCCATTTGGTGCTGGTTCGCAGCGTGCTGCTGGTGTTGATCCATTTGGTGTTGCTGCTCTCCCGCAGCGTGGTGCTGCTGTTGCTGCTGTTGCTGCTGATGCTGAAAGTAGTTTCCACCCTGTTGGTGCGGCTGCCCCTGCTGCGCCCCCGGCATGTGGTGCTGTTGCTGGTGGTGAGAATCTTGTTGTTGCCCCGATTGGTGCTGCTGCCCTTGGTGTTGCCCGTTGGGTCCTTGCTGCCGTCCGCCAAGCTGTTGGTGCTGCTGTTGCTGCGCATGCTGATCGGCGGCCATATTAGGGTGTTGCTGGTTGTACTGGGAATGCATCTGATTGCCGTGCTGCTGGTGCATTTGGTCCTGGTGGTGCCCGCGGGCCGCAGAGTTGTAGTCAACCGCACTCAATTCGCCCTGGTGCTGGCCCTGGTGCATCTGCTGGTGATTGTAAAACCCAACCGGCTGGCCTGTATATGAAATAAAGCGCTCGTGGCTTGTTTGACGTATCCGTATGCCAATAGATACTTTCTTAAAAAATTGAATCAGCATCAGACCGCCAACGCAAGTCGATCGAATCGTAGCACTCAAGTGAAAAATATATGAAAAACCTAACGTGGTACCTGTTTCAGCCGAGGACAAGCCATAAGCCGAATCTGGGGAAGACAGATAGTGACTGCTCTCATAGGCGGTGGACACCTCGCCGGGGCTTTGCACGCGGGGGCCCCATTGCGGCGACGCTTGCTGTAGAAATATATTTTGAAGATGAATTGAAATTGTATAGGATGACTGCCTGCAGTGCTAATTTGCACAGAATGCGTATGCGGATCAGCTTGGCAACTAGAACGACGTCGTACTGATCAGTTTGACCATTTTCTCCCTACGCTTTCAACAGGAAACAAGACAAAAAAAAGAAGCTCGATAGTACCGCTGTGCCGCCAGCTCTCATCGACGGGATTAACCCCGGTGGAGAGGCCGGCGGCGGTCCACCCTGCTGCTGTTGCTGCTGCCACTGGTCCGGGTATCCCGGGGCTTGGGATGTGTAGCCCGATCCAGTTTGGTGCTGCATTTGTCCGCCGTTACAGCTGCTACCACCTGTATAAGCAAAATTTTATGGTGGATTGTGTATCTTCTTAAGAGGCCAGTTGTTTCATAAAAGACGATCAAGATATTGTGCATCGCAGAACAAGAAGATTCAACTTGCAAAGGAAGCAACCACGACAAACACTGACTGCAAAGGTGTAGGTACCAGACGGCGCGAATTGCATCTCGGGCCTGGGGTAGCTCTGCGGAAACGAGCTGTACATGGTAGACATGTTTCAAAGAAAAAACCTGATAGAGGAGTGCACAGTGCGTCTGAGGACTCCCCTATGTGATTGGAACGATTACAGTGACAAGGAACGCCGCATCTTTTGTTCTTGCTCTTTGGTCTCGTTCTCGTTCAATCAGAAGCCAGCAACGCTCTTCTAGCGCAGCCACTACCTCCTCAAGAAATCACGACACTAGAAATGGTCTTTTCTGCTCATAGTCATCCTCATGCTCATCGTCCGTGCTGTCGCTTCCTTGCAGTCAATGTTCGTTGTTTTGAATATATCTTTCTTATTGGTGCTCCATCTGGACCTAGATAGAAATTCCTTTTGTTTTGGTTTCGGTTTGGTCGTGCAGTGTCAATTTTTTACCTGTAGTTTTGTCATTTCTCACATCACTCAGTCCGCTCCAGGTGATTGCCTCTCGTTGCTCAATTTTTCCACTCAGAAGCAGGGCGCAATTTGGTAAACGCAAGGTGGGGATTCGTTGGCGTGTGACAGCCAACAGCTTGTTGGTGGAAAGCAAGAGCAACACACACAGAGACACACGCACGCTCAAGTGACGACTCGACTCATTGAGGCAACAGAGGCCGCTACGCCCACACAGGTGACGCGTCAACCGTGTACACGCTAGCAGCAACAAGGTGCTAAACAAGATGAATACTTAGGTATGAACATCTACATCAGCCGCGCCTAGGTATCACAGCAAGTATCTATTTCAAAAATTGGGTGTGAATCTTCTCCCGTCCGTTTTTTATTTCTGCACAATCGCTCTCTGACTCTGCGTGACCTGCATGCTTTTTTTTGACCTTCTACTTTTGACGCCCGCACAACCAAAGTTGTACGCTACAAGCATAGTAGAGTGTTATTAGTCCTAGCACTTCTACGCACCAGCACTTCTTCATACTTTTCACGTCGAAGGAGCCTCTTTGTTTTCGTGGTAGAATACACGGAGAGAAGAACAACTCCGCTACTTTGTTCCAAGTAGTAGTGGATCTAGATGAGCCTGCTGCTCAGCATAGCCTTTGTTAACTACTGTATTCTATGCATTGCAAAAGTATCGCACTCGTATAAATGCATTACAAATTTCCTCAGCATGAGAAATGAAATTTGTGATGCGAATTTGCCTTAAGAAAAAAATTTGTAATGCATGATTGAGTACGAAGATGCTTTTGCATTGCATATATTCTCGAACCGAGCCAAACGCAGTGCCAGGTTCCGAGGCAGAGGCCGATGAGGTTCAGGGTTGTCGAAACGCCATGCAACGCTCCAAACTTTTTCGACAACGCCACCAACTCGGGATCGTTCGCTTTTTCGGGGTCGCTCGGCCGCAGTTGGCCGATCTCGTGCCCCGTGCCCAACCTTACTTCCACTTTGTGCCGCGCAAACATCACGGCGGTCGTTTTGGGTTCGAACACCAGCAAGTTCAACAATACGATCGCAAGAATGCCGATTAAATTTCCGAGTTGCGTAGTTCCTAGCTGGTTAGAAGTACTCGTCCTCGCAGCGGGCATCACGTACGGCATCGCCTGGTCGAGTAACACGCAGGCCGCGACAATATCACAAGAAAAAAGTGTTACAGTTACACATTTGTTGGAATTTCTGCATCACAAATTTTCTCTGTGTGGCAGGGAAAACTTGCAATGCGAAGACCATAAACGGAAAACAGGAAGGAAACGAGGCTCCCAAGCATTTCCTGCATGAGAAAGGTTATCTGTGTTGCCGGTCTTGCAACACAATGTGTAACTGTAACACTTTTTTCTTGCGATAGACAAAGATTGCGGAATACTGGAAGTACCGCGGGAACAGGGCCGCTTGCAGCCTGCCGAACACGTGCCGAGGCAGGTTGTGGAACATGACAAGTCCGGCGACAAACGAAACCCACATGCTGCACCCGAACCAGGTGGCGAAACAGAAGACGTGGATCGGCCATCGGTACTGCACGAAAATCGCGGTCGCATTTGCGAAGGTGAAACTGACACCGCTGGTAGACCCGGACACGGTCACTGCAGCGACCAGCGCAGCGAGGATGGCAAGCGCCCGATACACTTGGCGTTTGGGCAAGAAAAAACCACCAACGATGGGAATGCTGTCCGAGGCTTTCGTGGTCTGTGTTTTCTTCTGGTCAGCACTTTTCGCATCGCTCTTCCGCCCGGGCGTGCTGCTGCCGCGTGGCATGTTCTTCATAACCGCCATGGTTGAAGATCTAGGTAGGACACTATCACTACTTTCAGCGTGAAATTAAATTGATAGTTCGACGTGCAACCAAGGTATTTTTACAACTGATGCTTGAGGAGGTAGAGCTCTCTCCTGTGAAGCAAATGGGAGCGCGCGGGTCGGGCAGAGGGATTATAAATATGGTCGCACTGACTGGCTTAGTCTTAGATGAAAATGCCGGAATAAAAATCAAACTAGCTTGTTCTGCTCGTCTATTTTCGTCATTGTAGTCTCGCTTTCTCGACGTAGTTCATGAAACAAGAATCAGACCTTGCTAAGCCTCGAAACCTGAATTACGTGGTACTAATCTGGCTGGAAAAATAGATCAGGTTACGGCAATTGCAAATCAACATCTGGTACGTCACTCGGTGTCATTGCGAACACGACTAACACAGCACTGCTGCATCTTGCTCATACATCAAGCGACATTTATGTTCATCGTCTACCTGCTGCTCTTAAACTTAATCTTCGTCCTAGCGCCGACCGAGTGAAGATAGCCTGAACTTCTATCAACGTAAATTTGTTCTCTGTGCACAAGTGCAAGTTCAAGGAAGTTTCTTCACGATGGAAAGAGATAAACAAAAGCTCGCTCCTCGGGCGAGTAGAATGTAGCGTATACGATTTCTACTTCTTGCGAAACGTAAACATCGAAAGCAGGTATTCGTATTTAGTTCGTTTTGGAATCAGGCAAAAACCCAAAGTTTTGTCCAGAGTTCTAAAGTTGATAGTTTTAGCAGTACCGGTACTCTAGCAAAGAAGTAAACAAAGCTCGGAAACCGAAACGAAAGAGAAGACTCACTTCTAGGAAGCCGTGACACCGCACCCCGAAGTTCACTATTGCAAATTCTAGCTAGGCTAGCAAAACAAAGAACGAACGGAAGATCTGCATCAAGGCAAAAAGTCCGACCTCGCAAAAAAACATAAAGCTCCAAAAATTAAAGTATTATAATACAAAAGCTCTAGTCGTCGTCAAGGTGTGACAGCACGAGCACCTTAATCTTTAATATCAAAGTCAGCGGTCCTTCTTGTTTTAGTTTTTCTGGGAAACGTTCACAGCGCAAGTGGACTCGACGAACGTGAAAAAAGAAACGGAGAAGAAGTTCTGTGCAATTAACGGGTTGACCATATCGTATGACGTTTTCCTGTGCCACCAGAAAGTCTTGTACTATCTCGCGCACATTAAGCTTCTACGCCATTTATACAGTTGTCAGCTCAAAGAAAACGCACCATCTCATTACGTTTGAGCGCTCTTGTGCAAATGATGTCTGCATATTATTTTGCTCTTTCTGCATGGAAGCTTCAACCGCCGTCTCGATAGTGTTTTCTTCAAACTCGTTGAAGCGATGAAATATCGCTTCGTTTTTGTTGCTTTTAGCGTATCATTAGATTTAGTTTACTCTAGTCAAGTCAATAATGTTAAAGTAGTTCCTTCAGTGGGACGAGTGGTTTTGCTTTTGCGCATGATATTGCTGAGTCCAAGCACCACCGTGCACCACCTGATCGACAGAAGCCTCCTGCTTTTTACAAAAACGCGATGACGCTTCCGGTCGCGTGGGTACCGGGAGCGGCGGCCGCGAGCCGCCGCTTCTCGGCCGCGGTGGCAACGGCAGCCAGCGTCAGCAGGGGTCCCATGCTGGCGGCCTTGACATCGTCCACTTCCTGCACCTCGTACTGCTCGTCCTCATCCGGCTTTTCAGCGTCCATTTTGTGCTCCGGTTCGACCGTACCCGTAGCTGTTGAGTGGCGTACAGCATCTACTTTGTTGTCACCATGCACTAGAAAACAATTCTGATTTTCCTCGAGTTTAGTTACAGCTTTGCTAGACGACGGACATGGTAGTGTAAGGGAGGATCACTTCATTCGTTTTCGCACTCAACACTCCTCATACCTAGCTTAATCTTCTTGGAGATGAATCGATGCATGAACACGAACACCGATCTGAATAAATTCCAAATTTCGATTCGATGTATACCCGGCTCGTCCTGCGCGGGCGCGTTCGCAGCACCACTGTCCGCCTGGTGTTCCTCCACGGGATTCGCCTTTGCGTTTTCCAACTCCGTGGCGGCGAACTTCTGCAAATCCTCTGGGGTGCGATCGCCTTCGAACTCATGCACGGTTCCGTTCTTCCCCTCAAACCGGATGGTCGGAAAACCCTGCACGTCCTCGCGCACACAATCTTGGAAGTCCTGATGAGTTTCATCATCGCATTTTGCTTATGCTGCATCATCTTCTGTCACATTCACTTTAGTTTACATACTTGATCATGCGAACGTGAATCAAGAAAGCTGAAATTCTGAAGCCAAAAGATGCAGCCAAGGTGGATGCCCGCCAAAAAGTCTTTCAGTACCCCAGCCGGTTGCCACTTGTCATTCAGGCACTCCTTCTCCACCCATTTGATGTCATCCTTCATTTCCGGGTGGTTCTCGGCCCACTTTCCGCTCGCCTCGTCCCAGATCGGCTTCAACTTGACGCAATGCGGACAGCCAGACGCGAAGTATTCCACGATCTGATCCTGGGTCGGCGTCGCGTGCTCCACCGGAATGGCGGCACCTGTAATGTCCTTGACTATTTCCTTGTCGAATTTAGCTCTCAGCTACTAGTAGTACTTATGACCCTGGCTTCACGAGGAAAGCTGCGAGGTCTCTGGTACAAGTGCAATCAAGTCTTAGCGCATGTGCAGGCGCAACAACAAAATTTCGATCTGACAACACACCTCATACCAGCCGCGGCCGCCTGGTCCGCTTCGGGCATCGGTTCGATTCCGGTGTGCTGCTTCGCAAAGGTCGTGAGTTGGTCGACGGTACGGGGGCCGTCAAAGTCCGTTGCGGAACCATTGGGGCCGAACAAGCGCAGCGTCGGAAACGCGTGGACCTGCTCCTTGTTGCAGGCGTCATTGTCCGATCCTGATTTGGCAGTTTATTTTGGGATAATTTGGATATCCCCATCAAATCGTCGTCGTCGATGCAGTATTTTGAGAAGCACAGATGAAACACAACCGATGATGATCACTACTCTTGTATTTTTGCGTAGCGACGAAAATGAAAGAAAGGCTTCAACCATGAGGCACATGGAACAAAAATTGCTGTAGAGATTGAGATAGCATACCGGCTTTCCACGACTCGTCAAGGCACTGCTTCTGCTCGTGTACGAGGTGTACCTTCGGGTTTTGCATCGCGATCTCGTTCCACGCCTCGGTGGCCGCCTTCCACTTTGGGGCGAGATCCGTACAATGGGGGCAGGCTTGGGCGTAGTACTCCACAAATCGGTACTCACCGTCGCCCAGGTTGTGGTAATCCACAACAGCTGCATCCTTCGCAGCGGCCGGGGCCCCGACGAACTTCCCTTTTACCTGGGGTAGCACAAGTATTCAACTACTTCAGTTTCACTACTTTCCAATCAAGAACAAAGTGGCGCTTTGAGAATCAACAAGTTAACGGACGTCGGAAAAGCAGCACTGTATTGCGATGAAAGAAAGTGAAAGCAACGTAATTGTAGAGACGACATTTCTACTTACCCATTCATACGCCGCGATCTCTGGAGCGAAGAGTTTATACGTCCCCCAATGAACGGCGTCGTAGAGATTCTGTGCGAGACCAACCATTTTTACTGAAGATAATTTGGATCTGGAGTGTCGTCGAGGTCGACGTCTGCGCCTTTTTTCCTCCTTCTACTCGAAGCAGCAATGCCTAACTGATTCTAAGACTAAAGTCTTCGTCATCTGACATCGCACGCGTCCAGGTGGTTTTGTTAATTTCAGTCGGTTTTTGCTCTCGCTCTCGGTAGTTCTTCCTCTTCCAAGATGTTAACACTGCATATGTAAAATTTGGCGCTTTGCTTCTCCACGACTTCCGCTCACATCTCCGATCGGGTTTGGCATTCACAGCTTTGGAGGCCTTCTCTTTTGGCAGAAAAAAGGCAGAGAACGCGACTCGCTCGACCGAAGTGCGCGCAAATAAATTGGAAGAGAATTAACTCTAGACCGCTCGGAGTGTAATCGTGATTCAAACGGAATTCAAACTGAATTCAAAAAGTTGGCATTTTCAAAAAAACGCCCCTCCGAGGGGGCGAATCGGGCGAAACAAATGCGGCGCGCGACAGCCATAGAAAACGGCCTGTAGCCGCTTTCACACGAACGCTGCGCCCTGTGCTTGGTCCAGCGGACCAGGCGCGAAACGGCAACTGGATCCAACCATGCGAAGGAGCTTCCGGGAAATGGGGCGAACGCGCTTTGGTTCGACCGGCGGCCGAAGTTTGTTATCATGCCTTAACTTGCGAGACTTGAAACCCGGCTCGGCGCCAGGGGGGTGCTGCCGGTGTAATAAGAGAAGACCCTGCCCAACCACGGAAAAATGCCGGAAACCGTCGGGGGCCGGCGCATGCGGTTAGGAGCATGGCTGGCCTCGGTGTCGGGGTCGCGGCTTGGCCCGGCGAGCGCTCAAGCAAGTCAGCCTGTGCATATTGCATGTGACGCTAGTGGACAAAATGCCGCCAGGGGCGAGGCCATCCCCGGCCGCGATTCCCAATGCGGTCAGCCACCCAAGATCGCCCAGGCTGGTCTCGGTAGGTGAAGTCGACTGGAGGCACAACTCTGGTGGCCCGGACCACAAAATCCCATCCCCCACCAATTCAAAATCCATCCGAATTCTGTCAGAATCCGTCCGAATCAAGAAGCCAAGTAGGGGACAAAATTCGGACGGAATTCGGACAGAATTCGGATGAGTTTTGAATTTGCCCCGATGGCCCCGATGGAGTTTGAATTGGGGCCGATCGTCCGGATGGGTTTTGAATTGGGGCCGGTCGTCCGGATGGAGTTTGAATTGGGGCCGGTCGTCCGGATGGAGTTTGAATTGGGGCCGGTCGATCGGATGGACTTTGAAATTGAGATCCACTCCCCGATGAACTTTAGAATTGTTGCGCCGATCCCAAATTAGCGCCGCAAACAAGCGCAGCCCCCTTCTGCGCCCGTGCGGGCCTGTTGTAGTGTTCCTGCCCGGAGTGCCAAAGCCAATAATAGCGCCGGCCGCGGGAATGACTAAACCGCCACCAGTGTCAGACAGGCGCTACACAAAAGTGGCGCGAAATAGTAAGCCACGACAGAGCGCCGTCGCCCTTCGCAGGCGATGCGGGCGTATGCCGGAAAGTGAACCAGAGCGCATCGCTCTGGCCCTCGGTCATCATTCAGCAACACTCCTAGTACGGTGCGGAGCAGCCCTTCGGGTTGAGCCCGTCCCCCGAGCCAATGAGCCAGCAGGAGCCAACGTCGGACGAGCGAGCCAATGACTCGCTCGTCCGAAGTGCGCGCAAATAAATTGGAAGAGAATCCACTCCGAGACAACATCACGACTCTGCATTTTTTGCGAAGAAACTTCCGCTCATGTTCGACACAATGAATCAAACGAGCAAGTAAGAACAAGCTACTGCTGCACAAGCACCGCAGAATGGGGAGAAGAGAACTCTCCAAAGGAAGTGTGTAGATCATCTCTCACTTTATTTATTTGGTACCGCCATGCCCTTGCTCCCGTAGGCTGGTTTCTCAGATAAGCACCATCTAGCTGAGGAATGTTCGCATTTCTTTCTCACGAACTCGAAACAGTAAGCCGTTCAAAAATCTTACATGGCAAAAAATTTTTTTTCATCTCACTGCTTTACCTTCCTCTCCGCCGACTATTGACGCACGCGAACGCAACCGCCTGGGCGGCCCACAATGCCACCACGACCCCCACCGCGGCTGACACCACGAGGAAAATTTGAGAAAAGTCATGGAACGTGAGCTGATTCTCATCCCCAATGTCAGCGGTCGCGCAGGCGTCGTCCCTACCTGCTTCGCTTGACGCACCAGCCGCGAAACCTGGAAACCATTTCTTAGACAGCTCGTGGTCGATGTCCGGGTGTTTTCTCGAGCGCAGATACGTGACGGCCTCCGACACTGCGTCACGAAGCGGCGAGTTTTTCGGAAATGCGTAGGCGTACTCCTGTGGACCGAACAAATCCCCCGTGACCTCCAACGGCAGGTCGCTACAGGAACGTCTCGCTTCGTCTTTCGCGGCCAGCCATTGCAATACTGGTTCGTCGTAGACACCCGCCTGTGCCTGGCCGTCCTTCACCTTATCCGCCACGTCCACGAAGCCGTTGGCCTGGATCACGTCAACGGTTGGGAAATTGGATTCGATAAACTGCCTCGGGACATTGGTGCCGCCGGTCGGGTACTGAACCGCGATGCGTTTTTTCCCGCCCCCCGCCTGCAAATCCTCAACGGAGAAAAGCGACGGGTTTGTGTGCCGGTTCGTCAGCATCGCAGCCAAGCCTGCGACGTAGATCGACAGCCACACGGTGCCGAATACCAGCGCAATGTTTGAAAGCGTCTTTCCCGCCGGCGTCTTGATGTCGTCGATCGCGCTGTCTCTGCCGCAAACGAAAGAAAACGCGTCGTACTGCGATTTGAGTAGTTGCTGTGCGGCTTTCAAACGTTGGATGCGCTGCAAAACGCGTTGCAGATTCTTCTGCGTTGTTTCCGAAACGGTTGTCCCCGCGTCCGAACCGGTGGGGCTCTGCGGGTCTATCGCTTTTTGTTCTGCGTGGTCCTGATTCGTCGGCGAATTAGAAACTGCATCCGCAAATAGAACAACTTGTCGATGCTTCTCACTATGATCTTGCTCGTCGTTTTGCCGCTCTGAAGTTCTCGATCTCGGTGTACAACTCCATTGAGTTCGTCACTTACTTCGGCGACAACAAGCGCTGTGGACGATGGTTTCATCTGCTCCCGCAACTGCGCAGCGTCGGTCCTACTCCTCACGATCGTGCCGCTGCTGCTCACGGGAACGCAAACATCCAAACCCATCATCGTGCTGGTTCGCTCCAGCATTGGTGTTGGCGCGCTCGCGTGTTCCATCCGCGTCCTTTCCACCGCCTTCATCAAGAGCCGTTTCTCTTCCTTGGAAATCAGCAACTCGTTGTCGATCATGACTTCCGCCGACTCTGCGTCGAACCTACGCAATTGCTTGGCGCACTGCTCCTCCCCCTCCAGCAGCTTCACGTCTTCGGTCAAGATTTCCTCTAGCTTTTCCACCCGTTTCCGCTGGGCCAACCCCTCCACGGCCCCGATCAGCGTCCCAACGATCACGACGAAAAGCAACAACGCAAGCCACACGTCCGTGCTGAAGGGCCGCATGAAGAAGTCGGTTGGCAGAGCTTTCAAGGAGGGCGGCTGCGACGCGATCAAAAACTTGTACCCGGTCGAGTAGTACGGCGTCGAGAAATCGACCCGCCAAATGCGGTTTTTGAAGACCGTGATCGCGGCGACAGACACGTCTGCCTTGTTCTCGGCAGCGTACTCGATCAGTTTTCCGGTCGACTCCGCGCATCGCAGGATGATGTCGGTTTTGTCGTACCCCAGAAGTCCAAACACCTCATACAGGTGGTCGATGGTGTAACCGACCAGGTCCTGACGCCCCGCCGGGTGAAAATTTGCTGGGTCGTCGTTGGTACAGGACGGGTAATTGTTAATGCTGCCGGGCGTTATCGCCGAATCCACAAAGATCGGAAACATCTTGGTCCAGACGACAATTTTCGCCGGGAAGCTCGGGTCCTTTGTGCGTCGCTTGAACGACGCCGCCTCAGTCACCGCCCGGCAGCTCGGCGCGGACTTAATCGGGCTCCGCTCGCACATGAACTTGTCGGCCGCAAACTGCGACGCGAGTCTGCGTTTCACGTCGGATTCAGGGAGGTTCACGGACGCACGAGACCGGTAGTAACCAAACAGGGTTGTCACGTTTTCCGGGAACAACTGCCAACGCGTTTCCAAAACTTCTGCAAGAAGGGAAGTGGGCAGTGAACTATTTCCAGTAGGCGTGCTGGTTGCGCCCTGTGCGAACAAGGAATTGATCCTTGTCGAGTTGTACACCATTTTCAGATTTACCGGCGCTTTTCCAAAGGTGGTGACTCGCCGCACGCCATCCTCCTCGGTCAAGGCCGAAGGCTTCCAACCATAGAACAAAATCGGCTTTCTAAGTTTGACCCCTTCCTGTATTAACGCCAGATGCTCCGCGCCAGATTGCGGGAAGACAAACCGAGATAGCAAATGCGACGGCATGTAAGTGCTACACTGTTGCGTTTGGAGGTCGCTGCTGTCAACGTACGTTTTGTTCGCATTCGCCCCGGTGACGAAATCCGGCATGAAGCACTCGCCTGTTCCGCGTACCTCCCAGCCGACGGGCACGCCGATAATCCGCAGATCTGCGGGAATGTTGGAGAGCAAGTTTGTGCTCCCGATGTAACCGGACGGGAAACTCGCCAAACCCGGGTTTTCGTCCAAGAGCCAGCTTGGTGCGTACAATGCGTTTTCGCCCCGCACACCGACATCCACCGTCGTTCCGCCGAGGGAGTCACAGCGCTGGTCTTCGTAGTCCCAGCATTCCGGCACTACCTCACACTCATCGCGCTGCAGGGCTTGCAGTGCCGTGAAGGAGCTCGTCAGCTCTGGCTGCGCAATCGGGTCGACAGAGACCGCGTCGCCGTTGGAAGTGCGCAGCACATTCGGGAACTCGTTTTGCAAAAACGTCGACACGGTATACGCGTGTAGGTCGGAGGAAATCCAGTTCACGTTGCAGAACCGCAAAGCTGCAAGGGCTCCTGTCGCCATCCTTTCACGTGCCAGCGCGACGAATTTGATTGAAAGCAAGATGTATATGATGGAGAACCTCCCGAGAATCCCCACCTCCCTCCTTTATGGCTCTTTTACATATCCAATGTGAACCATCAACTCCCTCTTATGACACCCCTTTTGCATTTCTCTTTATTAAGAATATCTTTGACACGGGCCGAAACCGAATGTTTTCGTTTTCTTCTTCGAAAGATGCGAGTACGCACAAACTCTAGAGTATTTAGCTGTGCTGTAATAGCAAAAGCGGCTCACGCTCGAATTCCAATTCGCCCGCTCTCATGAGTATTTCACATTGTCAGAAATCGCGCTCCTAGGAGAGTCAAAGAATATCAGAAGCCCCGAAATAAATCCCTAGTCATCCTGCACTGACTTTTGGTGAAACACACTGGTGCATGCAGAGAAATTGGGATAATTCGTGGCATTTTCATTGAGCTTACACACCGACATCTCAAAGCTTGAGCGTTTGTTCAGTACCGTTTTTCAATTTACTCTTCTACCTCGAAGCGAAGACACAACTTGGGCGCTTGGTCCTGATATACGAGAACACTATCATTTTTACGTAATGCTGATTGACAAATAAAGAAACTTCGCTGCTGATTCAGATTCTATCTAACACAAAAAATACATGCTGATGCTGATCTAAAGAATTTAAAAAGGCGCTGGTGTTTGCTGATTGACAAATAAAGAAACTAAGGACTCATTGATTCTCTTAAAAATAAACCGTGACACAGGCGGCAGAAGTCGGTTGCTATCTACTCCTCGGTAGCTGCAATAAATCGAAATAATCCACATCAAATGGTTTTACTTTTCGAGTAGGATAATTCATTTTTTCCGCGCGACTACATTGTGAAGGTTGTGCATTGTACAATTTGAATTTCTTTTGTTACAGTTACTGAATCGCGGCGGTGTGTCGGTGAAACTCGAATCTGACCTGCATCACTGCTTGTCGGTGGTTTCCTTCTTGGCCGGTGCTTTCGTCTCGACCTTCTTGGCCGGGGCTTTGGCTTCTTCCACAGCCTTCTTCGCCGGGGCTTCCGGCTCTTCACTAGCTTTTTTGGCGGCTTTGGGTTCGTCGTTGGTCTTCTTGGCACCCTTCAACACCAAGGACGGCGGGGTCAGGGCCGCGGCCTTGCCAGCGGCAGCACTTTCCGGATCCGGGTTGGTCGTGATCTGCACGGGCTCGTTGCCGCCGGTGACCGGAGCCGCACCAGGTTCCGGGATAACTGTATTGTGATGTTTTTGGGATTTAGGATATGGATATTAAATAAAGTTCGAAAACGAAAGTGTACGAGGCCGTCTAAAGCAGAGGTGGAAAGAAACAAACTAAATTAAAATTTCTGTGTCGGCATGAAAATAATCCTGCAGGATCTCGCTTGACTTTCTAAAAACGCAACCGTCGCGGAAACATAAACTCAAATCAAATCGAGTACCAGCTGGGTCCATCGGTGGTCCGGCTGGGGCCTTCGGGGGCGGTGGTCCGGATCCCGCGGGCGCGGCAGGCGTTGGCGTTGGTGGCGGCGGGGCGGAGCCCACGGGCTTCGGGGAGGGCGCGACCGCGTCCGTGGTGGGGTCGATCGGGGGGTTCCCGTTGGGGCAGGCGCCGGTCTTGTGTGCCACCTCGACCAGCATCTCGTGGTGCAGGTCATTCGCACGCTCGGCCGCGACTGCAAAGTTGGCGAACTTACCGCCTTCGAACTCGTCCACCTTCATACAGGGGTTCAAATCTGCGGGGACCGTGGGCGGGACCTTTCCGACGATACCATCACCGCAGTCGACTTCCGCTCCCGGCTTGACCGACGCTGGCGGCAAGCAGGCCTCGGAACCCGGCACGATGATCGACAGCGCACCGTTGTACAACGGATCAGAGGTAGCGTCCGGGGCACAGTCGGGCACGCGGGCACCGGCAAGGTCTTTCGCGCACCACTTGTCAGCTTCGGCCTGGTCTATGACTGGGAGAATGTTCTAAAGACGTATTCCTGGGCTTTTGTTTCATGCCAAGAGGGTAGCGCTGACGTCAGCAACAGCTGCAGTTGGTGGAGACAGATTTTTTAAAAAATCTAAAAAACGTTTTTTCTCGCCGTCGTTCAGCACTACAAGCAAAATGGCGCGAGTACAAGGCGTATTGTGAAGTTCACAGTTTCACTTCTTTAGAATCTCTCCTGCTTAACCTCGTGGAACAACATTCGCGGGCAGCACTTCTGGCAGCTGTAGCCCGTGTTTCCGCCAGTTCCCTCCTCGAACGCGGCCTCGGTCGCCGGGGCCTCGACCGGCTCGGACACGCCCGGCAAGCAGCTGTAGTGCTGAAAGACGCCGGTTTCCGGATCGGGCATGTTGGCGCAGGCGACGCCGTAAAACGCGGGTGGGAAAAAGCCGCACCCTCCGTCGCCCGGCATCAACTTGTCGACGCAATGCGGACCGGACGGAGCCTCGGCGGTCGCGGTCATGCTACCCGGGATTGGCGGTGGGGCGGATCCTGGCATGTGCGGCGCCGGATTGTCGTAGCAGAACGCGTGCTTGCCGTAGAAAATGTCGTGGACCTCGTCGGGGGCCTGCTTGCTGAGGAGCCTCATCGGGTCGAACGCCTCGCAGCCGAACCCGAAGGTCCCGCGGCAGTCAATCTCCACGACATCCCAGCCTCCCTGCTTAGCGACGGTTTTTCGCTGCCTCTATTCCCTGAAAATTAACCATCCCCATCCACTTTTTGCATGACAAACACAGAATTTGCTACGTGTTTTGCATGACAAATTGGATGGGGATGGTTAATTTTCAGGGGATAGCCTCTTTTGCTGGAAGACACTGGTCAGCCGGCCATTGGACTTCACGTGAAGTCCCGCCGCACCGGAGACTGACCCAAGAAGGGCAACACTCCGCATCCTCTGTGTCACCCTACAAGTCTCTTCTACGGATCAGTTTTTTGTTTGTGTCGTTTAAATTTAGATCTGGAAAAAACTTCGATCGTCACGACACGGCTTGTAACAGAGCCACAGCACTTGCTTCACCATCTTCGAAAAGAACACAAATTCTTTTCAGTGCAATCACACAACCAAAGAAAAGGAACGACGAAAAAAAAACTGCTTCATCTGACTGCCCTTTGAAATTCAAGATCTTTAATTTGTGTAGCTCCACCGCCATGCTGATCCTGTTCGTGCAGTCGGAAACAACGACAGGAAAACAGAAAAGGCAAAAAGAGTTACTGATCTACTCGCCAGTTTAGAAGGGTGTACTTGGCACTTATTTCACCACCACCATGAGCACGCAACCGGCGCTGTCAATCTTTATTTCTGAAGGCATTGCAATACTGCTGCCTGCTGCACTCTCCCCGAGGACCTAAAATCACGTCCACAGACCAGAGGCGTCCCCACCCAGCTCTAGTGCCAGTTCCTGCATGCGGCGGTACAGTGCGGTCGCCGTCTTGTGTGATAAGCAGGGAACCCGCAAAACCTCAAGGGCCTGCTGCACATATTGCGACTTTCTCATGCCATTCAGAACCACACCGTTATTGGAAGAAGACGCGGCAACCAGCAGCGCTTGCTGCTGTAATTTGAGCGCCTGGACGGTTTTATTTTCACCAGTGAGCTGCTCTCGAAAAATCTGTGCGAAGAGCCTCTGCATCGGCATCTGCTTCTCGACAAACTCAGCCGAGGAATCTGCGTGGGCCCAATCGTGGGCGCGAATTGTCATCCCAGGTGGCGCAATTGCGGACAGTGGCCGGTTGACAAGGCAGCACAGGTTATTCCGCTCGATAACGGCGAGATCGGGCTCCCCGTCGAAACCTGGAACGACGTTCGGGCGGCCCAGTCTGATCCCGGGCTCCAGGGGGTTCAGCGGGGCCTGGATACCGACGAAGCCAGTGCCTTGAAATAACCTTTGGTCCTCCGCGTTCATTTCCGCAGCTGCACTATGACCAGCTGATGTATCAGCGCCACCGGCAGCGGACCGCGCATCCCCTCTCCGTGCGAGCGCGTCGATGGCGCAACCTAGCACGGATTGCAAGCTCAGGGCCTCGAATGCATTTTTTCTTCCCGTGACGGAATGGTAGCAGCTGAGAAAGTTTCCAGACACACCGTAACCGGTGATTCGCTTGCTTTTTCGCAGTGCTTCCAACGTCGCAAACGCGACCTCGAGTCGTTTGTACAGCTCCGCCCAGGCAGCCTGCAACGGCTCGCCCCGGTTCAGCGCGTCGGAGAGGTAAAATTCGGGGTTGTGAAGAAAAACAAAATCCGGGGTAGTTTGCAGCCGCGAACAGGATGCGTCAAACTCCTCGAGGAGAAAGTCCGGCTCGAGGCAGTGCCACGTCCTTTCCAAGGGTTTCACGTCGTTCGCGCGTCGCTTTTCCATACCGGTCAAATCGCCGCTGGAGCCGTTTTTCTCTTCGGGAGTCGAACCACCAGATGTGGTGGAAGGTAGTGGCTCTGAACTCGTTTCAGTTGCGGGTTTCAGTTGATTTTGTGTGCGGCTTGTATCGTCCACTGCCGATTTTCGCTGCCCTGCACCGCCCGCGGATTTCTGGCGTACGACGTTTTTGTAACGGAGGGATTTCTCGTATTCGTCCGCCGCTATCCCGTAGTTTTCCACAACTTCAGCTGGCACAGTGATATGGCCAACTTTTGTCACGACGACGCACTCCTTGCGTTTCGCCTCCCCCCGGGCCCTCAGGCAAGCGCCAATCATCTCTTCCGATTCCCCGGGATACCTGTAATGTAGAAGGGATCGTCTTCGATCGTCCTCTTCCTGCAACGTCACTTCGTTTCTTCAGGAACCTTTTTGCTAACACCAGGAGCAGTCGGGGCCACGGTTCCAAGCAATCCTTTCTCAGTGTCGCATCACGACTACACCAAATAAGAAATACTGTATCTTTTAACAAGGCAAAAATACTTTTGACCATAGTGGGTGCTCGTTTCCAACAGATTGACCGCACCGGAGTCTACTGCCGCTTCCAACGCTTCGAAGCACCGCGACGACCCGATTCTGTACGCCCCGAAACCTATGCTGCTGCAAGTGAAGCGACCGACCCGCCGCACGTGCGTTGGATGCACCTTGCCCGCAGCCACAGCCTGGCGCAGCAGCTCGCGAGTTGCTTGTGCAGACGCCATGTTCCTGTTGCTCTTGCTGTACTTTCAACGAGGCGAGGATTGTCGACTTTATTGCTGTCTTTTGTGCAGCTGAGGTTGCTTGAGCTTGTTAGTTCTGTTGTGCGTCGCTGTCTCTCACTGAATGGCTCCGAAAATGAAAGGCCACATAATTCTCGCAAAAAAAACCGTTTACCAACAACGCAGATACTGACACGTGCCTTCGTCGTCTGGCAGTTGCTCTGCAAAGTCGTAGAGGAACAGAAAAGCCCTAGCTCACTTTTAATCCCGCGGAGCCGCTGTCCTCTGTAACCATTCTCGCAATCATGGCCCGGCGCTCGACGCCAAACATTGCGTGTTGATTCATTTGCGTGATGTTTCTTCGTCATAAGTGCGTTACGTCGTACTAGCCACTGTAGGTCAACAATGCGCAAGAGGAGCCATGTGATCGCTCTTTTCATCAGAGCATGATCCTTTGTAGGCCGGGGCCCCATTTCTGTTCGTCGGCAAAAGTCTTCCCTAAAAACAACACCCACACCCCTGAAGTCAGGCCGAACGACAACACTAGCCCGAGAAGTTCGGTCCGCACGGACTGCATCGGGTGCGCAAGCGTCAGACACAGCAGTGGCACCAAAAAGTATCGAAATTCCAGGAGAGGTAGCGCTGCTAAAGACAACACCGTGCAAAATCCGAAGACGAAAAGCTGTGATCTGTAAGGCCCGAGCGCTAACTCCCGTGCGGTAAGAAGAGCTGTTTTTACAGCAGCTTGTTGATCTCCTTTTTTGCCGCTTGCGTCATCCTCTGACTTTGTCGTCTTTTTCTCTTTTTCATCATTACCCCCGGTGTCTCCGGCTCTACCGCCGAGGTACAACAACGTGGCTGCAGTTGCAGCCAGAGGGCACGCGACGATGCGCAGTGGTGGTTTGGAGAATACCCGGCGCCACGCGTAGAACGAAAGGTGTCGGTTGTCGGCAAGTAGGAATGGGTGTGCGAGTACCAACGTGCTGCAAAGGGAAAAGAAGACCCAAATCTTAAGTGTGAGGGCCGCCGTTTCCGCCGTTAAGAAGTCTTCTTTGAGTAACTCGAAGGTCTTCGTTATGCTTCCTGTCCGGTAGTAGTCTTCAACATTTCTTGGAAAGAAGAAGCCGAGCGTTGGGAGTAAGACACCCAGATACAGCAGCATCGCCAGGTGCGGGCTAATTTGGTGGAACTCCTGGTGTCCCAGCGCTAGTTGCCCATTGTTCCACTTCACGAACGTGAGGAAACCGACGCCAGCGGCGATGTGGAGTGGCAGTCTTCTTATCGCGATGCTGCTGCATTTTCCAATCAGCAACCGCATACCCGCGAAGGACCGCACGTGCGCAGTAACGTCGGCCATACTGGTCAGCCGGGCCTCTGTCAACAGGTCGGCGAGGGCCGCTGCGAATACCCAAACGATGTTCAGTTGTCGGGCGAACAGGCTCGCACATCCAAACACGCCTGCTGCTCTGGTGTGCCGCTCGAGGTGACATTTCAGCATGAGCAACAAAAGCAGGGTGGACAGCGTCTCGGTGTAGAAGATAAAGTGGTAGAAAAACGACACAAATAGCAAATGCCCGCGGAGCGCACGTAGTATTACCGCTGGGATCAGCACTTCGCCTGCAGATGCAGTCGTTTTTTCGGCGGCTTTACTACCTGCTTCCGTAGTTGTGATCTCGGATCTTCCTGATCCATCTTTCCAGCTGCCACAGTAGCTGCTTCCATGATGCAGCGTCGTGAGGATGCTGACGAGTACCACAAAACATAGCGGGCCGAAGGCTAGCGCGTTGATGCCTCGCAGGAAGCCGACACTACACACAGTCGTCAGCTCAACGTCCCCCACCAGGCCGAACAGCTTACTACCCCCTGCCAACGCGGAGGACGCCGTAGCTGCAGCGAGATATATTCCCGGCGGCGTAGTTATCTTTGGATCCCACTGGACGTCTTCGAGTCTTGTAGCGTTGCAGAATCGTTGCGCCTGCGGGACGTGAAATAATTCGTCCATGTAAGGCTCAGGAACGTGGCGCTGCATCAAGGCGTAGAGCACGCCGTGCAGGAGGATGACGATACCCAGGGCCTCGACAAAGGTTCCGCTCCTCATCAAGGTCTTGGGAGAAATTGCACTATCAACTTCGTGCAGACTCATGGTTTTGCGCAAACTTTATTTGTGGCCGCTTTCTTTTCTGGCTGCCGCTGCTCCGCCACTGGGACGCTGGCGGTAGCAACAACTTTACCCCGAAGAAACTACTCTTTACACGATCCTGAGACTTTTATTTTCATGGTCATGCACCAGCTTGGCCGATTCATTTTTCTGCCGCCTTGGCCTTAGGCGCGTCTAACTCCGAAAAAGCGCGATCTGAAAATCAACTTCTGTGGTAGTTGCTATTGATTCTGATCTTTCAGCAACGGTATCGGGGGTACGAGCAATGTACAATAGACTCGACTGCACCTTGATCTTCGTACATATTTGGCGCAACTAAAAAGCGGTGCCCAGATCCATGTAAGAAACGGAGTGAACGAGAACCGGCGCTCCACAAATGAGATCAACACGTCTCTCATTATCATCAATGGCGGAACGCAGTATCTGCGATCACGTCGAATGGAATGGAACCAACCTATACTATCACGAAAATGAACACCATCAATATGCGCTGCCTGCTCTTCATGTTGCTTTGCTGGTGGTCTTAAAGTTAGTGACTGTTGCATGCGTTTGTGTGCGTTAGTGATACTGCACCATTCGTTGTACCTTCTTGATGTTGCTCTTGATGTACCAACAGCAGCATACTTGGTCGTTCATTTTTTGAAAATTTCTTGTTCTCGACCCTTTCACACGCAAGCAGGGTCGGGCTCGGCTAGCTAACTGAGAGTAAGAACCACTCTGAGGAAGTCGAACGTGCAGCCTTTTTTTCAAAATTTCATTTATCAACGTACCCAAGTCCACCAGAAAAGAACTAGAGCACCGCAACACAGCTACTGACGAGGTATCTCTGCGTTCCAGCGTCAGCAGTCTTGACAAAATGCTCAATAGTCGAACTTTGTCTCGTTGACATGCCTCATCAACATGTAAACAAATTATAGTAAACAAAAGTAAAAGTAAAACTAACAGTTCGGTCTCCCCCCGACCGAGAAACATAGATAAGTACTCTGACCTCTCGTAGTTCTATGGTTCTGAAAAACAAAATGCACTCGAACGAAGTCTCGCAGTTGCGAAAAGGTGCAGCAGTGCGCTCTTGGCAGCACCGTGGCGGTGATGTGAGTCGTGTGATACGGTACCACATGAAACAAATATCTGTAATATCCTTATCACAGTCCGTGTCGTTCCCGTAAGCTTTCCCACTCGGCTTTGGTTTTTTCCGTCTCCGCGGGCCGCGAAATTACAAAGAGACTAGTTTCGACAAGAATGTACCCGCCCGGATGCTGGTCGTCGTCATCGCCGGGCGAAGAGGTGGCTGCTGCCATCACGTCAAACATGGAATTAGTGCTACTGTACGCGGTGGACGCCGCCGATGATTCTCGACGAAAGGCCCCGGGGAAAGGGAATGCTGCCTGACTATAGCCTCCACACCAAGAACTGCCGCCTCCGCAGGACCGTGGTGCGCCGACTGATACTAGAGCTCCTGACGATGTTGGTGTTGACGTAGTGCAAGCCGTGGAATTTCGTTTACGCGGTGAGTTACGAGCTGTTGTACCAGACCCAGGAATTCTGGCACCCTCCAACACCGGGGACGAGAGCGATGCGACGGGCCCGGGGAGCGCAAACGGTTCTATGTCTTCTTCCCCAAAAGTTTGCCCACACTGGAGCGCGCGTACCGGAAAAGGGGAAGATAATATCATCTCCTCATCCGAGTGGTAGCGCTCAACATCGAACGCAGCATGGGAAACAACAGGGGATGAGAGCCCGAGGCTGGAGGCGCTATCGGAACTTGGCCGCCGCTGGCGCCGCCGGGACGAGGACCACATTGGAGGTGGAGATGTGAACGGTGAGAGCGCCGGCGAGGAGCCCGGAGATACCATTGCCGTCGGGTTTAGAAATCCACCGGTTGCGGTTTTTTTCGGCCACGAGTTCCGCTGGACCCATGATTCTTGCGCCCGACCCCGAAGCAGGGAAGCCGCGCTGCGGGTCTTGCGTTCGTGCACCTCCACTTTCAGCAGACCCCGCTTTTCAAGTTCCGCGAGCGCGCCACTGATTTGCTCGTGAAAGAGCTTGTCTGCGCCTTGCGTGTCCATAACTTGACCGGGGTCGTGCGGGTTGCGGTAGACCTTGGTGCCAGACGTGAACACTGCCATGCCATTTCCGGGCGCAAGTAAAAGCAGAACCTGTAGTAGTAGTTAATGATGCAACTCCTTTTTGTAGTAGTAGTAGCACCGTTGGAGCACCAGCAACTCCTTTTAGTACTCTCGCAAACAGCACAAAAATCTTTCTCGAACACTATTTCATTGGAAAAAATAAAAAAACATCTATCGTCAAAGATCAATAATCATGAGATCGCACCTCTTCAAAAAAGTGCTGCGTCGCTTCCAGGCAGGCGGCCTGCCTCTGCTTGTCGTGCTTATGGCGACAAAACGGAATTCCCCCGCAGCTCTGAGCGTCACCGTCGACAACTTTGCAGATGCAGAGCCCGTCGTTCATGTATACCAGATTGATCTCGTCACGCAAGTTCGGCAACAGATTTTCCCTTTTTAGACTGGAGATAATTTCGCGATTGTCAACGACGGCAGACTCCATGAGCTGCACCTCCCGCGAAAATTCCGGGTGAGAGAGCACGCCTTTGATGCGCGGCGGGGCACTACTGTCATACAACGAGGTCGCCGCGGTTGCGCGGGACGAACCCTGTGGGATCATTTCCAGAGTCTCGCCCGCGTTCTGCACCACCAGGGTATCTTCGTGGATCGGCTCCACCGGGGGTGGGCTTGCCCGCGGTGTTGACGAGGTAGTGCGTGAAGTGCGTGGAAGCCCGCCTCCGACACCACCAGCTGCGGTCGAGCCCGGGCGCAGAGAGGCTGGGCTGCTCGGCGACGCCCATGGAGATATACGAGATTCGGCCGGACCGGTCGCCCGCCACAGCTTGCATGTCATCGCTGGTGCTGGGTGGTCAGAAAGGTCATGATCATCGCCATCGGACACATCTTCATCTTCTTCGTCTCTTGCATAGATTTGAATTTCCATGGGGTCTGCTTCTGACTGTGGACGATTAGGTCCCCGCAGAATATCAGATAGCTCGCCCTCACTGATTAGCCGAGTCCGACGTGTTGGGACGACATCCTGCTCGTCGTCTTCGTCATCGGGAGCTTCTGCGATGCAATGGGGGGGCGAGGAGCAGGTTTCTTTGCTGATCACGGAGCAGAAGGAATGGCCGAGCCTGGAAGATGACGCCCCACCCTGGCGAGCGCAACAGGAACAGGGCCCATCGCAGTCGTGCCTGTAAACTGTCTCACTCGGCACTCGTTTTTCCCAGTCAAAACCGAAAAGCGCGGTGTCCACGCGGGATAGATCGCCGGGAGTCATGAGGGCGAGCCTCTGCATCGGTTTCTCATCTGCTCTCCGGCAGCTAAGCTCCAGGAGCTTGATTTCGTCTTTCTTCTCGCAACACGAGGTCGACCATACTTCTTTCTCAACTTGCACTTGGTCATGATTCTGAACTTTTGTCCCGTCAACGCCTGGCGACCCTGCGGCGGATTTTTGCTGTTCTTTCGTGCACCTGCACGGAGCCTTGGTGAAGGTCTGCTCCAAAAAGCGCACCACAGCAAGCGGATCCAATGGCAAACCGTGCTGCCAAACGTGCTTCAATTGAGCGAAATCTAGAGATTTTTCCTCAGTGTCGGGCTGGTGTGCAGGGAAATGGATGGGAGCCGATGCTCTCGTTGCGGCAGAGCTCGCATCAACATACTCTGTTCCTTGGTTCGAGGGCCGACCTCGATGAATCCCAGATCCAAAAAGGAGAGCGTCTGCCACTAGCGGAAGAAAACTACTTCCGGCAAAGACGGCGATGCCGATGCGCTCATACGGGCCCATTGTGACAATGATTCCGAAATGGCGTTATTGCGAATGCGATGGATATAGTATAGGTAAAGTGAGGCCAAGGGTTATACATACTTATAGGTGAAAATGGTACAAATTATATAAATTATTTTGCCCAAGGAAGCACGTATCGGCATTCTCTTCGTGGTTGCATGTAGTTGGTCGTTGCGACAGCCGAAAATGATAAAAGCGGATATACCACAAAAACAGAGTCAGAGCGAAGTAGTTATTGTCAACATTTTTAGCAAGAGGTGGCAAGATAATTGAAGATTATTAATGTCTGAAACTGAATCAAGGCATCGATTGCCAGCAATATAGTGTTGTGATTGTCGGTTTTCACAGATATCGTACATGGAAAAACGGCGTTTAAAGTACTTGACAGATGAAGCGATGCGGTTTGTTATTTTGCTTTTAGAGCATTTGCTAGGCTTCAGGCAGTACGCGGTGCCGGCAACGAAAATTGGGAGGTATCATAATGTTGTAGCTAACTACCTTATTCTCTAGTGTCTTTCCAAAGTTAGCGCTGGGCTGTGACAAAGTAATGAAGTCAGTAGCGAAGTGGTCGGCCGAAGTTCTACCACGACAAAATCAAAGAAGGCTCCTCGTCGCATTGGCAGCACACCCCCGAAGAACTACTTACGTATTGTTTAAAATTAAGTGCAAATAATTAATAATGTCCAAAAGTGTTAGCGACAGTCTATCTCCTCTCTGTTTCTAGCTCTACGACTATCGCTTACGTTTACCGTTCGCGCCTAGGGCTATCGATGTGGTGTAATCCCGCAATACCTACTCGCCCTGATCATGGTAGTTGTGGATGGTGATATCGTTGACGCGGGAAAAGTGAGCACGGGTAGCCTTCGTCTTGTGTAAACCAGCTACGGTATGAAGATCTTTATCTACCTACGGTTTATGATTTATTGAGTAGGCCAGACCCGGCAGGCCCTTTTCGGTAGGTCGGTAGGTAGTTAAGTAGGGCGATGCTGTGAACTAGATAGCATTGGCGTTAGCTACCTCGTATGACGAGCGGAGTCGGATATAGAAAGCAAGCTAATTCCCGGGACAGTTTTCTTCGTAAAGATGCGTTGTGGAGGTGTTCAGCCGACTCCGTTGGTTTTGTGCATGTTGACGCGCATGAGACAAGTACGCTTCATGACAACTACACACCTCTTCTTGTTTTGCCACGAAAATAGGGGGGCCTCCCGCACTTCTACCGTGGTTCGAAATACACACGCGGGTATCTTGTCCGGAGATAACTGCTCCGAGGACGGAGCGCGTGTGGGCCGCTGTGCGCAGCACATGCGTTCGGGCCTGGGGAGTCACACTCTGGCGGGCTTCCATTACCATTTCCAATGCGTGTGCCGCGTGAATGACTGACAAAACGAAAACCGCAGGCAAGTATGTGTCGCAAAGACAGAGGCTGTAGCGCGTGCCCCGCGCGTGAGATGCTTGCTCCACTTGTCACACAAAAATAAACGCACTAGACAAGACCACGCGCCATGCTGGGGCGCGGCTCAACGCGTTGCGAGCAGGCGCGCGAGGAAAGCCACGCCAAGGCGTGGCCCTTCCGAAACCTGAAATAGCTGCAGCCAGCGCATAGACACGCGGCGGAGAGCCACGCTGCTTCGACGATGCCGGGGCTGGTAGGTCGGTAGGCCGGCCCCGGCAACGATGATTGACGCTCCGCCAGGCCTTGGTCTGCTGCGAGATCTGGGGCGCAGCTGTCTACCTACCTACTGAGAAACCGAAAAAGTGCCGCCCACACATTTGCAACCGACGCAGAAGGCCATGCCCAGTCGTGTCCGCCGCTTCTTTCTGCTGCGCGCGCCAGGGGCGGGGGCCGAAGGCCGGCCCTCGGCCGCGGAAGCCCCGCCAATCACCTATTTTGCAGAAGCTTGGGCCCCCGCCGGCCAGATAGAAAGCCCACAGCCACGGTGGCTAGCTTGGGCGCCTGTGCAAAAGCTGGGGCGCAAACCCCCGGACGCGTTCTGTCTACATTCATACCTCGGCGCCGGAGGTGCGGACGTTTTTCGAAGCATCGAACCCGGGGGCCCCAGCCTTTGCGAGCTTTCTACGCACTTTGGTAGGGAGCTGGCTCGGTAGAAGCCTTGGGCAGTGCGGGTCGCCTAGAGCCCTCCTGCAAAACTTGGACGCCCCGGCCTTTGCGAGATTTCTGTTGCCGCTGCATGCTCTCGGCAGCGGGGAATGAAGCTGGCCCGCAAAAGCTGGGGGCCCCAAAGTCCGCGCGCTTTCGATTTCGGCAAGTTTTGGTCTGCCTCATATGAGCTAGCTGCTAGGCCGGGGGGGCGGCCTGGTTTTAAGTTGAGCCACCTGCGCTCGGCTCGATGGCTGTGCGTGGGCCCTCTGTGCCGGCGATTGGGGTAGGTGAGTTGGGCCTGTATTCTAGAGCGCTGGCCCACGCCCCCCGCCGGCTAGTGCGGTAGCTCGGGCAGAGGGAGAGGGCGCACCCGCGCCAGACCCAGGCCCATTGCGCCGCGCCGGCAGGCGCAGCAGTAGGTAGGCCGGGCAGGTGATGCTAATGCAACACCTGCCCTGTTCGCCGGGCAGGTGTAACACTTGCCCGGACCGGAAGGATCAGGGCAGTGTGGTGGCGCGGATCAGCCGCGCCACCACACAACCGACAGCAATAGGTGGACCGGGGGGCCCGCCTAGCCCTGATTTGCGCAGGCGGCCGGCACACCTTAGAAGGCAGGCCGGGCAACCCAACAATGACTCCCGCCGGCCCACCGCCATCTTGGTAGGTAGGTCGGGCACTTGGCCTAGCTGGCACCGGTCGGGGCCAGCTACGGGCCGTCGGAGCCAGGCCCGGAAGGCCGGGCTTTTCTGATCGCCGCCAGCGACGCACAACCCAGACCCGCCGTCTGGTAGGTAGATCGGGTAGGGCGCGGCCGCGGAACTCGGAGCGCCGCCAGCTACACCAGCCAGAGGGCGGGGGTAGGTAGGTCGGGCGCGTTGCAGTTCCCCGGCCCAAGCCACTTGCAGTCTGCGGCACATGGTAGGTAGGTCGGGTAGATGGGTCGGGGACAGAGGTCAAAAGGCAACCGGGTGGAGTAGGTAGGTAGGGGAGGTAGGAAATTTCTGGCCGGCGCGCTTCTGTTGGGCGCCTCTAGCTGGCATCAGCCCGCCCTACCTACTGCACGGCGTTGCCTGCATGTAGTTGGCGCAAGTCGGAAGCGAAGCCTCGACCCTGCCGGCCTACATGCACATAAGTAGGTAGGTCGAGTAGATCCGGGAATGTTGCCTAGCGGCAGCTACGGGCCGCGCTCCATAGTAGGTAGGTCGGGCGGGTCGGGGATCTCTTATCTGCGCGGCCCGCATACACAACGACTACTAGTCGCTGGTAGTAGGTAGGTAGGGCAGACCGGAGATCATCTCTGACCCACCCGCGCGAGCTAGCGGCGCCGGGCGGACGTAGGTAGGTAGGGCACGTCGGGAATTGTTGAAAGGCGCCTGCTAAGAGATAGGGCGAGTCGTAGGTAGGTAGATTGGCGCCCTGTGATCCGCACCAGCTACGGAGGCTAGTCACTAGTAGGTAGGTAGGGCGGCCCGAGACCTATGCTCTGTGGCAGCTCGGCCGATAGTAGTAGGTAGGTCGGGTACCTCGCCCCGCGCTGGGACGTGCATGACTGTGGCCAACCCGATAAAGGTAGGTAGGTAGGAGGGTAAAACCACGGGAGGAAAGACACTACGACCGCGCTCGAGGTAGCTAACGCCAATGCTATCTAGTTCACAGCATCGCCCTACTTAACTACCTACCGACCTACCGAAAAGGGCCTGCCGGGTCTGGCCTATTGGATTTATTCGCATAATCAACTCACGGCCTACTTCTTTCTCAGAGTGTAATCATAGGGTTAATGTGTTAATGATCTCCTCGGTGGCGACGATCGGAGAACTTCGTTTCTTCGATCTTACAAGATCTGGTCCCACTGCAGGATGGGGCTGGGGACTTTGTCGTGCATCCTCCACGCACCCTGCGAAGATCTCCACGATTCAACGAAATCTGAGCTAATGAAGATCAGGAGCAGTGTTGTGTATGCAATAAATCTATGATCCGTACAGCGTCGACTCTACAGCTGACATGTTGGACGCACGATGGACCTCCCTCGGACGATGTTGCTGTATACACGATTTGGACTTGTTTTGACGACGATGAGGAGGATCGAAGTGAAAACGTAAAACGACATAGCCGGAGCAACGATTCATTCCAAGGCAAGTGAGCTTTGACCCTGAAGCGAAGTTTATTTTGGTACGGGCGAGGGGTGACGTTAACATTAACTTCTCCTTCTCCACCCCGACGTAACGTTACATCACCTTCAGTGCAAACTGCATCTGTAGAAGAACATCACAACTAAGACGCAGATAAGACATTTCGTCCAATTAGGACGATGCCACTCTCTGAAAAAATGTTCGTTGATGTTGTCGTCGTTCGCTGTGTCGCTGCAAGAAATTCATTCAAATTCATGGTCCTATGTGTGTTTCTCCTTCTCGAATACAAGAATCGTCGCTAGTATCGTTGTAGTGGATCTTGTACAAAACGGCATTTTTGCCGGAGAAGTCTAGAGTTGTTTTCTTTATGCCAGGATCTTTGTGCATCAAGTATTCCAACAGATCTGGATAGCTCTTGACGAGCTTTCCGGTCCGTGGATGCTTTCGGTTTGGAAACATTTTTGAACAGGTACAGCAGGGCACGATGGCGAAGGGCTTCTTGTGCGCGAGCGCGAAGTCGACCACGCTCTCGGCTGCGCCGTCAAGGTGCATGCCGAGAAAAAGATCCGTTTTGTGTATCAGCAACTCGCGGACGAAAATGTCATCGCTCGTCACTTCCATGGCCGAAACTAAATCCTGGGACTCTTCCACTACCAATGTCGAGAGCCGTCCTTCGCCAGTAGCTGGCAGCGGAGACGCGTCTTCTTCGTCGCGTTCGTCCTCTGCCTTCACCAGTCGGCCACCACGAAGTTTCTTGTACTTCTGGAACTTTGTCGATTCGCCGATGAGAACTTCGTCCGCGACCCGCTGCCGGGCTCTAGCAAGAAAGTCGCGCCAAAGTTGTGCCGGAGCCTGCCCATCATGGTTGTGTTCGGCCACATTTCGTGTGAGTTCATGGTCGAAAAAAAGCCGCACGTGTCGAATGAGGCCAGGAGACGGTGTATTATGTTGCTCCAAGAATGCCCCCGGCTTCTCGTCTCCGCCATCATCATGCTTTTCAGACAATTTTTTGTATCCCCGTGTTGCCGATGCCGTCGAGCTCTTGTTCGCCAGCGCCTTTTCCAGTGGCACGTCGACATACGGTAAAAGCCGCGGGTTGCAGTGATAGCCCTTCTTTTCCAGCTTGTCGCTGAAAGGTTTGAAATCTGAGCGACGTGGGTCCCAGAGCACAGTATCGTGGCCATTCAGGTATGACAGTTCGAAGCTCAGTTCACCCTTGCCACCTGCGACGTCCATGATGGTCAAGCGCCGCTTTCTGCGCTGCTCTTTGCTACTAGCATCGATTTCTTGATCATGGCGCTGCAACTGAGGAAAAATCTCATCGATAAGCCATCGGCGAAACACACCAACGCGGCCAGACTTCCCAAACATAGGTAAAATTTTCGGCGGCTTTTGCTTAGCTAACACTTGGGCTGCTGGGCTCGCGTCCTCTTGTGCTGGAAGGCCACATGAACCTTGGACCGGCTCACAAAATAAAACCTCCAGGCGAGCGCGGGACGTATTCGCAGCTGCATCACTCTCTCTGTGTTCGTGTTGTGATGAGTTGCTCTGAGCCACCAGGTCCTCCGCGTCACTAGATCCTGCCGAGGTGCTCGGCGTCGGTGCAAAGCCGGAAGATGAGAGAAGTTTCAGTTTCTCTGTCGTCGTGTGAGGGTGTTCTTCTCTTTTTCCACCAGCAACTTGCTCGTCGTGCAGGAAGAAACAGTCCTCGCCGAGAAAGCATCTGCCTCGTCTTTGAAAGTGAGGACAAATAGGAGGCCGCATGCTATCGGCAGATGGACACATGCCGAGCGCCCTCACCACGACATCCTCTGCACAGGCCAGGTGGACCCATTGAAATCGTCCCGTGCGCTTTACCAAGGGTTCTTTAACCGGCGAAGTTGTGGATGTAGCCTGCTTGTTCTCAAAATACTCCACTAACTGGGCCTCTGAAAGCGGCCAGATTTCGCCGTCCACGGGAATCTCAGCAGCACACACGAGACAAGTCGTGGCCTTGTTGGCGCGCTTTGCAGGCGGCCGCAAGGGTGCCATTTTGCTATTTACTTGCATAAGTCAAATCTTGTTGCGTAGTTGGCCTTGGCATGGTTCTATTTCATTTGATTATCACTAGTCCTATTTCACGTCTCTATTGATGACCGCCTTCTCCTCGACTAACTACCACATGCCTTCGCAGCCTGCGCTCCCCTTCATGAATTATGACGCTCTCTAGATTTGTGACATGTTGAACTCCACCAAACTAAAAGTTGGCACTGTGACATTGATCACAACATGGGCAAGCGAGTTTATGTTGCGTTTGAACTCGATAAACTCGGAGTAGGACAACTGGATCTATTCTGTTCACAACTTTTTGTTACTTGTAGAACAAGATCATTCTCATTTTGGATGACGTTCAAGGCACTGCGGTGACCTCAGAACCAGGCGGAGTTCCCTCTGTACCGCCTTCATTTGTCCGCGTCGTTAACGACAGAGCAATGTATCTATTTCATCTTTACACGTGGTTCTTTTTTGTGCTGTTGTTCAATCAGGGATCTTATGGAATGTCTATTCTCATCGGGAATGGAGATCAAGCGATTCTTTTCGCCAATTAGTCAGATGATAGGCACACTTCCACCGACTGTCGGGAAGATGTTCAAAGTCCGGAATTCATATGTCTTGAAGCAAGCCGAGTGGAATGGGGAGCGGACGCAGTCCGCAGTATTCCCGAGCGTAGGGCTTTGCCTCGTACTGCTGGTGCTTTCTCTCCGCGAGGTAGAAGACGTTTTGGTCTCCGTCCACAATCTCCGTTCGCACGATGGAATCCTCGTCCATCGATGCCGGATATTTTTCTGGGAACTGTTTTCTCACCGCTTTCGCAAACGCAGCCTTCGTCTCTTCGGCAATCTGTTTTTGGTTCTCGTTGTAGTACACAATTATCGAGCGGTACTGGCTACCACTATCGTTCCCCTGCTGGCAGTACTTGGTCGGGTCATGCGCGATCCAGAAGTGGCGCAGGATCTCGCGGTAGGAAATCTTAGACGGTTGAAACTGAACCCGGACCACTTCTGCGTGATTCGTCACACCCCGGCAGACTTCGGAATAGGTCGGGAACGCCGTTGGCCCTCCGCAGTACCCCGCCTGGGTACTAACGACCCCGGGCAAGTGCCAGAATCTGCTCTCGGCACACCAGAAGCAGCCGAAGCCAAACACTGCGGACTCGACAGTTTTCGCGGCAAAGGAGCCCGGTTTTGGGTTATTTGTGGGACCGGTCAATTTGCGTGGCATGGAAAGGGTAGTTACAGCTGCGGGATACGAGGCTTGGAAACTCGCTTCGTCTGCAGTTCTATTATCGGCAACAACCAAAGGCCCATCAAACACGTAATGCCTTTCGTCGGAATTGGGAAAGTCCATCGGCACCGCGTAGGTTGTGCGATCCGATTTCAAGCATCGGTCGATGGGCAGCAACGTTGTTTCTTTCTTTCCTCCGTAAGATGAACTCCCACCATCGTCGCCTGCGAGATTCGTCGTGTCGCCCATGACCAGCGACTTCTCGATGTTGATCGTCGCCAACTCGAGCTCTGTGTTGGCGAGCTGCTTTTGCAGATCGTTGATTGCCTCAGCATCCTCCCCTTCAAGCTCAATCCCTTCTTCTGGCAAGGGATCGTCTGCATTCTCATTATTTTGCTTGCTCTTCTCCTCCGCCGCTGTTATCGCAGAAGCGACTTTTTGTCCCAAGTCAATTTGTTTCAGCAGCACGTCGCGCGCCCGGTGTGCAAACTGGATTTCCTGTTGCAAACTCTCAATCTTCTCGCTGTTCTTGCGCATCTCCTCAGTCAGCATGCGCATGCGCTGTACGAGTGACATGTTTTCCCTGTCTGGGATCGGCGCAGGCACCGCGGTCGCCATTTTGCTTAACTTGCCGAAAGAGAGTTCGTTTACCTGGAATTGTTCAAGTTGTTGTTGAAAATGAAGCGCTTACTTTGAAGAAATGGCGCAAGCACTGATATACGTACACCTTTGCGTGTCAGCGTCACCGGCAATAGATTCATGGGTGGTGTCACGGGACTTGAGGATCTACTTAGCGTGAGACTACGAGGTAGCGAATTGACTTATCGAGCACCGCGAGGTGTACGGTTGAGACACTGTCAGATCACTTGGTTTTCCACGACCGAATGATTAGTATTCATCAATGTCGAAAATCTGCATCGGCACCAGTAGATGATCTCGAAGCTTGACTTGCTGCTAAATATTAGTAAATAGTACCGAAGATACACTCGATCAATAGCACTTGTTTCGAACTTCAAAAAAGCAAACCGACAGCGCGCTCTCGGCACGAAGGGTCAATGATGATACATTGTCATGCGTTTGACAGCGTTTTGCTTTTGGCTTGTTTCTTCTCAGTGCGGTTTGGGAACACACAGACCACGCGACTGCGCAGAATTATGCTATTTGCTTGAGCTTGTGCTTTACTCGTACTTCATACATTTCTTTTCATGGGTGCTGGAGCTAGTTTGATACAAGCATCACAAGCGAAACAGCCAGTAGCCCAATTGCGGGAGCCAGCCCAAGGCCCAGGAAGCTGAGTTCGGTCCTAATGTCTGCAAACAGTAGGCAGCTGCCTATGTTGAGGGATAGTTCTATGATGAGAAACGCGTAGCCAAACAGGTTTACCCACGCGTCAAGATTTAGGACGTATATGGAGCTACTGTAGAAGTATGCAGGTAAAAGTGTCTGCGTGGCGGTCAGAACAGAGCTCGAAAGTGAGTACTTCAAATTTTCGGTCTTGTTACCCACGCGCGTACACCAATATCTCAATCCTTGCAGCACCGGACTGATGAGAAGAAGAATCTGTTGTATCAATCGTGAGAGCAGGGGTGCTGTGGTTGTGACACAGTGTATGCAAGGACGAATTAGTACAAAAGCGATATCGCAAAAACACATGCAATGACTGTACTAAATCCAAAACGTCGTTGAGGACAATTGCAAGAACCACAAGGAACAAATGGAAAAAAGCAAATACCGTTTCTTCTACAACGCGTGACCTCGTTACGGGTCCGTACATGTTCGTTTTGCAGATCAACGTGATGGCGTTCAGGAGGAGCCATACGCGAAAGTAGTAGGCGGATGCCTCTGCGATGATTGCCCACAGCAGGCTGCTTTGCGTACTGTTGAGGCCCGGAGGCATCCTGAAGAGACTTTGGCGCCGCGGCGCTGCGGTCGCGAGCTTAGCACGGAAGAGCCGACTGCTAACGACGAAGGCGTACCATCATGAAGTCGTGTAGAAGTCCTTCGACCTTGCAGTCTCTCGGAGAAGTAGACGAGTTTCAGTTTTTGTTTTGGTGTAGAAGTAGATCATTCTGTGATTATAGGCTTTTTCTGAAAAGCTAAAGGAAGACGCAGAAGTGTTGATCGGGTTCTGTCCACCGGTAGAAAATTCTCCCTCCCACACTCACTGGTTTTTTCTGCACTAGTACGACCACGTCGGGAACACTGCATATGTAAAGTACTTGCTTTCTCTGCAGCAAGTCGACGTCATCTTGTGCGTTGGGCTACTCGCATTCGCAGATGCGAGTACTGGTTTCATTTGCGTTTTCTGTTGCAAGGGCAAACGCTCCTCCTCGCTTCTCCGGAGCATTCAAAGCTCGTTCATGGAAGGTGTCCACCACTTACTCATGTCGATGAGAATCTCTTGCCTTTCCGCCTCCTTTGCAAGTTTCGCTGACCAACAAAACAGCACCAGGCAGATGCGGCAAGCGCCTTCAGTGTGCGGCCGGAAGACGAACCGGTGCGCCAGATTGTTGTTGGCCGTGACACCGTGAATACTCAAATTCGCCGTCGGCGGAATACTGCGAACGTGGCTAGGTAGTAGCTGAGGGCCTGTAGTGGTTGTAGCCGTAGTATCACGCTCGATCGGGCACCACTCTTGCAGACACGTATTCCTCATTCCGTCAGGACGTCGGCGGCGCTCAAGCGAGCCTGTGTCAGTTTCTTCGTCGGTCGTTACACGACGCAGCGGCACGTTGAAGAGCGGATTTTCTTCACAACTTCTAGTGGTCCCTTCATACTGCTTTTCCGTTGCAGCTGTCAGAGTGTCGTTGACGAGATCCAAAACTACGGTGCACAGATGCCGGCGTCTGTCGAAAGAGTCTTGGTGCCACCCGAGGAGACAAGGCTGCTCATACAGCAACAAATCGGCATGGACCACGTCGAGGTTGAGAATCCTCTGTAGCTTCTTAATCTCGTCCACAAACACTGACACGCACGGTTCGTGAGTCGCTGCTGATGGTTTGTTCGCTGCATTCGGTGTCTTTATTACGGATACGGCTGTCGTACCACAACGAGCGGAATTTTCCAATGAGGTGTTATCATAGCCAAGAAACGAATCCAGGTTGATGCGAGTGGGGCGGTCAGGGCGGCTCCAAGCGAGATGCGGGAACAGGCGGGATAGCTTCGCTGCGGATTGGCGATAGAGCTGGCCATCTGTTTGCTTGGCAACGCGGCCAGTAGTTGAATTATTGCTTCCAGCCGCCGTCCTCCTCTTATGTGGTGCAGGCGAGGCGAGTGGAAGGCTCGACCCAGGAGAATAACGGAAGGCGAGCGGCTCCGGATGACTTGCGATGTCTGCCGCCGACGGCGGAAATTTGATTTTTGGCGTACTGTTGCAATCTCCCTTCTGTCCACTTTCATCCTGCTCATTCACGAAGGACAGCCGATGGCTTTTCATTGCTGGGTCGCCTCTGCTGTGTCGGAGGTTATGTGTGAATTCAGTGAGGCCCGTAGACCTGATTCCCACCGCACGACGGACTTTTCTAGGCCGGTCGAGTCCAAGACCCACAGGAAGCCGTGCCAGAGGAGCAGAAAAATGAAAACGGTCAAGATTCCGCGAATCACCTGCGCACGAAAATCCGTGTCGGCAATGATTTCAAAGTCATCTTCGCACGAAGCTGGGTCTGATCTTCTCCGGAATCTGGTCTGTTCTGATTTCAGCAAAGTTTTTGTTGGCAAATCATCGCGCTGCTTGACAGAACCAGCGTCTCGGTCTACTTCATCAATCAAACCGTCGCACCCACCGGTAGCTCTCTTGCGATTGCGAATGGTCGCTATCTTCTCGGACTCAACATCTGGCACACCGACCATGTTTTTTTCTTTTTCGCTTTCTTGATAAGTACAAGTAAGTTATCGACGGCTCCAGAGTCTGAATCTAGTAAGTGGAACTGAATCGAAGCATGAAAAAAGCATACAGATAGAGGACCCTAGAGACAGTAGATAACCTTAACCATCCCATCAATGTCACCGCGGTTGAGTTGTTGGACAGTGCAACGAGAAAAACCCAAAGAAATCGGTATTGAGACTGCTATATGGAGCTTGAGGGGAACACGGACTCATCTTCACTAAAAGTGTAATAAGCTACAGCGAGGTGCTGCGAGCGGCGTGTAGCTGCTCTCCATCTTGTTCCTGGAGCTCTGGCTGCACACAAACAAAGGAAAATTCAGGATGCCTAGTCTCGTCCTCACCATCACAATTTTACAAGTTCTTCCCCGTCTCCGTACTTTCACGGCTTGTAGTACTTCGTGGGGACAAAGGGCATCTTCACCACGGTCGCGTCGGCCTTCTTGCTTCGGATCTGCACTTTCACCTTCGTGCCTACTTTGTTAAACGGCTTGTCCAGGTAGCCCATCGCGATCTTTTGGTTCAGAATCGGGCTCTCCCGCCCGCTTGTGACGGTCCCGATTTTTTCCCCTGCGTCCGTCACCAAGGCCATGCCCTCCCGTGCGGGCACCGGTCCTTCGACGAGCAAGCCGATTCTTCTTTTTTTATCGGTCTTGTTGTTCAGTTGGTCAAGAATCACGTCGCTCCCGAGAAAGTTTGCGCGGTCCCCGATTCTGCGGCTTTTCGCTATAGTCCACGCGAGACTAGCCTCGATCGGGGTGGTAGACTCATCCAGATCGTGGCCGTACAAGCACAAGCCTGCCTCCAGCCGGAGGGCGTCGCGGACCCCGAGACCGGCGAGGCGCACATCTTCAGCTTCGACCAGCTGGTCCCAAACGTTGGCCGCGACGGTTTTTCCCGGTGCAAAAATCTCGAACCCATCCTCGCCCGTGTACCTGAAATTTTTGTTGGAAAGGGCTTCTGGTACTTTGATGCAGTGTCCGTGATAGAGGTCCAGTAAAAGTACTTAGTCATATGTAGTTTCATAAAGTCACTCTTTACCCGGCTCTGGTGACGAAGCACTTTTCTCCGCAGAGCGGGAGCCACACTGCTGCTCCGAAGGGCAAGCTCTGCAGGGATTGGCCCGACAATTTTTCAAGAGTTGCGGCAGCCGCTGGTCCTTGCAGGGCAAATAGGCCTCGGTCGTCCCAGTGTACTTCCATCGCGCAGTCCGCAGATTCCTTTTTCACAAAGGCTGCGAGCTGCATCTCCAGATGCGCCAAATCTTTCGTCGCGCACCCAGCATTGACTACTTGGTAGATATAGTTGGGACTACTACTCTCTGCGCTCTCATCTACCCTGGTCAACATGGTATCGTCTAGAATGCCGCCCGACGGCAGCGTCAGGAGACTCAGGCCGCCCTTCATGTTCGGCATGGCCTGCACATCCGCCACGGTTACGGTCTCCAAAAACTTGGCCGCGTCTTTTCCAAACCACTTGATCGAGCACATGTGGCTTACGTCAAACAGACTGCATTTCGTCCTCGTCCACTTCACACTGTCAACGATGGAAAGCGCTTGCTTGTTGCCCTCCCCGGCGTATTGCACAGGCAAAGCGTAGCCGGCAAAGTCGACCATCTTGCCTCCATGTCGTTCGTGCGACTCCCGAACCACCGTGCCCTTCAGGGGCATGGCAGCCGCGGTTGCGAAAGATCGGTGGACGAGTAGACCACGCGGTGACGGTGTTGCACTGCATCGTGAAAGCGCTTCTGCTGCGCATGACTGAGCTGAGCGGGCTTGCGATCCTTGGCGAACCAGAAACCTTCCTCGTGTGGTCGCCGCCCCGGACGAGGGCAGTCTGGCCTTGACAAACGACGACACTGTCATGGTTTACTGGGAGAGCCAAGTTGAAAAGCAAACCTCTGTACGTAGTGCTGGGTTCTGTACTACTGTCCTTGATATACTAAAGTAGTCATTAGGAAGATGATCGCACCCTCACTTCTCGCTGGTCAGAGATCTACTGCTGATCGCTTTCAGCTTCACTCGACTTGCTCTCTTTCTGAACTTAACAGAGACAAGAAGTACTGAAGTAGACTGTGCTGATGAAGCGACATGAACACTCACCGGGTAACGTCGATGTAGATGTAGTCAGAGGGTTTCGCTCTCCGCTGCTCCTTCTTCTCCGCAGGTTCGTTTGCTTCGTCACACAACGAAATGGTATGACAACTTACGGCTTATCCTTATATATCTCTCCACGTGTGCGGAGCAAAGCAAATTTGGCTGAACGGGCACGAAAAGCACAAGCCTCGCATCTGTTTTGATCTCTGGTTTTGAACTTTGAAAGTGCCTGCTTCTTCGAAGATTTGGTCCAGTGATACAACAAGGCCTCGCAGTACATGTTTTCGCAGTAGTACAGCTGCAGCGTGATTCGCGTGAAAATCTTCCGGTACTGGCCTGCTTCCTTCGTAAATCTTCATCGACTTTTCCTACTTGAGCCTCGACTTGTCCCTCTTGCGGCGCCGCCGGCCACGGCTTTTGTGGCTTTGTGGTTAAAGTCCCATTCGTTTAGTGCCTCGGTGGCGTAGTACAACTGCAGAAAGTTCATGCCCTGCTTGAATACGTGCAGAGGGACGGCAACCATCACTGCGATGGAGGTAATTTGAAAAATTATGGCGTTTGTTGGCCCACCGTCTGACGTGAAATACCTGTTGTGCATGTGGAATAATGGGTGTGAGTCAAGATCATGCACCGAGAAAAGCAGAAGAGCATTAGTTTTATTTTCGATTGATGCGTACTAGTTCGCGAAAACAAAAAAAAACGAATTCAAGTAGTACATGACGTAGAGCCCCGCGTAGACTAACTGCTCCGCTGCACAGACGGTGAAGAGCACTATTCTGGATTTGTAGTACAAGCGGATGAAGAAGTTTGCGTTGCTCATGTCCTTGTGCGACCCGGAGCCGGTCAACAGTGACGCGTACATGTGTGCCCAATGGGAGACGAGGTCGAGCACCATGAGTGCGAAGCATACTTGCGCGTAATCCAGGTACAGATGCGCTAGAATTGCGAGCAATATGTTACTCCCAAACCGGTCCGTGACCATATCCAGGACGGCGCCGAGTTGTGAGCTCTGGTTGAAGTGCCTCGCCGCCATCCCGTCGAAGGCGTCGAGTATTGCCGAGAGGAAGTAGAAGCCCATAAACAGCGTCCAATCCGTGTACGCGTAGTGAAACGCGACAAAGGCGAAGATAACCCGGCCATACCCAATCAAGTTGGGAATGAAAAAGTAGGGACTGAGATGCGGTGATGCACTCGCATCTTGAGTTTTTCCCGAGGCGCCGGCCATCGGGGCCGAATCAATAAGTTTCTGTACACAAAAAGTAGAAGACAAGGCTCAGAAGTTAATATCGGGTGAAACAGACAGGAGAGCAATTGAGAGAGCGTTAGACTTAGTAGACATAAACCGGATTCGGGGCTGCAGACTTGATATCAAATTTGTGAAGTAGGGTAGTTATGGCCTTCATCATCATAAAAGACTCGGAGACAGGAGGGGTCTGATGTTGTTTTTAGGAGCCTGCCTTGCATACGTGCTGCAGCAGAATTGGAATGTTCTATTCGGAGTACTTACTTTACTACGTTTGATGGTACAGCTTGGACATACAGTAAACATGATACTCGACTATATTGTTTATTCTTATTACGTGCGGATAATTGACATTATACCTAGTCGCTTGTCCACCTCATCTGCCCGTCTTGTTCTTACGAATTGTGAAGAGGCAGAGTCGTCAACCGAAGCGGGAGCACCTGATTGCATAACAAAAAACAGACAAAAAATTGGCGGCTTCAAAAAATGGCATTCTTGGCAGAGAGAGCAAATTAACTTTAACCTTGCCGGTTGAACAGAAGGCAAATAATGTGGATCAGAAGATCGATTCCGATGGGCTTATTTTTTCTGTACGGACCACCACCGGGTCGAGCTCGACTAGGATTGTCACTAAATTCAATTTTTGATACTGCCTTGCACAGACTTGTCAACTTGTTTTCTTCGTCGTTCGAGTGCGCGGCAACCGGCAGAGAAAGCGCCCATCATGTGAAAGTCCGGGTCTACACAAAGCGACAGCTTTGTCTTTTTTGAAAAGTAAGGTACGTGATCTCGTGATAGCCTGCGGCGCCACGAGCCGTATATGTGATCTATGGAATACTTCCAGCTGTGAATCCAGAGTTTTTCGTAAAAAGAAGCCAACTCGGCCTTGCTGTATTCATCAAGAACAGGTACAGGATCAGCAAGATCATTGTGTTCTTCCATCGCCAGGAGCATCACACACGTTCCGAGAGTTTCCGACTGGACCCAGAAAATCTTGTCGTAGTTGCAGATACTGCCATCTAAGTTCAAGCTGTACGCCAAGCCGCCCTTTTCCACATCCCAGGCGTACTTGACCGCGAGGTGGAAGAGGTTCCGCGCTTTCGGCAGCAACCACTCCTGTTCGCAACCTTCGACACCTTTTCCGATTTCGTGCAGCTCCAGCAGGAACCGCGCCCACTCGACTTGGTGCCCGGGTTGAAAGCCCCACGGCCGGAAAATTTCCAATTCTTTGGAGGTGTTCGTGAAGTCCAAAACGGGTTCCCATTTTTCATCGTAGTGCTCCCAAATCAGCGGTAGACAAGTCCGGGACAAGCGACCGGACATTGTCTCAACTTCCGCAGTACTGCTCTCTGTCGTGCACGTGGTTCCTCCCTCACGAGCCGCATATTTGTCCTCAAGAACTAGATTTTTAGACGCTTTCCTCGGCGCTCCGCTATCCGTTCCAGCAACCGCTTTCTGTAGTCGGGTCACCGTGACCTGTCGACGACAAATGTTATCGGCGATAAGTAGTGCGCGGCGGAAGAACTTCAAATCTTTCGTCGCCGCGTAGGTTTCTAAGAGCGCTTCCGTCATGTGTAGATTCCCGGACTCGCTGCGGTAACTGGTCCAGTTCCAGTTGTCATCTGCCTCCTCCGCGTACAACCCATTTTCGGCGTCCCACATCTTTGCTTCCAGCGTGTCCCAAGTTTCGTCGACCATTTTCCTTGCCTCCTTCACACCGAGCTTCAGTGCCGCACTGTAGGCGAGCAGACACTGCGCCAAGCCGTAGGTGTAAATCCGGCTGTCCAGCGGCTCCGGGGGGACCTTTTTCATCGTTAGGTCAAGTGGTTCCATCGGGTCTGTGGTTGGTCCCTCCCTGATCGACCAAAAATACGCACCGTTCTCCGGGTTTCGGAGCGGGCCGTGAAACAAGTAATTAATCCCACGCATCACGGCTTTCAAGTAAGATTCCATCGGGGCGGCAGCTCTTGTTTTGGATAATTGCTCGTGGGCCTTGGCGTAACTAAACACGAAGCGGGCTTGCGTAACCAAAAGCTTCGTCCGTGTGTCGAACACCTCGCCGTCTTCGGCGTAAAAGTGGTAAAACCCACCATTTACGTCGTCCGTGCATCGGGGAACGGAGAAGAAATTCATGCAATGGGTCATCTGTTCGCTTAGAAAATCGACGGTCAAAAGTTGCTCCGCTGGCGGCAACGGCGGTAAGTCCGACGCCGAAAACCGGCTAGTGGCCGCCGGTGCTGCCATCGGCATCAAATTTTGTGATCTTCTATACGCTACCCCCGGAATCCGAATCCCAATGATGTTGTTCTGCGTTATTTTCGTTAGCGATGTTTTCGTAGAGCGATGTGGTACTGATCATTTTTGCACATCGACGTCTCATTTCCGCGGAAAAAAAGGTGCGTCGGCTGCAATTGCCAAAAAAAGCCACCTGGGGGGTTGCCGTAGTTTGGTTTCTTTTGTACTTCGATATCGTCCTCAACAAAGATTTCCTTCGCACGGTTAGATTGAAACAGGAACACACACTTAATTTTTCAGAAATTCAGCTGATCGCTCAGCATCTTTATTCGTGTCACCATACTGTCCGCGGGCTTGTTTCCACGTATATCTATCAAAAAAAGTTCCTCGACGTTCCCATCGCGTCATTGAAAGTAAACCAGCACATAGCGATCTTCGTTTCAATTGTTTGCAAAGAAGTAGGTAGGCTTGTTTCACAAAAAAGTAGCTTGAGTGTCATTCTCAACGATAAACGACGACTGGTTGTCGGCGTGCAAGCATCGCGATCGCTCTGCGTGCCGTAAACGTAACTCATCCTGTAGGCAACTCAACAAAAAAAACCACAACTTCAAAGAAGATAAAGACCAAGCAGTCGATTTCAAGAGGTCACTTGTCAACGCACACACCAACCGAAAAAAGTAGCACTTGAGTAGCAAAGTTCAACGAATTGAAATTGAAATTGATGTAAAGATGATCGAAATTAGTCTAAGTCTTAGATAATTACTCGTGGCTTCATAGGACCGTGTCACGCGGCCCCATGAGATAGTGTTCGGAAAATGTTTTTTGCTGTATCAACATTAAGCAAAGTTGTAGACACCGATGAGTAAACAAAGAAAGTGGTAGATCAAGAACTGTGAAAACAAAAGGAAAAAGACACTCCTCAAACAACATCTTTTCGCGAGAATACTTCCCTGCATCCTCGAGCTCCTCAGAAGATTTCAGCGAATTCCTGGTAGCTCAAAAGATCGTCTCCGTCCCGGTCACAGGCCTGCCAGAGCGCATCCAAGTGCTGGTCCGAGAGGTCGGGGTTGTGCTCGGAAACGAGCGACTGGAACCGCAGCTGATCAATGCCACCACCCTTCGTTCTGCACAAATCGTGAAAGAGTGCAAGCTTCGAAACCGCGTCCAGTGGCTGTTGTGTGGAATGTGAGTTTTTTGTTTTCATCGATAAAACCGGCTTCTACAGCACGGGGAACAACTTTGATGATCCGTCGAAGGGGCAACTGTTTCGAAGATCCCTAGCATATAGAAATAGAACAAGGATGGTGTTCAACATCAAGGGAGAATCATCACGAAAACCTATTTATTTTACCGTTTCCCCACTGCCAAGAACACCTCCGGATCCCCCCGACCCGGAGGAGCTCAAGCTCGTGCGCGCCTGGTGCGAGGTCAGCAACTTCCTTCTGGTCACCGTCAGGGCCTGCTGCATCCACACTGGCAGGTCGCGCTCCTTCTTAGATTTCGGCGGTGTGCGGTTCGTGATCGCGTTGATATTGACGTTAATAGAAGGAGGCGTTAGCGGTGCAGTCGTGGCTGCACGGAGATCGAAGGACGACGATGTGGACGTCACGATCGGCTGAAAAGACGGAGCCGTGAAGTTGAAGGACTGGTTACTTTGTTGCTGCAGGACTGCTGGTGTTGTATTAGCTGCGCCGGCGGCGGAACTTGTCCACAGAGGCGGCCTGCTCGTCAGGGTGCCGCCTCCTGCTGGAGTCAAGGACGTGTAATTCCGTCTTCTCGCCTCTGGCGTGTCGTCGACGATTCCGGCCAGCAAAGGACTGCGCAGGTTCATGGAGGACGCGACTTCTGGGTTGGTGGCTGGCATTGGCAATGACGTTGCATCGGGAAGAAACTCCTCTTCTGGTGGCGCCGAGGGTCGGCCATCGAGGAACAAATCTTCCGCCGCATCCGTAAACCCGGCTTCACTCGGCGACCGCAGTTGCGGGTAGCTTGTTGGCGGCGGGCCGATGTGCGCCCGATGTCGCTGGGCACTACCTGGAGGTCGCATAGCCGGCGGAGACGGAGAGCTCAGCTGACTCTGGATCTGGAACATCGAGGGGGTCGGCGATCCGACAATCACGGGGGCGATGTAATGAGAAGACGCGGCTTTATTGTTGTAATTCGCACCACTTGGAGGGGGCAAAACTGCTGAGGGCAGAGCTACTTGACTCTGTAATTCCATCGGCGCGACAACGCTGGTCGGCTGACCCCCTGTGTAGTGGTAGCTGGTTTGCAGCACTTCGCTGTTCGCCGTTGTATTTTCGTCTATTCTGGCCATGGCAGAAGCTGTAGACGGCATCTGGACAGTGGCAGCCGGATTTGCGAGGTTGTAGTTATTGCTCGAGGCCGACATAGAGGGTGCGCTGTACAAGCCCGGAAGCCTGGCCGGCGAACGAACCAGCAGGTTCGCCTTCGCTGGATACGCAACCGGCTTGCCACCAAAGGCTGTCGCGTTTTCGCCGCTAGTGCTGACGCCTCGCAGCGCGTCCCCGTAAATCCTTGCCGACGGACTTCCAGGAGGCGATTTCGCGTAGGTCGAGCTCGATGCTGGCGCAGGACCGGGCTTGTTTGTGATGTTGAACGTAGTTGAAGTCAGAGATGCTGGAGGTGCTCCGACAGCGAAATCGGCAGCCAGATTGCTGCTGCCCGTGCGCGCCCGGGGGCGGGATGCGGCGGACGGAATGTCTGCGGATAAAACCAGGGGCTGCCTTGGTATCATTCCGGAAACAGCGTCCGCGATCACTCCCTGCCCGCGGTTCGTTGCCAAGTCGACGCCGCCGCTGCTGCGCAACGCTGCCCGCGTCGGGGACCGGGACTGGTTTCCGCCCACGCGGACCTGACTCAAGTACTCCCCGTCTCGTTCTGCTGCAGGACCTTCAGCGGAGAAGCGAACGCTCTTATTGGAGGCACCACCGGAATACAGGTTCTGCTCCAGCACACCACGCCCTCCCGCACCGACCGCCGACGCGGGCGCCGGTTGCTCCATCAGCGACAAGGTGCGCACTTTGGACCGACCGAGCAGGCCCTGGAGCGGAAATTCGCTGAAAACGACGGAGTAAACTAGAGATTGGAACTCGGGCCAAGTCATCCAAAAGGTGGTCGGGTCCGAGACCTGTTCGAGAAACGCACCGATCTCGTCTTCGCCGATGAATTGCGGGCCAAGCTTGCACTGCCGGGTCACCTCGCGACCAAGCTTCACCCATTCCTCGTCGCGTGACAGGGACCCACTGTACGCGTCGAACATGTAGTACGGGTTCCGGATCTGTGTTTTACGCGTTTGGATTTCAACATTAAAACTCAGTCAAAATAAAAGTTCGACAAGCAGGAGCAGTCACAGTCCTGCAATTCTTTGAGTTCTCTGTTCCATGCGAATACACCGACCACGTGGGGCAGATTCATTAAAATTGTACTTTCATCTCAGTTCACTAGTACCTTCAACAAGCGATGGCGATCCTGCCCCCCGGCGGGGATGATGTCTTTGCACTCGACGACGCTGTAGTACTGGTAGGCCAGCAGCCCAAATGCCGACAGGTTCGACCCCTCCTGCAGCGCGATGAAATTGCAGCCGACGAGATGACCTTCCTGCGTCAAGGATTTGAGCGATTCCCAAATCGCGGCGGGGGACAGCGCGTTCTCGGTGACGTCCCAAAACGTACACTCCGTGAAATGGGAGTCGGCGCCCAAGTGACCCTCGCCCCAGACGTCCACGAGAGTCTCCTGTTTGCGCGACCAGGGGAAGTAGACCTGGTAGCCGCTGCCGCCGGTCAGCACCGACCAGATGAGACAGGGCGAGATGCCATTCAACATGGCGTAGGATCCGAAAAGTTTGGCGAGTGCTTTCTCGAGCAGGTAAGGCCACAGAGCACCACCGTAGCGACCTGCATGATTTTCGATTAGGTGCCGTTCTGTGCCATTATTTCCCGGCGTAATACTGATAGGTTGCATTTGTGCGCAGTTATTTGAGTGGATCCATTCACAAGCGAAATAGTAGCATCGTTTGGATTTGCAACCGCAAAGCAACAAAAGTTTCCATGATAAATTACCGAAGCATGGTCGCCAATTTTGCCAATCGCCCGCTTCTGTTTGGGCGGTGGCGCAGCAGGGTATGCGATCATTGACCGCTACTTCGCCGGGTAGGAAATCCGCGGACGGGAGGTAGAGCCGCAGAAAGTAAAAGTGCTCCCCCTCCGTGCTATCGCGGCAATTGGCGAAGACGCGGTGCACCAGCTCCGGGAAGTCAGCTAGCACCACCAACGCCGCGAGCAGACAGGCGTTAGACCCCGAGGTCGAGTACAACCCCAAGTGCGCCAGCTGGTGGGAAAATGTGGACAAATTCTCCGGCACCAGCGGCCAGGGCGCCGCGCGCTCGTCTGGATGCGCTTTCAGTTCCTTCAGGCGTGGGGCGGAGAGCCAACGGAGCGGGGACCGGAAGTCCACCGCGTCCGCCCCAAGGGACATGGCGCGGTGAGTGAAGTAGTCTTCGCGGCCGAACCGGCTTGGGTTCAGGACGTTGGGGTTCGGCACGTGTCGCTGTTCCCAGGTTTGCGACAATTGCTCCTGCACTGGGTGCAGGTCCTGCTGCTGCTGCTCCGCTTTGTCTTCACGAAGTGTTAGCGTTTCCGTGTAGAGCGTATTGCCCTCGACGGTCGCCGCCAGGACAGTTCTTGCGGCGCTGACATACACCGGAATGCGGTAGGAATTTAGGACGCCGCTCAAGTAGGAAGAAACAGGCTCCACCTCGTAGAATAGAGGTTTCGAGGGGAGTTTCTCTGGCTCCAGGTCGTTCAAATTCACTTGCTCATCTGCCGGTGCTGAAGAGGCCGCTATCTCGTTTTCTTTCATCTTCGAAGCAGCGTCAACGACAGCTCCGACTTCTGGCGGATCTTGTGCCAGGAAAACAGGCGGGTCGAGGATGGGTTGTGTGCTTTGTAGCGCCGCCTCTAGTTGAATCTGTTGTTCACCAGGCTGCTCGACTGCCGGTGCCGCAGGTCTCATCAGATTATCCAGCTTTTCGGAGATCAGCGCGAGTTTTTCCACGATCAACAGGTCGGCGGCGCTCGGTGTCGTGCCAATGGTCGTGTTTTTATTCGCATTTGCGAGCACAGCTGATGGTTGAGTGTCTGTTTTTTCCATTTTGCTCCTTTCGGTAAAGGGATTTTCCTTCGAGTCCCGCAAGAGCTTCGGAGTCTCGTCCCCCGCCACCACGTCAGTTCCAGTGATCTGGTCCTCGTCCTTCTTCTTGATTTTCACGACATCTATGGCACTAGGCTCCTTGGGCGAATCACCGGCGATCGCGGGTGCTGCTGCAGTTGAGGCTGCGCCGTTGTCTTGGTTTACTCCGGGAGTTGTCGTTGCAGCGAAAATTGGGATGAAGTAGCTGTTTCCATGTTTGATTTTGGAACTGGAAGCTACATCAAAGTCACGTCATCATCATAGAGAAGAAAAAGGACGACTGGTGATGAAAAATGCTCTGAAAACTATGGATACCGCCATGTAGGATAGGCACAACATATTGCAGAAAAGAATACGAAAAGCATACGACAAGCAAAAAGACAGAAGGTATCTTACTACGACTACAACCTCTGACAGAAAGTGTATTACTTTGGATCCGTGGCGGCTGCTGCTGGACCGGAAACCATGCGCACGCGGGGTAACTTCTCGTCTTCCGGATCGGGTGGGGGGATGACGGTACCATGTGCGATGTCCCCCTCCGCAGCGGGATCTATCTCAGATACGCTGCGACTCCCGTTCTCGACCTTTGGCGGAGTGAGAACGAGCTTCATACCCAATCCGAGTATGTACTCTTCGTCCTCCTTCAGCGGCCCAGAGTGACTGCAATACGCCACGGTAATCGCCTCGCCTTCTGCGACAACGGGCCGCCCGCTGCTAGAGGAACCCGCTGCAGCTGTTGCACTTGTTTCCTGGGGCGGATAGACGACGTCGTCAGCAGGAACAGGACCCGAAGCTCCACTCACGGGTCCTGTGCTCGCAGGAGCACGACCGTCGTCTGCGGGTGGCAGTGGAGTTTTCCTGCGTGTGGTCGTCGTGGCTGCAGGAGCGAGTGTTACGCTTTCCGCAACAGCTGGTGCTACGCTCTGGCTTGTTGTTACCGGACTTGCAGTTCCTGTGGCAGCACTGCTAGATGAATTGGGCAGCGGTGCAGCAGTTGGAGTGACTGTGGACGGAGCTGCAGGCTCATTTGCTACTGTTGCTTGTGGCGCGACGACCGCTTGCGCTGTCATTGCTGACGGCTCCGGGCGCTCATCCGGAACAATTGCCGGAGTCGAGTTTGCAGAGCCCACCGCTACTTCGGGAACTTGTGTGACTTCCGGCGCATCCATGTCCCCGGCTGCGTTGTCTTCGCCGCCCGTTTCTTCCACTACGACCGGACTACCAACTGACTCGACAGCGTCAGCAGGAGCGCCCGGTGACAACTGTGGAATGATCGTGGTCCCCGGTACAGCTGCTCCCGCTGGGATTGAGGCCGCGCCGGTTTCTGTCACTGCGGCTGGCTGATCGACTGAAGTGCCCTCCGGGGCTGGGTCCCGGTTCGAAGACGCGACTTCTGGCGGTGTGGAAGCACCAGCAGGAGTCTGCGAGGGCACTACAATGTTGACATTGTTTGGCGTTGTTTCCACCGACCCACTACTACCGGTTTCGCCTGCGAAGTTTCGGCAGAGCGACCCCGCGAGAGGTCGTGCGGTAGCGGAAGCCGAAGCAGAACTGTCGCCACGTTCCTCTTCGCCAACCTGCACAACAACTTCTTGCACGTTCAGCAGGGACTTGCTCACGAGGTCGCCCACCGCTTGACGACTGGCGGCACTGGCAATCCCGATGGCCTCAGGTGTTGAGGATTTCGCTTGGCCAGTCGCCTGCAGCAGCTCGGAGAGACCGTCCAGGTTGTTGTCGTCGGCGTCCTCCAAGACCGGCAAACCGACGACGACGTTCGGGGATGCGGGAAGGGATTCTCCAGCCTTTCTGCTGGTCAGCACAACCGGCTCGTCGAGTTTTTGTTCGGTTGCCTCTGCGACGGCTGCGACAACGTCTGCCGGCGTGGGTTTAGTATTCTGCTCACTGGCCGCTTCTGGAACTATGTGCTCTGCGACGGCAGCAGTGATGCCAGCCACAACGGGTTGATCCACCGCAGTGAAAACAGGAGCAGCTGCGGGTTCCGGCACTGGAGAGCCATTGCCAAAAATATGCAAACCGGACTGCTTCTCCATTAGCCGCTTCTTTCCGTATTTGCGCAGCCACGCGACGTAGGGAATCTCTTTCGCCTCCCTCGTTGCCTCGCGTAGCATCGCCATGCAATTGCGGTCGCTCCCCAGACCTAAGTCAACCAACATGGCGAGGGCCTGCGAAACCGTCAAACTCCCGACCAAATCTACATCTCGCTGCAAAAACGCAGCGCCCACATCCTGCCGCTCCAGTCGTTCACTTCCATCCGCAAAGGCGTTGAAAAGGAACTCCTCAGCCGCCTCCTGTTCCTTGTTTTTTGTTTTAATACCCGCGGCCGAACTTTTTTCCATCATCTTCCTTCGCGATTTACTCGGTACCGGCGACGACGCGGAGCGATTCGACTTCGGCGACATTGAGGGACTTCTTGACTTTTTGTTCGCGGTGCCGGGCGATGAGGTTGACGACATTCCGGTTTTGGAGTCGAACAAAACCTCGTTGTCTGCGTTGAAGGAGACGCACGACTGGTTAATATTTCCTCCAGCATCGCTGGCTAAAGGCGCGCCCTCGGGAGAAGACGCTATGGAAAGCGGCTCCGTGAAGCGTGGCGTCGTCGCGGGCCGGTAAAAGCGCGTGTTCTGCTCTGGCGCAGTGTTTGCTGCTTCTTCAGGCGGTTGCTCGAGCGTCGCGAGGCTGTTCAATGTTTCTTCCATGTTGAGAATCGGTGGTACAACCGCTAGAGACGTGTCGGCTTCACCCGATTTTGCAGATGTTGACCCGCCCTGCTTATCCAGCACACCGGACAAAGGTCGGCGCTCCACAGCGGATAGTTTTGATCTGCCGCTCTGCAGCTCTCCACTTACCGGAACCGGCCGTGCCGCTGGCTTCGCCTGGCGCCCAACGCGCTCTTCTGGCGGATCTTTGCTGTGCCTTTTGCTGTTCACCGTGCTGGGAGCTGTTCGGTTCCCAGCGAGTGGTCCTGGTCCTCCTGCTCCTGATTTAATGATTTCCTTATTGCCCCCACCACGCGCTTTGCCCATGGCGCCCGTGATGCTGCCACCGGAACTGGAAAACGTTATCTTCGAACTCATGGTTTCCTTCGAAGACGACCCAGCGCCGCTGCTTGTTCCGGTGGTCGTCTGGGCGGCCTTGTTCAGTGCGCCCGTGATCTTGCCCTTTGATTGTATGACACCGTTCTTGCGCAGCCATTGCGTTACATTCACACTGCTTGCGTTTCCCTCCGGGGGAAGTTTTGCCACGACCTTGCCGAACAGCACGGGGTGGAAACTCGGCACGCCCTCGGTCTCGAGCAGCGAACGAAACTTCTCCGCGTCGATTCCTTTGTTGGTCGCGCGCAACTCATGCTCCACGGGCAGCCGCCGCACCAGACCAAACAGGTCGCGCTCCAACTTGCTGACCAGCCGCTCCTCCATCTTGTTGGCGGAAAAAAGTCGGCAGATCTACAAGGTGCTCCTCGAATGACACACCTAAAGCTCGTCCCTCTGGTGTGTGTCGCGTGTGACACCAAGCACTGCCTATCCCTATGAAGCAAGCCGACAAATTATGAGCTGCGTGTATTCTGCTCACTATGCATGCACATCGACGATTTCGAATGTAGGAAAATTTTCTACAACCTTCCTCTGTAAACGCAGTCCGTTCTTGTTTTCGTTTTTGGTTGTTTTTCTGTAGTCGTGCGCTCTTTTCATCTCTCATCCTCATGTGCGTCCAGTCGTCTCACTCGATCGGTTTTCATATGCTCATGCTGGTTTTGCACTCGGTTGGCCTTTTGCTAGGCTAAGTACTGTGCATTCATCTAAATCAATGCAGCTGCAAGACATGTGCATTTGTTGCTGTTTTGGTACGACGATGCGAGACAATTGTAGTTCTTACTTCACCACGACGCCGTCCATTCCGATAGAACTCCCCACAATCAGAGCTCAGACGGAAAGTCAATGTAGTTTTTGATGATTTTGAAGAACGGGAAATAGTTCTGCTTTTCCTTTTTCGATGGGACCGTCGATGATACATTCTTCAGTCGTGGGCTTCGAGTTCGAGCAGGTTCGTTTAGGTGTATTCAAATCTTACAAAGTTGAAATGAGACGTTCGTACATATTTGGAGATACACGTCGTAAAATGTAAATGACAAACAAAGGTTCTTCTAAGCTCAAACTGGGAAGATGGTGGTGGTGCAAGCATCATTTACTATTTACAGAATTTTTGCAAGTGGAGAAAAGTCAGGCTCAGGAAAGTAGAAAAGGCCCGCCCGCTCTCAAAATTTTCAACTATGCTATCTGAATATCATTGCAGAAGATTAGCATGCATGATCCAGAAACGTGGTAGTATCAGTGGTGTACGACGTCGATGACATTTTTCTCTCAATTCCGTGGTTCTCGCCGCAACATGCGCGGTCGCTTTCCGGTGGAGGCGGCTTCGGACGACGTCTCTGCCGATGATGATGAGCTCCACGACGAGGGCCAGGACCACCATGACGCTCCTTCTTGTTCCGCTTCCGGTTCGGTCTTTTGGGGGTGGACGATTTCGCTCCGCTGTTCGTCCAGATTCTGCTTCGCACTGTTCCGTTCCTCGCTGTGATTTGTGTCGTCGACTTCTCCGGTTTGGAGGAAGAAAGCCATTGTAGACTGCTCTTTCACGGCCTGAAGCAGATCGCGCATGATGTCCTGCCCGTCTTCCTGCGCAGCGCGCTGCATGTTGCTCTTGATCGTCAGGGCAGCGTCTTTCCTGTTGTTGAAAGTACAATTTTATAATACTTGAAACGCAAAGTAGTCAGATTCAAAACTTGAAATATTCGCTTCAACCGGAACTGCAGATGAATAGAAAGCAGCACCACGTAAAACACAATTCTATTGTACAGGTTGTCGTATTTGTCCTTTGCCAGGTTGCTCTGTTCTCGCGCTTTTTCCCAGGATTCGGTGATCTGCGTTAAGAGTTCCAGCAGTTTCTTTCCGTGCTCCCACGTCATCTCTTCCCGGTGTTCGAAGCGCTGGCCAAATCGCGTCGCCACCCGCGTCCGCAGTTCTGTGAACTTTTTCAGCAGCTCGCCCATTTTGTCCTTCAACTGCCCGAACTTCTTTTTCTCCACGGTCGCCTCGTTGTTCACGCTCGCTTCCAGCTGCTTCACGCCATAGTTCAGAGCCATCTCCATGCTTTCTAGTTCGTTCCCCAGTTCCCGCATCCGCGTCTCCTGCTCCATCATGCGGCTGGGGTCGAGATTTGAGCTCTTGAACTCGTCCTCCAGCTCCAAAAATTTCCCCCGCTTGACCTTGTACAGCTCGATCAACTTGTCCAGTTTCGCGTTCTGCTGCTTTTCCGCAAGCTCCACCATGGCCGACGGTTGCTGCTCGTCGGCTTCTTCATCGCTTGCGGTTGGCGGTGCTGGTGCTTCTGCCCCCGCATCTACCGGGGATTCAAAACTAGGTGGCGCAGTAGTGGTTGGAGTAGTTATTTGGGACTCTACGGCACCGTCGGAGAGACGTTTGTCATCGTTTTCGTGTGTGTCTTGTAAGTTCGGATCCTCCTCCAGTTGGAGTTGACTCGCGGGACTTTCATGAAACTCAGTGCTCTGCTGCTCCTCTACTTGGCCCAGAGTACTGTCATCCGCATCTAGGTCGACGACTGTCTTACTGTTGTAGTGCGGCAGCGAGCTAATTTGGATGAAGTTCGCTTCTGGAGGAGCTGCTACAGCGGGAAGAGAATCTTCAGTAAGGGGTCCCGTAGGAGGACTAGCGGCTTGCAATTGCTTCCCTCCATCAGGGGGAGAGTTTACAATTAGTGCAGCATGACCAGCATCCCGTTGCTGCTCATCGTGCGAAGGAGAGGACGGTGCTTCTTTCTCCCCCGTTGGATACGTAATTTTCGGCTCCCCCGTTTCGAGAAAGAAACTTTGCTCCGCCGACTCCGTGGCTGCGTCCTCGATAGTTTTCTCGAGATTCGGGACCGTGGATTGACTCTGAGCACTCGGCTTCTTCTGATCGGCCATGGCGTCCAGCGCGTCGGCCGCTTCGTTGTTGGCCGCGACCGCGTCTGTGAACTCCGGGGCCATCTTGCCCAAGCGGTACAGAATGTCCTTCGTGCGTGCGGCGACCACATCCTCTTGGTCCACCAGTTTTTCATCAGTGAGATGAAGCGTACTGCTCGGATGCTTTGCCTGTTTCGCGGCCGAAGTTGCCTGTGCAGACGATTTTTGTGTTCGAGCTGGCTCAACAGGATTAGGCGGTAGCTCCGCTGAAGCCACTACCTCATGGTCTTCCTTCAAAGAAGGTATTTCGCTCGGCGAAACGGTGGTTGACGGTGACGGTGGCGTCAAAGCGGAAACCGATCCTAGTTGGTGGAAGGGTACAACGAAGGCGACAAAGAGGAACACAAATTGCACAAATCTTGATGAGAATGCTTCGCTCCACCGCACGCGGAATTTGACGGTCTCCGTGTGATTGACCATGTTGAGCGATTCTATATTATCTTGGCCTTGGCGTAAGCAACTACAGAAGACTTGGCTCTGCTCTCGCCGTTGCTTACTTCTACTGGGCGAGCTTTTCCGAAAAGGAAAACATGGAGTTAAGAATCTAAATCTTGCCTTCGCCATCAAGTTGAAGTTCCTTCATTGATTCGCGGTGGAAAAAGTTTCAAACGAAACAGACGACCACTGCTCCATGCGAGTAGCTCCGGCCACATGAAGAAATGACAACACGACCAGCACGAGCGCAATTACTTCTCGTTCTCTCTCTCTGACACTGACTGGTGTCTCCATATCGACGATACCAAACAAATCAAAATTGAACACTGCTCTTCGTAGGAAGATGGATTTTTGAGCGCTTACGTGTAGATGATTGATGCGTATCATCGTTTAGTCCTTTCAACACGAAACGTGATTTGGATTTCGTCTCGTCTGTACTGTTGTCGCCTGGCGAAACTGCTTCACCAACATCAAAAAGTCGCTACGCATTCATTGGATTCTGGATTATACCAGAACATCAACATTGTACATGGTTGGGTTGCTATCTATCGTAATACCACCCAAATTAAACTTCTCACTTGAAGATGAAGATGGTGCTCGAGGAGATAATTGTACACTTCTTGTTCTTCTCAAACTTACATGATCGAAGCGGGTAATGCCCAAAATCTAAATCTTCCACAGAATCAAAATTTACTCATTTTTCGAACTTTCACGAGTCGGAGGTACTGGCCACTGAGTAACTTGTTAAGCGCTACAAGCGTGGTCCTCTGGGTGGCGGTGCTTCAAACAGTACCATTTGCCGCATTTGTGGCAACACAGACGCGTTGCGGGGGTGGTTTTGGTTCTGCACTGGGCGCACTTCTGCTGCGGTTGCGCTGCCTGTGGCACGACGCCGTTCTTCGCTCTTGTGTTCGGATTCAGTTGGTTGAATGCGGCTTTCTGCTGCAGTTCCGACCGTGTCTCCTTACCCAAAAATGGACTCACCGGACGAGGATTCGAATCTAATGATACCTTCGGATTGCGCGGCTGCTGCTGGAGGTCCAGCCCCGACCTGTTTAAGTTCTTCGCTTTCTGCTCTGGTCCTAGCTCTCGCTCTCCTTCCGAATTCCATGGACTTTCGGGCGGCGTCGCCGTGGAGGCGAGCGTCGAGGGACTGCTGGACTCGTCATTCTTCCCGTGCAGAACCCGGGGCGGCCTTGTGCTCTTCGGTCGCGTTTTCGAAGAGTCACCGAAACGGAACCCACTATTGTTTCTGCAGGACGGGTGTATGTGGATGGGGGTCGTGCTATAGGTTTTTGGGCTTCTGTCCCAGCGCTTTTTATCACTGCGCGGCGAGGAGGAGGCACAATTCCCCATAATAGGCTCTATGAGATGCTGGAGTAGCGGTAGACAAAACAGAAAAAGTCGAGAGGAACTAAAAAGTAACGCCTACAAGAACTTCGAAATCAACATGATCTGCGAAGTCGAACGCTTCCAAAAGAAGATGAAGACCACTTCATCTGGTTCTGACTGTACTAGTTTTCCTACAACCTCCAAAACCATACCAACTAAGGTGTTTGCCTGGGTGTATCAAATCAGGGCATCAACTTTGGATACTTTCGAGACGGCAGTGACATAAATTTAAATGTCGGCCAAAAAACGATCAAAATAGCATCGCGATCTGGTCTTTGTTGATCATTTTGATGAGCTGGACTTTCTGAGCATGCACCAATTTCTGTCGTCGTGATCTGGTGCGGAGAGGAGTGCTCGAGTGACGAGAGTGTCAGGTCTACTTCCAGATATTTCCGCGGCTACTTCTGCATGTGATTAGAAGATCATGATCTCATGTTTATTGCATATTTTCGGATATAGTTGTGCCGTTCTTCATTCTGAAGTGAAGCGAGGCCGCGGCCTTGTAGACGAACATAGACCTCACGTGTTCCTGTGTTTCTGGTTGTTGCAGCTTCTTGGAGGCCGCTGCTAAGCTGGTCGGGTGGTTCTTTGAGTCATTTCTTTGCCCACGATGTGCAGAGTAGAGTTGTTCACCCGCACAGCTTGTTTTCTCGTCGTGCACAGGGGCAGGTACGGGGAAGAGGGCGCAGAGCGGCGCACGGGAAAAAAAGTAGAAATACCTAAAAAAGGCTTCTTCTAGCAACGAAACCCGATAGCCGGCGCTTGAGGAACGGCAATGTAATCGGGTGGCATCCAACGGCTTGTCTGGTATTCTTCCGGATACGGCATTTCCTGTGGTACCATCGTTCTCTGCTGTATTTCTATCGCACTTCGGCGGCCAGCAGAGGGTCCGCGCGATGACCCGGCGCTCTGTTATTTATTGGTTGAGTTGTTGTAGCGACTTTAGTGACAGACAACTACAGCGAGACATCAATAGAAATGCCCAAACACTGAACAGTGGTTTTCAGTCTCGTCATCCCGCTTACACTTACCGCAGAAGAAGAAGTTTCACTGATCTCACAATACCTGCGCTTCCACTGCGACGGTCCCGAGCCGCATATCGGGTCGCACGGTCTTGTCCGAAACTCGGCGAGCGGAGTGCGAACCGGATATACCGCGATTGCCGGCTACTTGGCCGCACAGTGACGAAGCTCCAGAGGAACCCCGGCGGGACTTGCCTCGCGAAGAGGTGCCTGTATTCCCTCCGTCTCCGCTTGTGCGCGGAGAGTGCTGCTCCGCAGCCCTGGGGTGCGGGGAGCGCACCCGGTTCAGCGACGTGGCTGTGGGGAGGGTGTAGTTGGCCGGTAATGTGCTCCGCATTGCCGCACGACCAGTGGGGTCTGCGCTCTTTTGCCTGGCATAGTGGGAAGTGTGCGCTGACGTCGCTGGATGAAGAAGGTGCGGCTGCTGGTCGTGGACCGCAGTTGTAAACCCGAAGCTGCTTGATGGCCCCGGCTGCTGGCGCCAAGCATTGAGGTACATCGGGCCAGGACAGAAGCCGGCAACCGAATACGTTCTGGTGCTCGTAGACGAGGAGCCCGTTGGGCCGAGAGACGTGCCGTCGAGACCGATGCCTCCAATTTGACCAAGCTGCAAGGCAGATCCTGAGATCTGCGGCGGGCCCGAGACTGGAATAGTGTTGCTATGGCCACCCGCATTTGCAGTAGATGTAGAACATGCAGGAAAATAATTGTACGACCTGCTGTTCCCCCGGGAACGAAATCCAGAGCTTGCGGATGAAGCTGCATATCGCACCGGAGTGGCGTAGCCGCAGGAGAGCGCTGATCTCACGACCCCACTCAAACTGGTGGTCGAACTCATCGTGACACTGAGCGGTTGAACAACAGGGCCGCGCGCTGCAGTACTAGGGCCTCCGAAGCAGGCCGCATAGGTTACGGAGGTAGGCTTGGCAGCAGAAGCAACTATTTGGTCTTGCGCTGGGCGTGCTGCGGTCGTCTGGGGCGCAAAGAAATCCGGGTTGGTTGGCGGCTCCGGTACATCAACTTCGACTGTGGTTTGTTCTATCGTGGGCGACTTCTGGCCGTCGCGGAAGGTGAAATTCGGCTGCGTCGCTCTTCTTGCAGGCGCGTTGTAATAGGGAATCGGTGCGGGAAGGGCACTAGGGCGAGGCGGCGAAACTGCGCCAGATCCGAGATCGCTCCAGCTCGGGATATGGCCAGACGGATCCGGGCTGCCGGAACGCGTTGCGTGCAACGCAAGGTCCTGCGGGGCAGCTGCGCCGAAGGTTGGCGACAAGTTTTGCACCATGTGCTGCGCGGACGCCAAGGCGGCGCTACTCTTGCTGGAAGATCTGCTGAAGGAGGGAACTTGCGTTACGGCGGGCGGACAGGCAAGGTGGTTCGGGGTCTGTGGGTTAAAATAGGGTCGCCTTGTTTGCAGTGGCGATCCTCACTTAAATGAGATTGAAAATCACGCTCCTGAGTCGTAAAAACGTTTAGAACAACTCGAACTCGCGAGTCAAACATAAGGACAAACCAACATGGTGAGCCTCTACTAGACGAGACAAAGAAGACCAGCGGATGCACCTAGCGTAGGCACACGAAGCGATACATATACGTACCCGCGTTCCCGTCCCTGTAGGCGCTGCACAGTAGTTGACAAGTGCAAGTTTCTCGACGCTGTGCGACGTTCGTTTTCCCTTCCTGGATTGGTCAGCTCCTATCTCATACGTCGATTCCGGGGCGGTGATCTGGGAGGGAGCAGTGAACTGCGGAGTGGTCGCAATTGGGATGCTCTTTTGCCTCATGCCACTGGAGGTTGAGGGGTAGCGCGAGCCAATAAACGGCAGAGGACCTGTGTTTGTGTATTGGCAACGGATCCTCATCTCGCTCGAAGGAGCGGATTTTTCTTCTTCTAGTTTCATCTCTAGTCTTTCTCCAAGCTTCAACTTCAATAGAATTACTTACCTGGCGCGTCGCCGGCCAACGGCGCAGCTTCAGGGGGCACCAGTTCCCATGAGTTTCGCGTGGGGCTAGTGCGCACAATCTCCACGCCTGGAGAGCAGCCCGGGTTTCCACCGAAGCTGAAAGGCGAGGAGTCGATGGAGCGTTCTGCAGATCCTGGCAACATTGGAAAGCCGACCTTGAGTGGCTGCGGCGGTGGACTGCTAACAGTTGGGCTCGTCGCCGCGCCGAACGGGCCGACCAGCATTGGTGTCGCAGATGACGAAAGAGGCGGCGGCGGTACCAGCTTTACCTGCCGATCGAAGGTCAAGCCCGGCTGTGAGCCATTCGATCCGGAAAGTAGAGGAGCCTCAGCAGAAGCATACGGATGTTGATATGATCCTTCGCCGGCTGAGACCGAATTCGACTGCTCGGTGTACGAGTATGTGTCCAGGGGGCTTGCCGTGTCCACGGTATCCCCGCCGGGAGATAATTGACTAGCTCGGCCTGGGTACTGCGCTAGCTGCATTTGCGCCGCACTGGTCTTTTTGCCCCCGAACCCGAGATGAGAAGCTATGCCTGGAGGAGGCGCAGCTGTAACACTCCCCAGCGGACTGCGTAATCTCGTGGCGTATTGTTTCCGTTTGTTTTCGAGCGGCGACAGGGATTTTTCCTGGACCTTGGCGCTCGAGTAGCCGCCTTGCGGTGCACCCTGACTATATGCGAGATGCGCCCGCGCGGAAAGCTGTTCCTGCGTGAAATTCATATCGGTACTTTCGCGCAGGAAGGATTGACAACTTGTTCGGAGCAGCGTCGACGCTGGAATCGGACCTCGGAAATTGTACTTCGTGTCGTGGCGGCCGCTGAAGGCACAACTTGGAGTCGTGTCGTACTCGAACGACGGCGCTACGGAACTTGGATCGTCGGTGTCTTTTCGAAGCTCTTCCGAGTCAAGAAATCTTCCGTCTGTTCCACTGCTGAAAGATCCGAAATTCTGCTGTTGTCCGTATGGCATGTTCGAGGTTGATGAAACTGAGCCCGAAGAAGCGGAGCTGCCGTTGTATGTTGAGCTACCCATAATTTTGTTAGCACAACTCCGCTTGTTGAGAAACGAGTTCGCCATCGCTGGCGTTCCGCTTTTCGCCCCTCCTCTTTGCTTCTCGACGCTGCAAAAGCCACCGCCCGGCGCGTACCTACCGGTGCGCGGCACGACGCGATTCTCGGCTTCGGTTCCTGACTGCGCGACTTTCGCGCGCGGCTGTGCGAGCTTCTCCAAGCGTCGTTTGTCGACGCCGCGCCTTTCCATGGGGGCAGCGCCACTTTTGTTCGTGGTAGAGGACAACACTCCTCCTCCCGGTGTCGCGACACTTCGCACTGTGCTGCCTTTCTGCATCTTTCCCGCTGCAGCACGGGCCCCACCAGCAGCAGCTATGCCACCACTTCTGGTCGTGCACGTCGACGCAGAGCTGTTTGACAGCGGAGACTTGATCCTTCCGCCCACCTGATTATACAATCGGCGCGCTCTGCTAGTCGCCGTTTCCCGCACACGAACGTTGAAGCTGTTGCTGGCGGCCACGGTGCTACGGCTAAGGGACGCGCCAGATTGCATGTGGTGCTGCTGGTTCTGTCCGATACCCTGGCTGCGCGAAGGAGCGCGAAATGCGTAGGACGGAATTATCGTGTTGGTCGAGGACGATGAGCTGTTTTTGGAGGACGCCCCCGTCGATGAGCCTGAATTCGTGCCATCAACACCTGAGCTCACGTGCTCAGGGTCGTGTACATTTTGATCGTGCGCTCCTGTTGATGTGGTAAACGATTCACCGCTTCCTCCTCCGGTGGCCATTTTCTTGATGCTCCGCTGCGTCGCACTCAGAAGGTCGGCGGTCGAGTTGTGTTGCGAGTGCCGCGAGAGTTGCGACGAGCGGCTCGTACTCGATGGCAGCAGGCCCGAACTTCGCATTCTTTCAAAATCCTCCAGCACTGTCGACGCTAGTGTTTCAGCACGGGTCACGCGACGCACCAGCTCTCTATCGACGGTTGGAGCGTGCTTCTGCTGGTTCACGTTATTTCCCTCACCTGCTACGACTGTTGAGGAGCGGCTGGCAGCGAGCGGCAGCGCGGTGAGGTTCGTGCCTGTTCGCGAGGCGGCTCTTGAACGCGGCAACGGATCGTAACCACGCCGCAGTTGTAATTCGCCACTTACAACTGCTATCCTTGTCGTACTAGACCGCTCATCAGCATTGCTCGGTAGCGTCATGTCTGGCGGATGCGCGCGGGGAATCTCGTCTTCTGCGAACTCCCCCAGCCCGCTATCCTCGTTGTTTTTCTCGTCTACTGATGTTGCCCGTGGCAAAAATGCCGTCGCCTCCATTTCGGCCCCGGTGGTGGACGTGGAAGGCTCATTCGCTGCAGCGATGTCCTGCTCCGCATCGGCAACCTGAACGAGCTCGCTTACAGAAAGCGACGTAGCGCTGAGCATTTGCCGCATTTCCAGCATGGTTTCCTCCACGCAAGGCTCAGGGTCCTCTTCGACCACATGCTGGATCTCTGCTTCATTTGGTAGAGGAGGGGGTCCAAGCTCGCTCAGCTGTTCGCTGCACTGGGAAACGCCATCCTCTCCTGGAGCAGCCAACTCGACTTTTTGTTTTTCGGGTGCACTGAGGTGGACAAGAGATGTTTCAACATAATGCTCAGATATCTCTACCGTCTCCAGGATCTTTCTCTCCGCTTTTGGCGGTGTTGTTGACCGAGACTGCACTACAACTGCATCTCCAATAATGTCGTGGTCCCGTGAGGAGCCGACGAGCACGGTATCTGCTTCCTCCTCCCGCCCGATCACAATGGAACTATTCACAACAAGAGTCGACGGCTCTCGCGACGTCGAAGTGCCAGCCGGAGTTGGAGATGCTGCCACAACGAAAGTAGTAATCGCCTCGTCGTCGCCGGCAGGGGCGGGAAAGCGTGACATCGAGGACCGCGAGGAGCTTCCGCTACTCGACGACGAAGTCTGCACTACGGTCTCCGAGCTCGACGCAGAGCGATGCTCAAACGGTGACGGCATGCTTTGATCCAGCATTTGCGCTTGCTTTTGTGCTAGTTGTCGTGGCGTCGAGTCCGCTGAAAGCGCAAAGGTCGTCGAGCCGTTCATCAGATGGGAGGCCTCGTCCACGACCTGTGGCGCGCCAGCGCTGTCAGTGGCGCCTGTGCCTGTCGCATTAGTCGTCATGATATTTTTCTGGCTCGCCCCGACCACCGCGTGCTCCGACGGTTCTTCCTGTTCTGCATGTCCTGCGGGGCCTCCCTGACAGATGGCGTCGTCAATCGCTGGCACTGCGCTTTCGCCCGTTTGTGGGGAATGGAAGGTGCTGCTGCACATGGCGGGGGTATTCCACATTGTTGCAGAAGTTACTTCTGCAGAAGGCGCTCCTGCACCGCCGACGGGTCTCACCAAGTGCGGTGGTATTTGCGCCTTTCCACTTGACCTTGGCCCGGGAATTTTTTTCTTCCTGCCATCGCGAAAACTAGTTTCGCTGCGACCATTGCCCCTCGATATGGTGATGTTCTTGCTGATCTCTACGCGCGCCACGTCCGGACTGCTGCTACTACTGGCCACGCTGTTCTGACTCCTCCGAATGCGGTCCTCCCACTGTTGCAACCGGTCGCACACGGGCACGCTTTCTTGTGCCTGCTGCGTTGTACTGGAGCCAGTGGTGGACGATGTTACCTCCGCGATTTCGCCTTCCTTTGGTTCGTCCGGAGTGACGTCTTCAGTTGTGGCAGCTTCATGCGTCGACACCAAATTTCGCACCGATGCGGTGAGCACATCTTCGTGCTCAGAAACCGTATCTGCGAAGTCTGCCTGCACCCCCTGCTCCTTCGCAGCATCAGCGGAAGGAGCTTTGTAGTTTTCATCGTCCTGCAAAAATGAACTAACTATGCGCCCCACCTCAGCCAGGAGCTCTTGCGTGAAGGCAGTCGCCGCGACTTCGTCCGGGGACTCTGCTGAGATGCCGTCGGAAGACTGCCTCACATCTTCTAGATTTTCATCTGCTACAACGTCGTTGAGCGTTACCTCGACGTTTGGAAGCTCGATATGGAGTGACGGAGTGCTTGCGGGAGGTTTTTCTCCACCGACGTTCCCCCTCGCGCTCGCCCCCTGCTCAAGCAAAAGTGCCGCTTTCTTTTCTCGTTCGCGCGCTTTCCGCGCTTGTCGTCTGCGCTTCTTTGCGTTTGCCCGGACCGTAGCGAGATCTGCATTCACGGGCGTCGTGTCGCCTGCGTCGACGTAATTTGTGGGCGTTGTATCCGGACGAGAAATTGGTGTCTCGTCGGCTTCTGGTGTGACCTGGTAGGGTGTTGTTTCTCTCATGGATCAAGCGGAATCTGAGTCGGCTGATGTCTGTTGCTACAGTTACGTCACCTCTAGAAAGAAGCATTGATACACATGCACATGCTGATGCTCCGGCCACAAGAGTAAATTCAACAATTTGTTTTCTCATCAAAGTAGGAGTTTGATTTTCAAGCGTGATACCAGGAGCGTCCCGCTGACTTCCTCATTGTCCGAGAAATCCAGGCGTTGCACAACAGAAGACGTCGGCGCCGCACAAGCCACTGTACCTTGGAGATTTTCTTCAAACGCCGATAGTTCTTCGCTGCAGAGAACCTCCGCTGCTGTGAGCAGTTGGGACTGGCCCTTCGAGGACGATAGCCGTCGCGGCTCCTCGTCCTCTGTTGCTTCGGGTACTTGTTCCCTTGGGAAAGATGACCCGCCTGCCGTCATAGTTCGCCGGAATCGTTGTCGACGACCAACCTTATTCTATGCTCGACGTTTTTTTGATACTACCACAAGAACTGCTACGTCAGGGCCAAATGAGCGCGAATAAATACGAAATTGTCAGTTCGTGAAGATGACTTGATGATCATCATCATAGAAGTAGTCTGTAGTCACAGAGGACTTCGTTGTTGCTACACAGACGAATATGGCCATAGATACGCCGATTTTTCGCCTTACTTTTCCATTCAGGCTTTAACTTTATATATTGGATGATCAACATTCTCGACGGGCAGGATAAGCCCTCTGATCTTGCTTCCGGTTGTTGTCGTTTCCTTTCCGCTCTTGTGGTGGGGCTTGTTCTATCTCCACCTGCAGGAAGGCACTTCTATTTCGCTTCTTCAGTTCTTCTTCTTGTTCAGAATCAGAACTTACTCTCGACAACGAGAACCGTGAATGAACTGACGAAAACTCAGTAAGCTAAACGATTGATACTGGAACAACAAGTGCAAATCCAACATATCGTTTCTCTGGCTAACAGAAGAACACTGCACAGATCACGACGATCTCCGAAGATAGATTGAAGTAGGTGCAGAAGTAGTTATGCTCGAAATCCGGAAGCAACATCGCGCTCGAGAAGTTTCAGATTGTCAAACAGAGTCCAAGTAGGCTGGGGGGGGGGATTTTTGCTAGTGCAATTCTTTCCCGAACAAAGCAAGTAGAGTTCGTCGAGACAGAAGGGTTCACGCTGCACTACGAGTGGCGTGCTCGTCCACCAATCCAAAGGAAGAGCGCATCAAAATTATGTAGTATTTGCATTGGTCACGCTCCCGCAACCGCGTATCTCCCGATTGGTGCGGGTGGCTGCTTGTAGTCGAACACGGAATTTCTCGTGTGCCGCTGCAGGAACCAATTTTTCGCCTCCGCTGGCCTCTGCTCGAGAGGTAGGCGGGCAATCCGGCGGCACGTGGAAATGTCCTCGAGTGCCTTGAAGTACGCTGCGCTGGTGTAGGATTTTGAGTCGGAATACTGCCAATGCATGTAGTAACGGCAATCGACGAGCTGGCGAAGCTTGAACCAGTAATCAGTGCATGGAAAGTCCGCCTGTTCCCGCAAATGCTCGAACTGCGGCACTTTTCCATACCAAGCGTGGAAATGCGCAAAGTCGTCCGGGATCGCGTTGGTGCGCAACGTCATGGCTCCTTTGGAATCTTTTCATCAATTGACTCACATCTGCGGTCGCGACCCTTGCGCGTTCGTTTGTGCCTGGATTTCTTAAGCCACGCTAGGTATTCAGAAAGACAGATCGCGCTCCAGTTCAAACTTCACTCGCCAATGTCACAAAAGTAGTGTACGTAGAATCATAATCAGATTGAGAAGATAGGAAGAAGCAACAAATGCATGACTGTGCCGCAAATGATGCAAAGAAATGAAAAGTGACGACCGGAAGAAATTCTGAAGTTGTTGATCTCAGAATCGCAATGGAGCGGGAACGGGAACGACCAGTTAGATGTAAAACTTCCACTAAGCGTGGAAGTTCGCAAACTCGTCCGAAAATGTGTTGGCGCACAACGGCAAACGCAATGTCCTGATCTTTGTGCGGCCCATGCAGGTGAGCAATCACTGACTTGTTGTTCTACTTTGCATTTATACAAATGGAGCCAGTCGGAGGAGAAAAAAAACAAAAAATAAACATCACACCTCATCGATTAGTCGATTTCCTGTGTTCGGCCCTTTTAGCATTAATTTTCCGGAATCAGTGCTATTCGTCGTTCTTCATCTTCTGGATTGTTTACTGCTGCAGTTCAATTTCAAAGTAGAAGTATTTGGCTTCAGTATCACCAGCGAACCGTGAAAGCAAAGCGGAACTCCATATTATGTTCGAAAGTGAAGCCTTTGTCTTCGAAATACTTGCGGACTCCCAACATAGTGGCGTCATTTCTTGACGCGCGATTACGTTTGGTGTTCCTAACGAAGTGCATTGCATTTGCGATTTCCTTCTTTCGCTGCGTTTCCCATTCGTCACTGCTGCAAATGATGTCTTCGATCTTGCTCCCCCACATATCTGGAGCCTCGAAGGTCAGAGATTGCTTGCCGAGCCTGACAAAAAACGCGACGTTCCCCGTTTTCCAAAGTTTTTGTTTGTCTTCCGTCCACCCAATTATCCCATTCAGCTGGGATTTGCGTGTGGTTGCCTTAGCTACATCGAAGCACTGCCCCAACAACGGACCGAGCATTTCATGTAAGTCCCGGACGCGTTTTGTTGTAGCAAGATGGGCCAGATATCGAGGGTTCAGAATAACGCTTGCAATCGGTCGCAGAAATTTGTGGATGTGCAAAAACAGTTCCGTTGGCAGATGTTTCTGCAGACGACCACCTGACTGACGCCGCACGACAGCCATCCAAGACCGGAGCTGCTCTTGCACGATTGCGGACCTCGTTCCGTCTGTGGCACGGTACGACACAAATCTGGCTTGCATGGCGCTGGTTGTGCCCACGGTCGGAGGAAAATGGGCGGCATCGTCGATGTCACCGACGACTTCCCATCCCTCGAGAAACTGTCCAGGTTTGTGCAGGGGCGGAGTTTCAAGTTGCGGTGGCTCCTGTTCTGGGGGTTGCGCTCCGTCGTTGACAGCTCTGTCGTTTGCAACCGGAGGAGGTGGCGCTGCTCTACCCGCGGCCCCAGGGAGGTTCTTTAGCTTTTTATTTTCTTCTACCGGAAACCAGGTAAAGTGTGTTGCTTTGCTCTTCCAAGTAGCCGCGTCAACCTCCCACACAAAGTAGCCTCGTTTCGCAGCCGCAGCACAAGCAGTATGCAATCCCATACACCTCTCCAACTGCCTGATCTCGTCCGCGAGCTCTCGACCTTTCGCTAGAACCTCCGCCGCTTTTGACGGATCCTTTTCTATGGTTCGTCGGTCTTCTTCCGCCTCGACGGCTGCTCGTTCTTGTAGTCGTGCAAGGCAACGACGAACATTATGCTCAACCCAGGCTCCATACGTCGGTGAAAGCTCCGCGTGCAACCCAGAATGCCACTTTTCTGCTTCTTTGCGCCGTGTGGGCAGTCCCGCTCCTTCTCCTCCTGCGTCTACCATGCTCTGTATTACGATAAATGCGCGACCCTCGGCATGATCCAGGAAAGTTGCGAAAAATTCGAAAAAGTTTTCCAGATATTGACCTCCTCGCAGACCACACAAGTCTGATCGAACAAAGAAGAACCGGCGCTGGTAGTGAATCACTTATCTATCGCTGCAATCAATAGTCAAGCATGAAGGCGCATAGAAAACCTCGTAGACTAAAGTGAATAGCACCCATGTATTAAGTTCACCTAGAGCTTTCGTACTAGATGCTTTGCTTTTACACTATTGCAGGTCTAGTGCGAATCTATCACTATCTTCAGATCCTCGGCACTTCTACAACCGCCGCTTGGTGAGTACATCTCTTCTGATGTTGATGATCGCGAGCACGTCGACCACAAACATTGACCAAGACCAAAAGCGTATCTTAAGCTGCTTTTTCTTCTCTGCGAAGCAAAACAAAACATCCAATCTCGGACGACTTGGACCAGGAGCTTCCTTCCTAATCGTCATTGTCTTTTCTTTTCATTTCCTCACAAGGAGTTATACACGTAAAGTGAGAGATGAAGTGTAGAAGTTAGTGTTGGAACACATTGGTGGAGCGGGTGGAATTGTTTCCCTACCTGCTTGTGGAAAGCCAAAGCCCAGACACTTGCATCACTTTACTATGTCGCTCTCGTTTATTTTGTTCACTAGCATGATGATTCAAGTGGTTTGTGTTGTGCCGTCAATCATATTTAAAACTATGTCGATCATGGTGATGCGCTGTTTCAAAGGAAACACATCGTGCGTCACTGTGGAAACTACTCGAAGAAAGAGACAGAATGACAACTTCTGCACTGAAGAGTCGAATGCATTTGGAAATTCTAAACTGCAGGCTGCGCCGCCTCGCAGTGTCGTGGCTTTCTACTTTTGTGCCTACATGATATCTCGAGTTTTTCCTCGAAGCGCTGAGCGGCGCGTTATCGAACAGAAAAGTGCTTCCCGCCTTCACTATGATGACTGACATGTGCGCAGTGCAGCCTCTGCATAGTGCCGTTGCATTTCCAGGGGAACTAGGTCGCAATAGTGTAGTTCAATAACACTTTATCCCTTAGTTAACGCGAATCTTCATGCTGTTGTCACAACTGGCAGCCACTTTTTGCCTTTACCCAAGCATCGAATGAATCTTCGTCTGGGTTTGGATCCACTGGAGCAATACGTGCGCATCGTCTTCGTCAATCGAGTAGATGGCGGCCAAGGAGGCGGCAGAGAGCTTGCCTCCGGATCCCTGCTGCTGGATGTAGTCAGCCAGCTCTTCGGCGAGTTTTTCGTTGCGTTTCAAACCCGTTCGCTCGACGACTTCTTCAAACCTGAAAGAGTTATAAGTTTTTGCAATGCACTTGCACATGCAGATGCAATTACGAGGAGTATTTATCTAAGCTTTTTCCACCGAAACAACTCGGGAAGTAGTTTCAATGTTATGATCATTCCTGTCTGCATTCTTATGTCACAAAAAGATGCCTAAGCAGAAGTACTGTTCCTTGAGCTCCTTGAGGCCGGCGAACTGTGCGTTCTCCACTCGTTCCTCGAAAGTGCTGTCGTGTGCCTGCTTTTTTCGAAGCAAGTAGCTTGCCCATACGCGAAGCATACTCGTATTTTCCTCATCCGCTTGCTGTTCCTGGCCCTCCGCCACTTTCGCGGCCCTCTTCGTTCGAAGACACGTCGCAACGCGGGTTCGCTCCTCCTGCGTCAATTGCTGCAAGGATTTGTAGAATTCTCGCCGCTCCTTTTCTTCCTCTGCTTCCTTTTTCTTCTTTTCGTCTGCTGCTGCCGCAGTGGCGCTCGCAGCTGTTCCGGTCCTACCGTTGCTGGCCTGCTGTTGATCCTGCTGTTCATCAGAAACCGCCTTGTCACCCGTCGAGGCCGCAGCGTCCGTTGTCGAGGCCGCAGCTTGTTCGGGTTCATCCGTCGGCGAGGGAGGCTCGGACGTGTCGGTGAGCCTCTCCGTCATTTCTGCTTTGGGGCAGAGTTCGGAGGCGAAAAACTCGCATAACGCAGCACGATTTCGGTGGATCATCTCTGGCCTGAGAATCCACTGCAGGTTCTCCAGCGCTTTGGTGAAGTCCTTGACTTTTTGGTGGACCAGAGCACGCCAAACGAAGGCTGTGCCGTTGTTCGGGTCCACCTTCGCAGCTTCGTCGCAATGCGGGAGTGCGCGTCGATACCTGATAATGAAATGGCAGCAGGACGCGGTCGTGGAAAGGGAAACATAAAATCTTGCTGGAGCAGCTCGCCGCGGGAGCGCGCTTCAGAAGAGCCCTACTTCTACTCGTACTCGTCATCAAAGGACATAGTCTACGCATGCTGATTTTTCACACTTGGTCACACAGGACCACCACTACGGCGCCGAACTTGTTTATCCGAGGTCATTTGAAGTAAAAAAATCTGTACAGCTCTTGCTTCATGTAGATTTCTGCTTTGAAGGACAACAGCAAGGATTTCGCCATGACCACACGTGGAACGTCGTCGGTCGCCATGGGGAGCCCCTCGCACTGGGAAATCGCATCCAGTCCCTGATTGTACACTTGTTCCGCGGTCTTGTAATCCGCAGCGGTATACTGTGGTGAGGTTTGTTAAGAAAGCGGTCACGTTTTCATGGCATATCATTCATGTTGCTGGGTAGTGAGGGTGACGGTGATGAATGTGTCCCCAAAGACATCAGCCAGAATCAAAAGAAGATAAAAACATCACCAGGGAGCAGCAGAAGTACTTGTAGTTTTTAGTTGGTTTTCAGCCGCGAAAAAACATCAAGGGGTAAATGAGTACCAATTGACGTCCGCCTTCGAGCATTTCATTGACGTATTCCATTAAGGAGTCAACATTGACGACCTGCTCCCCCTGCTCCAGGTCCACTTCTGTGCTGTCCGTACTAGGAGATTGCTCATCCACCTCTTGCTGCGGATCAGCCATTTTCAATTCTTGATTAGGCTTGCACATCTACGACGGGGTGGGGTGCTAGGAGATAGCAAAGTGGTTAGAGGCAACGGAAAAGTGGAAATAGGGAAAATGGAAAAAATATGTCGCAAATAAAGGAACAAACGGCTCGTCAGTGGAACTAGAAAAAGTTGACGAAAGGTACTTACGACTGATGCTGAACCTACGACGACTTTGAGACCGCTGTCATTGCATTTGATTTTGCAGAGTGAGTACACCAATAAAATGAGGAAAAACCACACAAATGCCTTATGGCTGCGCAATTCGAAACAGCAAATCTACCAACATCGGACTTCTTCTACGAACATTCTTTCGTTCTTCATTTGGAACTTTCATTCAGGGAACGATGATCGCAAGGCACCTTTTGACGTGCGAGATAGAGTTTCCAGCCATCCAGGATCTATTTTTTGTGCATCACGATGATCATTTATTTTTTTTTTCTAGATACTATTTCTGCACTACACCGACGGCGATGAACCGCAAAAAAATCGTTGATCTTGAACCATTGTGATTTTCGCGGCAGCACTCTTTGTTTCGCTTGTTCACAAAAAAAAAGCCAAGGATCCAGTCGACGAGAACGGTACTGTCTCGTTGCTGCAATAGCCGATATCACGACCAAAATGGGCAAAAGCTAGCAGGAGAAGACGCGGCACGGCAATCGGAGGCGAACAACATTCTGGAAGCGTTTGCGTTCCGCAGACCTGCAACTGCAAATAAAGACTTTCTAGCCCCTTCACGCTGTAGCTCGATCATGTGTGTGGATGAAATATGTTCAGTCGTGTAACAAGTGGACAATGCGAGCAAGTTCTTGCTGTCGTCGTTTTTTCTTTTCAAACGTGCTCGCCAGTTACTAGGTAGTGTCGCCTGCCGTACAGTGAGTTAGGGAGAGGGGGCCCGCCGCAACTGCTTGATTATTCTATCCGTTTCCGTTCCATCGACAACACTTCTCCTCTGCCTCATCCTTTCGGCGCCAGTTTTTCTTCCATCACCCACTCAGCGATCTGCTTTCGGTAGCTGGAGTCTTTGTTCGGGTCGATCGCGAAAGTAAACAGATCGAGTCCCGTCGCCCCGCGGCGGTAGTTGCTCAAAACTTGCTCGACATAAAGCAAACAGAACACCCCGCACTCGAATTATGAAGGCGAAGAACTCTTTCAGCTAATGGGAATACTTGCTTCGTCAGAGCATGGCTGCAACACCAACAGTCCTTGTTGCGGAATGTGAAAATTAGCCCCCGAAAGGAGCAGGAGGAGGGGCGCACATTGATGATGACCAGACTGCAGTCCTCTGCTCGGAACATAGCCAAGAGATGCAAGAAGTTATATTCGAATTATGTTGAGCTTGAGGTTGAGAATGAAAGGTTGACAATTTTTGGGCAAGGATCTCCCATCGGCAGATGAAGTCTTCAACTTCATACATGCGTCATTCGCTGTTGTGGCAACCCGGCTCCTCCTGGACACGGAAGATCGATAGATGCGTAGATCTTCCATTGCGACACATCTTGGCCCTCCCATTCATCCCCCTTGTGCTCCTTCGCCCACTCCTTGCACAAGTAGTCGTGTACGAGCATACATTTTGCCGTCGTCGGATCTAAGTGCATCGAGTCCAGCACTGCCATTATTTTCGATCGGAAGTCTACCACCACAACGGTAAAGTGTTGTCCGTCGAGCACGGGCACGAAAAACAAATCTAATTCGAAGATCCGGATCGGTTTCGCCTTTCCATTTTCCACTTTCCGCCGCTCTAACCGTTTTCCCCAATTTCTAACTGTGTCAAAGCCACCTCTGCGCAAAGAACCGACGAAGTTGCACTTGTAGCAGAAAACTTTCGCTTCTTGATCCGCAGGCAGGAGTCGCTGATGATGGCGGAACCGAACCGGTAGAAGAAAGTCCACCAGTGTGTCATGCAGCCACTTGTCCATCAACAACGCTTCTACGTGTCGCACCCGGATCATCTCTTTGGTCCAGTGTTCGTCCTTGCCAGCAACCAGCAGCAGCGTATCCTCTCCCAGTTTTTGTAGATGCTCCTCCCACCAGGACTCGACTTTCTTTTCTGTTTCAGCACTCACGGCCCACTCCTTTTCCAACTCACCAAGTAGACGCTCCTGTTCTGGCGTCAACGAGGGCAGCAGCATCACGTCGTCCTCACTTTCCTGGTCGGAAAAATCCTGTTCCTGTTTGGCCGAGTCTTGCTCCGCTTCGTCCAACATCTGTTCGTCGTTTTCCGCCAGTAAGTTGTTTTCCACAGCAGGAGCTTTCGACAAGCTGGCAGTCCTGCTTTTGTTCTGCTGAAGATCATGACCGGCGCCGAGAAACAAACCACTCTGCTCCTCGCGCATGGTGACGTCAAAGTTCTGGCTTTCCTCCCCAAAAATTCTGCTACCCGGCTGCTCGTCATACAGCAGCGACGAACCGTAAAGGCTGCTCGAGGAGTGCGAGTGGGCGGGGGGTGCCTGTGGGGGCTCCTCGTATGCAGCTCCGTAGGTGTTTGCGGCGGGGGACGATGAAGGAAGGAAATGCTGGGTGTTCAGCACACGATCTAGGTACTCCAACTCAGTGTCGTCACCGTTTTCGTGGTCTTCTTGTTGCACATTGGAATCCGGAAGAGGGTCAAGCGCCACGGGCTCCTTCGTGTCTGCGGGTTCGAGGAGAAGAACGTTATTTCTAGAACTCGAGCTTGTTAGTGAAGAGACGGCTACATTTTTGCTTTCACCTTTCCCAACTCGTTCTCGTGGTAACAGTCGGGGGTGTCGTTGCACCGGTGCCGGTTGTGGGTCTGGAGGCCCTGTACGCCGAGCAGCACCGGGGCGCGCGAAATGCGTCGTATCGCCGTCGACGCCAGGGAGCGTAAATGTGAACAAATTACTAGAATTGTTAGCTCCGTTGCCGTGGAGCTGCAGTGGTGTCTCGTCAATGTCGTTTTCCGCTCGTTGACGCGTTTCCTCCTGGTTCATCTTCGTGATTATCGTTGGAGTGTAGTCTCTCTCGATCTGTCGGATGAGGTGGTTTTGGCAGTCGTTTCTGAATTGAGTCCGCTGCTCCGGGTCCATTTCTGCAAGCTGCTTCTCGCCGAACAGCCGTAACATGTTGTCGTCAACCTCTGCTTCGATGTGTTCGAGCACGATCCTGTCCTCTTCCTGCCTCAGCATCATCGTCGTTGGGTCGCGGGACCGGTGCTTATCTGCATACGCGCTCAAATCCTGCGAGTTCTGCATTGTTCCTGTTCGCCTGTTGCCGCTTAGAATGTCAAAAAAAGTGGCAGCACACTCGTCCCCGAAGTCGCGTCGATAAATTTGTTCGGCAAGAACCCAGGCCTTCGGCTCTTCCAGATCCAGCGTTCGGTTGCGCAAGTAGCTGGGTGCTCCTGCTCGGTCCCGTGTTGCCATGCTGCAGTATCAGGAGAGATTGCACTGAGAATTATGTCGCTGCCCCGGGGTCCTCAAGGGCTGTGCGCCAAAAGATTTTGCCGACTCTGTTGTTGTCCGTCCTGATGACAAAGGCCGGAATTTTTGCGAGGCTCGATAGCGGAAACGTAAAGCGAATGAGCAGGAAGATGTTGTAGGTTAGAGCCGTCGCGGTGATGAATCCTCACTTGCTCTGGTGCCCAGGAGAAGCGGGCTCGGTGATTTGTGCTTAATGCGCTACCTCCGTCATCATGAAGGAAAATCAAACTATCAGTCGTGGTGCTTTAGTTGCTCTATTGTCAGAGGGTGAAAAGGAAAAACATAAGGTCTCACGTTCCATCTTAGTCGTACTCACATGTTGGCGTCAGTTAGGTTGCTGAATCTGACAGATTGCTGTTGAAGGTGGTTACTCAACTATATCTTCAAAGGACCTTCCTATTTACGAATCTATTTTACGAATTTCATTTGTTTTCATTGGATTTGGAAAGACTCAGATTCGTAACTTACTAGCCTGAAAAATGAACGAAAAGAAAGGACTAGAATGTGAGTGAAGTAAACTGAAAGTGAATTTGCCTGCTGAACAAAACTTGAATGCAGGACAAGACCCTACAAATACAGCAGGCCTCAACTTGTACTTGATCGAGATCAGTAGCGGTTCAAATTTGAACGAGGAAATCAGTCGCAGAGTCTTGCGCGAGTCGCCATCTTTGTACTCGCTGCGGCCTCATCAGCATTATGTACAAGCTGGCGCTTTCTTACCAGCTTATCAATCACCAGAAGCGGAACAACTCAGGGCTGTTTATCGGCGATAGTTTTGTCGACTTCAGCTGGATTTCTTTTGCACTCAACGTTCACGACTGCTACTTCTTTTCTCTTTTTCTGTACAACTACAAACACGTCGTGCGTAGTTATTTGAATGATGTTGATACTTTCGCCAACTTGATGATGCGCTTCAACATGTCGAAACCATCAAAAGATCTACACGAATGAAATAACTGTTGCTCGTCCCACATCACATACATATATCTTACAGCATCGACTTTGTGCTTGCAGCCCTTGTGCTCGGTTTTGATGCTGTCTGTGTGGTCTTGTAAGCGTTTCTGAATCCAATGGATCAGATGAGGGACACGGACAAGACTTTATCTTTCACATGAAACTACTACATGCGATGTACAGGTGACTCTCACATTTTACATTTTTGTCTGAAACTAAAACGAAGACTAATATGTTTTGATATGTACTAGCGCCTCCACGTGAAGGTGACGGCAGTTTTTTCCTCTCTTGACACGACGACTGAGTTTGTTCTTCAATTTTCAGTTTCAGCTTATTCCTCCAGGGGCGGTTCGCAGTCCACAAGTTCCAGGCCGTCCACGAGGCGCACAGCTCCAATCTCCATTGCTGCTTCCCCTTCGGACATGTTCGGTGTGGCGACCAGCGACACCGTGAGTGTGATGTTTTTGCTGTCCAGCAAGGCGTCCGTCAGATAGGCGTGGAGGACATTCCAATCTTCGCCACAAAGCTGTGCAAATTTGACCGCACTGCCGCCGTGCCCCTGGATCCGGAGCAGGAGTGGTGGTGGAATGTTTAGTGAAACAAGAGCTGGCGGTTGTTGATTTTCATCAACATCGGCTGCTGCGAGTGATGATGCTGACACGGCGCCGCTTCGTGTCGTCGTTGCAAGCAATTCCGTGCGGCTTGCTTCGACGTCGACAATGTGCAAGGGGCCCTTGCCGGCAACCTCGAGGAAATAGGACCACTTGAACAACCTGGGCAGAAGGTTTTTCTTTTTTTCTCCTTTCTGCGGGACAGCGCTCGCTAGGAACGCAATCTGCACAACGACTACGACGATTGCAAACATTGCGGATTTTTCGGAAAATCAAATACAGAAAAGGCACATTTCATCATCATTCGATTTTCTTTACTTAATACCTCTGCACCCCTTCGAAATCGGTTTCCCCGGGTTGTGTTTTCAGGCTGCGGAAAAACTTGACAATCGTAGCCCAGGGACAGCCTGGCGCGACCACGCTACTCGGCGGGGCAGTCGGCGACGTGTGCAAGCCCGCCTGGAGGTTGTGAATCATGGACGGTGACTGCGCGCCGGGATTGTTGCGCGTCTTGCTCGCCAACAGGCTGGAAGAGGGGCCGCCAGGCGTCAGTAATGTTGGTGCTGTTCCTGCAGTGGAACCGATTGCCGAGGCCGTCTCTCCAGACGACGGACCCGCTACAACAATATTGATTGTATTTTTTGTCGTCGTTGACACTTCTTCTTGACCTACTACACCTTGTTTCTTTTCCCGCGGGGATAGAAACACAGCGCCATCCCGATCAGAGCTCGCGGCACTGGCACTTGACCCTCTCGCATCGGCACCCAGGCCCTTTCCTTCCGCTGGTGTAGGTTCTTTCTGCAGTTGTACCTTTTCGTTTTCCTCTTCACCACTGAACGCCCCCAACAGGTCGTCGTAGTTGTCGTTTTCCCGATGGATGCCATCGTACCAGAGCTGGAGCAGAGCGCGCAGCCCGCAAATCATAGGATCGTCCTCGCTGGACACGGTGCGGGGGAAGACAAATTCAAAATCCAACACCTCCGCCATATCGACTTTCAATTTCCGCACGACCGTCGCGAACCGCGTTTCCAAACGCCCCCAGCGGGCACGGAGGTCGAGAATTCTCGCTTCCAGCTTTTTCAGTGTAGAGGTTCGTTTTTGTCTCTCCGCGTGTTCGCGTTTTCGTTGGTCAGCTTTTTTCAGCACTTCAACGTCCAAAGCGCCTCGATCCGTCTCGATGGTTCTCCGCAACAGGGCCCACACATCGGAAAACGTCATCATTTTCTGGAACAGTTGGCCTTCATCTTGCTGGTCAAGAATGTTGCCGCGTTGATCCACTTGCACCCCAGAAGCTGATGAACCGGGTTCCGCCGATGTCCGTGCCGACTCTTCGGGGTGCAGAACAGCAGTTCCGGGAGGTGGAGATGTTGACGACGACGCGCGCAAAGTGGGTCCGGAAATTTCGTGGAAGTGTGATTGCAACTGCCCCTCCAGAAACCATTCCTGATCGACAAATTCCAGAAAGCGTGCTACGTCACTCTCAAGCAAAACTGGATTGGTTTTGGAAAACAGCAAGGAAGCCGGGGCCATCGGATCGCGGCCCACCTCCTGTTTCGCAAATTTGTGGAACAGTTCCTCCAGTAGGTGCTTGCGCCGCAAGAAGGCACGACGGCTGCGCTCCAGCTCCGCGCAGCGGCGCAATGTGGCCAGGCAATTCTGGCGCACGGGGTCCCGGAAGGCGCGTGATGCGTTACGCGGATGGTTTCGGGCGAGGTACTGCCCTAACCATTTTATCGGATTCCAATCCTGAGTATCGCCGCAATCGCTCCGGAAGGCGAGTTTCCGCCCAAGCTCGTCCAGACCTGCAGTTCACGTGGATGGAAAATAACTAAATTAATGCGTAGTGATTCTTGTTGACGTTGGGGTTCACACTGACAGCAGCTCCACTCTCGACGTGCGCCGATGCCGCTGCCGTTCTACTTTCATCTATCGTGCACGACAAAACCAAACGACGAACTGGTGCACTGGGCTTCGCTACAGATACAGTGCCAGTAGGATCTAGCTACTTACACAGATACAAAACGTTGTGATCGATGTTGACACGACAACGACTCACCTTCGAGTAGCACAGGCCATACGTCGTTTTGCACGAGGTAAAGGTCGTAGTCGTCGAGCTTCTTGGTGCCACAGCGCCGGTCGGTCAATTCTGCGAACAAGGCACGCAAGCCAGCGTCGCTTAGAAAATCCGGGACGCGACAGTCAGCGCGGTTGCTCATCTTCTTCGTGTCTATGAGGAAGAAGTTCTGTTGTTCTTCCTTGCGTATGATTCTTGTAGCGAACTTCTGGTCTTGAACAATTATAGGACAGAGACATCAAAGACTATCCCCGTTTCTGGTGCGTCTATGACATCCATGACAGTGACCAACAAACGCACGACAAAAAAAGGTCAACACGAACACCAGCCCCAAAGGCGAATAGAAGTACGGGAAGATGATCGAGGCCAATGTTTCTCGAGGGTTCGGCGCTCAATGCGACACCATCGTAGCAGTTGTATGATGCTTCCTTCACACCTTTCTTCAAGTCTACTGTCATTTCTTTTTTCTTACCTGCCAACGTTCTATCGTACAAAATTATCGGAAGTATCGATGCGATGCGGATCGATAGGAATTATAATACGGCTCATGATCGCAGCCAAAAAATGTTCAGCAAGCTTCGTCCACGTTCTACCTTGCAATTTTCAAGAGTCGGCACATCTCACCGCAGCGGTGCGAGTCGAAAAATTCTTTCATGCCTTGGGCTTTTCTGTCCGCTCTACCGTACTTGCCATCTAGGGAGTGCAACTGCGGATCGGTGAAGCCCTCGTGAGTTCCTTGGATGTCGACTACCATCTCTGTCCCATTCGTGTGAACGGACGTCCAATGGGAGAAAGCTTGGGCCAAGCGGGCAGCAAAACCTGTGTGAAAATTGTAGTCGATCGCGTCGTAGGAAAAAAAAAAGTAAATACAACGGGGCGGAACGACGAGTTCTATGTTGATCATAGCTGGGGCTAGGGGCTAGCACAGTTCATGGGAATGCCAAACGAGCAAACTACAAGGACCAAGTGCAACACTGAAACGATGAAAACCTGCAGCGTCTCCCCGGTCTTTTACTTCCTGGCACACCCATCCGTTGTTGCCGTTGTATTTTCTGTAGTCGCCTTCGAGTTCCGGCTCCGCTGCCAAGTACCGAAAGCCTCCTTTCACCTTGCTGTCCTTCAACCGATAAACGTGCATGGGCACAAACTGGAAGTTGGAATGGATTTGCAGTTCCTGCAGCAGCTGTGCGCTTGCGCCTCCAAACATGGCAGCCGTCCGGAGGGCTTTTTTGAAGTCGGTCGACAACACAATCGCGCGGCCTTGGCACTTCGACGTCTCTGCATGAAATCGAAGGCGTTCGGCGTACTCGCCCTCGTGCCTGGACTCCTTGGCGACCTGATGATATCGAAGTGGAACTCTTTTTTCATAGAAAACTGTTTCATCTTCTTCAAGTTCACCATCTGCATACAAAAAATTGATACCATGTGAATCGCTCCACCGTTCGGCTGCACTACTCGCATCTTGTACACGTTCCGGATACCGCCCTGGGCGAAGGGGTTGTCGCGAAGAATCACCGTTTTTGCCACTTCCTGTGTCAGTGGAACTGGCTTGAACTCCTCACTGTCGGCGTTCTTTAGCACCATTCGCCGCACGTCGGAAAATTTCTGCTCGCCCTCGCCAGCTTCAGAGTTTGATGTAGACGAGGACTGTGCCCGCGCGCTGCTGGCAGAGTTCCTGCCCTCCAGCTGGACCGCTCGCTCCCGCCCGAGACCGGGATTCGGGGCGTCACTGCGGAAGCACGTAAGTGCCGTACTGATGTTGAAGAACGTCGAGCGCATACCGGTGGACTGCGTAGCAGCGGACGCTGTGAACAGCGCCGACGGTTGCGGAGCCGCTGGCTGCTGCGCGGCTATCTCATCCATTTGCAAAGTGCTTTCGTGGAAGGTGCCATCGAATTTCCACGCGAGATATCGCAGCCAGGGAAACCCCTCCGGGTAGATGCCGACGAAATGCAGCTGCAGCTTGTCTTCCCCGACGTAGTTTTGCAAATCGGCTAGCTCGGTGCCGACGGAAGGGTATTCTTTCCCGTGCGAGCGGTGGTGGGTTTGCATCTTCGGCGCACTTGCATGCATCGCTGGGGGCGTTACCTGCAAATCACCGGGACGGCCGTCGCTCAAAAACAACAGCAGCACTTTCTCGTTGAAATGTTGCGGCTTCGTCCCCCCTGAGAGGACTTCTCGGGCTTTCCGAATCCCGGCCGCGAACGTGGTGCCACCACGAGGTTGGTTCGCGCTCGCCGCATTTCGCAGGCGCGTTGCCACGCCGGATTCCTGTCGCTGAAACACAACTGTTGCTTCCTCCTGCCACAGAATCAGTGAGTAGTACAGCGACCCGGGCGAGTTGTTGAAAAGGCCCAAGTTCCGGTCTGCTTTCTCCTGCTCTTCGACAAACTCCTGCGCACAATTGAAAACCGCCTTCCACCGGGTAATTTGTTGACCCGTTGTTCCAACACTCTTTCCGACGGCTACATCGGTTTGCCGCATGGACCCGGACTGATCGATGCAGAAAATAACATGACAGGACTTTTGCGAACTATTGCCCTCATGCTTGAGTCGTTTGGCTGCAGGAGCACCGGACGGCGGAAAGTCGGTGCCACGTTTGAGTGGAAAATTGGAGGAAAGCGACATCGTTGGTTATCTTGTGTCTTTTTCGTGAAAACCTAAGATGCTTGCCGCTATGAGTCCGTACATCTAGTACAGCCAACGCACACGTCGCATTTTTTCTTTTTCTAAATTATTGGTTCGTTTCGTTACCTTCAAGAAAAAGAATGGCCAGCCCCGCCCATAATGTTTGAAAGTGTAGTGTTGATGGTGCCTGCGAAGATGAACATGAAGATCAGAAGAGAAATACAAAAGGAAAACGAAAATTGGCGATTGGATTGTTAAGATTCTGTCTGGTTGCACAAGAAAAGGAATCTTATCTCTCCGACAGGAAAGATAAGTTCCATCGTCACCCAACAGAATGCTGTGGTCTTTTTCAATAAAACTTTGTCAATGGTGCACAATGAACTTGAGAGCTTGCAGTTGCAGACGCACCTTTCCGCCCACTCAACAAACAAAGGAAGCGACCTTGCGCGACATTTGTGGACCAACACGACTTGTTTGCCTGTTATCCTGCACATTAACAGGTGAATCACGCCTTTGAAACACCACCGAAGTGGCGGAAACTTCTGTTCCCGAGGGAAGCGCGAAGTAGTTATTAGCGGCCTGCAACCCATGTCTCAGGGTGGACGGCCAAGCGTCCGCTAGTATGTTTCAGTGTACTATATTATTGGATGGTGACCACGCTGAGTTCGCTATCGTTTTTGATTTCGTATTGAAATTTATTGCTCTTGTGCTTGGATGAGGGACCAACCAGTTATATTTGGAGACAATGCCACTGTCTGTTTCTGCCTCGAAGTGTAGCTTTCGCGGATAATACAGAGAGGAGTTATAGTACGGTTCCTCGTCGACCTTGCTGCAATTGACGACTTCGATTCGATACTGCTTGTCAACCTTGCACGGGAACTCATCATTTTCTGTAGATCCCTATGATCTTCACGGCTTGGAATATTTCACTTTGTTCTCACAGTGTTGGACCCACCAAGCATCATTGTCTGGCTCGAGCTCGTAGAAACCGAAGTACGGCTGCGTATCCCGAGGCCCGGGCTGGATGTGATTCCGTCCAAAACGGGTCAGCTTCGACTGGCCTGGAGTAGGGGCACCTACCCAAGCTTCGACACCCCACTCCCCGCAAGAGTCAATGATGCAATCCTTGGCAATGACTTCCGGAATGTCTTTTTCCTCCGATACCGACATGCCATAGCGTCGGACCTCGGTAATCATGCACTTGTGAAACGTGCAAGCCGGGCAGTCTACCTGCACTCCATCGGTACCTCCCCGAATGGTGCACTCATGTAGCAGCACAGTGCACAAGTAGGGGGAGCAGCCTTGGCGACGGTACTCTTCCTGGGACGTTTTGTTGAGATGCAGCGCGTCCGGAACGCACTCGCCTTGGTTTGCCGAACAGTTAATCGTGACGTTTTGCAGGGTGCACTGTTTCAATTCCGACCCCAGGATCTCCACACTTCCCAAAAGGCGGATATCTGCAATTGTGAGGCGTCCAACGCCCTCCGTCTCGCCCAAAAAGCGAAACTTGGAAAAATGTAGCTTGGTTTCTTCTTGGGAAATTCCGCGCAGAGTGATGGCGTGTGTCACGACCAAGCAACTCTCCCCGTCAACACAGACCGGCTGCTCATGCAGATCTCCCTGACCACCTCCGCCACTTTCTCCAGCGTCAGACGCCTCGTCATCCGAATCCTTCCCGGACGCAGCAGGGGGAGAGCCATCCACCGTGAAGTCACCTTTGGGTAGCGACAGTGCCATGTTCGGCGGGCAATTGTCCACCCACTTCTGAACTTCCTCGAGCGTGAACTGCACCGGACCCAGAGAAGACAGGTTCGCTTCCTTGACCTTGAGCGCGGTAGCGCGGGGTCCTGCGGCGGAATACAGACGATCGCACACGTAACGCCCTGCATCGGAGTCGAAGCAGCGAATAATGACTAGTGTTCCATTCAACGCATTTGCCGCCTTCAGACCCTGAAGCTCGCAAATGGTATTGGTGCAGTAGCTCGTCGCACCAGCAGTGTCCTCACTAGGGCCAATGAGAGCGGCCTCCCCTCCTGATTGCACCATTTTCGATATCCTCGCAGGTTTGATTTGGGTGTGTTTCCGCTTGCTTCCGCTTGGCGGTCTGAAAAATGTTTTTCCTGAAAAAAGAAAAAGTAAAAAAAGAGGAACTACTTCGCCTCTACCACTATTCTTTACGCAATACGAGACGCAATTTGTTTCTGGAACAGGTTCGTTTTTCCTTTCTTTCGGCAGGGTAGCCCTAAAAATTCGAATCACTTCTCTTCGCTGAAAAAATGCTCCTGCAAGGATCTACGTGTTTCTTTTCCCCTGAAGAAGCAACCTGATGATTTTGATTGCAGATGCAGAGATTTATTCCCACATACAACTCCTGCGGACCTACCGCATAAGCTAACCAGCTCGAAACGGAATCGGAAATATCGAGAAGAGGATCACGGAAAAAGATGGCAAGCAAAGACCTGGGAACTGGCTTGCTCAGGTCCGCGAAGTGGACCATGTTGACCATGTTGCTCACATAATGATCTGCGTTGTGGACAAGATCGCCTTCGCCTACTCTTCTTCACATAATGATCGTTCCGAAGGTAGTGATCTTCAGACGGAAGGCAGCTAAAGCGACTTTCATTCAGTCGATCAATGGCCTTCCTTAGGCACTTCTATTGCTGTTGCTGCTAGAGCCACAAGTAAGACTTTTAACTTTGAACAAAAATGACGTGACTTGCACAGGACGGAATAAAAACCGAACTCAAGAACTGAGCAATGCGCTTCGTGTCCCTTCTAACCCAGAATTGTGAGACTCTCAGAGGCAGAACTGCGAGAAATTTCGCATTTCAGGCGGATTAGGAACTTTTGAGATCATGAGCATCCATTGTTATTCTTTGTTCTTGAGGAGATCGAGATCGCTGCACCCAGTCCTGCAATAGCAGTGTTTAGTGTCAGATGCACTCCCTCGGCTTGACACGTTCGGTGGCAATGTTTTATTTTGCTCGATCACGAACTACTGACACTTTGACTTCCGTCTGTTAGTTGGAGATTTACTGAGGGAAGGATCGAAAAAAGCAGCACAAACACAGCCATCGATGACTTTACCAATAGGATTTGCCTCTATTAACTTCATGCTTTTGAATCTACTCCGCACATCATTGCTGCGCGCAGTCTCCGTCCTGATTGACTCGCGGCGCCCCTCCCCCGAAGTCGAAGCCCATGTCATCATCGAAGTTGTCGTCTTCGTATTCGCTACCACCGTCCTCTTGGTTGTCATTCCAGGGCTGGTTGTCCCAGGGTCCGGCCTGAATTCGGTTACGCCCAAGACGCGTAAGACTAGCTCGAGTCTTGACACCGTAGGACCCGCAGTGGTGTATGGTGCAGTCTTCTACGGTGCAGTCCTCTGACACGAACAGACCACGACACCTGGCCTGCGCTACCTCGCAGCCCTTAAACTTGCAGCCCGGACAGTCCACGTGCACACCATCAGAGCCGCCCAAAATTTTGCATTTTTCTAGCAGGACAGTGCCGACCCTAAACGTGCGACGGAATTCTTCCCGCGTTGTCCCATTTAGATGCAGCGCATCGACATTGCGGGCGTCCTGCCTTCCCCGACAGTTGATTGTGACCCGGCGAAACGTACACGACTGCAGCTTCTCCCCAAGTACCTCGACATTTCCGAGTAGGCAGATATCACTGCACAGCACACTGCCACCGGGTGTGTCTCCCAGAAAACGAAACTTAGGAAAGTCTAGCTTCGTTTCTTCGTCCCCAATTCCGCATAATGTGATCGCTTTTCTCACTACCAAGCACCCCTGTGCTGGATCAACAGATCCGGCAGCGTCCCGATTGCTGGGCGTACTGCTACTGGTAGTGGCTGTGCTATGCTGAAACTCTCCTTTCGGTAGACACAGACGCATCTTTGCCGGACACTCATCAACCCACTGCTGGACCTCTTGGAGGGTGAAGTGCACGGGGCGCAGAAAAGACAGGTTGCTCTCCTTCAGTTTTATCGCGCAGCGGTCAGTGCCTGCATCTGAATAGAGCCGGTCGCAAACGTATCGTTCGGTGTCGAAGTCGAAAGAGCGAACTACCACCTTCTCCCCATTCAGCTCTGGCTTCTTCTGAATGGCCTTGACCTCGCAAATCGAGCTGTTGCGGATCTTGTTTGTCCACTCGGTTCGAGGCTCAACACCAGGCGGGAGCGTTCGACACTCTTCAATTTTGGAACGGCAAACCGGGCACTTGTTGTTACTGGTTCCGCGGGATTTCCAGCTAGCGATGCAGGAATGATGAAACTGATGGCCGCATGGGCGCAATTCGTCGATCTGTGCCGCTTTGGGATTCAAAAGACTAGCAACTCTGAACTTCCTGTTCGGCTTCACCTTCTTCAACAAAGGTCCTAAACAGATCTTGCACTGCGGTGCGGTCTCCTCGTGTTGCTCTTCGTCGTCCTCGTCCTCGTCACGAAATACGAAATCAGATGCGTGCGCGTGCCGTTTTAGGGAATCACCATAACCAAACTCCAACAGATTCGGACGCGCTGCGCGGAGCCGCGCTTTCAGGTCAAAATCGTAGTGTGGACCAGAGACATCGAATATCCAGCAGGCCTTCAAACTCGGAAAAAATGGAGTGCCACTGGTGCCTTGGTCAACGTCGCCATTTTCGCAGCAGCTTTTGGTCTGTACTAGAAACTTTTCAATGGAGTCCGCTGTGAAATTCTCGTAACTGCAAAAGTCTTCCTTTTCTCTCGACTTCTGCCGGCTCCCGCATCCATCTTGCCACTTAAAGACCTCATATCTCGTGAAGCCGGATACGTACAGCTTCTCCAGATGAGGGCAAGAAGTCGCCAATGCTTCGAATGCTGGATCGTCAAAGTTCAAGCACTTGTCAAGCTGCACCGCCCGAATGTACCGGCATTGGAGAAAAAAGTCGGCCCACTTGAATGTTATCCAGCTGAAGGGAACTCGATCGTGAGGAAACGGGTATTCTGACTTGCGCAGACCCGAGGCAAAGTTGTGGTGCCCCGGTCCATTCCCATTCTCAGAGCCAAGTTGTTGAGGTTGGCACGTCGCATTCTCAGAGCCAATGGTAAATGATCGGAAATAACGTCCAACGGCAGAAGCAAGGTCATTCAGGAACTGCGGTATCGGTTCATCTGGGCCTTCTGCGTAGACGAAGCCCTCGAGGCACTTGAAGTTTGCGCGACCAAAGTTCTCACCTATCCGGACATTCAGCGAGAGCAAATGCTTGCGCGAGCGGCAGGGTGGCGACCCAGAGCTTCTTGATCCACCGGATTCATCGAAGTCGACGTCAACACGTCTTGCGTTCATCATTGGAAAAGCTTGCGCAATTCGTTTCACCAATTCCGTTTCCTGCTTCTCAACAGATTCCAGCAACTCCTGAAGTTTGTTACCGTGAAACCAAGCACTGGTATCGGGATCCCAATCAGCAAAGTACACGTTTCTTGCCCAGCACGTCACATCCAGAAGATTCTGCTGCGAGGCAGAGACATCACTGCCGGTGATCTCTGCCAGTAGTGCCTGCTTGTACAATTCGTAAACTTCGGCCGTGTAGGAGGTGCCGGTCTCCGTGGTGTCCGCGACTGCAGCGCTTTTCTCCGCGATGAGGCACACATCACACAACCCGAGCTCCCACATCAAATTCGCTCCATCCGCCGACGCCGACACAATGTCGCTCGGCGCGTCGACAATGTTGCAACAAGGCTTGCAAGTGTGAACGAAAAGGCCGTGGCGAAGACAATTGTCGCACTCGTAGTCGTGGTCCTCCGTGTCGTCCTCTTGAACAAGGTAGTACTGTTTTTGGAACACCTGCAGATCTTCACAGCGAAGATTAGAAGACCACACCACACCGTACTTGTCATGGGCAGGTGCGAGGTCTGGCCAGACTTTGGTGATGCTCTGAATGGCTTCCTTCATTTCATTCGGACAGAGCTTCGGTGTCAAACGATTCCGCAGGAAACTGCGAAACGTTTCTAATTCGGTCTCGCCTGCCTGTATTTCCTCGCTTGAGCCCTCGATCTTGGCTTTTTTCTCTGCAGTCGGTTCTGAAAGACTGGCGGCTGCTGAGTCTTTCGGAGTTGTCGGACCACCTTGGCCACCGCTCTCTCTCAGAATGAGCTGGGACATTTTCAAGTAGTCTTGGTAGAGCGTGTTTCCCGTCCGCTTCTTCCAAACAAAATGAAAAAGTGCGTCACGCGTATCTCCGTAGAAGGTATTGAAGAGCAGACGGCGCGGCTCCTGGTGGTTCCACGCCTCTACTTTCTTTCCCCCAAAATCAAATGTCATAGTCCCGAGGTGTCGCACTTTTTCGTCGCGATCAAGTTCGTAGCCGTCAAAGTAAAAGCCAGCTCTCACCGTCATTCCGCCTGGCACGACCAGCTCCCCTTTGACGTCGAGCACCGGGTCCCGGTCAGCGTGGTTGTCGTACCGAATCCGACTACCCAGAAACCTTTTGCGCTTCCAGCGCCCCAGCTCCGTCTTGTATTGTTGAAGGCGCTGGCCCGCCGCATCTTCGTCGCTGTCCGTATTTATATTTTCGAACAAATCCACTGGGAAAAGCATCCAGCTGGCCACGCTCCTTTCGCCACACGAAAAGTCAAGTGCATTTGCGTCATCGTGCTCCAAGATCAAATAGGTGGGCGGATGAAGCCCTCTCCACAGCGGTCTGTGCGAGGTGTAGCGGCCGAACCGGCCGGTGCAGGAAACCACCTCCAATTCGTGTTTACTTGGCCACGGACAGTCCGGCGCCACTGTAATTGTGCAGCGAGTAAACTGCAAAGTCATTGGGTTCAGCAGGAGCGCCTCTGCACCGATCGGAAACTCAAAATCGTGTCCGCACCTGATCCAGTCGGGCAAGAACAGGTTCGTCCGCGCGAATACTAGATCGGGCCTCACGCGCTCCAACAGAGCCAAGGCGTGGTCTATTCCAACCGTGGCAACAAATTTGGCACGGTCCGCCCTCCCCTCGACGGAGAACGATAGTTCCGTTTCCGGTTCTGGAGGCAATTTTTCACAGGAAAGAAAGCTCCTTCCGCCCGCTCGGGGGATGTTGTAGTCAGGTTGGTTTTGTGGCCAAATGCTAAACTCTACACCCTCGTCTTTCCGCGCCGCGTCGTACTGCTTATCCGAAATCAGCCTGAAGCATGCGTGATTCGCGCCCCCGGGTCGGAACGAATCGTACAACTTCCGAGTGCAGCAACGCTCCGGCACTTCCAAGACGACAAGAGACTTCGATCGGTCTTGCTTGATTGCTTTCTTGCTACTTTTATTTAGAGGACCATGCGTTTCTTCTGTTTGTGGCTGCTTCCCTCCAAAGGTATTGCTTGGAAGTACTTGCGGAAGCTTGAGACCGATTCGATCAGGAATACCCTCCTCGGGAGCTGGCATGCAGAAACCGCTGCCAGCATTCGACCAGTCCTTGAATTTGAGGACTCGCAGCTTCGTCAACGCAGAAAGATCGAGAGTGCAAGGGAAGTCCTCTTCGTAGTCGATGTGGTGCAGCTCGCCGACATGGCAAAGGAACCGCAGATTGTGAAGCTTCTCGTAGATTTTCAGGATGCCGAGATGCCCATGCCGAAAATCTCCCAGCTCCAAGTGCTCCAGCGTGTTCGCGAGAGGCAACAATCCCCGCGCCAGAGTTGAGTTCTCGCCCTTGTAGCCCTCTTCACCCTGATGAGTGCCACCCAAGCGGAAGACAAACTTCTTCAGCTGAGGCAACTCTGCCAGCGCACTCCAGTCAGAGCAACTACCATAGCCGTCCATGCAGGTGTACTCAAAACTGATGAGGTTGGGAAAATACTGACTCAGCGACGTGATCGTGTGGACCATAAGGTCGCCGGAGTCAAAAAATAAACGCCGCACGGAGCTTCCATCGATGTTTTCTGGACTGAGCGCACCTGATGCAGGTGCGGTGACCGGGTCCGCGTGTTCGCCACTTCCATCGGAACACGTGGCACTAGTGCTCGCGGCCTGTGCCGCGTCGCTGCCTTTTGCTTACAGCTTGGACGCCCATTAGATATAGGGGCGGTGAATTTCTAGTGATTTTAGAAGGGGAGTAGAATCGTGGGGCTGGCGTTTCGGGGGGTTATGGTTCGCGAGGCAAGGGCTAGCACAAATAGAGGTAGCGGCGGCATTGTGCTCGTCGCCAAGGCTCCCCCACATTGAAGGCAATCCCCCTCGCAACCTTGCCCAACCTAGCACACTGCTCCGCGTCTTTTTTCGCGAAGTAGACCTTTTGGCTTCTTCATGATCTTCTCCATTCCTTGTTAACCCTTCAACTTCCGTGTTCAAATTTTGGGCAACGAAAATCGCAAAGAAAAGGCACTGCCATCGGGAAAAGCTTCCATTTAAACATCATTCCCCATGGTATGATGAGGATGGTTTTTTTCCTAAAAATCATCGATGCGGAGTGCCGTGCTGTTTGGCGCCAAAAAGCGGCTTAAATGTACCCCGTTTACCGATGGCATGCTGCGATCGGTGAATTTAGTGGTGAATTTAGAAACGGCAGGCCGGTGAATTTAGTAAATTTCGGCAATTTCCTAAATTCACCCCGAGCTGATTCTGGATTCCAGACCATCATCAAACCGGTACCCATTTTGCCTTCGTTTCTAAATTCACCGGAGCCGAAAAACCAAATCCAAAACGATCGTCCCACATTTGCTTCAAAAAATGCGAAGCCTTTGGCGCATGCACGCACAAATACGAAAGCAACAAAATGCAAGCACGCCACAAGGTCGCGCAAGACATTAAATTGTTTTGATTTACCGAAGCAGAGAGCATCTGGCAGACCCAGACGCCCGAGCCCGGCAAACCATCCGCAGCACCCACAAAACGAAAAGCAACGACGCGAAGCTACTTCATGACTCATCAGCCTAGGGCGTTGACAATGCAGCTGGACATTGCGTCGCCCCATCCCGCTTCTTTTTTGCTTGACAAATTCTGCCACAACCGGAAGCCTGTTGGAACTTATGTCGCTCCGGCTTTTCCGTCGGGTGGATGTCGATATTTCCGGGAAGAAATATCCGCAGAACCACTTGACTTGCCAAATTCTTGCAGACCGCTAAAATCACTTGAAATTCACCGCGCAGAAATCTAACGGCCGTCCAAGCTGTAACCTTTTGCGCCTTTCGATGTCAGGCCGAGGTCTGAGGGTTTCACTACGGAATTCCAAGTCGAGATGTCCCGCTGTGGAAGGGCTGCTAGACAATGCTCGTCTGCGTGGTCAGAGATCATGTCGAATACGGAAAAGCCCACTGCTGGATTCAGATCCACCATTCCTTTATTTGCGGCATTCTTTTTTTTCTCATCCTTGGGGTGAGCGGTGGCGCAATGAAATTTCGCTCCCGGTAACTCGAGAATGCCAACCATACCCGTCGTCCACAGACTCTCGTACAGATCCTCGTCCACGTCTCCACCGTCTCCGCCGTAGCGGAGAAAAAGCCGCTCGACATGCTTCTCACCCACAAACTTTGTGTGCGGAGGCATCTCGGGAGCGCGAGTTGCGGGATCAGGACTTTCTGCGGCCTCTACTTCGTCCGACATGTTGTTGTTCTGTTCACGTCAAGTTTGATATGTGTGTTTTCCGAAAACTGAGTACAATTCTATTGATCCTGAATCTCTATCTCATTCTCATGCTGTAGAAGTGTATCCAATCCCACCGAGCCGCAAAGCAGGATAATAAAATCGATTTCCTAATAAATAAAATGAGTCGCTGTGCTTGTTTCCGAACTCAGAAACTGCCACTTCGTTCCGGTTCCTGTGCTTCTACCGACAGAAAATCAGACTCACGGAGGGGTGGAGAGACCAAGGCCGGAAAATTTCGTGGGGCTTGTTGATCTACTAGCACATCTAGGAGCACACAAAAGTAGAAGGGTTCGGGAGATGCTCATGCTGCTGCTTTCTAGTGCTACATTGTCGTCGTAAATGCTGCCGATTACTGAGGAGTTAATCAATTCCCGGAGAACATCAACAGCTTTGCCGCGCGCCTAGACCTAGTACTCGAGAACAATGAACAGTGGTTCTTACGGAGGACGCGGCGGCGTCGACCTACCTATGAAAAAATGATTTTGATTTCTTGTGTACCCCTTCCGCAAGACAAAAACAAGTCAGAGAGTCTGATTTTTTTAGGAGTTTCCAATTGACAAAAACTGACTCATTGAAGAGAACAGCGCAGCTTCTCGGCCGGTACTTATTCTTGTTCATCAACATGCTTCACTCACTATCTTCACCACCCGAGGAAAAGCCCTTCTCACTCGGCGGATCGTCCTCGTCGCTGAGCGCCTCCGTCCGCGCCTGCACGGCTTTGTTGATGTAGCAGCGATCCTTCTTGAGCATTACCTTGCAGCTGTTCTGCTCGTCGTCGTCTGTGTGATCGTCTTCGCATTCTAGCGGGCTTACCACCTGCACTGGCCCGACAGCCGACGCGATTCGGCCCTTGCGCACCTTTCCGCCCGTTTGCGGGACCACGCTTTCCAAAACGAAGTGCTCGAAGAGCAGGTACTCGAGGAGTTCCGTCTGTTTTCGCAGATACCGTCCGTGGTTTTTGACCTTGTCCGCGTGCGCCGTGTTGCGGATAGACTGCATGTGTTTGACCTGTAAGGGCAAAAGCAGTTTCTTCAGAAACAGCTGCTTTCTGCACGCCCCCCGGTTGTACAGAAACAGTGCGGGGAGCGCGGCGGCGGGAAACCCGGGCATCATCTCCTCGGCGGAACCGCTCACGAATTTGACGCTCCGAAACTTCGCCGCGAGTCGCAGCAAGCTTTCCTCGACCGCACAGTCCACGGCGGGGCCGGTCAGCAAAACCACCACCCAAAAGCATTTCACGTGCGCCGGCACGGTCCGAGCGCACTGTTCGGCGTGGAAAGCCGCCTCGCCCTCCGGACCACTGGAGGAGTCTTGCTTTTGCGTTGTCCGAGAGGTACTGCCAGACCCGCTGTTGGTGGAGTTGCGCAGAATGCTTTACCCTTCAGAGAAGAGCAAGTCGTCTTATTTCACGATCGTCTTGGTTCAGCATAACCATAAGAGTGCAGAGCCAACTACCAAATCAAAGAAAGAAAAATGAAAAAGAAAATGCAGCCAGGCCTGCTTCGCCAAATAGTCTTACCCGCCCTCCCCCACCTCTTCGGCCTCCAGGACTTGGCCAAAGGAATGCTCCGAATCCTCTGTGCTCCCAGCCGTGTTGCTAGGTGGGAGCGGCACACACGAAGCCTGATTGACTTCCCGCACGAAATCAACCTTTCTAATCCGGTGGAGGGTGCCAAAGCGGTCCCTGGCCTGCTGCCGCTGCATTTCTTCCATGCGCAACCGGCGAATCGCAGCCAATTCTGAATCCTCGTCCGCGGTTTCTTCCGCGGCTCGCTCGGCTTTAGAGACATCGGAAAGATTGACATTGCGCTCGTTGCGACAGGCGGCTTCCAGTTGGTTCTGCTTTACCTTGTACATGTAGTCGCTGCTTTTTGCCTTTTCCTTGGGCGCGAAGTTGCCGAGTTTACGATGCCAGTCCTCCCATTGTGTGGACTCCTCGCTTTTCGCACCAGACACGGCATCCACAACGGTCGTCATTCTTGCAAGGCTTGTGCTCCTTTATTGATGCGATAAAAGAAATGGAGATGATCTCGTAAACTAAAATTGTTCGTCGGTTAATTGCTTCCGACAACAGCAACACCCACCCTTATTGAGTTTGAGCTGAAGATCTGAATATGATCCAATCTTCAATGTCGAAAATATCACGAAAACACTGATCAGGTCATGATGGAGCTGCAGGAAGATGAGGACCATCCAAAGAAGCAGGTGCTGGTGGGAATAGTCGCCGGCTCCGGCCGTAAGAGAGGAACATAACAGTCAACGTCGAGGAGACAATGGATGTACTACTGTATAGGGGAATTACTGATCGGAATCTACATCTCCCAAATGCCGAGGGAGCGCGAAACAGAAGTGCTTCAAGAATTAACCAAATCTCATCTGGCTATCCACATGATCCTACAATAATGATTTCGCATTTTCTCCACCGCTCTATCCTATTCCTAGCTCATTGAAAGTATAACTGTATAGTGTTTCTTCATCGGCATTACGGTCTCTCTTGTGGCAATCAACATTTTTCAAAAACCATTGTAGCCATTCATTGCTAGAAACACTTCTATTTCCGGTGCGGCCGGACGGTTGTAATTTAGAAGAAGATGAAACTCAGCAGACATGCAGGGGTTGCGACACCAACTCTGGTATCGAACTAATCCACCTGAAGCTGTGTGTTGCGTTGAAATTGAAACTGTGTTTGTTGATTGTACTTTGGGAAACTTCTCCAGTACATAGGAGCAGCCCAACGAAGCTTTTATAGTGCTAGATCATTTCGAGTAGGAGTACGAGTTGGATTCGATTCTGCGTTGTTGAAGAAAATAAACGTAAAAGGAGACGAAAAAAAGTTCTGAAGATGGTGTTGAGAGAGGCCATTTTCAAGTAACTATGGCAGTGGAGTGCGGACGCTACCTTCCAGGTCGTGAGCGGCTTCCAGTCGAGGCACTGGCGGTTCCCGGCCGCGCAATACCTGCCAGACCGCCGACGTTGACCGCGCTGCTCGTTTGCGAGGTCACCAGGCTGCCGGCGAGAGTCCGACCCGTGAACGCGGACTTTGGTCTGCCGTTGTCGAAAATCGCTGCGGTCCAGTGCGGTTTGTTTTGCGTGTCCACCTTCAAAAGCGCCTCGCCGCTTTCTGTTGGTAATTGTATAAATGATACAAGGTGCAGGTGCTGTGATCTTGATTATCGTAGAGGGTGGTAACGCAAAAAATGAAAAACCGAAGCCGAACGACAACGAAGCATTGATTAACAACACGAAATCCATAGAGAAGCCACAAACAACTCAGAGTACTTCTTGTTTCTTCGAGCTCCTTGGTTACCGACGGAGCGTCATCGTCCTTGTCCGATGCTGGAGACAAATCGAAGCCGGAGAAGTCGAAGTCCGGAGGCGATCCCGGCCGCAGAATCGTGCTGCCCATATTGCCGCCGCCCGCGGCGCCTCCCCGCGACGGCGTGCGGTGGTCGGCGCCGCTGCCGGGCGAGTGGCCGAGCAAGCCGCCGTGCTGCGATTTGGTCAGGTCGTGCCGCAGCAGCGTGTTCTCGGACTCCAGGTCGGTGACCTTCCGCTCCCACCTCGAGTTTACCAGATTCTGTTCGTAGCGGTACTGGTCCACCATGGTCTCGTACTTTCGCTTTACTTCGCCCTGGTCGCGCAACTTCGTTTTCAGATCCATATCCTTCGCGATGTAGCTCTTGATGTTGGAATTCAGCGCCGAGATCTCTTTGTCCTTGTCGTTCAGCTTCTCACGCATCACGGCCACCTGCACGTCCGCCACAGATCCTGTCGCGGACTTTGCCAGCGGTTTACTAGGAGAGGTTTTGCTGCGGGACTTGGAGGGAGACACCAGCTCGGTAGTTTGAGTGAGCAGTTGCGCCACCGCATCTAAACTCAAACCCATACCGTCTGACTTCTGCTGCGACGACAGATCGAATTGCGCTGTAAGAGTGTTGTGTTATTTTGTAGTCCAAAGTGTCGTAGTTGGTGCGTGATGAAGATTCATTGAAGATGCGGCAAAATCAAAAACAAACAAAATGACAAAAACGATGATGCGACTAGAGCACGTACACGAAGGGCTACTGACCAGAGGACTGTTCGATCAGGCTTTGTGAACTACAGGATGACCACCTAAGTACGTACCTGATAGCTTTTTCAGCTTGAGCTCGAGATCCCGAATCTTGATCGTTTTGTCCTGATTTTCGGCTACAAGTCGCTTCACCTGCTTCTGATACTGCTCGATGTCCTTTGCGCGACTCGCTTTCCTTAAATCAAGAATCAGCATGTCTTTCTTGGCGCACTCTTCCCGTAACTTTTCGACTTGTGTTTCCAAACTGGTGATATTCTTCATGCTGTGTTCATACCTGAAATGGAAAAAACAAAAAGGCATCATGTGTTTGGAAAAATGCAGATAAATTCTTCGGCCAGACAGACTAAATGTTGAAACCCAGACCAGAGCGTCAAACAAAAAAAAATCAAACACAGCAACGCGACATCTGTACTCCTGCTTTTTCGCATTCCAGCTTTTCACAAGTCTGTTGCTCTCGTTTTGGAATCTTGCATCCTGTTCTCGGAGCAGCACTTCAGTTTTCTTTTGATTCGCGAGCTGCTCCTCCTGCCTCGTCAAAATGCGCATGTTCTCTGCGTTCCAGAGATCCAGCATGTCGCGTTCCTTTTGTACCTCCTGTAGCTCCTCCCGCAGTTTCTGGTTCTCGACCCGCGCACCGCGCACCCCCTCGGAGGAGGTTCCGATCACGTCGCGGTTTTGCCGTTGCAGGTCGCCGACGAGGGCGCTCAATTTTGCGATTTGCCGCTCGCGCTCGTCCATCTTGGCGGAGTGGGCTTTCCGCTCCTCGTCGAGGTTGGCCTTCAGCTCCTTGATCTCGCTTTGCAGGGACTGCTGCAGCGCCGCCTTCCGCGACGGGCTCGCCGCTTCCTTGGCCATCTGCAGCACGCCCTGCACCGAGTGTACCAGCTTCTTCACGGTGCGTTCGTCGCGACTCAGCTCCTCCTCGCCTTCCGCCAGACCCGCCGGAATCTCTACGCCACCGAGACTGTGCAGTCTCTTCATGTTGTCGCCCACCTGCTTGGCCAGGTCCTCCAGGACCTCCCGCCGTCCCTCGCCCTCCGCTTTGAGGTCATCCAGTTCGTGGCGCACGGTGCGTGTGGCTTCCTCCTTCTCCTCAAGAGCCACCTCCAGCTCGGCAGACCGCTTCTGTGACTCTTCCAACTTCTTCGTGAGGACTGAAGGTTGATATGATGATCAGCTTCAAACACAATGAAGAACAGGATCAGATGAAATAACATACTGATTCTTTGTGCGTTTGAATTTCATGGCGTTCATCTTTCTGTAGGTTTGGAACTTCTCGAGAGCACGGCAGAAAAGCTGTGCAAGTGCAAGAGAGTAAAAACTCGCTTTATTGAACAAAGCGGAAATCCTGTTGAATTTGGTCCCGTATGGTATACCTGCTGCTTTTTGTTCGGCTTCTTCCTCTGAGGATCCCGACTTACTTGCCATGCGCGTCCCCAGGCTGTCGCTTCCGCGTGCGCTTTTGTCCATTCCATGTCGGATTGGCTCGGGTGCGGCAGCTCCCGCTGCCGCTTTCGCCTTCGCTTTTGGTGGCATCGCCCAGGTGGGTATGTCCTACTCGGAGTGGCCGCAGTAGGCGTTCACCAGCACAACTCTCCCGTTCGTTTCACAGGTGCAAGGCGAAGATTCTCACGCATGCATCGAGTAGAACACGGTTGCAGACCGTGGCTTCAGGACATTTTCCAGGTTCTGTAAGGAACCAAATCAGAAAGACTATTTTTGTTCCACAACGAGGAAAATTTGTCGGCGAAAACGCATCGCACGCGCGACTCTTTTGGTTTTGTTGTATCTGGCTTTCTCATATAAAGAATCTGAGTTTATGCCAATTACTCTGCGGAGATATCGATTCATTGCAACACAGATTCGACGCTCAAGTTGAGTTAACGAATTCTTGCCGATCGACTGTGCGAGCGAACTATCGCAAACATCTACCTAGAACAAGAAACCAAACGAACAACATGCGCTCTCTGTCTCTCTTGCAGCTACTTACTGCGTAAATGTTGTCGATCACAATTTTTGTTTTATCTCCGCGGATGAGTAGTAAAGTAAAGCGGCCGAAGATCTTCCACCTCGAGGTCCATTGCTATCCTGTTTGGTTCCTGAGCAACAAAGGCAACTAGCTGCGTCAGGTTTTCTTCACGATGCGATAGGATAACATCGATATCGAATTCGAAATTGACGTCATATTAATCGATCACAATGAAGCGACGTCTAGGCTTACATTACCGCAGAACACCTCAAGAAATTCGTGGTAGATAATTTTGCTCAGGCATAGTGCAAACGCAATTCATTAGGTGTCGTTAACCTCCACCTCCTTTTTCGTGACTTAGCGAATCAGCCACAAGTCAATTCTAGCGCAACCAACAACGCGTCGCTCCTGCAGTCTTTTAGTGAGCGCTCCTCAATGTACTTGTAGGTCGAGCTCGAGCCAGGGCGAGGTAATAGACAGTCTGGCCGACTTCAATGTTTTCGGCATCATCTTGTTCTTGATCTTTCCGCCCGAGAAAAATAAAACTTTTCCTCGCTCGAAGTAAACGTGTCAGGCAAGCATGCCTAAAAATCCTCCTTCGTCACTGGAAGATCCCGCGTCGTAGTTGGTTCTTCCGTTTCCCGTGGTTTTCTGCCCCTGCATCACTGTGTAGGCCATCGCACCGAGCACCCCGGCTCCTGCGACCGCGCAGACCCCCATAATGGCTGCTTTGGGTATCCTTGCAAACCAACTGCCACTTCCCTCCTCCCCCGTTGCGTTTGTTGCGTTAGTGCCATTGCCGGTGCCATTGAGGAGGGCTCCGGCTTCCAAGTCCTCCGGAGGCGCGACCGTGCAGGGCCCGAGGTACTGGTCGCTTTCGGGGCAGGTGGCACTCTCGTTGAAGCCCCCGTGCACTTGGCAGAACGGCTTTTTCTCCAACCAGTCCGCGATCGAGGACAGCATGCTGGCTCCGAACAGCGCATCGAATAACTCCTGCGGGTTCTCCACACACGGGTGCGCTACTTCCCCCGTGTTTACGTTACACACCCCGCTCTTCCACTTCTCCAGCGCACAATAGCAGTCCTGACTGAGTCGCGCACAGTTCTCCCCGCCGTGCCACGCCAGCGCTCCCGTTTTGACGGATGGGTCGCTCGATCCGAAACACGGTTTGCTGATAATTTCTTCGCACTCCGTGGGACAGGCCGGAACGTTTTCCGCGCAGTACTGCCGCGGGGTCATCTGTTTGGCGACGCTGTACTTCGCATGGCACACATTCGCTTGCTCCGTGATCAAACTGGGATTGTTGCCGCGCAGGTTCGCGGGGTCCGGGCTCACGGCATCGCCGCAGTCCTGCTTCCAGGCTTCGCTCGTCGAGTTGCACCGTCTTTGCTTTGGCTGATCGGAGTTCGGCACATTGGGTATGCAGTGGCATTGCAGACTTACCTATGTGTGTAAGTATTATGTACCTCAGACTCTGTTTTGTACCTAACCTTAGAAAACCTGAACAAAATGACACTGAAAAATAACAACCACAGATCTTAGTCTGTGTCTGACTTCATTTTTTTCTTTGGACGCGATAATTGAATTGCATGATATCTCCTCTGCCATACATCTTCTGCAATGCCAATGCGTACTCGGGTCAAAATAACAGTTTTTCACCTCCTGCTGGGATAGGTTCTCGACGATTTCGCACTATGCATTGCAAAGGCGCGGCGTGTCTTGCTGGAACAGCGAGGGCAATCAAAATATGAAAAAAAAAATGAGAATCCTACAAACTAAAATTGGAAAACCATGCCCGTACACATGAACAACCTCTGAGGTTGTTGTCCCAACTTTATTTTGTATGATGTTTGCCACAGCGAGACCGCACTGTAATAGATTGCCTCATCCGATACGTGCTCCTGCAGCTCGTAGCAGCGCTCGTAGAAGTTGAGGCAGTTTCATCCAATCAAAAAACACCCATCCCCATCCAATTTGTCACGCACAACACGCATAAATTTTGATTGCTGTGTTTGTCATGCACAAAATGGATGGAGATGGGTGTTTTTTCCTGGATAAGCTTTGCGTACATTGAAGGTGAGAGGTCGAGTAGTCTTCCTGCCCGGTGGAATCTTTTTGGTCCAAAATGTGCCACTCGTGACAGCGGTTCCAGATCAAATCCATACTTTTGGGGCCGTCCATCCAATAGCAGAACCCGTACTCCTGCCCCGTACACGAACTCTTGTCATAGAACTGGTGCTCGCAAAACGGGTTGACCCGGGCCGTGCGGCCCATGCAGATACAGGCGTCATACAGGTTCCCGTCTGCGTCCGTGGTCAACTCGCACAGCTTCACGCCGTTCCCGTCGTACGTCCGCACGTCCTCGGGGAGTGGTTCCGGGGTGGTCGTTGTTGTTGTGGTATCCCAGGCACACGGTAGCTTCGAGAACGCGAACGCCGTCCCTCCGTCTTTGCAGCTTTGCGCGACTTTGTCCACCACTTTCTCCTGCATCACGCTGTTGAAGGTGGCAATATTTGGATCTGCGAAGTGGTAGTCCCGGGTGGGAATCGCTTCGGTGCACGTGCTCTTCGCCGCCCACTCGGCCAGGGAGCAGTAGCAATCCTGCGAAAACTTTGGGCAGAAACTGTTTTTCGCGAAGTTCAGCACGTTCATCTCTGTGTTGGGATCGTCGAAGTTGAAACAGGGCTTGCTCATGTAGCTTTTGCACTCGTCTTGACAGCTTGAGGCGTGCTGGTCGCAATGCAGCGAGGTCGGGGAAATGTAGACAACCGGCGCCGGCGCGGGCGGCGGCGGTGCGGGCGCCGGGTTGCTGGCCGGGGTCGGATTCGAACTCGGGTACTTGTTGCATTCCGTGTCAGCATTGGAAACGAGGGTTGGAACCATACTGTCCCCGACCGTCCCCCTGCTAGAGCAATCAGTTCGCCACTTATTGCGGCTCGGCTGGCAACTGCTGCTCTGACACCCGTTTTTGGTCGGGTCGTGAATCGCGGTGTTCAGGTCGCTGTGCAGCGAGTCTGGACTAAATTCGATGCAGTCGTTGAAATAGTCGGTGCAGGCCTCCGCGCACGTGGCTACTATAATCATAGCACCAATACTGTAATCGTATTTTGGAGCTCCAGTTGTGCTATCGACCTCCGCAGAGAGGGAGTCACAGAACATCCAAACCGGCGTTTTAGTCGTCCAGACGCATTTGCTGTCTCCATTGCACGAAGCCTCGTCCCAGTAACTGTTCGGACAGCTATCCGGATATGGGTTGGGACGAAATTTACCAACGCAAACAGGCCAGTTTTTCTCTGCAAGTGTCGACGACTCTGTCTGCAAACCACTAGAGCTCCGCGAATTGCTCATGTCCCAGGAGGAGAAGGATTGCTGGGACGGGGCAGCTACATAGGCAGGGCGTTTGTAGTTCTTTGGATTTGTCTCCGTCCTCACAACGCCGGCGGTACTGGGCGAGGTACGAGTGGAGCCTATGCCAATCGTTCCCCTTACTGCGTTTCCTGAATCATCGTACTGACCGTCCGTTATTTCTTTTTCCTTAAGCGCCTGCTCCCTGTTCTTATCAAAAGTCGCACCGTGGTCTTGGTATTTCTCATCCCGAAGAAACCGTGAATTAGGTCGCTCCACCTTGGAGTGCCTTCCCATGGCCGGAGTAGAAGGTGAGGTGCTCCTGGTTACTTGCTGTGCCTGCGGGTCCGAAGCCGCATCATCCTGCAATTGATGCCGCTGCTGCTCAGGCCGACCAGCTTCAGTGCGCGCTTGTGTAGTGGTTTCGCGGCTGTACCGGCTCCGTCCCCTGGCTTGGGCCTCTGGTAATGAGGTGGTCCCGGTCTCACTAGTAGTAAGCTGTTGTGGAAATGAAATCCTGCTCCGCTCCGGATCCGAATCCGACAAAGAGGGCGCGTTACTTCCGGTGATTGCTATGCTAGCTGCTCCGCTATCAGCGTCTATCTCCACTACCGCTGCTTGTTCCTTCTGCATCAGAGACTGCGCTGCACGAGAACCTGCTCGCATGCGGTCTTGATCATGCGGCCCTTGTTCCACAGTAGGCGGCACAAGACTGTAACCACATCGGAGTAGGATTGCGAAGACGATCGGCGTCATGGAGAAGTGAATCTACGCCATAAGGAAACCGCGTAAGCAGTGCGACAAAACAACATCAACATGCTGCTGCGTCGAGCACTAGTAGCACTGCTCGCGAAATACTTACACTCTCAACGAGTTCTTTGGGCCAGTCATGACAGCTGACGTGGTCCGCACAGACGCTCACGGTCTTGCACTTCCTGCGGGGTTGCTTTGGGTACCGGCACATACATTGATCATCAATATCAACTTCACGGTAACTGACGATCATCCTGAGCAATACTTAATGTTAATGTGTAAGTAGCTCTTGCATGTGCATGATTTCGGAGTAAAACAAAGATGAATTTGCAAGTAGGGAGTGAAATAAAAACAAAAACAGCGCCTGCTGCCGAAGCGCATCCATTGATGCTCTGGCGTTCGGTCGATGCGGGATGCGATGCGCCGGACCCCCTACTTTTTTCATAGGCCGTACTTTTGAAAAACTCTCTATGCGCTTCTTCACCCTGCGGCATACGCATCGTCATGTTCCCGCTGTGCCGCTATTTCACGGCGGCTCAGAATCAACCTGATCTCAACAGCTCAGCATGTTCCCTGTTGCCCGTCAAAGGTCAATCCAGCTCCGGCTGCGGAACATGCACATGCGTCGCAGCTGGAGTTTTCTGATACGATGATAGATGGAAGAATGTAAAAGAGTGGCTGCATAGAAGTTCCGGCGGATAGGTATGCTGATTTCAATTTCATGCACTGTATACGTATTCTTGGTGTTGGTATAATCATAGCTTCCGCGAAGCATCAATGTGGGTCATGAGGGTGTTGAGCTTGAAACATGTGTTCACCTGGCAGAAGTACTCTGACTACGACTACGTTTTTCTTGGCTTGATGTACATCTAAATCTAGTAGTTGCATGCTGAATTACACAGATGAGATGATGGTAGTCGTACTAGTTCATTTGCGATTTTTTAGCCGAGCTATCATCTACTTCTCGGTTGCTAGCAGCCCTCGAATGGGAAGAACTACGAGCAGGCCGGCATCCGAGTAGAAGACTCGCAAGCGTCGAGCAATGTTGTAGTTTAAAAAGTGTTGCGTGCTGAAATAACATGAAAGACCTTGTAGCTTTGTTACACGGTTGTCAGCGGGGGCAGAAATTGTACTTCATGAAACTACGTACAAAAGCAGAGAGCGTGTCGCTCACTACACAAGGGGCGCGTAGCTCATGTCGTCTGCAGTGGCGGCAGAACTGCGGCGGCCGAAGACAAACCCCACACTCAGGCCGAGCACCAGCATCATAAACGGCATCGCGCTTGGGATGGAGAGTGCTTGCTGGTGTGTAACGTGGATCTGTGTGTAGTCGTTTTGGTGAAGTTCTAAAGTCTTCCGCTGTACAAGACTGGTACGTACTAAATGAAGCCCTTCAAAGTACATCATGAAAGGCATAGCAACTACATCAAACTGAAGAATCAGCACTCAGCTACCTTCGCATCTTCGCCCGATCTTTCCACCAACGTCACTGCCGGTGACACCGCCGCTGCTGCACCTGTTTCTAGCAGCTCCGCTTTCTCACCCACTTTTGGCTGCTGGTAGAGCCAGGTGCTTTGCAGCGCGTTCCAGGTGGTTGGCAGTTTGGTTTTCTCCGGAACAAGTTTGCGCTCGATCGCAATGGGATGAATGTCGCCGTTGAAGCTGATCGCTTCCGCAAACTCCAGCGGGTAGCCGTAGGGGGCGCCGATGGTACCTTTCGGGTCGTTCAGAAACCCGTCGTTGTACTTCACGATCAGGGAATCCGCGAGGTCCCACCATTTCCGCACGACTTCGCGCTGCAGCTTCTTTTGCCAGTCGTTCCAGTCCGTCTGGACCCAGCCGTCGTTGCGGGACGTTTATCAGAAGAAAAAATCCCCCCTCCCCATATCGAAACGAAGTTTCTGCTGCTGGATTTGCGTACACAAATCAGCTGTGTCTTGCAGTGAAGGACTGCAGGCCCATTGCAGGCCTGAGTAGAGAGGGGGGCCTAGGCGTTTAGCATGAGAAACGTCCATGCTGTAGGCACACCAGCATCACAGACCGCCGGCATAATGCGGCGAAGCCTGTGGAGTTGCCTTCTTGCAATACAGATGCGAGTTGTGGTCACAAATCCGCATTGCAAATTTTCTGAGGCATGCCGTTTCGATATGGGGAGGGTAGATTTTTTCTTATGATAACGTTTTGGTTTTCATTTTCGATTCGTACTCCTGTTCGAGCATGGCTTGGAGCTTCTGTTTCTCTGGGTAGACGTCCTTTTCCGCCATCATGTTGAAGTTGATTTTCATCCAGTTGGACACGAAATCAAACGCCCACCAGGCGGACTTTCGCGTGTACTCGCGGTTTGTCCCCGTGTAGTACGGCTCCGCTACGTGGGAAGACCGCTGTGTGTTGGTTGAGATTTTCAGAAAATCGTGTTTTCGCTGATGAGTCACTATTTTTGCTATATTCAGGTGTGGTCACAGTTTGCCCGCAGAATTCATCAACAAGTCAAAAAGAAGTACCGCCAGAACGGGCACAAAAACGCTCGTTGCGGGCGTGTCGACCGCAAACCAGCTGACGGCCTGATCCGCGGGCTGCGCTTCGTTCACGACACCGTATACGGTGCGCGCGATGCTGATCCCCCGGGGAATCTGTCCCACGAGGCTGCTCGCCACGCCGCCCTCGACCGGAAAGGGGTTGCCGAAGGGCCCGGCGAGGGCGCCCTTGCCCAGGTCGAACTCCGTGTCCTTGTACAGATCGCCATGGATCTTGAAGATGTCCTCGCGCTCGATCGCCTTTTCGACGGGTACAGCCCACGGGTAGTCCATCGGGTCTTGCACCAGCGGAAATTTCTTGGACGGCGCCACCAGGTTCAAGGCCCGCCACAGCCGGAGACTGGCGTACAGCGGGATCGGCTGCCCCTTGGTGGTGAACGTGACCGTATCTGGCGCGAAGGTTTTCGTGAAGTGTAGTTGGTTCGTCACGGTCGTCCCGTCGAGCGCGTAGGTCGGCTTCCACAAGCCAGCTTTCTCGGCCACGGCGTGCAGCTTCGCGGAAAACAAAATGTCGGCGGTGGGCTCCGCCGGTACCTCGCGGAGGATGAAGTTGTTGGCGATGAAGGCCGCGTGGCCCTTCGGCACGCGCTGTGCGGCCCACACGGACTTCGCTTCGGGCACTTCCGGAATACCGCCCACCACATGGAAAACCCAAGCGTCGCCCGTGGTGTCGGCGATCGTGATCGCCTCGCCGGCGTCGTCAATGGTCACGCGACCGTCGGCCTCCTTGCCCGGGGTCCACTCGTTGGGCATCGGGTAAAAACCGTACTTCTCCGCCATTTCGCCCATGGTCTTTACCGCACACATTGCGGTTGCGCAGCGCTCCATGGCAATCTGCATCAGGGACGTGAGATCGAGATAGGCCGCGACGCCAGTGCCGGGCCCTTTCGCTTGGTCAGCGGGGTAGTTCATCAGACGGGCGGCGCACGAAGACTCGCCCATACCTGAAAGAGGATTTGTTCTTCATAGAAAAAGTTGCGTATGTTTGAGATCAAAATTCAAACGTAGGGGGCCATCGCGAGCCAACGAAGACGCACTCGCACGAGGGACAGATGTTGATGTAAAAAAAAGCCTATAATCACTCCCAGTTGAACGATACTCAGTCCCTTGTCGTTGATTAGCGGCAGCACACCCTCCCAGTAGCCGTTGGTGTGCGGTACTTCTGGAATGTGTGTGATCGGTGGATGCGGCCTCTCGCCGTCTTTCGGCTCGTAGAAATTACCGCGGCCGTAGCCAACCCATCGGGGCGCGGAGCCCATGAATTGGTACACGGGACGCTTGTCGCTGCTCTCGAAGTCTTTTGGCGACACGTAGGCCAGGCGCGGGTCGCAATTTGAACAATCCGCATTCATACCCGCAAAAGCCACTTTGTCCTTTGTGCCGGCGGCCTGAAGAACAAGAAAGGTTTTAAAAATAATGAATGAGCCGATGTGTTCGCGTTGGTTCTTCTTTCATCTGTAGTTTAGAATCCCAACAGTGATAATGGCCTGATATTTGTGAGTTGTTCCTGCTCTTCAACGCCAAGCGTTGTTCTCACCTGAAACACTGACGCCGTGCAGGCGTCCACATGACGAACCGACGCGGCGGCCGCGAGTGCGGCAACTAGTGGCTTCCGCATCATGACGATGCACCTGAAGTGCTGAAGACGAGGCACCAGTAAAGACTCTCTATGTGACTAGAATCTTTATTTTGCCGAACAAAAAAGTAGATGGTTAGAGCCGGTGGCAGGATCTTCCCACCTGAAGATCTAGCTAGGCCTCTCCCTCTCGTCATGCCGCGACTCAAGAATAAAAGACGACGGAATACATCAGAAGATGCAGCAGAAGCCTCGCAACGTCTTCTGAAACTCAGTTTGCACTAGGGCTCTCCACGTTCACCTGCCCTCGCTCTGACTCAGACTCGTCTGCCTCTGATTTTGATTTTGAAACAGGATGAGGCGAAGATCGCGAAGCACATATGGAAAAAAAAGGAAAGAGTCTCCACCCCGATCACATCCTCACGACCTAAAAAGTCAGCTTGTCGTCCTGACGGACGGCTTCAAGTCGGAAAAGTAAAAAACGACTCTCAAGCAGAAAAGAATGAGGTGGAACAGATGGGTGGACAGAGACCTGCAAAAGCTAGTAATGACACGGATTCCACCGCCACCAAATCACTAGTGCTACATCTTGTCTCCGTATTTCGCTTTTTCTCGTAACGCCAGGGAAAGTAGGAAAACAAGAAAGCTGCCTTCTTTCATGTCATCGCTTTGGAAAGAATATTCATTCGAGAGCCACTCCCAAGCATCTCCCAAGCATCTGCGGCAAAAAGACAAGAAAACTCGAACTGAAAATCGCGTACACAAACAATATAACAAAATGCAATTTTGAAATCAATAAATATGTATCTAATATAATATCAATGTGCGTATGGTTAGGGGGCTTTGTCTCGATCTCTTAATGTGCTGTAGTGTATTGAAATTGAAGATAAACGGGTCGTGGCTTCAAATGAAAGCCATACCTTGGCACCTTTCGCATTTCTTTGCGAGCTGGGCCAGGACGGACGCAACTTCTGTGTTACCTATCATGAGAATGAATATGCTTTCGTCGGGCGTTTGTGTGTGTATGTGTCTGTGTGGATGTGTGCTATTATCTTTAGGTAGTGCTCAATGCGAGTTCACGCCCGCGTCGCTGGTTGTGCAAACTAGTGCGAATACCGTATTTCCGAAAAAGGGAGCCATGAACGCAAATGCAAAACTAGTCAAGAAAATCGAGTTTTCGCGCAGCTGTATTAGTATTCTTGTGCTGGTGTAGTTGTTACCGCTACCCATCTGTGACTTACGTCAATTGCGACAATGCCCGTCAATGCCAAGTTCTTGTCTCAACGAAGTCGCGCGCAGTTCGACAGTCCTTGTTTTTCGCAATACCGTACACCACCGCGCAACAGAGACAGACAAGAACGAGGCAGTTGTGACAGACCATGACATAGTACGCACCGCGGTGGAGGTCGACCTGGTGTTGCAGGAGAGTTTGCTCCTGCTTTTGCTTCAAAACGTCAAAATCACACGGCTGAAGTAGACCAGCGATCAAATAAGTATTTCTCTGTCTCAGCCAGGAGTTTCTCGCACACTTAGACGTCCAAACCCTAGTAAAGCAGTCATGACATCATCCGTGCCACCAGTGTGGCCTTACCGCTTGACTGATTTTCCCATGGCACCGCTTCAACTCCTGGCCTCGGTTGCGTCTGCCTGAGTGATATCATTTTCTCCTCGATGTGAGCGTCATCTACTTCTCTTCTCCTGACGCAGTGGCCAGTAGATCTCGCAATCCGTCAGATCTACTCACTCTGCAATGGTTTGCTGAGCGTCCATAATCGTCTCTAATGCGGCGACGGTCAGCTCGTTTGTCTTTTTTGCTGCAATTAGTTTTCGCCCCGCCTCCAATGATCCTGATTAGTCATTGCGTAGAACATTTTTGTCTTCATGAACATGATTTCTTGACGGTCACAGCATGAGCATGTTCCTAAAGCACAAAAAATAAGATTTGAGTTTGACGGCGCTTAGAAAAAATGCCGAAGCTCCTGTTGGTCTGCAAGTCCGCGTGTTGCATTCGCACGCCATCAAAAAGCTCAAACCTATACCAGATGCGTCCGCGGGAGGCTTCCTGCCTGTGATTCGGTATCCGCCTAGTTTTCCGGATTCGAACAATTGTGGCGGTGCCTTGTAGAAGGTTTCCATCTTGGTCACGTGCGCTTCGCCGTGTAGCGCAACTTGCGTGGATTTTTTGGCGAGAAAGCGGTCTCTCCGGGCAACCGTCCACTTCGTCCAAACGTCGGTCAGGTCCTCAAATTCAACATCGGCGAACCCGATTTCCGTCAGGTGTTTCGTGTACTCTTCAACCGTCGGTACGCAAACGGCCCCAATCACGTCTTCCAGCAGGTGGCGCTCCTCCTCCGTTAGCTCGCTGACCGAGGGCACTTTCAACAAGTAGTCCTCGATCACGAATGTGGCAGAGGGCTTCAGCTGGCGAAAAGTGTTCTGGAAACCGACCAGGCGCGGGGCGAGAGGGATGTGCAGGAAGACCTGAGTTAGTTGTATTCTCATCATGTCTCGATTTGCCGCGATATGCTGGAAAGAATTATGTATGTTGACGAGGTAACACGACAAGTTGTCAATTCTTTTGCCTCCTCAGAACTGCGGGGAAGAAGCGACTACGAATTTTTCCCTTATGCTCATCGTACCAGGATGCAGTAGAATCCGTCGTAGGCCTCGCCTTCTAGTGGGAACAGGCAATCCGACTGCGTGCAATCGCTCGCCTGGAACTGCGTCAGGTGGTCCAATCCTACCTCTTTTGCCACCCGGTTTGCGGACTCCACAAGGTCTGCCTGGATGTCTATGCCGTGGACCTCGCAGCCAGTCTTCCAGGCAATGTACCTGAGCGGATGTTTTCGCAAACGAGATTGGAAAGGTCGTGAAAGCTTTTTGTAATTATGGGTATGCATCTTCTTCTTTTACTTTTTGTGTTCTCATAGAAGCATCGGGGAAAGCGGAAGAGACAGAATCCTCAACCTCAGTACACCAGCGACCCGCATGAAGCGGTTTAGTTACAAGCTGCAAGGTAAAGAAAAAGAACCAGGAACGAAGAAGCAGAAGTCTCACCTTCCCGGCCCTCCGATGCCGCAGCCGATGTCGAGGATTTTCTTTGTTTTGTCAAGCTGCAGCAGGGTGATGACGTCGTCGTTCGCGTCCAGTCCGAGGTAGTGGTACTGGTCCAAATGGCCCGCGCGCAGCATGGTTTCCATCGTGACGGTTGTTGCTCCCGCCTTCTCCGCCTGCTTCCGCATCCAGGTCTCCAGCGCTTGCACCCGCCACGAGTACATCACGTTAGGCGTGCTGCTCCCGCTACCGCTCGTCATTTTTTTTGTTCTTTACGCAATAGGAGCCGTCGGATTGAGATCCGAAATTTAAAGTGAGATTTCTACTTCGCGAAGAGGTTTAGGTTAAAATGGAGAGCGAGAATGAGTGAGATGATAAAGACAACGCTTCGAGTGGACTTTTTAAAGAAGAAATGATGATCTGGGGAAGTAGACGTCTACCTCGCCGAAGAAAAGCTCTTGGTCTTACCTGTCCGGATCTACAACTACGCTTGTTCTGCACGTAGTAGAATACCTTTGATCGCCAAACAGAAACAACGAAAGAAATGGATCCTCTTTGAGTATTTGCACAAGAAAATTTAGCACTTGTAGTGAAGCAGGAGCCGCGGTCGTGCTCAACCGGTCTGGTGATCCTCCTGTGATTTTTAGGATCACACCAGCACGAAGCAAGGACATCATTTCTGTGCCTCCTCGGCGGAAAGGAAAAACCTACCCATCGTTGTTCCAAATCATGCATGAAAAGGTGCTCTCAGTCTCTTGCTCTTCTTATTGTGGCTGACGCTATTTTTCCGTTGCAGCTGCAGAGATCGCCATCACTCTGAAGTTAGAATGATGCAACAGCAAGAACGCATTTTCATCTCAACCTACGATGACGAAAGAAGTTTTGGGAAAAACAAAAAGCTGAACAAGTTGAGCTAGTGTGATCAGATCGATGATCTTCGTTCTGCATTGCGCTTCGGCTTCGAACTAGTGCTCGAGAGCATTTTCCAGAAATTTATTGTGCTGTCGCTGGTGTTGGTGACTGTGTAGGCCTAAAGGAAAGTTCGTATCCGTATGATTACGATTGGTATTGCTATTAGAGTCAATAAGCTGGGTTTTCGTGGGCGTGATTGCCTTCGCCACGGCGCACGTCAGCCATGCAGGGAGATGTTACTTAGTCACTTTTTCTTTTGCGCTGGTGGTTTCTTCCTCGGAGGAAAAATCGGCTTCGGTATTCCTGCGTTGGCTTTGGAACAATCCTCCGTGACATTCTGTTTAGCGGAACCAGTTGACCGCGCTTCCCCATTTTGCGAACTTGGTTCCGGAGCACCAGACGCTTTCGCTTTCGCTCTAGCTTTCGACTTGGCCTTGCTCTTCGCTTTCGCGCTCTGCTTCGGCGCCGCGGACCTCGAAGCAGCTTCATTGCCGTTTCCGCTCTCACTTTCTTGATTGATGTTCAGCGGAACGGTATTTTCTTGTTGCGGTTCGGGGACGGCCTCAGGGCGGGGCGAAGACCTCACTAGTTCTTCTTCCTCGCCCTCACTATCTAGATCAATAAGCAGTGTGTCTGCGACCACGCCCCCTGAACTCGCTTTTGCCTTGCCTTTCGCTTTCCCTTTTGCTTTTTGCTTCGCGCCGACCGCCTTTGCTTTTTTGTTCTTCTTGGAAGCTGCTATGGCGAGATCCGAGCTGGTAGTTTTTTGCAGTAGCGCAAACACGTCCTCTTTTCCACCGGGATTGTTTGCTGCCGTTCCTGGTCCGCCCGCGACCGATGATCCTGCAGCAGTGCCTTGCCGCTTATGATTTCCAGAGTCGTCCTCCAAAAACTCCACCTCGCCTTGCGTAGCAGGAGCTGCTTCCACCTCTTCCACGTCGTCCCCGTTGGCCTTGCGCATCCTGCGGATCGCGAGTTGCAAGCGCTTGCTGCGGACCATGGCGATGGGCTGTTCGTCTTCAAACGTGAAGAATTCCTTCAGGTAGTCCTCCTGCCGGCGTTGCTGCTGCATCTCGTTCAAGCGCGTGATGTCCAGCGTCCGCAAGACTAACGCATCGGTCATGTAGCGCCCCACGATGGTCGTGATCCGGTCGACATCCACACCGCCCCAGACGAATTTCTCCTTGCTGTGATCCACCACCGGGTGCTGAAACGCGTTCCAGACCTCGACTGAAGGAAAATCCGGCGGAAACACCCAGTACGGTCGCAGCGCGCGGTGCTTCTTGTGGAAATCTGCGGGAATCTTCGCCGCATCGAAATACTCCTTGTTGTCGAAATTTGCGACGTCCTGGGCCCATTCTTTCAAGTGACGCAGCTCGGTCAGCCAGTCAAAAGCTACGCCTGAGGACGACGAAGTCCCCGCGGCAGTTTGAAGATGTTGATCGACTTCGGGGATTATACCTGAAGTAGAGGCGCTTGAAGATGAAGCCACCTGCAGCGCGCCACCGTTCTGATTCGACGCTGTCTGCTCCTCCACGAACCTCTTCGCCCCGAAGGCCTGCAAAATCTCCAGTGCGTTCACGATCCCGATGCCCTTCACGCCGACGGTGTAGTCGCAGCCGAGCAGCATGGCCAATGCGATCAGGTCGTCGTAGGCCAGACCCAAATGCTGTGAAATGTTGAAGCTGGTGTACTTCTCGGCGTCGCCCTTGCTGCTGAACAGGTGGCGGTAGACCCGGGTGGACCCGGATTTTGCGGAGAACACCACCACGTCGCTGTCGTCCGAAACAACGCACTGTGCCAGCTTGGATTCCACCAGAAACGCGCACTGAGCCTCCGCCTCCGAGGGCGCTTCCACGTAGGGCACGCCGAAGGCGTAAAGGAGCTTTTTGATGTCGTCATACATGTCCTGACTGATAAACTCCTCGTCCCGTTTGGCTTTGTGGAGCTCCGCGCGCAGATCCGAAACCAAGTTGTCCGCGTTTACGCCCGGGCCGCTCGCTTTTCCGAAAACTTCATCCACCGCGGCCTCCAGATTTTCCAGCTCCTTCGCTGTTTTGATGTTTTTCCCGTCATTTGTTGTTGTTCCGGGATCTGCAGCTGCATGATTCCCTCCTGCAGCGGAGTTTTGGTTGCTCGAAGTATGCTGTGCTGCACTAGCTCCAAAACCTGTGCCGAAGGCTGGGAACTTGCCGAAAGAGAAGCTACTTGAGGCTGTTGTTGTATTTGCGCCAAAACCTCCTGTGCCAAAGCTGCCGAATCCCGTACTCGTTGAGGTACCTGCAGCTGCGAATTGGGAAGGATCAAACACCTTGAAGGCTGAAAATTGCGAAGACCCTGCGGACACGAATTGACTCGTGGACGTCGCAACCGCGTTCGAGATGGAAAACTGCGACTTGTTCAACGAGAGTTGGGAAGTATTCTGATTTTCCGCTACTTGAGCAGCCGTAGAAGAACTGGGCTGATTTTCTGCCGTTGCTGTGCCAGTAGATGTGCTAGTGGTTACATTTGCATCGCCGTCTTTGATCTTGTTTTCGGCTGCTTCGTTCGCGTGCTTTACGGCGCTTTCACTTGCTGCGTCCGGTGCAGCGATCAATTCCTTTTGCTTTTTCTCCGGCTGCTCAACTGCATAATTTTCGTCCACGTTTATGTCGTTTTCCACCTGAAGCTGAGTTTGCACTTTCTCCTCCACCTGAAGCTTTTGATTTTTTTCGAAAAGGTCCCCGGGAACTGAAAACTGTGCGGGCGAGAAGTCTTTCTGTCCAAGTCCCTGTGCGGGAGCTCCCTCGTCCGTATTTTTCTCCATCACTATTTCGTTTATGCTCTGGTCATCGACGGCCTTTACTCCTTCCGCATTGTTCGGCTGTTCGCCAAACTTGTTCTTGTTGTTCAGCTCACTATTCATTTCCTTTTCCGGATTGTTCCCGTCGATATCTTTATCTTCTTCAATCTTGCCCAGAATGACAAAAGCCGACAACGACATGCTGCTACTTGAGCGTGCGTGCCTCGTCCTTCCGGCGTCTGCTTGCGATTGCAAGGGTCCATCTTCTCCTTCTTCTGGAAACTCATTCTTCGAAGGTGACGACTCGAGGCGGCAGCTCTCCATCGTGGCATTTTCTTGCTGAGACACTAGTCTGTCTGGTAGAAGAGGATCCCGCGATGCGTTCTCTTCGACGCCACCACCTGCATGTGCCGGCAGCTCCACGAAATTTTCATCGTCTTCCACATCAACTGAAGCCTGGCTTTTCCTCGCCGGTCCCGTTTCGTCTTCGTCAAAAAACGCGCCGAAGAGTGGGTCGTCTTCCTCAAGGATGACATTTTCTACTTTCTGATGCAAAGAGGCCCGCCGCCGCGACGCATCCGAAGAGCCACTGCTCCTTCTACGCTTTTGATCCACCTGATCTTGCTCGTCCCAAAGATCCAGGTCCGCACCCAGAAGAGCGTCGTCGTGGATGTCCTCCTCATTTTTCGATGAGTGGTCCTTCTTCAAAGACGAGACTTTCCTTCGTTTGTGATGATCATTTCCATCGCTGCTCTCGTCCTCGTCCTGCTCAAAAAGCGTGTCGTTCCACATGCTAGAGGACAAAGCCGTCGCACTACCGTGAAAAAACGCGTCCGTACTTGCAGCGGAGCCGGACTCCAGCCTTCGGCGCTTCATCGAGCTGCTTATGTGGTGTCCTGCAGTTGGCGTCGACACGTCCGCCGTCGTAGCATCGTCCAGACGAAGCATTTGCGAAACATTCATACTGGAAAAAGTCATGGTAGAGGTCTCGTCCTGACCGTAGCAGACCGCCTGCTGGTACTTGTTTCGCTTGTTGTTTTTTGCGTTCGTAACTGCTTGCTCCCCTGTTTGGGTCTTTGCTGCGGTACTGGCGGAAGCAGAACTTGCATGGTTCGCATTCTCCATCCTCATGTCTTCTATGTCCAGCTCCAAATCTAGGTCGGCAGCTCCTTTTTTCCCTCCCTTTTCCTTTCCTTTTCCCTTCTTCCCTGAGCCTGACGCTGCTGGTCCGCCAGCTTTCGAATTCACACCTTGCTGCTCGCGCGGATCGTTTCGCCAAAAGAAATTCTTTTTTTTGTTCTGATTCGGAGAAGATGCCTCGGCTTTTCCGCCACCGCCCTTCATCTTTCCTTTTCCTTTCGACCCCTTTCCGCCACCCCGGAGTGTGGATGCAAACCCTGCCGCAATCGGGCGAAGCTTCAGCCAACTGGCCAGGTTGCCGGCATTTTCCCCCGTGGTTTCCCCCGCGTGCTGGCTAGTAATACCCGTGCTCTCCCCCAAGAGTCCAGGAGCTGCTGCGCTACCACTCAGTGTCAAACCGCTGGAAGCCGCGCTGCTCGAAAGCCCGGCTCCGTGCTTTGCTGAAGAACTACTGGAGCCTCCCGCGGCGCGCGCTTTCGCAAGCTCAAGTTTTGTCTCTTCGAGTAGTTTGTTGGTCCGGATGTGGCGGTAAAAAGTTTCCAGCTGCACGTTCGAAAAGGCTTCCCGCGCGTGGCGGCACTCCATGGCTTTCACCCGGGTTTCCGTCATCCAGGCATCGATCAAATTCGTCAGCGTTTCGTACCGTTTCATCGGGTCAAGCTTGTCGAAGACTTCCGGGTCGATCAGCGTGCCGAGCGGCAGGGTTACCAGGCGCTTCTTCCCGTCCGGGCCCTCGATTTCGTACCCTTTGCTGTCCCCCTGTTGGTGCTGAACCACATTTTGCGGCATTTTCAACAGGTACTTTTTCAGCTGTTCGTCCGAAATTTGGACGTCGTGTGAAGATTGGGGCTGCGCTGCGGACGATGAGGAACCGTTATTACCACCGTTCTTGACACTCGACGTGTAGGACAGGTTTGCCTGACCGACGGACACGCCAAGTCCGTACCCGCGCTGCTTTTTCCGGCGCTCCCACGCGAGGTCGGACACCTGCTCGAGCTCCAGGTCCTCCTCCTCCTCGTCGTCGTCCTCGTGCATATTTTCCGAGTGACTCTTTCCACCTTGTTGGCGGTTTAATTTCGAGTCAAACGACTCCCCGAAGTTCATTTCGTCCTGGCTGTCATGGTCATCCTCAGCGATAAGAAGCTCGCGGTCGTCCCGTTTCGCATTGAAGTTCTGCTGCTGCCTTTGTCTAGCTGTACCTGCCGCGGCGCCTGTGGTCGTTCTTGAAGAACCCGATTTCCCGGTCGCAGTAGTGGCGCTACTGGATGCGGAACCGAGGCCGTTCATCGACGCGTTGCCGTTGTTTCCGCTGGGCTTCTTTTTCTTGCTGCTTTCGAGTGCCAAGAGTTTGTTGCTTCTTTCCTGCCGTTCCTTTTTCTTCTGCGCATTGCGTGCGGCCTTCGCGTTTCTCTTTTTCGTCGCCGGGCTGAGGTCATCTGCCAACAGGTCGTCTTCCTCGTCCTCGACCGAAGACGAATTCTCAGACGAAGAAGACTCTGCGCCGTCACCTTGGGTGGCAGAAGGCAGTAGAAGTTGTTTTGTCCCTGTCCCAGCAGTAACCCCAGATGAACTCGGGGCGGCACCATCTCCAGTTCTTCCAGATCTTTTGTCGTTTTCACCTCCTTCTCTTCCCTTTCGCGCATCACCGTCCACATCGCCGTCCCCGTCTTCCGCACTGCTTTTGATTTCCTCTTCTTGGCGTAACACTTCCTCGCGCAGGAGGTTGCGGAACAACTTTTCCGTGACCTTCTGCAGATTCAAGCCCCCTTGCTCCCGTTGCAGGCGCCGTTGGTTCAAGGTGCGCTTCTTCACCTCTGGGGGCGGTCCGTCGAATACGAAGATGGGCTTGATTCCGAGGTGCAACAACCGCACGATGCGGCGGAAGAAACCGAGAATGTGCGCACCGTCTACCATGTTGCCCTCCTGGTCGCGGATGGCCTTCACGAAGTGGAACATCCAGATGGACGCGTCCACGGCGACGGTTTGGTGGCGCAGGCTCTTCAGGTCGCAGGTCGTACCTGCAGGGGACAGTAGGTCCCACAATCCGTGTACGCCCATCGTGAACGAACAAGCTCAAGCAGCTTTTGGGTTAGATTTCTTGGAGAAGGCCACGCCTACCCACGACGTTTTAGCTTCTGAGACCCGGCGGAGATAAATAAAGCCTGGGACGACGACCACTTCTACTCTTGCCGCTTGCTCATTGACCTTCGCGATCATAATAGAGTTTCGCCGAGAAACAGTGTCGGATCGAAAAAGAGTGCGGGGTTAGAGGTAGTGGGTGATCGTCCACCAACTACATCTCCGTGCCTCTGTGCCTGATTCGTGTTGTGCTGTTCGTGTTCGTCCATTATCCACATTCCGAAGTCTAAAAGCCGGAAACTAAAGAAGACGAGGTACCTCGTCAGCAAAATGTAAATCAGGAGCCGGCGAGCGGATATCATTCTACAGTGGCAGCTGTAAACATATATATAAAAGGCTGCAGACCTCTAGCTCTAGAAAGAGCCATATTACATTTACATCGTATTACAGGGAGCTGGTGGTCGGATACTTTGACTTTCGGTTCATAAAAGTAGGGGGTCCTGGTTTTGAATTGCAACAACACAAGCAAAAGCGATATGATCATGTGTACGATGTTATCTTAAGACTTGTCGAAAAAAAAGAGCAAGAATCAAACGTGATCTCGGTTTGGCCAAAGCAAAACTCATCTCGTCGACAGCATGTGTAATTTGCTTTTCCCTTTGCGTAGTCTCTCGTTTTTTGGGCTGCGTAGCTTCAACCCTCGAGACAGAGGCACAATAAAGAACGCGGATTTTCATTTATTTCGTTTCTTTTTTGCAACACGCATGAGATTACTTTGCTTTACGACTGCTCACAGACGCCGCCCTGTCGCGGGATCGACAACGTAACCATCTCTGTCTTTGTGTACCACCGTTATTTTTCTTGGCCAGATTCGCTGCATCATGATTGCGATCACAAGCGTTCCAAACATACCCGCAAAAATCATTGCCACCGGATTGCTGGTCGTTGGCCTAGTACCTCCAAATGGATGCTGCGACATAGCGGGAGGCGCTTGCGACGAGTCATACATAGCGGCCGGCGGTGGCGGAGTTGCGGGCGGTGGGGGTGTTGAGTTTGCTCTGGCACTGGTCTGCCCCGACTGCCTCGCAGCTTTTTTTCCATAGTTGGGCGACGCGGCCGCCTTTTTTTGGCTGCTGAGCGTCCGTTTATTCAGGACAGAATGGCATGACTTTTGCAGACGTCGACATATGAGAAATCGAGTCTCGTCACAAGTGGAGCTAGGTGAAACTGCTGGTGAGGCGACAACTCGCGTGCTCGTTCTGCTGCAAAGACGAACGCCCACGCCCAACATGGCGCCGATACTACGCTCACAAACAATCAGGAGCTGTGCGGAAGACAAGTAGCGAATAAAGAATGAATGACGTTGAGTCCTCTGTGAGGGCGATATCTGAATTTCAATCTGATTCTGAGTGGATAGAACTACCGGGTCACTATAATCTGATTCGTGACGCGAAATGGGGTCGCTGTTTGTGCATTGCATCGAATGTCATCTGTGCCAGAAAGAACCTTCAGCGTTCGCGGTGCTTGATCAGTGGCAAAAACATCAGTATCAACAACAAGTTAGTAGGAACACTCCTGCCATGACAACAAGAAAAATGCCGTTAACACGAAGTATGATCAGACGCAGGTCGTGCGTGCCGTGGCTGCGGCAGAGTAAATACTTACTGAAAGGCCGGAGTCGCTGTGACTTCGCATGCAGTCCTCGTCTGTGCGCTTTTTTACTTGTCAATCGTGAACAATGATGTATGTTGATGCTATCACAGGGACAGGGGACTCACTGATTCCAAAGCGCTTTCGCTTGTCTGCGACGTCTTGCGGACGCGGAGATGATGTCTCCACAAAAACACAGTTGATGAGTTTCTACACAATCGCGTCCAGGGCTAGCAGCACAAAAGCTGCAAGCACGAACCAGCACATGAGGTAAAACTGGTAGGCGCTTGACCTGTCTTTGGCCTTGAGAAACTCGGCGGAAGCGGCTTCGACATTTGCGGTGGCCTGGACACCGTGGTCCATGATTTGATCCAGTTGCACATCCTGCTGGTCAACGTGCTGCATCATCAGCGTGACGGTGCTCTGGATTGCCTGCAACTTGCGGCTCACGTCCGTCGTGCGTTCGCGCTCGCGTTCTACCAACTGCAGAAACGACTGCGCTTCCTGATCAAGATTCTGTTGCGCACCAGAGGCGTCATTACCTGACGACTGTATGTCCGCGAACGGAATCGCCGCGCTGGCACCGCTCGAACCGCGGTGAAGCCAGGCACTCCGTGGACTGATCATCGCCCCCTCAGACAAATTATTCTTCCCCCGGCTGCTGTTGGTCCCGCCCGCATTGGATGGCGACAAGGCAGAAGTATGGACCACTTTCGTCGCCTGCAGTTCCGCCGGCTTCTGGAAAAAATCCTGCTTTTCCATTTGTCGCTGCAGTCGCCGGTGCTCCTGCCGTGTGTGCTTTTGCTCGTGTTCGCGCGCAAGCTGCCGCAGTACCGCCAGAACATTGTCGACCAGGTCCGGCGGGAGTTTTTTCTCACCGTGGTAGAGCGCGCCTGCTGTTGAACTTGAGGAGGGGGACGCTCCTGTCGTGATCTTCGATGGATTACATAATCCTACTACCAGTTCCCTCGCGTGGTCTAGTTCGTCTATTTGCTGCTTGAGAGATCCGACAGCCGCCACCGAGTCTGCGGTTCCGAGTTTTCGCCTGACCTGCAGCGTTCGCGCTATCCAGGGGTGCTTCGCGGGAGCAGAACTCGACTTGCTCGTACCGGACCGGTTTGCCGCTATCCCAGCAATGCGGCAGTACTCGCGCGAGCGATCCATGACTTGGCGTGTGTGTACGTGTGACTGCTTAGGAAGATTAGGGCAAGAATCTTGTTTCATCTGAACTACGTTTACGTTATCTCAATCTCAAACAACTACACGTAGTACAAGTTAGTACTTACTTTCTTGCCGTAATGTAATCCCTGATCGCGGCGGCCGGCCCCGGCCTCTGAAAAAATCAAATTGAAACGTTTACTCGACTTCTGTTTGCGGTCATCTACGTGACTACAACCATTAGCAGCGTGAACTACATGTTGAGTACAAAGTGTAGAGGTGATACAGGTCGTGGCAGCAGCTCATAGGATCATTGATCAAGAGGCTTTCATCTGCATGGAGTAGCCTTCGTGTAGTTCTAGTTCGTCGGCTGAACACGTTCTTCTAAATCGTTCGCTTTCAACACCTTGTTCGGGCGCACGTTGCATCTGTCGCTGTTGTAGAGAGCATGGCCGCTGTCTTTGCTACATTCAAAGAAGGATCTTTATCGTCTTTCGTCTTCGCGATCGTGAGGGCAAACGAAAACAATGCTCCATGGAAAGATCGGCATCGGGTCTATCGAAACAATGTGAAAAGTCGCACTAGTAGTTGTACAACTTAGTTATTCCGCGGGCTGTTTTCCCGGGACGAGTCGCAGAACGTACTTGCAAAGTAACGGCATGCAGTACACACTGCCGTCCGCACCAAAAACGCCGCCTTCCCACTTGTTGTTGCCCTCGCGCACGAAGCTTGCGCCCGGACAGGGGTCGGGAATCTGCACCACGGAAGTTTGGTCGGTCACCGTGCAGATCCGCAGCATCGTCTCGGCCTTCAGGGGGATGCCGTAGATGCAACCGTCTTTCTTCGAGAAAAAACCGTTCTGCCACTTGTTTTGCACCTTCTTGCCGCACTTTTCATGCAGCGACTCGCCGACCAGTTTCAGCGTGACGATGGTGTTGTTCTCGGCAAACTCGTGCTGCGAAAGAATCGTAACCCAAGGTTGATCAACATTCCCTTTGTTCTCGGTGGGCGAGGTATGCGCTTGATCAGCTACTGCAGGGGCTTGTGACGAGGAACTTGCTCCTTTCCTCTGGGAAATTTCGATCTTCAAGACTCGATCCGCGTCTCCAGCGATGCAATACACGTTTCCGGCACCGTCCGTCACGCCGCCGAGAAATTTGTACTTGCCGTCGTCGCGGTGCCGTCCTCCCGGAATGTTGGCGCCGATTTCGCAGACGGACAAGGTCTGCGGGTCGATTCGCAGCACGGTGTCGTTGTTGTTGGGAATCCCGTAAATGCACCCGTCGGCACTGGAAAAGTTGCCGCCGTGCCACTTCCAGCCGCTTTTGCCGAGGTCCGGACCAATCAGGGAAACCGATTCGGTTTTCGGACAAATGCGCAACACCCGACTGCTGTTCTGCGGGATTGCGTACATACTGCCATCAAGGGCCATCTGCCCGCCGTACCACTTCGCAGCGTCTGTTGTGATCAGATATATCTTGATTGATTTTGATGCTGGTGCTGCACTCGCACAAGCTACAAGGAATCAGATGGACTGCATGTTAGTAGAAGAACAAAAAAACTATATAGTAGGTGGTCGTTGCGTTAAGGAAGGTGTTCGTAGATTCAGACTCTTCGACAAACGTGTCCGCTCTATACAGCAGTACCTTGTGTCAGGAGGTCTTTGTCGCCGAACATGGTAATCTCCCCGTTCTTCTGGATGTCGATCTTCAGCACCTGGTCTGCGTTGCAGGGCACACCGTAAATGTTTCCATCCTGTCCAAGAATTCCCCCGTGCCACTTCCAGATCCCCTTCATCGGCCCGCTGTCGGGGTAGAGCTGCTCCACCTCGTTGTACCTTTCCCGGTGCTGATTCGTTTTGGACGTGAAAATGCGCAACACGGACTCCCCGTGACTCGGGATGCCGTAAACGCACCCGTCGCTGGCCAGCACGCCGCGAAGCCACTTGAATTCCCCGTCGAAGGGGCCGCCGAGCAGGCTGGTTTCCCCCGTGTCTGGGTCGATCTTCAGGACCTGCTTTGCGTGTCCCGGAATACCGTAGATGCAGTTGTCAGCGCCGAGAGACCCGCCGAGGAATTTTTCCTTGCCGCGCAGCGGCGCGTGGACGTCGAGCAGCTCAGCGTAAGGGTGACCGGCCTTTTTCAGCGCTTCGTCACAGACATTGGTAATGTTCTTCCGCGGGCTTAGCTTTTCGGTGCAGGAGCTGCTAGCGGATGCCGCCGAGTTTGCGGACGGAGAGCTGGAAATTTTACCGTCTCCATTACCGTTTCCTGTTGCCTGCCGGTCATAAAAAAGCTCGCGTTTATCTCCTCGCTCCTGCCTTTCACTTTCTGCGCCGCGCTGCTCCACGCGCAGCAGCTCCCTCGCTCTTCGCTTCACCTCGTTCTTACTTAGTTTTCTTGCCGGCGCTCCTGCTGCGTCCTCATATTCGGCAGCCGCCACGTCGGCCATAAGCTCTCGAAGACGGATGTTCCAGCTACAGGACTGGAGGTCGATCGTGTTTGACAGGGTAGTTCGTGCGTTTTCTCCAACTTTTAGCGCGGTCGCAGAACCATGCCGTGGCGACAGTACACCGGGCTGCTCAGCCAAAAATTCAATTCCACCAGGATTCGGCATTTTTGGAAAAATATGAAAACGATAAGCGCGCAATCGTAAAAACTTACTTAAAAACAAGCTGAGTTGTGACTACACCAATAGCCAGTGACGTTGAAACGAAAAAAGTGCGCGGGCAATCCTGGCGTAGATCTCAACATAAGTCGCTTTTTATATATTCAATCGCGCAGCGGCAGCTCGTGTTCCAGATCTATGTCCCATCGAGAGCAGATCTAGATTAGAGTATGAGGGTCCAGGAGTACGATCTTGATGTAAAGGGCAGCATGGTAATCGTGATTATCTTCATCAATGGTAGAGGTGGATCAGCGGACAGTGGCTGACCAGTTTCCGTTTTGCATTTTTCTTTCGACAACACACCACCATGAACACGCAGCGGTCGACGAGGGGGTTTGATCTAGCGCGGCCGGTCATAAATGGATCATCGTTACTTTCTGTCGATGTGTAGAGATCTGATTCTGCGCGATGGATTCTTTGGCGTGGATTTTAAAAAATCTAGGGGTCGTGGGGTAAGACTTTCTTTCTATGCGTTTTTGCTTCACAATCAAGATCAAGAAGAACAATTCACAGGGTAGAACAGGGGATCTTCGTCGTGCAAGATGAGCATTTATTAGTTCACAAGTTCTTTTTCTCCCTCAACTCTGTTTCTGCCTCGTCGCTAGGATTGGTTGTTCCTGCTTTCACCGCGAAGCTCGATCGCAGTTGCCGCATGGAACGCCGTCGCCAGTCGCGATAGCTTGCGCGGCACTGTATCCCGAGGGCTTGTGGCACGGAAATGTTTTCTTGTCGACTCATGTTCCGGGTTCTCCGAGCCTGACCTGTGTAGTGGTCTTCCTCAAATGTCCTATTTGCACGATCCTGCTCGTTCGCGCTACTTTCATGGGCAGACAAGGCGCTCCGCGGCTGTGCCGTCGTTCCGTCTGAGCGCGGGCCTGCCTTGGACGACCTCATATCGCCGCCACTCGCTTGAAAAAACGTCGCACCTGCCTCCGCCAAAGCACCTTCGTGCTCCGCTTCCTGATCATCCGCCAGAATCGCTTGCAGCACCTGCCCCTTGCGCGTGTTTTCCAGGAAGTCCTCGAGCAGTGGGAATGCGTAGTGGTACCCGAGGGTCTTCAGTTCGTCGAACTTGTCAAAATCAAGCAAGTTGTAGGTGTCGATCGGCGGCCGGAGGGAGAGATCAACGAAGCGAAAGAAGTCCTTGTAGATCTGCACGTTGGCCATGTTTAGCACTCGGTCCTGCACCATGGAGCTCGTCGGTGGCTGCGGAGTAGCCGGGTCTGTATCACTTTTACTTCCGAACCACTTGTGCCACAGCATCTTCCACCCACTGCAAGTGTCGCCGTAGTTGGGGTCGAAGTGGTCGTACAAGGCCGCGACGTCCACGGTGAGCACGACCCCGGCCCCCAGATCGCGGGCCGTCTGGATGGGAAAATTGTTGCTGTAGCAGCCGTCGACAAGGAGACTTGTCACATTCCCGTCGGCATCGCGGTCCCCCGGAAAGGGGGGTACGAACCCAACCAGACTCATACTCGCCCGCACCGCCCGCCACAACTCGCCGTCGCGGTGGAGTATCCTCTGCAAAAGTATAGCATTACTCCAACGAGGACTCGTAGCAATTGCAACTGCTGGTGATCCTGCAGCGGGAGCGCTAGTGCATCATGACAATAGATCTCATTCTTGTCATGATTTCTTCGCCGGTCGTAGTTTTAAATCAGCATCACTACAAACTTGATGAATATACATCTTTCATACCCCAGCTGTTCAAATGGTCTTGCAGCTCCTACAGCTGCTACGAATAGGTCGGTAGTTGTAGCGCAGCTATTTTTTCAATGCATATGGATGACGGGCTCGCAATTAAGAATGTCGAGCGAGCTACAGGCGAAGGGGACAAGCAGGTCCTCCAGGTGGACACGGGCGAAGGTGGATTTAAGGAGGTTGTTGTGAAATGCGCCGGAAAAGTAGGACAAAATCGGCCAGGTGAGATCGCTGTACATTTTGGTTCGCGTGAACTGGGTCGCGAACAACCACTTCGCTTTGTTCAAGCAGATGTCGAAGTCCGGGTAGAGGGCGTAAATCCCCGCGGCCATCGAGCCCATGCTGGTGCCGCATATGATGTCCACTGGCACATCAAGCTCTAGCAGCGCCTGCAGCACGCCGAAGTGCGCGTGGCCCTTTGCGCCACCGCCACCCAGGATTACCCCGACGGCGCGGTTGTGCAGGATCCTTGCGCAGCGATCGAGGTCGTGGGCCAGGGTTTTCGCGCCCAGCCGGGCGTGGTGGCAGCGCCGCATGCTCGTGTTTTGGTATTGCCGCAGTTTCTGAATGCGGACCTTCAGGTAGTGGCGGGTGCTGAAACGACCGCGGATGTTCTTTAAGAGCTTCAACTTCTTCTCCACTTGCGCCTTCACGGCGTTTCGCATCCCGGGGGCCAGCATGTCACGCCGGGAGCCAAAGGCGAACCGGTCCAGCTGCCCGGCGCCAAATCCTCCGTCCGCACGGTGGTCGCTTTGGATGTAAAGTTCCGTGGCGAAGTTTTCCAGCTGCAGCTTCAAGTTCTCCGCGGTCAGAGCGCTTGTTGCTGCAGCTCCAGCTTCGCCTTTAGGTTCTGCAGCAACATTAGGAGCGCGTCGACTACTTGGATCCCCCCGCTCGTCGAACAGCGGATTTATGTTCAAGGCTTTCGCTTTCGTGTTCTCGCCAAGCTGCTGCATCCCGTCGGCTGTCTCCTCCTGGAAAACGGCTAGCTTCTTCGGCTCCTTATCCATTTTTGCGCAATCAATACTTGGATGATTTTCGTCCTGATGGTCTGCGGAACCTGTACCAGCGGGCTGCGCTCCTGGCCCAGTGGCTGAGGAGGTAGCTGCTCCGCCGTGACCGGTGACCAATTCCTCCAACGCGGCGAGGTGCGCTTGCTCGTCCTCGCATGCATCGCAAAAGTATCGCACTCGTATTAATTACAACGCTTTCTGAAGAGTAAGAGAATTTGCATGACAAATAATTCCAACATCGTTCCTATTCTGAGAAGATTCATTGCCATGCAGCTGTTCACACATCATACATACTATGGGTATACGTACAATCCTTTTGCATTGCATACCTCGTGGACAAGGACAAACTCGAGCGGCACGTGGCGCTTGGTGTACTTCAGCGCGTACATCTCTGCAGTGCCGAGTCGCGGGTTTGGCGACACGTCGTCTTTGCGCACCAGCACGCAGATAAGCACCAGGTCCGCTTGTCGCAGGCAGACGCGGGTCCACTCGGAGGGAGTGGCGTCCGCGACGTACAAAACACAGTCACTGCGGTCCTCCAAATCGCCCAGCGTGCGCGCTAGAAGCTGCTTCCCGATGCGCTTGTTCATCTGCGCCTGATCTGCTGCGTCCTTCGTTTTGTTCCGCATTGCAGTCGCCTGCTCCTGGCGATGTCCTCGTTTAGTCGGTGACGTCGACCCGCCTCCTGTAGCGCCATTCCGATTTGAGTCCGTGTCCGTGGTGCTTGCTGTGAACAACGAACTATCCTGGTCGTGCGCTTTTGCGTGGGGCGGCGTGACGTTGCCATCAATATCATCCGGCAGAAAGTTGGCAGTTGACTCCGTCGTGACGTTGTCAACGATCAGGCTTCCCTGGTCGAAGACTGGACGAGGCCTGGGCGCCCGGGCACCACGCGACCCACTAGTACTACTGCCGGTGGCCATGGCAAGACGCACATCGTCAAAGCCCGTGAGCCGGTGCGTAGGCCGCAACTTTCCAATGGATTTTTGCAACTGCGCGCCACACATTTCACGCGTGGCGCTATCGCCTGGGATGAGACATATGGACTGCATATGCGGCCAGGCACACACACCCGGTTGCTTGGTTGTGCCACTTGCCGTGCCCGTGTCGCGTCCCGTCCAAGGCTTGCCATGCCAACCATTAGGGGCTCTCGCGCCGAGCGAAGAAGATGCGGGTGTAGGCCCCTGGGCCACGTTTTTGTTCCCGTGATGCGCGAACAAGTTGTTGTTCTCGTCACCGCCCCCGAGAGAATCCAATGAGGCCGTCGACGATGTTGCGCCAGTTGCCTTGCTGCCCTGCGACACACCTACGCCGGCTGGTGGGCTTTGCATTCCGGGATCGTGACCAAGATCGGCTTCGTCCAAGCTGCTTTGCCGCGTCAAATTGCTGCCCGAGGTGATGCGCGGGAGCGCCGAACCAGGAGTACTAGCCTTCGCTTTGGCACCGGGAATAGCTGCTGGTGGTACGACCGCACTACTGGCCCCTGAAGCGGTTGTTGCTCTTCGGTCCTGATCTTCCGCAGTTTCGTCAAACACGAGGCGGGAGCCCCGGTGGACGATGGACTTCAAGCGTTTTGTTACGCGGTCCTCGATCTGCGCCTTCAGATTTTGCGTGTTCTTCGTCACGTTCTGCAACACCGTCTGGAAAGGAATGAACCGTGTGAGATTCTGGCGCGCGCCGGTTAAACGGGCGGCGATCGAGGCGCGACCGTGGCTTGTGGCAGGCTCGTCACCATGCCCCCCGGGCGACAACTCCTCATCCGTCGACAGACTACGCTTCCGCACGCGCGAAGGCGACTCCGTTTCCAGTGCGTCGGACGAGGAACGCCTCAGTCGATTGGTCGAGGACGCAGGGCTCATGCCCGAAACTGGACCGGACACGGACGCGAAGTTTATGCTGCGCAAAAGTATCGTACTCGTATAAATGCAGGTCTTGCATTACAAGTTTCTTTATCAAGGCAAATCAGCATTACAAATTTTATTTCTCATGCTAAGGAAATTTGTAATGCATTTATACGAGTACGATACTTTTGCACTTCATAAAGTTGTAACTGGTGCGAAAGTCGTCGCCGTCCCCGAGTTGTTGTGCCGCCACGTTGGCAGCCGCACTATGGTTGGTCCGCTGCTCGAGCTTCTTGCTCTGGTCCTTCGAGAGCAAGTAGGTTGTGAAATTCAATATGCAGTGCGGGTGTTCCTGGGACAAAATTTGCAGCAGAGTCCGGCTGATGCGCACGACGTGGGAATCCCGCGCAGCATAAGCGGTGTTGTTGTAGGGGAGCCGCGAAAAGCATTCGCTCTCGCCACAAATCCCGCCCTTGCGTACCAGTTCGTACTGCGACGGCTCGAGGTACTTTGGCTTCTTGTCGTACAGCTGAAATCGTGGCTGGTACTTCTTTTCCGAGTTTGCTATGATTCTATTCCCGCTACGAGGAGGAGGACCACTTGTTTCATACGCCTGCTGATGGTGTATCGCAGTTTTCGAGGGCGATGATGTGCTCCCCGAGCGCGCTCCGCCGCCGGAAGCAGCTGTGTGGGATGATCGGTAAATCCCGAGCTGGCGTTCGGGCACCAGCCACAGCTTCCCGCTGCTCACAATGTAGAAGCCCTGCGCTGACGACTCACCCTCGCGAAACAGCTGCCTGCCGCCGGTCACCAGCCGGGACTCGACAGCCGCTTCGATGCGCCGCACGGAGGGTTTCACCTTCGGAATCACCGTCTGCAGCAGGTTGAGCGACATTTGCAGGGGGTAGCGCTGGAGCAGCCGGTCGACCTCTATCCAGGAAAAAACACCCATCCCGATCCATTTTTTGCATGGCAAATAGTGGACTTCATGCATATTTTGCATGACAAATTGGATGGGGATGGGTGTTTTTTCCTGGATAACCTCGTCGCGATCGATCAGGACGAATCGGCAGGCGGTACGGCATATGCATTGCAAAAGTATCGTACTAGTAGAAATAGCATTACAAATTTTTCCAGAAGGAAAAATGGAATTTGTAATGCTGAAAAAGCGAAAGAACCAGACTTGTCATGCATGACTACAATTACTACGAGTGCGGTGCTTTTGCACAGGATACGGCACCGGTACTGGGAGTACTGCGGGATTCCCGCGAGCACGGCCAGCACGCCGAGCAGCTCGCCCGGCACGGTGATGGCGTACGCCGCCCGGCCTGAGTGGGGCAGTCCGGAGACGACACCAGGATTGCTGCCGTCTGCAGCGGAGTGCGCTGAGAACATGCTGCCTCGCTCGTCTACTGTGCCGCTTCTCCCGCTTCTGGGCTGTTGCGTTGACGAAGACACTACCTCCTGCTCATCTACACGCACACCAGCAGACGAGATAGTATTAGGATCAGCGACGACGTCCACCGCTGGACTTCTTGCGTTGTGGGAAGGAAATAGCGTTGCGAAAACGCTTGTTGGTAGGTCCATGGAACGGGGGCCGGTGCTCCTCAACCCTGATTCCTCTTCGTCGTAAGCATTCAAGGCTGAGACCGGCAAAGACGGCGGCTGCTGGTCGTTCTGCGCGCGGTTGGTGTCCGGGTAGTTGTTTGCAGGGTCTGTCGACACGGGGTCGCCGTTGCTCGACGCCGAGGCCGACACGAACCGCCTCTGTTCTCGCCGCGGGCGCGGAAAAAAACTGTCTACTTGCCCTTGAAGCAAGATGGCCAGGGCCGTGGCATTCTTTGGGCCGGAGGAAATCGTGCCTCCACCGGTGACGATCATTTCCGTAACGATTTGTCCAGCTTCCTTGTCCAGAAACCGGACCTTCTCGCCGTTCACACAGTCCGTACTAGGTAGGCCCAACCGCGCAGTCAGAATTTTCTGGGCGTCTTTGTCCTTCTCGATGCCTTTTGTCCACGAGACGGGGGGAACTTTTTTGATTTCGCTCAGCGTCGTCTCGCTTTTCGTCGAGGTTGTCCCGCTGGCAGAGTCCTCATCTTCGTCTTCTGCCGGTGCCTCCTTTGCTCCAGATGTTGCCGAATCGGGACGAGTACCTTGCTGGGCGGCTATATCCTGTGCAAAACTTCTATCGCACTCGTACGAAAACCAAAACGAATTGCAAGTTTGCATGACAACAAGAAATGATCCTGATAGATCCCCATCCTTATCTGAACCTGCCTAAGAGGAACGAAATCGTATCTATCTTTATGTTAATATCTTGGGGAGTCTCATTGCCTTGCCGCGATTCATAGTACTAGTGCGATATTACTTTAGTTGCGACGCATAGGCTTCTACGTCGCGAAACAATTTTGCCAAGTTCACGCCCACGTCGCTGACCTCCCCGGTGTGTAGCAAGTCGTTGCTGAGACCGAAATACTTGTGCAACGTGCTCACCACGATGATCATGCGCGCCAGCAGGTGCCGAACCAGAAGAAAGACTGCGGTGGGAAAGTAGGCCAGCGCAGGAAGAATTGCCTCTTCTGCCGAGAGCTCGTAAATTTCACCGCCCTTTGCAGAAACGCACCGAACGCTGCTTTCGTGTCGCACAGTAGTATCTCCCGCGATAATAGAAGCGAGAACGAAGAGGAAGCCGGCCTGTGTGTGTGGTGGATGAAGTTCTTGCTTGCGATAATCTCTTGGACCACGTGACGCATGGAAATTATAAGAGTGATGAACCACTTCCAAGAAAGTAGGTATCAATGATTGTTTGAGATGGTGCGCAAACAACATGATTATTCATTCTATGTATTGAACCGGATAAGGGTCTTTTGTCACTGCAGGAACGTCTCCGTATGTATTTATGTCTGTACCACAGTTTCGCCCTTGTGCAGCGTCATAGCTTGCGCGGGCCCGGTGTGCCCGTCGCCTTCGGTATCACCGTCTGCCAGTGCTTGATCTTTCTGGTCGTGGTGGCGCGCATGGAAAATCTCGAACTTTTATACCATGAAATTACGCCCAAGCCCCTGTCCCCAAAATCTTTATGCAGAATGTGCGTTACATTGATATTGTGGTGAACAACTTGCAAGCCAGCCTCAGACACAACAAAACGTGTTGGTGCTGCAGTGGTTTCGACCAAATCAGACTCGACGTCACCCGCCAGCACGGCAATACATTCAGTGGGCGACGCCGACGCCGACGTCGTGTGTTCCTCATCTCTTTGACGGTCTATGCTGAACGAAAACAAATTTCGGGACCAACACGCATGGCCATGGGAACGATCGACGGGCATAATTGTGTTGCATAATTCCCCTCGCTTCACTAGCAGGAAAGCGTCCCGCTTAGCGCCTCGGCGAACCGCAAATTCTCCGCACTGAAACTCACGCACACGGACGCGGGAGAGTAAAAACTGGAGACACTTGGGATCCTTGATCAACCTCAGGAATTCGCAGTCCTTCAAAAACTCGGCTTTGACGCCGGAGCCTTGCTGTAGGGCGGCGTCGATAAGTGTAGCCTCCTGATCGCTCTCCAGCTCCGACAGCGCGTGGTCTTGGTCCCCATCGGAAGCGACTATCGAGGCAACGTCGTCCTCTTCGCCCGTGATTAGCGGATCGGTCTGTTTTGGGCAATAGAGTTCCAACTACATCTACAGGTTGTAGATCGACTCATTCGACGTCAAAACACTTCGGCATAAACACATGTTGACCATAACCACGCAATGTCGAGCAGCTAGTGAACTACGAATAGATGAAGCACGGTGCTTCTTGCATCCAGCCACCTTCAGTACTACACCAGGAGCGGGCCCTGCGGCCATCCAATATTTGCGGAAAAAGAAAGCAAGAAGCTTATTTTTGAATTCTATCGCACCAACGTAGTAATATTAAGAAGTGATTATAAGCAGCTGAGTACCTCCATTTGTTCCCATTTTTGCCATACCCAAAATTGGATGAGTTTTCCCAGACACCAAATGAGAATCGCCGGAACGTAGAGCCAAGCGAATTCCAAGAAGAGAGAAAATCCTCCATGGAAAAGGTAAACGTAGCCGCAAGCCCCGCCCAGAACCATCCAGCGTTGGTCCCAAATCAGGTTGCTCGCGGAGCCCAGAGAAGGCGATGCTGCGTCCATCCTATTCGTTCCTGCCGCGTCCGCGACGACGAAAAGATTCTACGAGCTCGACATCTATGATTACACCCGGTGGTCTGAAGAGAATAGAAAATGGACCATCAATACTGGCAGTCGATGACAATATCAGGCACGGGCACCTTTGCAGCAGGCCAATATCAATAAAACAATCACAAAATCTTTACCGAAGTACAGATTGATACAGCAAGCGAGAATAGCAACCACAAATTCTGACCATTAAGATGAGCGACGTAACACCAAAGTACGCACAGGATAGAAATGGAGTGACTGGTTGACTGACAAGTATAGAAGTCGCCTACATGCTGAGGTAACTAGGACCGGCTATATTTCCTGCTTTCAAACAGTTTAGTTTGTCTACGGAAACCTCCGCTGATCAAATCAATCCATCCCTTCGCTACGTATCATAATTAGGGAGCTCTCGAAGCTAAGGACTAGTAGGCACTAGGTGCTGCTTGGACGGGCCACTGTGGTAACATCTTTGGGAGTACAAAATACGTACATATTCCTGACGACAGAACAAGGCCTTTCTGTGCATGCGTATCGCGAAAGTTCCATCCAGTCGTGTGGTGGAGCTTGGAACTCGCAAACTACGAAAGCATATGCCAATCCGACGATCCTGCGTTTACTCCTATTTGAGCAGAACCACAACTACGTCTCAACCGCATCATCGGGATCTTGAAATCAAAATCATACACGGTGAAAATAATTCGTAGCTTTCCGGTAAAGCGGGAACGCGAGAAATGGGAACGGATTCCACTAGCAGAAGGTGATCCAAACTAAATCCCTTTTTTTGGGTATCCCTCCCGGCAATGGTTGTGATAAAAATCGAAGAAGTTACGTTAGACTGATAAGATTCAACAGACTGTCGAGGCGACATAAGCATTGCTGCAACCGAAAAGATAGTGGTGTGGGCAGGGGATCGCTCATTGTTATGGCCACTTTAGACCTTTTTGTTTTTAGCTGTCAGTCTCCTTCTTGGTTTTACTTTTACCGAAGTCAGAGCAACCGACTCAGTGCCGACCGACTCTTTTTTGTACGCGAGGAGGCGCGCGCGCGTCTGCATTGGTAATAGACATCGTAGAACAGTTGCTCCTGTATCACTTCGCGCACGCGCGACGTCGAAAAGGCAAAAGTATTGCTCGTAGCGCAAGCAGCTGGGCTTCTTTTTCTCCCTTTCATTGCCATGTTGGACGTGGTTTGCTTTTTCATCTAAAAGATAAAAAGTCGCTCAAAGATGTTGCTGAAGTTGGTCAGCTCCGTATGGAAGTTGTGATAGTATAGAACCCAGCAGATCTTCATCAGTCTTGATAGTCGCTTGTAGTCGAAAGAAAATCGCTTTTACAGATCGGAGACTCAAATCAACACAGCAGGCTTTCTTGATGATGATACCCCCATCATCAATTAGACCCATAATTCGCCGTGATACCGGTTCATTCTTCTGATGGTCATCGTCATCACTAGCTCAGCAGAAAGAGAATGAAAGACCCGCAGCCTGCGTCTGTGCTTCGCAAATCGAAAAAAAAACGAGGTTAGTTAAAGGGATTGTTTGCGTTAGGGCCCGCGCTGCCGGGGGCGGCCTGGTTCCAGAGCTGCAGCCCTTTCTTTTCGCCGTGGTACTTGATGAAGGATTCTGTGGTGTCGTAGACGTAGTCGTTTTTCATCGCGATAACATCAAAAAGCATGTTGACACAGGAAATCGCTACGCGCCATGTAACATTACATACTACTAAGGCCACCGCCACGGGTTCCTTCTGTTTCTTCTATGAAACAGAATGACTTTTTCATTTCAAACCATTACTGCAAGGTGCGCTATGCACATGCTGCAACTGCTACTTCTACTGCGCCAGTGCCTTTATAATATTTGATTCAAGTATACCTTTCGTGAAAGGCCCATTTCCGTCGCTCGGGTCGATGCGCTTTTCCTTTTTCATCGGAGCGGGGCCGCTCTGCTCCGCGCCGCCCTTTCCACCCTTCTTCTTCATGGAACTCAGACTCTTGGCAACTTCCAACGCGGGCTGTTTCATCGGCTTCGCCTTTCCCTCCCCTTTGTTTTTCTTGCTTCCATCGTTCTTTCCACCCTTCTTCTGCTCGCCCTGTTTTGGGGCAGCGGACGCCGACGCATTCTCCTGCTTCTTCGACTCGGGCCCGCCCTGCTTCTTCCCCTTCCCCGGACCCTTCAGCTTGCGCTTGGCCTCCACCATTTGCGAGGACTCCACTGTTTTTATTTTGGTTTGTTTTATTTTTGCGAAATTGTAGCGAGTCTTTAGCTCCTGCTCCAGTTTCACTTGTTCTAGTTCCTCAGCAGTGACTCAATATCTACAATTCCAAAGACGAGCAGGGCGAATTGGGCAAGCAAGGAGGCAGGAGAACCACGGGAAGAAAAAACATCGGAAAACAAACAAGGAAGAGCGAAGGTTGCAACAATGCCAAACAAAACAAGGTGGGAGAGGGAAAGGGTGAAGTATGTGCATGTCATCATAGTATTCTTGTTGTTCGTTCCACTTGAAGGAACAGGTGGAGAAAGGTACAGCTTCCGTGTCGAATGCAACGAAAACGCATCACACTTCTTACGTGCCTCATCCCACAACTGCTGACCCTTCTCTTCGCCGTGGTACTTCAAAAAGCTTGCGTGTGTAAAGGGACCATTGCCATCACTTGGGTCCATACGCTTTTCGATCATCTTCACTTCGCCGACGGGCTGCGAGCTGCCCTTTCCGTGGCGGGGCTTGTCATTGGATTTGATGACCCCCTTCTGGCTTCCTTTCTTGCCCGGCTTGCCCATTTTATTGCAGCGTGGTTGTGAGAAGTATTCAAGGATGAATTAGAAGAAAGACCTCTTAGCAAAAGTCGGTGTTGGAAAAAGAAGGTCCGTGTCGTCGAGATACTACAGATAATCTCAGTGATACAACTCAGGACAGGAACAACTAATCTCAGTGATACAACTCAGAACAGAAACTGAAACAACGAACAGCAACTACAGGAGTAGATACTGATATCGATATTTGCAGCCATACATACGAGAAAAACTGGATGAATTGTTGATGAAGCAAGTCAGGGAAAAATAGGGCAAAGCCATACATATTATACAGAACAAGAACTTGGCTAGAAATTTGTAGCTAGAAAGGCGGTGGAAGCGATTTGCGCGAGTGTAGCGTCCTTGCGTGCGCGACTCCGAAACTGCAACAAAGGCAACTCGATAGGCGGGGCGGGCTGCTATGTCTCATTTGTCAGCGACCTAGACAAATCGCCCCCTAGTTAGCTTTCTGCTGTGGATCGATCGCTGCGGAAATTCCGAAATTTTAACGAACTATATTTCGTTGCGTATTTTTCCACCTTCTTCTTCTTGTACTAGCCGAATTTCTATTTCAATATCTGAACTTCATGACTTTCTACAGGTCGAATTTCTCGCTTGCAAACTTGCATACGATCGAGCACCAAAATTTGAATTTTTCCAGAGGTCACTGGACAAAGCTTATCATTGGAACAGTTCCATTTGGCGTGGCGTAGGATCGGGCGGTTGCACGCCAAAAATCGGCTCAAGATATGAAGCGCATTTATTTGAGCCTCAGGCACTTCGTTGCAATTGGGGCGCTGCGCCAGCCTGCCAACTACTGTGTTTATTGTAGATACGTATGTTTTGCATCGCAATCTAGATGTACAGGACTGAAATTTCCTATATTCGCAAACACGATTATACTTGCATGGAAGGGAACAATTTGAGGAAACGGAAAGCCAATGCCAACTACTCTACAGATAAAGAAGCGATGAATAGACTAAAAATAATTTCCCTACATTTTGCCTTGGCGCAAGTAGGCAAAAATCTAGTCTTGGCTTCCCGCCAAAATCCCTGGGCTGCTGGTGCGGCAGCCGACCTGGGGGCCTGCAAATCTCCTCGCAGAGAACGAGAATGAAGCTAATTTGTACAGGTTCGGATAATGATCGTTTCTGTACCTCAACGAGGGCATCTAGTAACAGTAACAGTAAGGAGCGACCTTTCATCAAACACAGCCTTTGCGAGGCTGCTAACCTGCCTTGGCCGCGTGAAGAGACAGTAAAAGTGATCTAAAACGAGTGAAGCGACTGCGCGCTAGCAAAAGTACAAGTAGTCAACTCAACATCCGCAATGATTGTGACCAACCTGCGTGGAGTTTTAGAGTGTGCGTCGCGCGAAAGGACGAAGTAGCTCAAAGGGACTTGTTTATTCTGCCCATCGGGCTTTTGAAAAGAAAAAGAATATATCAGAATAATTTCAATAAAAATCACTCATTTACTGCAGTTCCAGTGCATGCAGCTACTCATCTCTTTCTGTCGCACTAAAAATACAGAAAATACTTATACGGTTTCACGAAATAGAGATATACTTCTGTAGCGGATGAAGGATGAAGGAAAAGTTGTATTTGTAAATGAAAAAAAAAGTGCCTGGTGTACAAAAGTATCTACGCATATGTTTTTTTCTCTAGCCCTAAGACCAGCGCAGCCCTCACTGCGTGACGCAGACCAGGAAGATCCAAATGCTGCAGATGCGCTGCGAGTACGGAAACACGCGCACGGCCATGGAGAACTCGGCGTCGTCGCTGCCGAGCGCCAGGAGGTCTGTGTTCGTCACCGCCTGCCAGACCTGTCCGAAGTCGCTCATCCCGAGGTTGAGCGGCACCCCGTACACTCGCATGCCCCGGTGTCCGCCGAACTCCTCCTCCAACTTTAGGTATAGAGGGAAAGTAAGTGAGTGGTTTTAGGATAATGTGCTGCTAGTAGAGACAAGAAAAGTCGCAGTCTGCCATGCGGATTATATGCCTACGCAGCTGTTCTTTATCAGAACCAAAAAGCACATCAGAATGGAATCAAAAACCACTCAATTCCATGCGATGCCGAGTAGGAGTGATTTTCGCTCGTGTTGAGAGATCAGAAAAAGCTGCGTCGTGTATCACATAAAAAGCCGCGTAGGTGCATCTAAATTCGCGAGACAAGATGGATTTTTTCTTGCGAAAAGCAGCAGTCCGGAACATCACTCACTTCCCCTCCATATCAGGAAAAAAGCGTCCACATCCGGCTTCTTGACGGGTACTTCATTGGCAGCTCGCAGCGGTGGTGGTGCCTCATTGCCACCCTCCCGCCGCGTTTGCTTGAATTGCTCCAGGGTCTCGAGTATGCATTGCAAATATGTCTGCGTCTGGGTCCGGAAACTTGTGACGCGAGTCAGGGAAAAATGAGAATGAGCACACTGTAAGTATTACTGCACTGCCAAGCATGACAAGTTTTGCCATGCTTTTCAATTGCTTATTACGCATTAGAGATTGCGTTTTTCCATGGCAGGCAAGAGGAGCTCACTGGTGCGGCCACGCAATACAGAGCTCAGAGTCCTCATGCCAGACGAGTATGACTACACTTCTCGCAATCAACTACACCCAGACAAGAACATATTTGCATTTCTTGGATATCGAGCATTTCTCGGCACTTTCCTGCAATTGCGGCGTTGCTACGGGTCCGCAGGTTTCGGCCGGCACGTTCGCGAAGAAACCGTTTCCAGATATCATCTTCCAATTGGGCTTGAAGCGCCTGTGTGGAGAGATTAAGGCTCAAGTATGATCGCAAATGCTGTTGTGCAAAGAAACAATCTGTCTAGGTTCACGTTTCCTTTTGATGAAAGCATCAAAAATCAACATCACGCCATGTGCGATGACAACATCGACATTCTGCAAATTGCATACAATTCTGCATCAGAAAATGCTTTTACGCGTGCCGTCTACACAGTTTGTGCGTGTAGATAGCACAGTGTGAAATTTAAGAAAAAACACATCACGATGACCAACACATTATATTAGTTGCAAACTTGTGAGGCTGACGCCGATACGAATGAAACAAAAGCTGGAGGTCGTCGTTTGAAGTAAATAAAGTTAGTACCTTCGCCCTGGAAACGTTAGGTGGTTCATACCGCAGAGCTGGCTGGAGCGTTTCAATGGTTCCATCGGGAAACAAATGCTTCTTCTCACTTTCGTCCACGAACAAGGGGCGCCACAGCGCATGGTTCTCCAGGTCCCAATCCATCTTCAGCACGCAACTTTCTGCCGCTGTTCCTGGCTCTCGTGCTGAAGATTAGTGATAGATCATACACACCACGAACATGAGCGTTACACCAGCATTCTCCTTGCTGCAGGAATCAAGGTTGAGTGACCCAAGCCAGGAAAAAGGACGACAGATTACAGAAGTAATTTGAATTTCTGCGAGATCACACAACACAAGGAAACTGTGAAAAATTATTTTTTCAATCTTTTCATCAAGCAACGAGCGACTCTTGAAACATCAAGGGTGGGCAACATAGATAGTTAGTACTACTAGAAGAATAACGAAGCACGTGAGTTGTACATTCTGCCCGGTGTCGCAGCGTGTTGTACCAAACATTTTCCGCGGAGAAGACGACATTTACTTTCTGAATCGGGCAGGTGAGGGCGTACGGTGATGGTCCCGCTATGGCAGATCCAGTAAATCGACCTGAGATGATAGGCAGCACAGGATTTCAAAAATTTTCGGAATATGACAAGGTTTCTTGTTATTAATTTGGTTATTTCGCATTGGATTCAGACTGTTCCAACTCACTGTCACAGCGTCCTTGATCATGAATGAAATATCTTTTTCAATACCCTTCTTCGCGGCTTCGTGTCGCTCGCGTAGGCGTTTTATGATAGTGGACAGTCCCCCTCGCCCAACTATTTTTCCGCACACATAAACGCAAAACTTCCAGCATTTTTCTAGCGCTTTTCAGCAATACGACCTTGCGTGAGAGGAAATCGCATTTACAAGACTTCGCACAGTACTGTGATCCACACCAATGTCGTGCTTTGGTCTGTCAACACATAAGGTTGATCTACGTGTCCTCTGATGTTGTCTCTGTTGCTCGCTCTTGGCCTTGCGCCGTATTAAACTCTACCCATTAAATATTCGAGGGGATGAAGCTGAAGCAAGGGTGGGTGGAGTAGAGATGTCCACCTTGATACGCTTTACGCACCCCGTGATCGCCCCTACCGGTCCTGCTTGGTCTGGGTCGGCAGGTACGGCATTGTAGTAGGTCTCGCCCCGGCGCGGCACAAAGTAGCAACGGTTGGTGATTGGGTCCCAGAACTCGGTGTTGCCGCTCAACTGGTCCTGGCGCATCACATACATGCCGTCCCCGTCAGGAATCGCATCCACTGCCACACAAAAGCTTTTTACTTGGTGCCCAGGGTCCACCTGAAGGTTGTGTGATAGAAGGCGCGCTGTAGGAGATGTTCTTGCAACTTCTTACGATTCCACCACGTCGGTGAACCAATTGCAACGCGACATTCATCGAGAACAGAACAGCAAACTTTTTGACAAAACAGTGAGCAAAAACAGGAAAACCATTTTGAAAACGTCGAACAAGAAAATCCCTCCTATTAATACTTCCCCCCGCTTCGCGTCGATGTAGTTGAAGTAGTTGCACAAGAGTATGGCGTGCTCCTCGTAGTCCCCACACGAGATGTCCAGAAAAGTTTTGGAGGTGCACCAGAGATCCACAGCCCGGCCTTCGAACATCTGCCCGTCCGTCATGAAAGTGATCAGGGAGACGAAGCGAGCGCATTTTTCGATGGCAAAGGGGTCCATCATGTCTGCCACGATGTCCTCGGGTGGCGCTTGGGGCGTGATGAACCGCGTCACCAGCCGCGACCGGCCCTCGATGTCCGTGCCGAGAGCTTGGGCCAGGTTCTCCTTCACGATGCGATCGGAGCCTAGGGATGCCATCCACTGGTGCACGTGGTTCAATATGGCTCGGGATTCTTTTCCGGGAATGATCGGCGCATTGCCGCTCTCGGGCTCCGTCAGCACGCGGTCGAGCGTCACACTGGCAAACAGGAGCATGGGCTCCTCATTCTCTTCGCCTGTTTTTTTTTTAGTTTTTACATTGACGGCGCTAGCGCTTCCTCGTGAGCATTGCGCTCGTGAATGACGTTATCCACGAGCGTATACTTACAGAAATATTTATAGTATCTTATCTGTTTGCTTATGCTTCGACTTTCCATGCGTCAATCCTTTATCTGCAGTTTGTCCCAGCAGAACGTTCTCCAGTGGGTTTGCGGCGTAATGTCAAAATAGGATTTTTCAATGAACCACAACCAAAGTAAGTAATGCATAAGCATCAAATAAAGCGTATGATAAACCTTGGGTTGGATCTGGTGGCATTCCTTGTGCCATGCGCTGCTGTGCGGCAGCAGAGGGCGGTTTCTGGTAGCCGATGATTCCTACCGGCGCGTCGACGCGAAAGCGACCTTCTATTTTGCAGTTGTTTGCCAACACCGTGGGCCAAGGGAGCGCAAACGTCCCCAAATAGCGCCTCTCTCGCTTGGTGATGACCGCACCGCCCTGATTGCCATAGTTGTTGCTCGACCCGCTCATGGACAGGCTCGCCGTGCCCCCCGCTCCGGTTTGTATGCTGATCTTATTCCCTGAAAATTAAGCATCCATCCCCATCCACTTTTGCATGACAAACACAGACAAGACTTTTTTGCATGACAAATTGGATGGAGATGGTTATTTAATTTTCAGGGAATAGATCTCCGTCTCGTCGAAAACGTTGAAATGCAGGGCGTTCGTGAACGCGTTGAGGGCGTCACCGGACAAAGATACGTTTGGGTTGAGCCCACTGGCCAGCGGGAAGACGCGGTGCTGGTTGATGTCTGGGTTCAAGCCCGGTATGCGGTACCCGGTGTCTGTTTTCAGCTCCATTTTGTCCATGTTTTCGAAGGCAAGTTCCACGACGACCTCGGACACCGTGAGGCCCCTCTGGTTGCGCTCCAGCGCGGAGGGTATCCTCAGCGGCACGTTGTACAGCTTGGCCACGTTGATGTGGATGCCCGCGCGCTTGGAGCTGGGGTCGTGCAGCCGCTGCTGCATGGCCGGCTTCAGCGGACGCCGCGGCTTCAGGAGCGAGCTCAGTTTCTGCCACAGTGCGGCCCAGTCGATCTCCTCAGCGTCCTGCCCGTATTCGCGAACGACCGTTTTCACGGAGTACTTCCGCTTTACCGAAGACACCATGCGAGTTCGCGCTTGGATCGCGGCGATGAAATCCTCTACCGCGGTCTCTTCCGCCTCGTCCTGCGAAGGCGGCTCCGCCGCCTGGGTTGTTCCGAAGGGGTCCGCAGGCGGAGCATCGCCTGTGGTTGGATAGTTCGCAACGAATTCTTAAGCGTCGGTGGCGGAAAGATAAGATCTAGTAATAAGTCGAAGTGCGCTCCTTGTATAATGTAGTTGTCCTGCTACTTAAGGTCAGATCAAAAAAGATAAACTGCAATATTTTTCAACATCTTCTGCAAAAGTCGTACTTTTCCTCGGTGTCAAGTCTTTGGGCTTGGGCGGGAGTTTGACTGCGACCGCCGTGCCGTCCTGCGCCGTGCTTGTGTCCTCGCCCGTGAGAATAGCGCGCGCGTTCGCGGAGATCTGTTGCATGCGCACCTCCTTGTCTGTGGCGGCAATCTGCTCCCCGCCCGCCGAGTGCTTCTGGGCCCGGAAGGCCAACTTGTGAAACCGGCGAGACTGCTTCACGTTGCCCCAGTTGACGAATTTCAGGTTGCAATACAGCGACTTCAATGCCGGGTCAAAAGCGGTGGCTTCGGATTTGTGCAGCAACACGTCAAGCTCGTCGCGGCTTTGCTGTACCATGGGGTGGATCATACCGAAAAGCGCACCCATACGCATACCAGATAAAGACTGAATTTGCATATCCTTATCCATATGCTGCGTTCATGGCGTAGTTGTGAAGATGCTGATCCGCAACAGGCAGAAAACAAGCCTGTCATGCGGATTGGAGATTGTATTTGTATTTGTAACTCCCGGATGAAAGGGTACTTACAACTGGAGACACCGTTCGAATATTTGTGAAGCAGAAGAACAGACAAGAGCACCAGCATTTTTGTTTTAGTCTTGTCTTGTACGTGAAAAACTGCCCAAAAAATCTACTATGGGCGTTCTTTTTTGTAGGATAGGGTGGTTTGGATCGAACCGGAGGTCCTCGAGAAGTTGCTGCGTTCGCGAGACCAGCAGACTGGAACCTCCGCCGCCAAATGCATCCGCGTTTTGAGAGTCTGTAGTTTTCATGCCTCGTTGGCGGGCAAAAGAACCAAGCGACAATTCAAGGTTGGGTGCACACCCAACTGCACACGACTCAGGAGATATTACAAAGCCTGCATCATGAAAAAATGGGTCCTTGGAGGAAAGGAAGTTAGTAAAAAATACTTACTCCGAGGGTCCTTGCCGCCTTGTTTGGAAAACCGCGAAAAAAAGGGCAAGTGGGTTCCTTCTTCAAACGCGCGGTGCAGACTTTCCATGGCCGTCGAATCTGCCAGGGGCTGTGGCGGCAAGGCCCCGTCCTTCATCTGGTTGAGCGGCACGGGCCAGAACGTGCGCACCTTTATTACGCCGGTGGTGGTGCTTGTGTCCTCCATGGCAGACTGCAGTTCCTGCCTGGTTTGCGATTCCCGCTGGTGCGAGCGCGGGGTGCTTGCCGAGGTCCCCTCGACGTAGGTCTGGGTGGAAGTCGAGGAACGGGTCCCGGCGGCCGTAATCGCGCCGTCGGAGCCAAAAACCAGCTTCTGCCGAATGATCGGAGTGTGCGTCACCCGGGTGCCTTCCGCCGCTGGAATGGCGATCTGCACGCCACCAATTTTCGTCCACTTCCGTATTCTACCATGCGAGAAGATTCCCAGCGCGCGGGGCACTCCGACCCACACTTGCAGCTCGATGGTGCGCGGCATCGTGTGCACGCACAGATCAAACGTGTAGGGGCAGGCGGCGCGGGCGAGATCTGCGACCGCCCCGAGGTCCTGGTCTAAGATGTTACCTGGAATGAAGTGAGCGGAATCAATGGATACCTACGATGCTGCGAGGTGCGACGAATCTAAATAGCCCATTATTTCGCGGAGAGTTGCGTGCAACATCGTGATCCATCATGATCTTGATCATCATGGAGGATGTACGTCGCGCAATATCCAAACTTCATCTGCGCTGTTTTTTGTAGATAAGTACTAAGGTTCGCGCTGGTGCTCCAGGAGTCCCACTGCACTGGCATCGCGCCGGATGTCCCGACTTGCTCTCCGTTGACCACTATCCTGTGCAAAAGTACCGCACTCGTTGTAATTACAGTCATATATCAACATCATGCAAATGCATCGCAGATCTACCTTTCTATAAGATGTAGCATGATCATTGTGCTTTTGCTTTTGTGCTTGTGAAAATTTGTAAAAATGCAGCCATGATGTATAACTACTGCGATGCCGAAACTTTTGCACTGCATAACCACGCATGTGATCTCGACCTTCAGTACCCCACTTTGCAGCCGGCGTCGACGCTCGAACTCCTGCAGGGAGATCGGGCGGAGCTCGTCCATGTTTGTGACGCGTTCTCTCCTCCAGGAGAGCTCAAAGCGGTACGTGTCCGCCCCGGGCGGACGCCAGTTCGTTGCGTACCACTCGCGGAGCTGCTGTTCCGCCTGGCTCGGGTCAAATGGCTGCTGCTCCTGCTGCGCGAGGAATTCCAGCTCTTCGAGCTCCGCCTGCAGGTACTGCTCCACGCGTTTCTGGTCCTCTATGGGGCTCTCAAGCGTTACGTTGAGTGCTGTTGCATGTTGCTTTGTCACGCATCAAAGTCTACCTCTACTTCGCGTGACAAGTCATTTAAGTACTTCTCTGTAACGCAAGAGGACGCACAGCAACCTTCCACCCTTCACTGTAGTTGCTATTCCGGTGTAACAAACTCACGTAACAGGAACAGTCAACGTAACGCTTGAGTAGACTCCCATATCCTCCTCCGCATTGTGCGAAACCACCTGCGCTTCCAACTTCACGGGCGTGCTGACAAAATTCTGCGTTTTGCGCAACGTGCGCAGCTGTTGCCACGTTTTGTACAGTGCGTCAGACACCGCGCTGCGTTCTCGTTTTATGCATGGAGCAGATGTCTGTCTGGAAAGTCCAAGTTGTATATGCAAGTGAATTCAGTGAATGACAATGATAACAGCACTGCAAGATTAGCGATACACAGGCAAACCTGTCGACAGTTTTTTTATGAAGGGCCGTGAGTTAGTCCCACCGATTCCGCGTGGTCAGCTCCGTGTTTGCATGATCACAGGCAAGAGGACTTCGCGAGCCTATGGCTCAAATAGTCATATTAGACATAGGCATAGCTCAGACCGCTCATTAATATGTCAGACAAGCTCAACCTCAAGCATGCGACGTGTTGCAATCTTCTACAGCCAGACATCTTTGCAATGCATACGCTCCACCTCCGTGCGAATGCTGCGAAATTTTTTCCTTTCCTGTACGTGCAATGCCCACCGGCGCTCCAGCGCATCCTTTTTCTTCAGCTCCGCGTCGTCCGCGGCGTCGCCTGGTCCGAGCGCATTGGATTGAGGCTGTTGCGCCTGTGCCTGTTTCAGGCTTTCCAGTAAAGTTTTGCCGTACGCCATCCAGGAAAAAAAAAACGCTACAGTAGTTCATCATACATCGTCGCTCAACAACACTTCTCGACGGCAACACAAGTCTGCCCTGCAGGACAAAAAAGCTTGTGCTTAAAGATTGATAGTGTGGAGATCTCAACAAGTGAAAACACGCACGAGACGAGACTTCGACGCTGTATTTCGGTCATCATGGCAGAAGTTGCACTAGCACCACCTGTTGCCAACGTTTAACTAAGTGTACTAGAAGTACGACGCTAGTAGCTCCTGCACATTTTTCTTGCGATAAAGGCCACTAAGGCGTCGAACCGGCCGTCGAGAATCTCTATCGGATCTCCTTCTTCGCGGCGGCGGTACTCGTCGTATTGGTACAGGAGTCGTGCGGTGAGCCGGTCCTCCTCGGAATACAAGGTCGTCAGGATCTCCTTCGCGTTCTTCTCGCGAATGCCCAAGCCGTGCTGAAAAGAGGTAAAGGTGACCGTTTCCAAGCAGATCTTCAACGAGTACATGTGGTCGGCTTTCAACTGCATCCTTTCCGCCCGGAAGTTGTTCATCCGCTTGAACAGGGACCGCTCGTGTGAGTTCAGAAACACTGGCATGGTTTGCCTGCTGGAAACCACTATGGATTGCAAAAATGTCTGGGTCTGGAAAGTTGGAACGTGTAATGCTGGTCTTGCATTCCTGTGAAATCTGTATTGCATGACCAAAAACAGTGGTGGCCCCTTATTTCATACAAAAATGCAGTTTCTCATGTGGAGTTCGTATGAGAAGGCGTGCTGCAATCTTGTCATGTTTTCCTGCATAAGGAAGTGACTTCCTCTTGCACATTTTAGCATCACAAGTTTCTAGACCCAGACATTTTTGCATTTGATAACCACCTCAAAGTCGCAAAACTGAATCAGCTGCTCCAGCTCCGCGTAGTACTGCTGCCAGGTGGGCAGCGTGCCACGCTATGGGCTGCAAGTATGTCTGGGTCGTCTCCCGGAGGAGGAGGAGCGCCAGCCTGTGTAATATCATACCCTTGCAACGCGTTGTAAGTGAAGCCAAACTCTGCTGTGCATGGAGCGGATCAGCGTCAGCACCTACATAGATTGGCATCCAAAAGCGTCACCCTTGTTCCTGTCATGCAGCTATTTTCTTTGGTAGTTAGTGGAGTTCTTTCCTCATGGAGACACTGTCTAGCGCTACAAGTTTCCTTCATCCCGGCCCAAACTTAGTTGCAGTGGATACGCGCTTGCGGGCAACGATTTTTTGGTACATGTCTTCCAGCGCGTTTCCGGATTGGGGCTGCGTCGCTCCTGGAAAAAATAGAGACTTTCATCTTCAGGTGATTTGATGATCCGCAATGGAGGCAAGAACTGTAAAGAAGTGCTCGTCCTTCCAAATGCAAAGTCATTGCTCTTGGTGCAACCACATCAGATGTAAAAATGAACGAAAATACGACTACAAAAGATTCTTGACAGCCGGAGTTGTCTGATACCATAAGCCTGCTGCTGTCTCGCAATGACGATCGGTCCTGCGCTACTGTCGCCTCCTACTTGTGGAAACTCGGATATTTGCTGGCACTTTTTGGCCAGGGCGATTTTCTCGCGCATTAGCTGCAGCAAGAGGCGCCAGTAGTTCCACGGTTCGTGCTCCCGCAAGTTCGCTCGACTGCGAAAGAGTCCGTCGTCTGCATTCAACAGTGCGCGGACAAAGTGGTCGTAGTGCCAGTCTTCGTGCAACACCAGCGGATTTGTCGTGAAGGCGTGGTGGTGCAGCGCAAGCCAGCGCACTATCCACAGTAAACGCGGCGTACAGGTACAGTTGGGATGAACCATGCACAACAATTAAACTTTCAGACCATCAAAACCATACTCGCATGGGAATCATTGTAAGAATTCATCTGGCGCTCCTGACTAAGACTACGTAGTAGGTTTTGGACGAGTGGCAGTCAGTGGCAAAAACATCACATTCACAGTTCTAATTTTGTATCGTCATGCATGTTGTAGCTGTACTCACCTGTACGCGCAAGGAGCGCACGCATGGGAATGGGAAATTTGTATTCCATACGTGAGAGGAAGCCTTCGCTGCCTGCCAGGGCGCGGACGCGGAGCAGAAAAGGATGCAGGGGTATCATGGACATAACTTGCTCTTCGTTTTTGGTAATCGGACTTTGCTCCAGTGTTGGATTGCGACATCTCGTAACCACGGTTCGGTCCCCACCGGCACTGCGCGTCGCCTTCTTCGCGCCTCCGACGCGAGAGAACATCCCCGCTCCAGGGTACGGCGCAGAGGAATTGCGACCCCCATTTCGTGGAGGTGGATACGAGGCTGACATGGCAGTGTCGCCATTTGGATTGTTGTTCCCCTGTCCACCGTCCATGGTTCCGAGGCCCGGCAATTGCTGCGTTGAGCGCGGGTCTTCTTCCTTCTTGCTGGATCGCGTTACGCGGCTCACGAGACCCCCTAGGGCGGCTTTCGTGCTGTTCTGTGGTGAAATTTTGAAACGCAGAAATTTTATTTTGGTTTTACCCTTCACCCATTGACCTCGCACATTAAGTGTACAAATATTAACGCTGAAATTGTGAGGCATGCACGAGATGATAGTGGATCAAACCGAAAATGTGATGGTATCCACCAGCGCAGCATGTTTATTACTGCAAGATCAGCCGCTTTTGATCCAGTGGTCTGCTGGTTGTCACCTCCACCAGGTGGATTGTTTCCCGCGCCGAAAGCCGGTGTCTGACCCCCTTGCTGCATGCCGAACCCCCCGGGGGGGCCGGTACCGGACCCACCGAGGTTCATCCGTGGACTGGGCTGCGTGGCGGTGCTGCCAAATCCGGCTCCAGGTCCACCGAACCCGGGCGTGCTCCCCGCGAAGGAGGGTGGTATCAAAACGAAGAAAATAAATCTCCCTTAACTTTCCTCACATTTTCTACTTCGTTCTAGTGCTGGGCATAAAATAATCAGAATTTTGCGACGCCCTCGAGATTGGCGTACACAAATCAAAATAGAAATTAGCAATTGGCTGCACCATTGAGGGATCGCAGAACTGCGCTTCTATTGATTGTGCACCAGTAATTGCTGCATACGCATCGAGAAGTTTGACAAATCCAATATCCATGGTGGGTTTGAAAGACGTACCATTACAGATGGCCTTCAGAATGCTGCCTGCAGCTCTTGGTTTCCATATACTTATGTGCAAGACAAGGCCGATCATTTGTGGCCACAACAAGGAAGTCGGCATGGCAAAGTTTCCCTTGGAGGATGGAGTGGGGAGATTATCTTCCTCATAATAGGCTGCTGCCCTCCGCCAAACGTGGCGGTCGAGGAGGAGGACCCCCCATACTGAAACTGGCTGGAGTTGTTATACATGACACGGCGGGGTAGAAGACGGGCAGAAGCCACGGCCTAGTCAAGCCTTCGGAGGCAAAGTAGAACGAACCGAATGAAGCCGAAGCTCCGAGCGCAGGAGCAGGACCATCTTGCGTTCACAAACTTCTGTAGTACTGCACTTAACTAATGACGGAGTAGAGTTGTTAGAGTGCTGCCAGCAGCTGCCTGCAAGACGTATGAATCATAAGAGGTTGTTGATGTAGTTCATCTGGACTGTTGTATCGGTATGGACACACACGCCTTGGCTTTTTTTCTTTGTAAGTTATACAGTCATTCGCATTCCCTCGACTACAAGTCGCGCATCTTGCTGCGCTCCGCTCTCAACGTAGTTTTCATCTAGATACTCATACACTCATCCGGCGTGGTGACCTTTAGCTTCAAGAAAGATACACTCACACAACTCCAACCGGATTTCATGTACACTACCTACGATGATCCCGTCAGCGTTGCCGGAGTGACTTTTCTCCTGGAACAGGTGGCAGCGCTGACACCAAGGGCGCGCCCATGCTTTGATCTCGACAACTCCACGTGTGTGCCTTCGTGCTGTCGCTATTGGGTTATGGTGCCTTTCCATTTATTTGCTTCGAAGATGAAACTTTTTGATTTTGTGCCGCGATAGTTCGCTCTCCAACAACGGACCACATTTTATTGATATGTTTCCAAAAAAATTCTACATCAAAAACATTATTTGTAAAGAAGCAGCCACGTCGTCGAACAAGTGGTCTTGAAGAGCACACTCGTCAAGCACACCTCTTTTTCATATCTTACAAAAAATAATCATGCTATCTAACTCAAATAGCCTGCAGCGTTCTTTGCATTTATGGAAATTGCGTTTGTTCGTGTACTTAGTGGAGCGATCTGCCTAGGAAAGGAACCACGCAGTCTAGCAGCAAGCAGGATTTTTGGGATGAAAAAAAATTGGAACCACGTATATCGTAAGTAGATGTTGTTATCGATTCGGATATATTGCACCTCATGCTTCTACTTTTGACGGCAGCGCGCCCTCCACACCGTCGCACGACGCTTCGACAGTAGAAGATGCCCCTTTCAGCAGCGTTTTCCAGACGTTGCGCTTGGCAATTTCCTGTGCCTTGTTGCGGAGATAGACGCGGAAATGGAACAGCAGGTACCCCAACGCGGACAACAACACGACGCGGCGGCGCTGGTCGCGCGAGCGGGTGGCGAAGACAGCGAGAAAAGCAAAAAACGCGGCCGCTTTCTGGCCGTGGCCGGCAAAGTATGACAGTGTACAACCTGCTCCCCTCCCCGTTTTTATTTGCCACTGCCAGGCTGATGAGCAGCAGCAATAGATGCAAGGCCACCACAGAGGCCTCCGCATGACAAACCCGCACACAGCTTGTCGTGCGTTTTTTTTGGTGTTCAAAAATTGTCATGGATGTTAACATGATGTTGATGCTTCAAGCAAGGCAAGAAGTGGATTTGTTGTTTTCCGTAACAAATGCGGGAAAGGGACAGGGAGAGTTCGTAGTTGTGCACTCGCATACAAAGTACCGCTTGGTCAGCTCGGCGTCCGCCAACCGCTTCGTGATCTCGTATCAAACTAAAAGGCGCACAGACTCCAGAAACCTCAGTGAATGTTTCTACGTGCGAAGCAATCTTCTCTAGCTCTGTGGAGCCATTTGCCACCGTGCCTGCATACGTAACACAAGTTTTTGTTTTCGGGGACCAAAACCAATGCATAGCGAAGAAAATAATGCCCTAACAACTATATAAACATGAAAGAGAAGAAGTCGAAGTTCAAGTTACTACTTCGCAATACAAACTACACTTAGAAATTCTTTCTAAGAGTGTTGCACTTTTCATTTGATATCTCGTCCTGCTGCTTCTTGCAGACCTCGCCCCAGACCTGCACCGCTACACGCTGGGACTCCCACTTCTCCTGAGAATGGTAAACAAACAGTGCATGAGTTTGAGAAGTCATGCTCATGAGTCATGTACACTGTTTCACTTGCCATTGCTAAGAAGAAACCAAACATGCAACGTGAAATAGTACTACACCAGTACTTCTTGAGATTAAAAATGTACTACTCAACTTCGGCAAAGATGACAGCTCGAACAGTACGTGAAGATCTCTTGTCACTACTATTCGTTATTGATACCTGCACAAAAACCCGGTTGCTTTCCCATTTCTCCTGCAGGTACTTCTTGACCACTTCCGCGCGACACTTTTCGCGCACCGTCCGATAGAAGGCCTCCACGTCCAATCGCTTGGAGAGCAACTTGCAAAACTGGTCGTGCATTCGCGTTACCCGGTTCTCTCGCGCCACCACGACTGCTGCGTAACTCTTCGCGACCGTCTGCGCCACCTGCGGGCTGTCACGGAACATCGCCATCCAGTTCCTGTTAGTTGTACGTGGCATATGGAAATAAGTTGTAGCCAGCAACTTCAACAGGTTCAAAAATTAAATCAGAATCAGGATTGCTCTCGTACGCATGATACTGTTTGAGTTTGTGTCAAGAATCTGTTTCTGTATCTCCTTCGAAAAGCTGTAGACGGTTTGTTGCTTAAGGTTCATCGTCGACAAGAGCGAATTAAGCTATTCCCCCACCTAAATGTCGAATCCGCTGCTGCTCGTGGTTCCGAGACGCATTCCTTTACGAACTTCTCGTGCGCATTGTCGACAACGGCGCTGGAGTATGAGAGGGCACAACCCTGCGCGCCGCTCATTTGGCATGCAAAATGCCAAAACTTCCCCTTTGCCTTCTGGTTCTGGCGCTGTCTACTGCATGACAAATTTCGCAACGAGAAACGAGACAACTTCTGGTCTGTCGTGACAAGTTACTTGTCTATCACGCACAGCCCCCACCTTCGCGGGTGCTTCTGTTGCTGCTCACCAGGCCTCTCAAGTGAGCGGGGGGGGCAGTCGTTGTGCACTCTGATATGGGAGGAGCTTCCGATGTGGCGAGGTAGGCACCGGTGACGGCGTCCACGTCCTCGGCAGTGTGCATCATCTCATCTGGCGATGAATTGTTTCCCGCCACAACTGGCGAAGTGGTCTGTTCCGCCTGCTGTACGTCGTTGTACGGGTGACTGGCCTATCAACTGTAAAAATGTCTGGGTCTGGAAGAATTCATGTTTGTCATGCTTGTCTGGCATGACTCTAAAATCTTCCATGCACGTTACCCAAGAGCTCCGTTTTTCTGTGATGCAGAGCTGCAGTTTGTCATGCAGAATAGGCAACACCTAGGAGCTCAGAAACTTGTCATGCTGAGCCAGTATTCGTAGCCTCATCATGAGACGCCACCCAGCATCACAAGTTTCCAGACCCAGACATTTTTACTTTTGATATGGCCACATTTGGGTAGATCGGAACGAGTTTCTGGCTCTCCATTATAACGCGCTCAGCTGTTACAATCTCAAACGTTACAATAGAATATGGTGATCTGTGATGCAAGAGTGCATGACCTAGCCTACTCCCACAGGATTGCGCATGACAAGTTCTGGAGGCCAAATCCGCACTAGAATCTGGCGAAATTTGTATTGCGAAAGGTGGAACGCTGTGCGAGTCTGTCATGCTCATCATGCAACACAAATTCCAGATTCTATTGTAACGTTTGAGATTGTAACACCTGAACAGGTTATATCCATGCGGTCTTGCTTCTTAGTGGCATCAAATTTCGCGTCGCTCACACCGCCAGCTGAATATACACCGAAACAAGTGGTGGACTCCGTCACAGGTGTCTCAACTGGCGTGACTAGGGGCGTGGAGGAATTAGAATCACTGTAGCCCTGCTCTTTGGAGGTAGTAGTTCCGGCGTGAGCTGCTGGCTTTGGGGCGCCTTTGCTGGAACCCTTGTTGTTCCCTTTGTTGTTTCTCTTCACTTTTGCCATTTTGGATCAGGCTTGCTCGTACAAGTCTGCTTAGTGTCTCCGTGTACGTGGCACTTTCACTTATTTTATTGCCCTTGCGATAATAAAAGAACTTCGATGTACTGACGTTCTGGAGATGGCACTGGCAGTCCGTAGGACTTATTGCAATTGGATGCAGAGTTGCTACAACGACCGCAGTTATTCGTCTTCGTCTTCCCCGCCCGAGTTTGTACTTCTGTTTCTGTAAGTATCTGTATCTATGAGGAATGGTTACTTTCATCTAGTGAGGAAGAGGAAGCAGATCAGCGGCCACGACATCGATGATCTTACAGACCCCATGCTGACGACTACTTGGATCAGACACTTCTTCCGCGGATGTTCTAGTACCCCCGCTGGCTTTGTTTCGAAACGCGGCCGGTTGATGAACTTGCTTATTCTCCACAACTACGCACGAGTAGCCCCGACGACAATCAAACAGACCGAAGATGACATAATTAAGAAACGCACCCACGGTAATGATCTTTATCGTTGTCTTTCTTTTGACCGAGAAAACGGCACGAACCTGTGGACGAACTGCCCAAGGCCAAGGGATCAATCATTACTCGTGGCGAGATTTGTTTCGCAGTTGGAAGTTGTAAAAGCACGCCCGTGTAATTTTACTTTTCATTTGTCTCAACTTTATTTGTCGTTCTTGCGGACGCGGCATTTTCTTTCTCAAACATATCCCGATCCACGTCAATAATCCATATCCTGGGCCTCGCAAGAAACATATTCGCGGCATTAATTTTCAAACAACTTATATCATCACCGATTTTCACTAGACTACATCCGCGCTTATGATGTCGATGGCCAACGAGGTGGATTTTTGGTTTAGTTCTCGATAGAAATTTGTTGAACTTTCCCCCAAGATTCCAGCAATGGGTCATGAGGATGTCAACGTTCTCGTTACGTGAGTCAGATCTTGTTCCGTGTGCCCCCACACTACCCGGTATACTGGGCGCAGCCTCGATTCCTGCTGTTGTACTATCCTGCTCGTCCTTTTTATTTAGAAACTCATTCTCATTCCAGCTTTCTGGGTCTTGGCCCACCCGATTGAAACTGGTTCCCAGATTCGCTTCTGCGCCGTAGATTTCGACGATGGTCGCCGGCTTGGCGCCGGAGGCGTTTCGTAGTGGTGCCTGCCGTTCTTGACCGTGCACCGGAACCGAAGTGGAGACAAAAGACAACAACGGAAGAAACTGGAGATGCTCGTCGCTTTTGCCAAAACTGTCGGATTGGGATTGTCTCGTTTTCTGCTTGCCGGCGCCCGTCAGCTGCGTCGCTAGAACATCGTCGTGATTTCCACCAATGTATCATGTGCAAAACAAGTATCGTACTCGTACCGTAGTAATCGCAGTCATGCATTACAAATTTCTCTCTCAAGAAAGTCAAATCCGCATTACAAATTTCATTTCTCACGCTGAGGGAATTTGTAATGCGTTTATACGAGTACGTCGATACTTTTGCACAGGATATAATGGCGAACTTGTACCCGACCGGGAGGCTAAACCACCATTCCTGGAGTGCCGTGGCTTTTTCCTCACAAATTCTCGCTTGCAGCTCGTCGCTGCCATCCGCGTAGAGCCTCGAGTCGTAGAAGAAATCGCCACAATGCAGGAGGAGATCGATGTCTTTGTCCTGCGGAATCTCCGGAAAGTGTTCATGCGTGTCGGATACCACACAGATACGGACTTTCCCCTGCTGTTTTGGTCCCAGAAAATGCACCGACCGAAGGTGACGCGGGTAGATTGGAAGCGACTCTAGATTTTTCTGTTGACCGCCGCCATGTGCACTTTCCACATCTTGGCCTAGCGGGAGATCAGTACCTGGGAACGAGCCAACGGGTGCGGTGCTGTGCGACAGAAAGTACGTGAGCCAACTTTCAAGCTGCGCTTGCAGAAAGAGCTTTACTGAATGCTTGAAAGAAGTGTAGTTGGTGGTGAGGCCGCTAAACGAGCAATTGTTGTTCGTGGGATCGTCCTTTGTTCCGGATGCTGGTGCAGTCGCAGTGAGTGAAAAGTCGACGTAATCAACTTCCGTTCGGCACCAGGCGCCGAAAGTCAAGCGTTGCAATTTGAACCAAGCGGGTCGGATATACTCCAGATACTGATGAAGTCCGAGTTGCCGCAAACAGAATGGCTGCGATAAATCGAGAAGGCGGTTGTCGAGCCTGTGATACAATCATAGATTTTTGACCATATGGTCGAAGACCAAGTTGACACAAAACGGTGCTGCCAGCAGCATTAGTACAGCAACGGTCAATACGGTGTATGATATGACCTTTCCGTGATCTTTTTAGCAAGGAAGCTCTTTTACTTGTTCTCGAGGATGAAGAAAAAGCAAACAAACAAAGGATGTTACAGAAACGGCACGACGCTGTGACAGAGATGGTAGAACGGAAATGCAACAGGATTGTAAGGACTAAAGACGGCATAGTGCCACCAGAACTGCCACGATCGCAAGTCCGGCGCGCCCGCGGGAAAACCGACTAACCACCTCCAGAAACCATCTTCGATCGGAGACCTCATTTGTCCGCAGCAGAGCTTCGTGAGAAACAAAGAACCGATTCTTTTTTTTCATATAGCTGGCCTAGATGACCTTCTTCTTGACAACTTTAACGCTGACCTCTACATTGTGTCTGGCCCCGAATTGCTCTTTACGTCGTATTATACACATATCGATCAAAAGTGAATGTAGTGGTTGTGAAGGGATGGGATCGCGATGAAGATCGTCGCTCTGATTACAGGCGACACGAAGTACTTAGATATCAGATGCCGATGCGTGAACCGAAGATGAAAAAACAACAAACTCGATATATTGTGCAGCGTGAGCAAATGCAAAGCAATTTCAACGGCAATCATGAATTAACAAGCTGCATCAGCAATGTGAGTATCAAGTTTTTGTGACGCCATGAACATTGGGATTGGCCTTTCTTCAAGTTTCATGTGGCACAACAAAGTACTCCTCCTGGGTCTTCCACGACCTAGCTTTGTTTCTACTTTCTTATATGTCGCTGCACCTGCAGGAACACTGTCACGGTCGGTTGCTTGTGGTCTTTGTTGCCTCGAAACGTTCTTTCGCTCGTGAAATCGATGAGGCCAAAATTGTTGATCAGGAGGGGAGGGAGCTATAGAGATCATCTTCCAGTTTTTTGTTACACTTGATTTCCCATCTGCGACGTGCCACCTCCGCCCCCGCTGTCGCTGTTTCCAAAAACAGGTCGGTCATCTGCGAACTCGACGTAGCTGCTCGCGGAGCTAGATTCGAGGTGCTGTTTATACTTGTTCATTGCGAAGTAGCTTCCCGCGCCCACGAGCACTAGCATGAATGTGACCGTCCAGTAAGAGTCTGAGAACAACACATAAGCCACGGCGTCGATAAACAGTAGCGCGCAGAGAAAGTAGAGAAAATACTGTCGAAGCATCATTTTTTGCTGCAGCTGCCTCGAAGATTGGCTAAACTGGCCGGCAGTGCTGTTGAGAGTTGCGGACTTGTTGTCCAGGCCCCGCCACTATCCGGGCCAAACATGCCGGGCGTGTTTGGAAAGTTTATTAGACTTCTCATTGTACTACACCTGCTCTCGCATACTTCATCAATTCCCTGTGATGCGTGTTCCGGAACACCACCACCAGCGCTGCATCTTTATGCTGCACAGACGAGACCACTTATCATGCGGGTTATGCACTACAGAACCGATGAAAAGCTTTCCATGCGTAGCTACATGCTGTCACTGCAGTCAGGTGAAGGAGAACGTATAGTACTCCTACTCGCTCATGTGTAAGCATCACAACACTTTCCAGACACAGACATGTTTGCAATTGGTAGCAACTGGCCATCGCGGGCTACCATCTGCTGCTATCCCGAGTAAAAACGTCCGCGCCCCCCAAACAATTTGCCATGCAAATCTGTATGCCAAAGCCGAAATTGTGTATCTGCGTACACTTATTCATTGCGTCTCATCATGCGCAACTCCATGCTCGAATCACATATCTAAATCAGGATGCCAAAAATCGACCTGTGAAGCGACTGCACTAGAGACCCAACGCTGTCATGCACCTGTTTGCGTTTAAGTTTATTGAGTTTGTGTAGCAAATCTGCGATCTCAATTCTGGGGACGAGGGGACGTCGTGTTTGCGCAGGATAGCTGCATAGACTGCTTTAGTGTATCCGTCGCCGTTTGCACCTGGCCGCGAGTCTGCTCCAAAGAGACCATCCTCGAAGGACCGCTGCTGGTATTTAGATCGTCGGCGGTGCTGCCGATGCTACTTCCGCCCGGTGCCGTTGACGATGCCGACATCTTGCAATTGTACTTTTAATGTTGTAGATGTACCCAGCTGGGGTCCGTATCCTTGCAATTGTTTCTCTTTTTTTGTCTTCGTTTTTTGTTTTTCAAATCCGAAAACGAGCAGGTCTCGGTAGACGGGAACAGCCTGTGCTATATCTACCTTTACGACTTTTGCTTGCACGACCTGGTTTCCCTTGGGCCGCAAAAACTTTTTCTAACTTTGTTGTATACTATTGAGAGAAAATAAGGTTAAGGCTTCAGTGTACCATGGCGGGTAGAAATTTGCCGCTCCTTTGATGAAGCAGGGGCTGGTAATTTCTCGGGAGGAAAACAGTCACAAAATGGTCCTGGCTGAAGAACAATTCCTTTTCCTGTGCTTCATCAAACGAAAGCAGAGGGAGTCGCTCGTGTGTGTGCCCATGAGGTGGAAAACCTCCTCGGGCAAAAAATTCATTCACTTTCTAGTCATCTTCTCTTCGAAACCTTTCGTGTAAAATCAAAATAGGTCCTGCTCATCCAACTGGTGAGTGCCCTCTGTCTTCTACTCGACAATGAATCGTACAGGAATACGAATAATGCTATCCTCGGAATGATGTTGATGAGCCTCGGTGCTGAGGCTGACGAACCGACATCAGATCTTTTCAGTACAAAGCTATCAGCCTAATTGTAGTTGCGTTCATCCTCTTGCGCTTGCCTCATCTACTTACTGCACTAGGACGATTAGCAAGCTAGCAATCCTATTCATAAACCGCCTTGACCTACACGACTAGAAGACGAATTCACTCAAGTCCACGAGTCCATCTTCATCTCGCGGCATGCCTGTCGCTGCGTCGATCGGCGAACCTGTCGTGGCCTCCCCGCTCTCTACATCAAGTTGCCTCCCCGGGAGGTGACCGCCAGCACGCAGCTGTTGTAGCTTCATCATGGACCGGCTCTTTGCCCGCAAAGTTCTTGACGCGGCCAGCCACCCTGCGTAGCTGAAGGTTTTCACATACGCCGTACCCATCTGGAGGAACTTTTGGATCGCCGTTCCGCTCGCGAAGAAAGCCGCCGGGAACTGGCCGCGACGATACAGTTCCTGGCCGAGGAGGAGCCAGGGTTCCGCGAGAAAGGGATTCAGGTCGATAACCTGAAGTAGCTTGTTTTCGTAGGCTGAAGATGTTTCCGATTCGACGCCGGATGGTGCTTCATCTTTCCGAAGACGTTTAATAGCAGACAACACTTGATGTGTGTGAGGTCCCCTTGAAGATCCTCGTGTCTGCATGGCTCCTGGTGCCGCCCCTCCAAGCGAAATCCCGCCGATCGAGTGAGCATCGACCCGGCTCTCTTCGTCTTTCTCGAGCTGCAGCAGCTCCCAGAGTAGGTCACGAGCCGCTTTTTCGCGCACCTCGGTCAGGTCGATCGATAGTGTGCAATGGCCGAAAACTGGAGGTAATGCCAGATTTTGCAGCGCTCGAGCAGGAATCCCTGCTGCAATCTTCTCTCCGCGATCCAAATCGCCGTACTTGCGCAACACGTGTGCCATTCGTGCCTGCGGAAACAGGTGAATCGGGGGCTTCGACGCCCCAGGCCAACGACCTTCGGACGAATCGAACTCGCGCAACCAATCGCACCAGCCACATCGGTCGTTCGCCTGATCCAAGGTGTCCGCCATGGCAATAATGATCAGGGACACAATATCTGTTCGCCGCACGAGGTAGTACTTTTTGTATTTCTCACGCGCGGCCCTATTTCGATTTTCCTCTGCGTCCTGCTCTCCTGTATTGCGTTTCGCTTCGCTGTGGTCTACGACATCACCAGAGTCGGATTTGGAGCTTCGCAAAACGCCTCTCCATCCCTTCACGTATAGCAGTGTCGTGTCCAGAAATCCGCGGGTCCCGGAGGCGTGGACTTCTTCCAGAAGTACCTTGAAATCAATAACCGAGTACAAGAAAATCAGTCGCTCGGCTGTTTCGCCCACTATGCCGGCAACTAGTTTGCGCAACCGCAGGGAAACGGCGGAAACGCCGCTGACAGCATGGCACGCGAGTGAAGCGTCAGGGATTAGGTCTTCGGGGAAAAGATTCGATGTTTCCTTGTCGCCGGAGGGGAGAGTGCTGCCTCGTTCCGGCCTGCAAAATTTCCTTTCTTGGGCAGCGTTTGTTTCAGTGAAAAAATCGGACTCGTCGTCATTGTCAGCCGATCCCGAGGCAGAGACTTTTATCTGATCGCTCTTGTCTGCATCCTCTCCTCCGAGTAGAGAAGCCGAAGATAAGATCTTGAACTTGAACTGTCCCCCGGCTCCGTACACAGAGTGCAGCGCGCCAGCATTGCAGAGATACTGGGGCTGCTTCCACAGCTTGAGCGCTGTGTAGGTGCCCTCCAGATGTCGTCGCATCACGTCCCGGTTGTGTCCCAGTCGTAGCGCCGGGCTTTTCTGCAAAAAGTACGCTAACTTTGGGGGCAGCCTCGCGGTATTTTCCGACAAAATTTGATTCAGAACTGAATTTTGGTCGGATGTCATTGCGTCAAGGGCCGAGTCTCGGGCGAGAAATATTCGGGTCGCGGTACTAGAAGAAGATGAGGCAGCTTCATCATCCAACGTGGAGGCGGGGCCGTGATCTTCAGACGGGTTCGTGCCGGAGGATAACGGTCGAGGTCCTGCAGCTCCAGTAGGAGCAACTTTTTGTGTTTCTTTCCAGGTCTCGCTTGCGGCCCATGCCGTGAAGGCGTCGTCCGTTGTGTTTTCTTGAATTTTCCGCTCCAATGCGCTCAACCACGAGTCCGCAGTCGCAGTATTGTCGTGTGGAGGCCCCCCTGTTGGTAGTGCCACGGAATCTTCTACGTACGTTGAAACATCCTGCCGAGCGGAGGGCCCCTTCCCGCTGCCCGAGGCATCATCATCATCTTCATCATCAAATTTTTGAACTTGAAGTAGAGCTTTCAAAAAGTCCACGTCTGCTGATTCCTCACGGGCCTGCGCCAGCGCCTTCCGCAGTGGATGGTCGTGTTCAGAATGTTCTAGAAACACCCGCAATCGCTGCTTCGCCCATATTGGCTGCACCACCTCTTCGCCGGGCACCAAGTTGCTCTCCCACAAAACAACCAGAGCGTCGAGGATACGAAACGCGAAGTCCCATTTTTTCGACGACGAAGCTGACGCGGGTCCATCTTCTCTCGTACCTGCAGGTGGAGCTGGCAGTTGTGCATTTTCCAGAATTCGCTCGCGGTTTGTCGACTGGGGAATGACCGCCACGTTTTTGTAGTGAACGGAGAAGCAATGCAGGAGCTGCGAGGCAGTGACCGACAACTCTTCCGCCAACCTGCGCACCAGCGGATCTCCCAGGGGGCCCCAATAGTGGCCGAGGTCCTCATTGGCAAAAAGTTGGGAGTATCCAACGAAACTGGCTTGTAGGGAGTGCTGCGCAAACTTCAAAAAATCACGCTCGAGATCCACGTGGGTTTGCCCCGGATGGTACACCGAAAACTTGTTTTGAATCACGGACACTGGCACGATGCCGGGGAGCGCTTCTTGCTGGGCCGACGAGGCTGCTGCATTTGTACTATCCGTGTTGCGGTCACCAGAAGCTTCATTGGCACTTGTTTTGGTCCCAGTGTCCCTGCTCCTGGCGTCTCGAAACAGGTGCGTATCGCGTTTTAACATGAGCTTGCGGTTTTTGTCCAGAAATTCGAGCTCGCTAAATCCGAAATTCGAGACTCCGAGTGCGCGTACCGTCTTGTCCTCCCGAACCAGCTCCTCTAGCCCTGACCAGGCAGCCAACAGTGCGGTCGAGTCGTGAAACGGGTAGCGATGGATTAGGACCAGATCGAAATAACCCGTGTTCAAAATCTTCAACTGCTTCGTGATCTCGTACCGCACTTCGTAGAAGGTGTGAAAATTAGAAATCTTTGTCGTCAGAAACAGCTCCTCGCGCTTGACATTGCTTCTCTTTATCGCATTCCTCAAACAGCGATGATTTCCGTACGACTCCGCCGTGTCCAAATGCCGCACCCCTGTTTGCAGGGCCTGGAAGACAGCTTCTTCGCATTTCGTGCCGTTCAGACGCCATGTGCCGAACCCGATCATGGGAACTTTTTCGCTCCTGTATACTTCTTGATTCTCATGTTGATCATGGTCTTGAGCAGAAGATCCTCGCTGATTTATTTTATTGCGTTCTTCTTGTGTCGCAAATCCGCGTCCACGACCTTTTCTTGTTCCCGGCACATCATCCGTCTTCAGTGAGCTGGTCTTGGCGTCCTTGTACTCGCTGTCGAAGAGCAGAGGAAGTGCCATTTTTTGCGTCCCCTGACGCTGATCGGCACGGAGTCGAGGCAAGAGATGCTGAAAGACCAATTCTCGTAGCCCCGTCAGGACCGTTTGGTCGGTCTGCTCAAAAACGGCGGCGGTCTCTTCTCCCGCTTCGGGGTCGGGCATTTGCAGGAGGAAATCAATGTCCCGCAACAGGTCCCCGAGTGCTTCCACATTTAGTCGGATCAAAGTGAGAAGATTCAGTCCGTAGCGCGCAACCTGCAGGGCGCCCCGCAATCGGGTGAAATCTTCTCGGCAGGATAGGGTTGGTGTAACTACGACTTGTTGGGATACAACATGGGCTTCGTTGTGTCCTTCTTCTGCCGCGTCTTCAGTGCCGCGATTCGCAGAGCACACTTCCAGTGCGCGTTGTATCGCCGCCGCAGCTGCTTCACCAACGGGAAGATGGATTGTTTGTCCTCGTGTACCAGAGTGTTTGTCGTCCGGAGCAGTTGCAACTCCGGCTGCTGGTGCGGAAGCGCCGCTGCGTACGAGAACTGTAGTGGCTGTTGACGGTGACGAGCTGTTGCCTCTCCACTCGAAAAGAAGGTCGAGCAAAAGCAAGCGGAGAAACGCCTTCATCACACGAAACGCGAGAACAGAACAATGTCGGTCAGTGGTCAACATTGGTGCAATCGATCTGGTGTTGCTGCTCTCGCTGTTTCTCAAAACAAAATGACGCGTTGCAATCCAGCACCGATCGCGTAATTATGGTCTTTATGTTGTGGTATTTCTCGATGCTTTTCACTATTTACATGAGGTGACCGTCTCGTCAATGAAGCTCGAGTCAAAGAAAGGCCTGATGAGCACTGTGATCGCAAAATTCCTGATCAATATTTCTGCCAAACCTGCACAGAGCAAGAAATCGAAGATGATAGTGAGGCTGGCGCTCAATTTGTCGAACACCTAGTAGGTACATAGGCGGCGTTCTGATGAATGCCTTTTTTCGATTTTGATGAGACATTGAAAGATATCACAAATACGTATAGTGTCGTCTTCTCTACTTCGTTTCTACGATAAGTACTCAAATACCAATATTCGACAAGACATTTTAGATTTCATACGTCTGATTTCTTTACTTATACTTTGTACAACGAGCGGAAAGTAGAACTACCTGAAAAAAGAGAATCTTCGCTATCATTGTTCATTGAAAACAAAAACAAACGCGCCTCGAAAGTAAGGTGCGTCTGTGCCTGCTGTCGCTCTCGCTGCCACTTAGCACTTAGAAAATAACAGAAGTAGAAGTAAACCGCGTAGTACGACAAAGAGGTGTTCTGCTTCTCAGTAAATAACGTGTAAAGTAGCTAACTTGCTGACGCTGACGCATCTGCATCAAAACTCTGCTAGAAACCATTCATTTTTATCCTTCCAAAAGATGCCGAGAAACCACTCCCAAAAACGTAGAAAATCCTTGCGGCCAAAAAAAATTCAAATCCATTGAACCACTCGGACTCACTTTAATCAAATTCCTCAACCGAGGACCTGCTGGAAAAACGAAACCACATAGTACACATCCCTTTTGTTTGCCTCGATAATGGAATACGGCTTTGAAGCTGGTGGTGTAGGTGTAGCCCCATGGATGAACATATGAAACGGGACAAACACTTGTTACAAAAACACTAAAAAGCAATGCAATAGCAGCAAGTCCAAGTCCATGCTCTTTTCTACTTTCCACCACTACTATTTCCACCTCAGGAGCTAAACCCGCGCTGCCGGTCGAGCACACGCTGCGCGACCTCATCGTCAACATCGACCTTCAAGACAAGTCGGGTTTTCACGCCACCGGTAGCTGCTCGAACCGGCTCCGGGGAGCGGTGGACTAACCCATTGGGCTTTGTCGGGAAGTGGTGCCCCTTCATGAAGAGGATGTTCCCCACGCCAATCCGGCAAATCGGGGTTCGGTCCTGCACGACGGAGTCGTTGTTGCCGCAGTTGTTGAGTTCCCAGAAGTCCACGTGCGCGTCGTGAATGTACTCCGTGGAGCTGACGTTGTAGGTGCAGATCGCGCGGCACACGTAGTAGTCCTGGTGCCACCGGGCGCAGACGTTATCGGTCATCAGTTCGAGCTTCAGGATCAACGAGTCCGCATTGGTGACCAGTTTCGCGACCACGGCACCGATTTCCACGGCGTCGGTGCGGACCTGATTCGCGAGGTCCTCCGGGAGCCCAATGGCGCAGAGCGGGTCCAGCAGCGCGCTGGCAGCGGAGATGAGTCGGAGTTTTAGATCCTGTTCGTCGAGGTTGGCATGATTTTTCTTGTTGTGATTCGTAGTACCAATGATCATTTTCTCGTCCTTCTGCTGGTCTTGTTTCTTCTGCTCCTCGTGATCATGTTGTTGACCATCGCGGCTTTGCCTCTTCAGAGATCTGCTGTTTTTGCCATTCTTGTTCCTGACTTGCTGGTTCTGAAGATGGTCGCTTCCCGCTGTGGTTTTTTCGGGGTTCAGGATCGGAACCACTTCCATCACTCCTTCCAGTTCCCCCAGCGCCTGCAGCTGGTGTAAGCGGTCAATGGCCGCCTGCGCGTGGTCCCAATTCTGCGACCGCATCACGCCCAGTCCCTTGTACTTCTCACCCTCCTTGCCCAGCCAGTCCTCCAGTTTTTCGCACGGCAAGATCGCATCGAGACGGTAGGGCGAGCCGACGGAGGACGAGGCGGTGGGCTCGACGTAATCAACAGAAGAAGTAGATGCAGCAGTGTTGGTTGTGCCGTGCTTGACTGACGAATCGCGGGTCGAGGCTGGCGAGGTGCGCTCGTCCATTCTTTGCTTCTTGGACCCAAAAACCGCTTGCAGTTCATTGTCGTCGAGCCGCCGGCCAACCACGTCCAGGACGTTCGAAGAATTAGTTGTGCTCCGTCGGGGCGTCATGATGTTGCTTTGCGATGCAGATTAAGGTGGAGTAGATGGCGACCACGTACTAGGGGAAACAGCACAAGGCGATCTGTTCAAGCTACGGCTCGGCGTGCATGAAGACGAACAACTACAACAAGGTCTGGAGAAGATGTAGTTTCTGGGAAAGACCTCCTTTAAAAGCAAGACTCTACAACTTCTCTCCACAACCACAACCACACCTACTAGATCAACCTTCCGCGACGGTTGATTGAATTCAGAATCAAATCACAACTTGTCAACTTGACCGCGTCGCTCTAATGACTTGCCTTGCTAAAAGGAAACTTTCTGATCTGTCTTCGTGTTGTGAATGGTCGCATGATTTTGTTGAGATATTCGACATATTCAAAAAAATACAAGTAGATGTGGAAGTACGTACTCAGTAAGTAGCTAAAGTTCATTTTGCGGCCATTTCCGACCATTTCCATTTCGTGGCCGCCTCGGAAGATAGAAAAATAGCCACTCCTTCATTTTCATCATTATCGGGGATGTACTAGTAGATTGGGATGTACTAGTAGATTTGCATCTGTGTGTATCACTTCGTTGCTCCTTCACGATAAAAAGCATTTCTTGGCATGAACCGCTCTCCATCACCAGATTTCTTTTCCTCTTTTCTGTTGTTGATCCACAGTCGTATGTAAATTAATACAAAAAATGATACGGAACCTCCGCGAACGCCGCTCATGCACAAGCACGGATAGTACCTCCACTATCAGTGCGGAATTTTCTTTTGATTGCTGAATCACATACATTTAGTGCAACGCCAATAGAAGCAGGGTTTTTATTTCTTTCGTCGCCTCTACTTCGGGTGTATGACCCGGAGTTGCTACTACTTTCAGCATTACCGCTCCAAATCCAAGGGACATTTCTTTGTTCGATATGAGGATGCTGTCGACGTGGGAATAAGAACGCAGGCAATTGAAAATTTGTAAATGGAATTCTACCTCTACGTCGAGCAAAAAGCATCCTAATCTCTGATGTAACAGTTGCACCAATCATCTACTACGAATGACACAGTCTGTTACTGTTTTCCTAATTTTTTGTTTTCATTATACAAATTTCCTCGAATGCAACATCAAATTGAAATTGTACATTGAAAATAAAACCTAAACCTCGATGTCCTGCAGAGTGATCACGCCTCAAAAGGCGACTATGAAGTGTGACTCTTCTCCTGGTGGCACTGTGTACTCGACTTCCCGCCCGTCCGGGAGCGTTATTCGCCCCTTGTCCCCTGGTTTCATGTCTGGCTCGCGCTTCACTGAGATACGCTTTACCCGCCTCTGGGCAACAGCCCGCTTGTCTTTGGAAATCTGTTTTTGGTTGATGTGTGGAAATTTTTATGTTTGTGACTTTTTTGCTCAAAAATGCACTCGTTTGCTCGCTTTCTCATCCTTGGGACAGAGAGGACACGAGAGTGAAAAACAATTACGCGTATAGTGCGTCTCACGACCACGAAGTGAGAAAAATTGAATCCTCGGCTTGGCGCCCTTGCTTAGCTATAGTAAAAAAGAGATGGTTGCAAGTACCGGCCTTTCCAAGTATGGTTGATCTCCGTTCCACTGCATTTCCCAGAAGGTGGGGAACGCCTCCGGCGCTGGTTCCTTCTCGCCATCCTTTCCCGCCATTACGTTCCGGATTGATGCGCTCACACAGTTGTTGGTAGCATGATTTACCTGACAAGTAGTTGTCGTGCCGTGGTAACGTAAGACTGAAAAAAGAAAATGAGTCTCGCAATCAGGTCGTGGGGCAGGAGGATTTCATTTTCGAAGTTTTTGAAAAAAGTATATTGTCGGCGAAAAACAAAAAACATTTTGGTTGGCCTGCTCTATAGGAATTCCGGAGGTAGCGTTGGTTTTTGTTGAGCAGAAGGAGGAGTAGCAACCAGTACGCATAACCTTCCAGCAGGTATTAGTACGATACCTCAAAGACAATCACTTTTCCCTTCTGGAAGAGCGAAACCATGGAACTTGGCGGGACGCTTTCCGGATCGAGCGGATCGCCTTCTATGTCCTGGATTTCCACGTAGATGCCATCCGACTCGAGCGTGTACTCGCCTTTGAAACCAAAGTTCTTCCCCTGTACCTGACAGTAAATCTTGCCCGGGACGCCAAAGATGTTGGTCGTGATGTAACTCATGGTGAAGCACTGCCGGTTGTTACTCCCGCAAAACCGGAACACCACGGGTTCGCCAATACTGTCATCTTTGACGACCCAGATCCCATACAGGTACTCCAGATTGCCCACGACCTCATTGATGTTTCCCATCTTGATGCTGCTGAGTCAACGAGAACGAGGACAGCGACAGCTCTCTTTGTATATTTCTAGTGCATGTTGATCATGCGCGGAGCCTTGCGCTACACGTAGTACACTTAAAGAAGGAGGCTTGTACTCCTTGCTTTCCAAAAGAGTTCTTTTGCTTCCGGTTTCACGGGCTCCCGATGTATACGTTGCAGTTTTAGGTGGTCCTTTATTGATAGATCTTGACACAATCACATAGCGATGACGCGAACTAGCAGTAGCAACCCACGACCTCGATTTGAATTATACCACGAACGACTTCAACAATGTGGATTACGATACGAAGACGAGGAGTGAGGATGCAATGATGAAAGTGTGGAGGAGCTGTGCTGCGAGCGTTTCACCACAGACACAGTGAGGAGCTGCTCCTGCTCCACAGATGATCTAATAAGACGATGCGGACAAACATTGCATGAATATGACGAAGATCATGACGATTGGCACGGGAGATATCCCCTCCTCCACAGACATTTCACGACCATCTTTATCGATCAATGCATTTTCTACATGATTCTTGTTTTTTTATTCACGCGACCTCTACCAAGAAGAGAACGCCCCTTCAACGAACTGCTAATCTTTATGAGACGAACGCAGAACATCTTCAGCATATCCTAAAGTTCATATTGATATTGTATTTCAATACCACAACTCGACGACCCAAAAACGGTTCTTCTTCTTTTATCATGTGCACAGCACAACCACTCTCACTCACGCGATGGAGTGTATGAAGCGTTGTCTCAGTTTGCTCAGGGAGGTACATTTCAAATCAACAGGAGTTCTTGCGTGGTCGGCTTTTGCGTTTTCGTTTATTCGCCTACAAATCAATCCTCGCAAGGACATCAAAAATTGTCAAATATTTAATCGTAAACAGCGACATCAATACAGGATTCATTTGAGAAGTTCATCGGGCAGTAGGAAGCGAATTCAGGGCGTTCTTACCTTGTGGTTGTACAGGTGATCTTCACAGTGTCAAAGTTGGTATTGTAGTTGGAAGCGTACGAGGGCGTCGTTAGCTACTTACAACTGGGCGGACGAAGGGAGCGGGACCGGATAAAACAAACGAAGTGCTGGATCAAGATGAACGCTGCAGAACGTGGTACAAAATTCCGCGCTGCTGGTGTAGTGGCTGTCGAGCAATCCTATTTCTGGAACTTCAAGAGTGGGTGTTGGAATTTCAGAAATAGATGTGGTGGAGGCGCCGGTCGAAAACGATGCACGACACTAACACTAATCGGAGGACGTCCTGTCGTGTTCGTTCAAGCACAACAAAAAGTTTGTTTATTCCTATCGAGCAGCCGCATTTTTAGCGTTACATTCCCAGCTTCGCTTTTAGCGCCCTGTTTTCCGTTTCCAACTCGGCTATTCTTGCGTGCGCCTGCGCCAGCTCCTCCTTGTACTCCCGTATTCCCTTGGGTTTTGCAGCGGCGCTCCCGTTGGACGCAGACGCGAATACGCCGCTGCCGTCCGTGCGGCTCTCGCGGTTCATGCTCATGCGCGTCCGCGGCTTCTTCGCGCCGCCCTCCCACTCGTCGGCAGTGAGCGAGGCGATGGGCGCGAGGGTGTCGGGGTACAGGTCCGACTGGAAGGCCTCCGATTTTCGCGGCACGACGAAGGAGATATAACAGTGCACAACTCCCCCTCGCCCTCATTTGTCATGCAAATTACCCAATCCACGTCCACCCTTTTTCTCTTGGCACTGTTTGCATGACAAGTTTTGGTACCCCAAATAGCACTACACTCCAGTGCAAATTTGTTAAGCAAAACCGGCACTGTTGCTGATGCTTGTATTGCTGTTCATGCTATACAAATGAGGGGGGGGGAGTTGTGCACTGTCATAGGAGATCGCCTGCACCGCCCCGGACTCGCATTTCACCCCGCGCATGATCTCCTTCTTCGCGGTGTCCACGGCGTACTTGGGGAGGAAATCGAACCCCTTCTGGGGCGTGGTGGACCGGTAGTCGGACACGTAGTGGAAAAAGGGCGCCTCCTCCACCATTTCGAAGTACTTCACGTTGCCGTCGCCCTTGCCTGCCAGGTACAGCATCCGCGTGTCCGCGTCGTAGAAGGGGAAAAGCGCGCCCGTTCCCTGATCCAGGGGCAGGAGGTGCAGGGGCTCCGACCCGGCGGGCTCCGCGGTGAAGTTGCGCAAGTCCCACACGCAAACCTGCCTCTCCGCCATACTGCTGAAACCGGTCGTAAGTACTCGGTCTGTTTATTTGATTTTGTTGTAGGTCGAAGATGATGAACAATTTGCGCTCATGCAAACGAATTTTTGTACTTCTACTTTTAAAATAGCGATTGCGATGCAACTGCGGAGCTATGTAAAAGAAGCCTAGAACGACGATCGCAGCGACCAGGAAAGCGAAACCACATAGACATGTCGTAACAGAAGTGGCTAGCTCGCGAAATTGCCAAAATTGATGGAACAGACTCCAGATGAGTTTTCTTTTCTATCTAGTATGAAGATCTGAAAAATCATAAAAAAGAATGTTTTCTGCTCCTTCCTACTCACCTGTTCGATGGTTATGTCCGTCCAGCCAGAGTGTTTTCATGCTCTTGACTCCTTCGTGCGCCCGTGTGAGTGCCACCACCCCTTTCTTCACCCTCGGATCGATTATGTGGACGAATTTGTCCTTGCAGCAAACCGTCAGGAGGTCGCCATCGTGATTCCACCTGATGTGCTGTAGTAGGTCCGTAAAGGGCACCTCAAGCACGGCGTCTTGGGTCTCCGTGTTCAATATTCTTACGACATGGTCGTAAGCGCCCGTGGCTACTATCCCGTTGGCGGCCGGATTGTGGTGCAGAAGACTTACCTGTGCTTTTGGTGTTGCTTGTGGCACTCGAAGTTTGCTGGCTTTGTGGACGTGCTTGTCCCCATTAGCCTCTCTGATTCAGCAGCACGTCTAGCATATCGTGGTCGAGACGATACAAAAAGATCACACAGAAACCTTACTGGACGTAAGGGCGCGGACAAAAAAGAAAATCATGCTTTCTCTTTCATTTCATTATCGACATGTACCTTCTTTGGGTGTGGTATTTCGCACACACTTTGCTTCAAGTTTTCCTTTAGGCCTCCGTCTGGAATTTGGAATATCCTAAAGTGACAGTCTTCACTGACAGACGCGATCATGTTTTCGTCGAAGGGATTGAACTCGAAATCGAGTACCTATGGAAGGTGTGCTTTTTCTGACCATCAAGAACTGAGTACTTTTCCTAACGAAGTGAATGCGATGAAGTAGTGCTGCAGCCAAGTAAGTTAAAACAGTTGCTGCAAGAACCATGGCCGACTTATGATGTTATGGAATAAATAAACAAGTAAAAATCCTGCTTCTTCTTCTAGGCGTGGAGAAAAAAAGTTGCACGTACCCCGCCCTGGTGTCCGGAAATGACCGGTATGCTTGGTGGCATTCTCCCTTGTTGTTTCCAGTCGAGTAGACATATGTTGCCTCCGCCGCCGGTACCCCATGGTATGGCGACAAACTGGCTGTTTGCCTTCACGCCGGAGGACTCCGATACCTTTGTCGCCGGCCTCAAATCTTCCCATTTTGCCTTCCAGGGGTCGCCCCACACGTGGCGAAAGCTACTCTGCCGGACGATGTTTGCCATCTTGTTAGTGCTGGACGAACTACGTTCGTTGGGTTGAAACATTCAAATCTTCATCAACCGAGGCGGATGCCATGTCCATGAGAAAATATCTTGCGTTCTTCTTCTTCTTGTTGAGGCCCTTCACGGCCGAGGATGGCCAACAGTACTAAGCTAGCATATCGATGACGACACACATTGATGTTGCAGATTGGCCGGCGAGGACCGTCAGCTTTTCTACGCTGTGCCACTTCTTCCGACGGAGCTGCATTTAGCTTTGATACCTTTAGCCACACTCAGACCTCTGCTGTGTGAAGAAGATGTCCATCAAGGCATCAAAAGGTTTTTGAGTTGCTTTCCACACACAGAGGTCAAATTTCATCAACATCTAGTGCTTTCCCGTGATAAAACGAACACTAAAACGCATTGCATGGAAAAGGACATAAAATTTGCTTAGTAAACACAAATGAGGCGCCGCGAGGAGTTGCAGCCACATCTATATCTACATCATCTGGCTGTCAGAACATACTGCAGGTATCAAGTTGTAACGCACCTACCACGCGAGGTATGGTATTTTTTCTTTCGTATTGCCTCGTCCAACGACGAGGACCTGGTACTAAAGATGAGCTGCAACTAAACTAGAGTCCTCGCGCTCCGTAGAAAATATCTCGGAATAAGTGGGCAATATCAACATGAACTTGAACACAAGAGGCGATTGCTCGTCGCTGGTCCTGATGCGCTTGCAGGTGGTGGGTAATTTCATCGCTTTGTTAATCTCCTGTCATCCTGCTCGTCGTCATGCTACTAGGAAATAAGTGAAATTTTCCTGTTGTGCTCGATCATCATCTGGACGATTCCATGGTTTTTTCGATTCGGCGGGATGGTACCACAACATGATCATGATGCGTATTATTGGCGGAACTAGTTGTGCGATTTCTTGCGATGAGCTCGGATCAAGTTGGTAAAAACTGAATGAGGATTTTGCTATGCTAAATTTCCAGCTTTCTATGCAAGTTTTTTGTTTCGGGTTCGGCATGAAGATTATTCATACTCCCATTCGACATGTAGAGGCTGCGCACTCCAACACCACGGAGAAAAACGGTTCGCGAGCGGTGACAGAAGCTGAATGCCTTTCGTTGTCGCGCGGCAACGTGTTCCACCAGTCCCGGCTCCTGCACACAATTCTTGATATTCCTGACCCTGGTCCGCATTGTTGTCGTTCCCTTGCTTTTCGAAGTGCTGGACCCACACTTCGCAGGCAAACGTCTGCAGCAGGTGGTTGGCCTGCTCTGTAGCTGGTACTCGCAGCGGATTATTGTCGAGCAGTGCGTCCGTGGAGTAGAATTCAGGATTCTCTTCATCATCCGGCCCCTTCCAGAAGGGGTTCCGCGTGCGAGACAGTGCCATCCTCGTGGGGCTGCGTTCCTCGAAAAGTTCCGCAAGCACCCGGCGCACGCGCCAGTTTTTAGCAGGTGAAAGAGCTGCCAGGTATGCGAAGCAAAAGTATCAGTATCTACATCTTTTTCGTGCGCTTGCAGCTGCGCGGGGACTAGAAACGAACTTGATGAGTTTTTTCTATGCACGTGAAACGCAATCACTCTTCAGGTGTACTAAATGCTTGCACCTTGTTAGGTCATCATGATCATCATGTCGGCCGTGGACCACGACACAAGGTGAAGCTGCAAAGCTGTATGAGAAGTGGCCGCAAGTGACACGCTTGCGGTTGCGATACTTTTGTGCACGCCCTAGCATGTTGTCTTCATCTGCCGTCAGGCCTCCTGCAGCGGTGCCGGTAGATTGGCTGTCAAGTAGCCCAGGGTCTCTTGCGGCAGGGGCAGGAGAGCCGGAGTTGCTGCTCTTGTCGAGGTCCCCACCCGCGAGCGCGCAAACGTGTTGCGAAAAGGCCGGCGCACCGCAGTAGTCGGGTTCAAGTGCGAAGTCAAGAAGTTTACTACCCACCGTCTCATAGCTCCAGAGCCATCTACTGCACCCGTAGTGTCGCGTTCTGGACGAGGTGGCTGCCTTCGCGCATCTTTTAGTGTGGCTCGAACTCGATTCATGATCTTCATCAACTGTTTTGCTCGGGGTCGCAGCTGGTCGTGGTCCTCGTCGCGAAGATGACATAGGCGTAGTGCTACAAGAACTCACTCGCCTGGCCAGAGCGTGGAACGCTTTCAAGTTCATGTTGCAATTGTCCAGCTCGACCCCCCACGAGATGCTCGCAGGTCGGAGCGCTGCAATTTCGTCTACTAGCGCCCTTTGGCCGCCGGCTGAATCGTCCGCCTCCCACTCCGCGCTGATCGAGACTCTCTGGTGTCTCAGTTCGATGGTGAGCTTTCGTGCCAACAAGAGCTCGCGGACCTCCGCTAACTTCCGCATCGTCCGGGCGAGGAATAGCTGTACCACATCGCCGCTGTTGTGCGTATAACCCGGCGCGAGTCCGTCGTGCTCCGAGACGTGGATATCCAACTGCTCGAGATACTCCTCCAGTGACATGCACGCCAACGCGTGCAGCTCCCCTGGAAGGCAGGGGCAGACCTCTCCGGGTAGGAGTTGGTCGGGGTCAATGCAGTTGTGCCACATCGTAACGTTGCCGACGTCGGTACTGAAGTCTTCGGGTGGGAGAGCTTCCGTTTCGGTTTTGCCAAGCTGGATTTTTCTCTTATTGCGCTTACTCTTATTCATTTTCCGATTACTTGTTGTTTGCACCCGATTTTGATTTTCTCTGCTATTTCTCTGTTTTACAGGGAGCGCGGGGCAGAAGTCAGAAGTTGCTGCGGAACGTGCACCCGCAGAAGCTGCTAGAGGGCTATTATGTGCGCTAGCGTAGTCTGCATTTCCCGGCGCCTCAGCGTCTGCTTTTTCAGCTTCGTCCCCTGAGTGAAAGATGCTGTCATTTTGATTTTCTCTACTTGCAGCTTTCAAAGATGGTGCGGTAGCTCGTCCCCCCGCCTGCTGGCCCGGCTTCTCTACTGATGAAGTTACTACATTCGAACGCGAACACGCAGGCCCAGCTGGAATTAGCTTCCCGGTGAAAAGATACTCTATAAGCGCCACCCGATCAACCTTCAGACTGAAGCAGCAGACGGGCTCGAAGTTTCGCCACGAGGTAACATCTACTCCGGGTTTCGGTATCCACTTTGGATCCTTCATCTTGAGGGCGTGTTTATCATGCAAGTATCCTGTTCGAAAGCCACCGCATTTCTTGGCCCATAACAAAAAGTTACTCGTCGCACAGATACTAGCAATACCGCATCATTCAACAGCTCAATGCGATATTAGCACTTATTAATGGCACTTACATATTTATTTTTATACATGATTGAAAGGAGCCGAAGTTCCTTTTTGTTTTTCCTCATCTTTTGCTTTTCCCATTTTGTTTGCAAAGAAAATACGTACCATGAATGCGCTGAAGGAGAAGCGCGACCAGATGTTGCTTCTGGGGGAAGCCCTCCTGCATGAGGCCATGTCGTCTCTGGATATACATACAGCCGGCAGGCTGCTTATAGAAATCGATTTCTTATTTTGGTTACTTCTCGCGATGCCAATATGCGGTGCTTTTATTCTATTTGTATTTGATAAGCGCTCGACAACAGCGGTGACAGTAAGTGGCAGCTCAGAATCGTCGCCAGGATTTATCTCGCACGTGGGAATTGTAGCTGATGTCCCGCTCTTTTTGATTTCGTCTGCCTCTGCCCAGGCACCGGCGACGTGAGCCCAGATTTTCAGATACTTCGCCTCTAGCTTGCTGTCGCCGAGTTGCAGTGGGGAGAGCGTTTTTGCCGACTCTGCTGCCCTTTCTAGCACGTTAACGCACGAGGCAAAAAAGTTGCGAAGGCAAGAACGAGTATGAAAGAGAAAGCTGCAATATCAATGTCAGCGCCACCCGTCAACGATGCTGATTTGCGCCAATACACATCACACAAACAAGCGGAGCACGAACAATGCAACAAATGGCCAAACGCAAGCGGATGTTACTTTTAGACATAGGCATATACCACTTCTCTCTGCAACAGTTCGTTGTGCGTTTTGCTCACAATATCATCCACATCTTATCAGCTGCAAATTATGCGCCAAAGTCTTGGAGGGCGCATGCTCGCTGACATTGCACCAGCTATAGCGGCCCATATCGAGTCCAGATTGAAGAATACCAGACTTGCACAACGTCCTCTAGTGGGGTGTTTTCTTGCCCGAGCATATCGGCGATTACGTTGAATTTTGCCACTGTGTATGCTTGCGAACAGAAACCGACGAAGGTCGTGCTCGTTCTTTCGCTAGACGATGAGTGCTGCTCTTTTTGTTCCACCTGGGGCGTCTGCGAAGATTGCGAAGGAGTCATACCGTTGGGCCCACGATATTCACTTGATGAGTTTGCCTGCTGTGCAGTGTGGTTTTTGGTGCGTTGTTTGTTCGCGGACAGTCTCTGTTTGTCACAGCCTCCCGTCGAAGACAACGTGGTAGCTGCGCCATTGTTCTTATCGGTCTTTCCGTCGGATGAGCCTTGCGAACCGATCGGGGCAGCTTGTTGCGCGTGTTTTTTCTCTAGTGGAGGAACAGGTGAAACCCACTGCGCGTTCAGAAGCTCTCGAAAGTCCAAAAAATCGAGCTGGACGTGGGTGGACCCTTCCGTTATTGTCACGTCAGTTGGCGGACCCCAAGAATCGAAGGGGTGGATTGTTATTTCTTGTCGGATCTTCTTCGCTGATGCGCACACACCATCTTCGCTGGTGCTCGTCGGGCTGGACATTTTTTCCTCCACAGGGGCGTTGCGGTTTGTCATCTTATTGGCCTCATCTTCCCCCCCGCAGCGTCTTGTTTATGAGAGAGCACAACTCGTCCCCTGCCCCCCTTGTTCATTTGGATATGCAAAACACCAAACCCACTTTTTGTGTATCAATGGCGCGTTCTAGTTCTTGAAGCACTGAGTGCGTGACAAATTTTGATGAAACCTCGTCAAAGGGAAGTGCAGATTTTGATCTGGTATGCGGAGGCAAAATTATTTCTGCCGTTGCTTATGCTTGCGTTACTGCGCAACTACATGCCCTTCAAATGAGAGGGAAGTGGGGTCGTTGTGCACTCTCATATTGTTCGCAAATCCAATACAAAAGCGTGTGTGCGAAATTCATGTTGATGGTCGTCTCGAAATGTCCTCGGGCTGGACACTTCGCGGTGAGCAGGGACAGTGGAGGAAGCGGTGTCCTTGTCCTGGTGTACGACGTCCCTCACCGTCGGCGTCTTCGTTCCTCTGACGCTTTTCCTTTGCGCATCGCAACAAGAACCGGAAATAGCTTTTTTCTCAAAGGTGGGCCCAATTGTGAAAGGCTTACGTCGCTTAGTTCCATCTTGAGATGAACCGGCTGTAGCTGTATGCCAAGAAGAACGGTGGACCACGACGTCGTCGAGACTGCTGCTCTGATTTGAGTCAGGATCAGGTGTCTGCTGGGCTGGTGACTTTGAGTGCGTGGAAATCACGCTTCTTGTCGAGGACGGATCGTCCTGCTGTTCGTTTTCGTTCTGCTTCATCTTCTTGAAAGCACCACCGCTCTCCTCGATCCACGTCAGTTTTTTTGCATCAGTTTCCGCGGCCAAAAGACCCCGACTTTCCATTTCCTCGCGCAGTATCCGATGGGCCTCCCCTAGCTGCGCGTCCGTTGCATCTAGACTGGGGTCGAATGTCTTTTCGCCTCTTTTCAGCATCTCCCGCTTCCGTTCTTGCAACTGTGTTTTCCGTTCCAGTACATCGATCATCACGCTGCTTAAAATTTTATCGTCGGTGCAGCTCTTTACGGCTCGCTTCAATTGCGCTGTGCTGTCGTAAGAAATCTGGAATAAGTCCTCCAGCTGCCTTCGCGCATGTTCCCCATACGCCGCTAGGGCAATCTTTCGGGTATCTATCGAGTCAGGCTTTACCCTCAGAGCGAGGTCAATGGCGAGCGACATGGGTCGCGCCTGCGCGGACATGCATGCATGGCGCAGAATCTTGGTCGCAAGGTCGCGCTCAACGCCGAAATAAACCCACTTGCTATCGGGATCGACACCCTCATTCGCTTTGGCTCTTTGGATGTGCTTGAGATCGTAAATCGTCGGACAATCTCTTGGCATCCGCCAACCTGGACCTGCGGAAGTAAAGCACGTATGGTTGCGGGCATACTCCTGAAGCCAGTCACAGCTGTCGCTTAGCGCGCACAACGCCTTTGTGTATGAAGTCGCCGTAAAACCCAATGTGGCTGCGAGATTGAGATGACCGACAGATGTACCAATCATCATCGTATCGAAATCATCCATAAGAATCTTGATGATTTTGCTAATCGTCTGCATCTGCCTCTCAAGAATCTGCTTCCTGAGGTCCGTTCTCTCTTGTCGGAGCTTGTAGTTCTGCAGCCGCAACGTAAACATCTCTTCTCGGTGCTGTTTCATCTGCAGGCGCATTTTTTTCTCCGCGCGTCGCCCGGGGCGCTGCGGCGTATTTGGGAAATCATTCAGATCATCATCTACATCTTTCTCCTGCTCCTCGATATCGTCTAGACTGGTTTCTTCAGTCTGGGCCGAGGTTGACGCCGGTGTAATTAATCCTTTCGAACAAGCACCGGATTGTAGATCCGTGTTCTTCTGAGCAGCGGGAACGAGGAGTCCGCTGTGCTTGCACTCTAGCTCCTGCTGTTTGTTCCTTTTCTTTGCAGCACTTTCGTCAAACGTGGCACGGACCAGTTGAGCGTCTTCGTTGGCTCGCCGTCCTTCTTGGTCCTGAGCCGCGCCACCAGCTGCAGCACCGCATGCGCCAAGTTCATCTTCGCGCTGATGCGCATAACCTCCTAGGCGGAACAGAATACGCACCGCTTCTCTGGTCTCCTGCTTCAGGGGCGACGGGGCGGGCACTGACGGTTGTGCGTTTGGGTCTGTACAAACCTCATCAAGTAGCGTTGTAGTCGGGGAGGCGGACGAAGTGGACGGCTTTGTGCATTTGTTGGCACCAGGATCATCTCCTGCTGCGCAGAAGATTTCAGTAAAGTATTCTCTCAGCGGGTATCGGCTTGGGCTTGTTCGTCCTGTAGTGGCTGGTAGCGACGCGACCGACGGCGAGCCGAGGTTTCCACTGCCTCCCTGCTGTTGAGGATTCCCTTCTCCTTGTTCCGCCTGTTCTTCTTCGTCGATATTCAACGAGCCCTGATCTCCTGGTAAGGCGTGTCCGTCGGCAAGCCTACGGATGTGCTTCTGAAAACGCACGATGAAGCCGGCCGCCGACATGTTGTCCAGTATGCTTCTGTCCGAGTCTGAATTGACATAATTGTAGCCCATTTTTGCCTGTATCTCGTCCTGTTGTAGCAACAGTGCGAAAAACACAAGCTGCTCGCGCCAGGCTTCAACGACATTCGGGTCAAGCAACGCAGACACACAGCTCTGTAGCAAGCCGACGTGCATGAGTTTGAGGCCGTCTGCCCTCGCATAGAACGTGGGAGCCTGCGCGCAATTGGCTCCTCGTAGTTCGCCTTCGCGGTCTTGCTGTATTCCTTCGGCAAAACTGTTGTAAAGTAAGTCAGGCGTCGCGAGGATGTAGCCGGACTCTTCGCAAAGTACATGCGCGCACTGGCGCCTGGTTTCGTCGTAGTGGCAAGTTTGGAATAGGGCGCGCTGGAAAAGTGGCTTCGCTGCAGCGTAATCTTGGTGGAGAAGACGAGATCGGGCCTGTTCCAGTGCCACTTTGTGCAGATCATGCTGCTCAACATCAACTACATGGTAATGAGCTTGCTCCTTCTCGTCCTTTGTAGAGCTGTTCGCTTTACTTTTATCTTCACATCCTCGCGAGGCAGGTCCTCGCGAGGCAGCTCCACCCGAACCACTAAAACTGCTGGACTGCTCTTCGTTTCCTAAAGACATCACGCCTGACAACAGCAGGACTGCCGCGAACCCGAATGACCCGGTTGCCCTCATCCCTTTTTCTGTCACGTCTGCGGCAAAGTTTTCGAACCACTTCAGTGTGCCGGTTCCGCGATCCCATCTCTTTCTTGTCGCTTCTTCCTGGAGTTTCTTTTCCTTTTTTCTTGTTTCCACATTATCCCGTGGCGAGTGAAGTCTTCCACCCGCGGGGGCGTCCCGCTCCCGACGGAGAATTCCATTAGCTGCACTGCTCTCCACGCCCGCTTCGTCGCTGGAGACACGGCAATAACCGTACAGTGCTGAGTCCAAGATAACTCCCGCTGCTGCTCCTGCGTACCGCGTCTTCCGAAAGGCGACCGCGGCCCATATGAGCTCTTTACCGATCAAATACACAATCGCATCTGGCACAGCCTCGTTCATCGCCCGCAACGCATCACCGAGAATTCGCCAAGCGCGAATATTGTCGTAATCCAAAACCGCAGCCTGTAGACATGCGCGGATATCCACAGAAAAAAACCCACTCCCATCCATTTTTTGCATGACAGACACAGGACAGGAGTTCATGCAAGCTTTGCATGACATTGACAAATTGGATGGGGATGAGCCTTTTTTTGTGGATAGCGGATGGCGTCCGGGTATAGATTGAGCTTGTAAAGACACAGCCCGTAACTCGCAAGCAACCCCGAGTACTCCTGCCGATATTCGACGGCTTCAAGCGCACGGCGACAGCAGGCGAAACGCACCTGGCAGAGTGCAACGAGTTCATGCGGAGTGAGGATAGAAAATGGATGTGATGAGGATGGTGCGACCGCACCAGTGCAGACGCCATCAGGATCATCGGCCTCTCGTCTCATGTTCGGTTCTTCATCCACGGGTCTCGATGAATGGCGTCTCACCTCCTCTGTAATTGTCGACCCGATTCTCAGCCACTGTAATGCCGTCTTTGGGTATTCCCAATCCAATATCGTGGCGTCGACCGAGGAGCCGCGCACCTCGATTTTGAAAGGGACACAGGCTGTCGTGAGATTTTCTTTCTCCTTCATCTTATTTCCTGGTGCAGCTGTCTGTTTTTTTCCTTTCGCCACCGGCGCAGTGCTTCTTCTTGAAGATGCAGCTCCAGGAGCTTCTACTTCGGCGCCACCGATCATTGATGAATCGTTGGTGCTGGTCGTAGGTGTCGCATCTTGTGGCACTAATATCGGATCCAGAATTCGCAAGCCCTGGCCAACGACGTAGTTTAGCTTTGTCTTTTCTGCTTCTTCTTCCTCCTCATGACATCGTGCCCAGTGTTGGCGTTGCAGCGCCGCTCGCTTTCGGTGCTTTTTTCCTCCTAATTCTCTTTCCTGCGCCTCCGGCTTTTCCTTTTTTCTTGTCATTTCGATCTCTCGTAGCCCGTCTGTGGCACAACAAGCCTTCTGTTCATCGTGCGATTGCGTCTCGTTGCTTTTCGAAAGAGCATCCGTATTCTCTCGTCCACGCCTAGACGACGGTGTGTGGAAAGCCTGTTCATCTTCACAAGAGTCGCACTCTCGGCGTGCGGAAGTGGCAGTGTTCACAGTGGCCTCCGGCGGCTTTGGAGTGGCTGGCGTTTTTGCAGCTAGCTCAAGAGTGATCCCACTTGAGGCAGGAGCACCACTGCCCAGCGATGGGAATAGCCTGCTCGTCTGGCGTTGGTCCTGGGACTCGGCCTGGTACGACGTTTGTAGTAAAAGAACAGGAATGCACTCACCACACAGGCTTTCGAAAATGAACGACGGACCGGAGCTGTTTTTGGGCCCCAATTCCTTTACTCGTCCAAGGAGCTGGTACAGCGTTCGAGGCGGTTCTGGTCTCTGGTGTGCCTGACCACTTGTGTTTTCAGCTTTATCTTTGAGACGTTGATGACCACGGTGGAAAAGCTCGCGCTCGCCGCTTTGCGTCGTCGCTTCAATTAAATCTTGAATCCGTAGCGTGAGAAAAAAATCACCATTGTCGCGGTGTTCGTGTTCCGTAGGGCTAGAGGGTGGCTGCGGCTGTGCAGGCTGAGCGGTGGAGATACCACACTCATTCTCTTGCTTGCTACTAGCGCGCTCGTCAGAATTCAATTTCGACGCACCGTCTTGGAACTCCTGCATCTCCGCTTCCTTCTTCATTGTTTATTCTACATCTTGTTCGACTTCAAGCTAAGCACACATCATACATGAAAGAAAGCGTCAAAAAACGCCGCGTAGATACAACTGGTTTATTTTCATATTTCGATACCGAGAATACGAAAGCACTTTATTCGTGTAGAACCTAATACAAGGAAAAAACTAGAAGAGGACCGGACCACCAAACCAGAGAAGTGGAGAATCAAAAATGGTCAACTACTGTAGACCTAAAGAACTTTGACACGTTTGTATTCTCGGCCTGTAGCAGCTGTACCTTAACATGACGAATAAAATGGTAACTGGAACTAATGGCTTCGCTATCCGAGTTGACGTTGAGTACAACTACAAGTATATGCTTGAAGATGATGATGTTGAAGTTGAAACAAATCCTCGACATCGAAGCACCTTTACTGTCGCGATTCAGAAGATCTACCTCATCCTCATCTACTTGCACTTTGCTAGGCTGATCACGATAATCGTCTTTGCTTTTCGCCTTGACTTGCGCCGGTTGCGCAAGTACCTCGTCCTGGCTGAGTAATAAAATATGCAAAGTGGTGCAAGAAGTATTTGATCTTCAGTTATCAGCTGGATCATGATGGTATTCTGCGTCTGCGCTTCGATCAGCTGATCGCTGCTCCTGTCCTCATCAAGTTGAGTTTCGTGTGTGTTCTTCCTTGTGTTTCCAACATCTGCTGCGGAGCATACTTACTACCACACACACAGAAGAAAGCCAGCGATGAGAGGACAGAAAAGTAGAGATCAATAGCTTGTTTTCTTCAGTAGATCCAGAACAACGACCGATAGTGTCGTCACGATGACTGATCATAACATCTTGTCACCAACCACTGCACCGATGCTGATTCACTGCAACGCGGAACAAGAAAGCAAGCCGCAAAATCATGAGAGTGACAGGCTTCGAACTACGAAGAGCTATGGACAAAGTAGACAGCGAACATCAAGCCTCCGTATCAATATGTCCCTGAAACAAAGAACAAAAAGTAGTAATCTCACCGAGTACAGCGGACAACTCAGAGATGAGGCTACTGCCATTCGCATTCCAGCAGTTGGGGTTCGATCATATTTCTTTTCAGAAGACCTTCCCAGCCGGGCACGGCGTTTTTCTGCCCAGAGACGGAATCGCACAAGCGACATCTTGTGGCGATACAATTGCACGATGCCGGAATTTTCCCGCCGCTTGTCTGACATCTTTTGTACTTCGACTTCGACTTCTTCAGTTGGAGGAGTCTGGTGCGCGGCGCTGGAAGCATTTCCGCCAGGAGATTTTGCTTTCTCAGATGGCTTGCTACCATTTAGCCCGTTAATGCCGGGGCTCGGCGTAACCCGCTGCTTCGGGGCGAAAAATGCGTTAGCGAGCGGATGTTGCCTTTGCCCTTCGTTTGCTGGGACGCCTGAGCTCTGCGCAGTGTCAGTATCGTAATTAATACCTTTTGCAGAAAGGGGAAAGACTTGGTCTTCGGAGGTGGGGGCGAACGTGATGCAGCATCCATGTGGTGGAATCACGAATACACTCACAAGGGTATTGCTTTCTTCAGCACTGACTGCGGCCCAAGACACAGCCTGTTCGGCTGACGGTTGGGGTTGCGCGGGGACGGGTCCAGCATTGTTGCTCCTGTTCTTTCCGCTCCCGCCTGTCTCGGCAGCTTCTGCAGCTGCTGCTTTTTGAGGTGATGTCCACTGGGCCATCGAGGTCGTCGAGTCTGCTAGCTTATTGCCAACGTGAGTTCCTGGCCCTCGGGTCAACACAACGTCTGTTGCCTCTTGTTCTGGTTCCGGAATCGTTTTCGCAGAGGCCATCGCTGCGGCACTGCCTCTCCTAGCGACGGATTCCGCCACTTCCTCATCCGTGGCGCAAGCAGATAGAAACGGTTGTAGAGTTGTTTCTACCTTCGCCAGACCAGGCTGCTGGTCTTCAGTTGCGCTTGCAGCAGCTTCTGAATTTGATGTCTTTCCATCGCCATCTGCGGCTTCTGAAATAGCCTTCCCGGCATTTGCTAAGTCGTTTTGTCCTCGGGTCGTAGAAATTCGATTAGGCGACGTTGCGATTGGTAACGACTTCTGGAGGTTCGAGTTGGAGGTAGATGACGAGGGCAATTTCACTTCATCTCCAAAGAGCAGATGGAAATCTTCTGGCGGTTTGCGCTGTGCTGACGGCGTTCCTTCCGTCGCACCGGATGAGCCTGGTGTTCTGCCACTTCCCTGCAGAAGTTGACTCATTCGCGCTTTTTCCTGCGAAATCGGCGGCATTATTCCACCAGCGGTACTAGAGAAATCATGATCCTCTACTGCCATAAGCTCTTCATCAACGTCCGCCAATTCGCTGTATTTTGACACTCGTGGTCGACCCTCGTCGTCGAAAGCGCGAATGGGAGTGAGCTTGCTGTTTGGGTGCCCACCTGTAGGCGGACTGCTTGAGAGCTGATCGAATTCCGTGTCGCCCATATCAAAGTCCAAGACCCGACCGGAGGAGGACATAACTAGCCCGCTCTTCGGACTGTCGCGCCCAGGTTCGTAGGCAGGACCTCGTCCAACAGGGAGTTCGAGCGGATGCTGTTGATCGTGCTGGTAGTTGCCCGGAGCTCCAGCGGTTGAATGCGCCTCCTGCTGCAGTTCCTCGGTCACACCACTGACCGGCAGGTTTTCCACCGTGGTTAGCAAGCCAGGCGAGGCAGAGGCTGCGGATGCCCTTGAGGATTTGCTTGGGTGGTCCCATCCAAGCGACAACCGGCGGTCGGAAAATAACGGCCGCGGATCGTGCTCTTCAACTGCGAATGAGGGTTGCTGGGTGTAGGCTGCAGCTGCAGCTGCACCAGCTCCTGCGGAGATAGAAGATGACACCGCGGGGGCCCGGGCGTCGTGCTGCCGAAAACAGACAAACTCGTCTTCCTGGATCCCCGTGTTCCTCCCGGCACCAGCATTTTGGTGGTTGTTCTCATCTTGCAACACTACTTTTCTCTTGAGCAGTTTGCAGTGCTCGACGGACACGCTGCCGGAGCTGCTCCTACTACTGCTTGAGGTCGCGGATTCGCCCGGTTTCAACATCGTCTGCAGGCCTTCCTCTTCTTGAGATGAGGTTCGATTCGCCCTGTGGTTTTTCCTTGCAGCATCAAAACTCGCCTTCCACTCTTGGCGATTCTTCTCATTCGAGGGACGATTATCGCCGCTGCAGTTGGAGGCAGACAGTACGTACGAGACGGACAGGTCCTGATCGGGGAGACACCGCGACATAAACCAGTAGTATTCCGGCGAGCTCTCTACCACAATGGCGTATTTCACTTGGCGGCAACCGTACTCGAAGACGTCGGCGACTTGAAAAAGGGTCCACATCAGCGTCTTCCAGCTGCGCGTGCGACCGTCGTAATCGTCGATGGAGGGAAGCAACACTCTGACGTCCTCCGCAATTCCAAAAACACTGTCAGCATTGGCGCTCAGCTGTTCGGGCGCAGCTGCGACCGCTGGCTGGTTCGCAACGCCAAACATAGTCTTCGGCGTTGACTCGGTTTTGTTGATTTGCATTTTTTTGCTGTGATCCGCGTCGGTTGCCGTTTTGCTTTCTTCATCTTCTTCTGGAGTAGGGGCAACAGTCTCACGCCCTTCGTTGGTTGCACTTTCGGACTTGGGCTCGGAGTTTGCGAAAAACCACACTCCGCGCGGTGCCATTGCGTGCGAAAGAACCCCATCGGCATCTTGGTTTACAGAGCCACAAAGCCGCAACTCTTTGTCTCTCCGGATTTTTGCTAGGTTGTCGCTGCGAGTCACATGCACCCATTCTCGGAACGAGAGCTTCGACGCCTCGTTGCGTTCGCTGCTGTGAGCAATCTGAGTGCTCTGGGCCATCATCTTTTTGTTTTTGTCTTTGCTAGTAGAAAGACCGCGGTCGTGCATTCCTCCTTGTCAGTTGACATCATAGACAACAACTTCAACTCATTCTAGCTTGTAGCTTGCAGCAGAGAACTGCTTTTGTAAGCTAAGGCTGTGACGATAGAATGTCAACCGAATTTTCACGGTGTGAAGACAATCAACGACGAAGAAACGCGGGCGGTGTGAACACTGGCCATCTTGCATGTCAAGCAGAATCTAGGCGGGATTCAGTGTTTCTTAGTCGCAATCAATCTATGGTGACTATCGTCACAGCCTGTGGGGAAAAATTTAGCGTTCCAAACAACACACAAATTTTGACGTCTCAGTCAGGGGGGTAAAACATGAAAGTTCCAATTTGTTTAATCACCCTAAATTTGTGAAAAATATCAGATCAACAATCGTTGATCGTCACTAGTATACAGTGCGGGGTTAGAGTGAACTTCATTTTTGTTCCTTCTCATGAACATCGTGATTTGCATGAGACCTCATTTTGAATCATCATCGTAGCATCGTGATTTACATCGTGATTTCAATTTAGTCAATTCAGATCGGGATGCTTGTCAAGAACAAATTCTTGATCATGCTTACAATAAAGTAGGTAGTGGTAGAGATAATACCTGAAGGAATTGCGCCACCAGCTCACTTCTTTCTCTTTCATCTGCTTCAGTTACGGCTCTCATACCGCTCTCCTACTCCTTGTTCAACAAGTATAAAGACATCCTTGCGCCGCTCACTTGCGAAACTCTACAAAGGCTAAAACATAGAGTTACCGTTCGTGAAATGAGTAACAAGCTGCCCCGTGCGCATACCCATATGTGAAATGTGAAATATGCCCCCGTCCCCGAACAAATGAAAATGTCACCATCACAACCGACACAAGATTATCAAGCATAACTGCAGACGAGCAGCCAGGAGATTCTTTGGTGAGCTATGATATTATTTGATTGGTTAAGGGAATAATTGGCAGAGCTAGAGATTCATTTTTCTTTTCACTTTTCTATTTTTTTCCTAGCCCAGAGCCAGACTACCGAAAGAGACCGAGCACTTTTGTAAATCTACTATTTCTGTCGTCGAACAAGTCGATGATGGACTACACTAGTGCGATCGTGTTCGTGGTCGTGTTCGTGTCACAACTTGTAGTTTCCGCACTCTACTTGCTGATCAATACGGATCATTCTAAATTGAACTTTCATCAGTCGCACGGCATGCGCTCGTGCGTGATCTTCCTTCGTATCTTCGGAACTCAAAAAAAAAAAAGGGCGGCGCATCGGGGGCCGAGCGAAAGCCACAGACAGTTCTTTTTCTTTGCAGATCTTTTTTTCTTGCGACCAAAAGAAACGCAAGAAGAGTCTCACGACTAAAACTACTTTGAAACGTCACTGAGCAGGAAAAATGTCCAACATTCGCATGCAACATTTGTTGCAAAAACATACTTTCTAGAAACTACTGCAAAAGCAGTTATCGTCTTGCGAACAAGTACGAATCAATTCTGATTTTGCCGATGGCGATACGTGACTGAAATCTTTCAAAAATTCAAGCAAACGCGGCAGATAAGCACTTGCAACGTGTTAAGTTGTATGCAGGACGACGAAAAACTGGTGCCGTGATTGTCCTCCCGGTCGCTCAGGTTGCGTTTGTGCCGAAAACGGCGTCAAAGGCCATGATGACGTACACGGAGGTCATCCCGGTGATACTGTAGTTGATAAAGAATTCGACGCTCCGGGCGCTGAGCCCTCTGTACCCCTTGGCAACGCGGGCGATACCAGACCGGTTGTGCTCGTCTGCCTGAAAAGCGTCGCGCAGCGTGGCAAAAAAACTCTTGCAGGGGGTACCAGGCGGTACGACCATCATTCGGGCCACCGTGGTGTCAAAGGCAAACGCTGCTACCACTGCAACCACGGCCGCGCAACCGTAGGAGAGGCCCTGTGAAGTAGCAGATGTAGTCGCGGCTATACTGTTCGCCTTCGCGCATCGAGAGCTTGTCACATAATTTGAAAACATAAAGAGGTAGCTGGCAGGTTTTTTGTGTACTCTATACATGGTGCACGTCAGTGATAAAGTGTTCAACAGTGGTATCAGCATAGCAAGATGCATTCGGCTACAAGTCCCGCCACAAGCAAAATAAGAAAGCAAAAGAGTACTGGGCCGTAATTCTGGTGCTGGGCCAAAAAGGTCTGCGTCCCGAAGAAAAATGAGTCGTAGGTTGCTGAGCAGCAGCCTGCTGCGACGAGCCGGCGCAAGAGGTACGGCAGGGTGCCCGCATTTTTCGCCGTGCGATACAAATTGTCCCATCTGGCTTCCTGCTTGGTGATGACGTTCTGTGACAGCAGCTTTTTTCGGTATTCCGCCAAACCGGCGAGGAAACCAGTGGTGAACCCACTGCCGCAACTTCCTACATAGGTCGACGCGGTCCTTGACAAATTAGTGTTTTGTTGCACGATCTGGGTGTACAGCTCGGAAACCAGAAACATAGGGCCTCGCGTTATCAGCCGTTGCTCGATCGCGGGGAAGAAGCCGCGGTAGAAATTTCGAAAGTCTCCCGCGTGAATGGTCTTTATCGCGGGCGACAGTTTCTCGGCCCTCACCTGCATTCGGATCTTGATCACATCGAAGGGGTGGCTCCCACACGTGCCCGGAATCGCTCCGATGCCACCAATCAAGCCTTTCAGAAGGCACGCATGAGCGTCAATTTCGATGCCCATCTTGATCTGTCTTTTCGAACTTTATGAAACGATAATCAAACACTAAAACAAGGAAGCAGTTACGCAGGTGGCGCAAAATGACCAAGGTAGGTGCGGTGTCCCAAACGAAGCGACGTCCTTCTACAACCTCATAGTGAACGACTGCAGTAAGAGCGTCCTAAAACCGAAACACCAGCAGGAATATAGAATAGCTTACCAAAATATGAATATCCACAAATGGAGGACAAGCTGTGCTACCGAGAGAACATACAAAGACGACCAGTCTGATCTGCAAGGGATTAGCTCGATGCAGATGAAATGGACGAGCTACTAGTGCTACCGGCACACACAAATAGGAATAAACCCAAGTGATTTTGTTCGCGGTTAATCTAGCGCTTTATTTGTCGTGCGTATCATTCTACCTTTTTCGGATATCATTTGCATAGGTGCGGTTCGTTCTTGTTTCTTCGAATTGAACGCTACTCATCATCAGGGTCGTCTTTTCCTTCTATTCAGAGTGCACCACTCGTCCATCGAGAGACGAGGACAGGCGCTCGCAAAGAAAGTTGTAAAAGCACTACTGGTATTAAAGGCAAAGTACTAGTATTCCACTCTGGTTTCAGCATAGACACAGAGTTCTGCGAGCAACAAACATCGGAGGCAAAACAAACAAAGTGGATTTATTACATTCACATCACTGAAGATTCTGTTCGTCTTCGTATTCATTGGTTCCTAAATTCATCTACATTTAGATTCCTAGCTCCGTCACGCTCATTTTGGTAGTTCTGGTGGAATCGCAATTCCATTATCCGTCAAAAGTTTCTCCAACTGTGCGACTCGGGCTTGCAGGCGCTCCATCGAGACAGGCTGGTAAGAAGTTCCATTTGTAGTACGTGGCGCGGATTCATCGTTTTCCGGGCCCTCCTCTCCTGTGATGCAGCCGGTGCTACCGGTTGCACCGGTTTCCTTGTCCTCTACGCCCTGCACATCCGAGTTGTCCCCGCCTTCGTCGTTCTCGCTAGCGCAGTCGTCATTGTCTTCGGACGAGTGATCATTCAGTTCGCTTTCGTCACTCATGTCGTCATCCTCGTTGTCATCTTCGGATGGGTCGTTCTTGTACACATCCGCTGCGTCCACCGGTAACACGTCGGGATATCCCCAACGCGCTCGCCATTTCTTGTACATCGTGCAGGATTGGAACGCCTGCATCACACGCTTTCTCGCCGTCGGGTGCAAGTTTGTTGGCATGTGCACGACGGGGCGCTCGAACGGCAGCATTGCTCGGACCTCCAGGATCGCGAGCGCGCACGAGTCCTGGCAAAACAGGATGCTGCCCGGATCCCTGGCGAACACTTCCTGTTCGACTTCGCTATCGTCTTCTTCTTCGAGTTCGTTGATATGATCCTCCTCATCTTCATCACTGCTGTCAAATTTCGAGAGTTTTCGCTTCTTCGAGGTACTTGCTCTCTCCTTTTCCTGTTGTTTGCTGTACAAGTCTTGGTTGATCTCGATGCTGCTGATTTTTGCGTCGAGAAGGTCACGTGATTCTTTGCTAGATGACGCTGCGTCGCCGCTTGCGAGCAGCATGATCTCCTTAGACGCAGGTCCGCTTACCAGTGCGAGATCGGTGAGCATGACGAGAAACAGGGTGGGCGTTGTGGGCCAAACTGGTGGAAACAGTTTACTACTCGGCGTCCGTCCGATCAACATGGCACTGTCCGAGTGGCACAAGGAGTATCCGGCCGACGTGATGTCGTTCCCTGCGCATTCGTACGAATCAAACTCGATCGCGGCCGCATAGTCGGACGGGTCATGCATCACGAACCGCCTGTAGTCGTTGCAGTTTCGTCTTTGTGGGTAGGAGTACTCCTCCTTGACGGGCCGCTTGCCGCCCGTGTACGTTGGCAAGAACGAGTCCTCCTGTTGCCCCTGCTGACGTTTTCCTGTACTACTAGACTGCTTGTAAAAGTCCGGATCCAGTAATTGCTGCAGGTAATTCGGGGCCGCCTTCTTTGTGTCGATCATCTTCGCAATGGGCATCACAATCCTCATCGTGTCGGGCAGTATCAGGTTGCAGGAGCTGGCTGGCTTGTTCCCAGAATGATACAGCGGCCCCGCATAAGAAACGATTTCCGAATACGACATAAGAGCTGAGCGCGCAATTGTCACGTCCCTTTCGACGTCGAACTTCTTTCCGCACAGTTTCCGGAGGTAGTTGCTCTCCTGCATCGACTTCCAGGAATTACCTGTAGCATATCGCATGTAGCCATCTTCCCTGCGCAATATGCGGGCGTCTTTGCGACTGTGGTCAGACAGCGAGAGGTTTGGACCAAGGCGCGCGTTGGTAAACCGCGGCTGGCCGGTCTGGGGATCGGTCTTGCGTAACATCACGTCTTCGTCCTCGAAATAGGGGTGACAGTTCTGTTTGATGACCCACTCGGTACCGGAGCACGTGAGCCAGTCGCGGTGATCGGGCTCGAGTGTGCATGGCGGGATGTGGATATTCTCGTATTCGGTGTGATAGTTGTAGGGCCCGAACCGCTCGTGCATTTCTTCAGCGATCCCACGTGGATCTTCAACCAGGAAGCGGAATATGAGCTTCCTAGCAGGGTCCGGCAGGAAGAAGTCCTTCATCTTGTTCTGCGTTGCTTTCTTCGTGTCGGAAAATCTTGCAGCAAGAGCTTGCTCTTCAGCGGTGAGATCTCGCAGGGATGTGACTGTTTTTCCGCGGACATAAGTGGTAACCTTCAGCTGCGACGCCCCGCTTGCTCCATTCACTGCAAGATCCTTCTTCATCTTGAGGAATTTGGTTTGCTCCTTTGCCTTCTCTATATCTGCCGCGGAGAGGATGCCTGTTTGCAACCACGATTGCGCTTGCGCCCGATCGGCTGCTGCTACCAATCCGAAGTCCTCTGACTGAAATTCTCCGCTTGCAACTCCAGCAGCAATAGCACTTCGCTCGAGCGCGAGCGCGGCGATGTTAACTAGGCGCGGATATATTTTCGGCACATCGGATTCGGAATCAATTTCGGGAAAAAAGAAGTCCATGTCAATGTCCGGGTCTACTATGTCGCTGTAGTTGGCCAAGTACTGCACAATCCTTTGCTCAAACCGTTCACATCCTAGGAGCCCCAGAAGAACGTGCCCTGAGTATTGATGAAGTTGTGGGATCTACTACAAGAACTGACTATTCATATTTCTGGTTCGGTAGCATTCGCCTTCCATCAAGTCCAAAAGCAAAAGAGTCCCTGCTTCTCGTCTCCCCACTTGATTTTACTTACTTAAAATGCTCGAGAGAGCAGGACCTCGTATGTTGTAAGTATCACTTTAAAGGGCACGAGTCAGTTGTGCTTGTGGCGCCGTTGCAGCAAATGTCGAGGATTAGCAACTTGCCACGCGTATTGAAGATGTAAACAAGGACATGCTTGCTAGAATAATGCTTTCGATCTTCAGCGACAGCCTACACTTGGAAACGCGTCGCAGGTGTCTAGCTGAGTGGTGGGTCTAAGTACCTGGAGAAAGGCAACGCCTGTGGTGGTGCAGAGTGTGCGTTTGCTCGGTCGACGCAATGCAGACTGACGTAGGTTCGTCCTCGTGCCAGTAGCGAAACGGAGCGAAGCCATTGGCTTCCGGGCAGCCGTGCGGGAATATCGTCTGAAGAAGAGAAGCTAGGGCATCACTGGCGGGTCCCTCCTCAAGGAAACTTTCCCCGGTCGTGAGGAACTTGTAGAGCCTGCGAATCTTTATGGATCCTAGCAGAAAAGTCCCGAGCCCGTGGCCAAACCCGGAAAATACGTCAAGGAACAAAAGGACCCGAGTAATTTGCCAGACCGAGTTCTCATACTCCGCGACGCTGGACGTGGTAAAAGACCGATGGTCTCTCTGTAATCCCTCAGCCAGTTTCGGGTAGATGTAGTCTCCACCGCAAACGTAGGGCCCCACGTACGGATAGGTCTCCAGCAGCCTTTTCGCCAGAGGGACGTAGTTGACATGTTCGCGTCGCAGGTGCTCCGGCGTCGCGAAGCGTGACCGCAAGCTTTCGCGAAACTCCTGGAGAAACTGCCTTGTTGGATGCAAGTCGAGCATCTGATGCTCAAGTGCACCAGGATCGAGAGGATCACCCATCATTTTTATTGGCACCGAGGATACGGATGCAACTGGGAGCAAGCTCAAGATCAAAAGAACTACTAATACTCCTACACCTCGGTCGAGGAGAACTAGAACTACTTACAACAATTTCCAAAGTCTAAATCAAGAAACCAGAACTACAGAATGCAGACTGAGAACGAGGTGGTCATGACTTTATTTCTGAATTCTCCTGCTCAATGTCAATGAGGTGTCTGTGTGTCGAGAACGATTTCAACTGCTAGCGATGCACGACCTGGACGAGTGAGTTATCATCAATTATCAAGTTCTAGATGAAGCTTTTCTTTCCGTTTTGCGCCCTTTTTCGTTTTCGCTTTGATCGCGATCTCTCAAAAACACGAGCAAGCGACATATCATCAAGGCATGCGAGTTTGAATCGGAAAGGCGTTTTTCGTCCAAGCAGAAACGCGCGCAGTCGAGAGCTAGGAATGAAGACCATTTCACGACCATAATGATGAGAAAGAGACAACGACTTTGAGAGAATTCATCATCTAGTTCGCCCTTTACTATTTGTACTTGCGGATTATGATGAATCATGAGAATGGCGGCGCGACGAGCTTGTCCTCCTGATCGGGGAGAACATGAGCAAGGAATCTCGAATGTGCATTGATTCCTTTCTTTATCAGCTTTCATCTTGCGTGGGTTTTTTCATTTCTTTTCCATTTGGGGAGAAAAAGACATGTAGTGCGTCCGCTACTTTCTTTGGCGATCATCACTCTGTTCCGAGCGGAATCCCTTCTGCTTCGATTCTCACTTTTTCGTACTTACGCAAGGTCAACCTGCACGCGTCCCATGCCCATACCAACTGAAACAACCCACTCTCTTCGGTCAGTCGCATCTCGTCCTGCTGCATTCTTGCTGCCATTCCTTTTCACGGACTCTAAGGCCGTATCTGTCCAGCATCGTTCACGCGGAGGTTCTGTGCTGCTTCCTAAGCTTTCTCGTGGTCCTTCTCCTTACTCTGAGTTTCATAATATGTCGACTCACTCATATTTTCTTCCTGCGCTGCTTAACCGCTCCCTTGCCCAGACGTCTCTGCTTCCGCAAACGCAGGGCCGCCGCACGGCGACGCCTGCTCGGAGCGAGCGTACAGGTTGGCCTGCACGAAGCAACGCCATTCCGCGGAGCAGTGGCCGCATGACGAAAGCCTGTCGCCTCGGCTGCAGAACAGTCTTTTTCGACGGTGGAACATGACTTCCGGCTGCTCGTTCGGCGTCGGATGAACCCAGCGCCGCTGACCTTGACACCATGTCCATGACACGGGTTGCCACATCTTCAACGAGGACGACGGAATTTTTATAGCCTATTCACTCACCTGCTGAATTATCAACATCCGGTTCTGTCGAGCCACCTCTGGCGTCCTTGCTTTTTCCTCCCCTTTTGTCCTGCTCAAGAATCTTTTTCTGTTGCTTTTTCTCCTCCTTCATGATTCTATTCGATTTCCGCAAGGACGCGTTCATGGTGTCTTCCCCCTTCGAAAAGTCCTTGTAGAGTCTTTTCCCGAACGAGTGCAGCAACGCCAGGTCGTCCGTCGCCTCGTCGTCGTTGGGAGCAAACGGCAGGCGGTCGAAGAAGGTCATGGGATTCAAAATATCCACACCCGGGTCCACATACACGCCGTCGCGAAGACGGAAGACGTTCGCCTTGTCCTCCAAGTGCTCGGCGTCCGTGACCGGCACGGTATTGCCCTTACTGTCTTTCCGAAACAACTGGTCGCCTTTCTCTTTTTTCACCGGCTCTTTTCTACCTCGCTCTTTGTCCTTGGCTTTTTTGTCCTCCTTGTCGGCTGATGAGCTGGACTTCTTTTTCTTCTTTTCCTTGTCTTTTGCGCCGCTAGAGGGCGGCTTTGTCGCAAAGAAGTCTTCGTCGACGGAGCTTTCGCTGTAAGACTCGGGTTCGTCCGGGAGATTCCAATTTATCTTGCGTTCCCGCGGCCCTTTCGTTAAGCGCATCTTGTGTCGGTCGAGCCCCTTCTTCAGTCGGTCCCTCAAATTTTCCAGCTCAAATCGCATCCGCTTCTCCAACGCGCTCTCGAGGTCAATGTGTACGGGAATTGCGGTGCGGAGCGTCGCGCCATTGCCGTCCAGGTGCATCACGTTGTGCGCCGGCACGGTGATCGACGTGACTATGTTCGGTCGCTGCTTGTCACACGTCACCGGCAACTCCTTCGGCGGTCTGGTTTTCTTCTGGCCCTGCTGCTCGATCTGCTCCGCCTCCTCCTGCTCAAGGGCCGCGACCTCTCCGTCGTGGTCTGTAACTGTAGCGCCCCCGTTCGCCGCCTGCTGCTCTGCGTGTTCGCCTGGAGGTTGCTGCTGTGGCGATGCTGGATTCGGTTCTGCGGTAGGGCTTGGTGGACCTTGAGGCTGATCAACTCCGTTGGTACCGGCAGCCTCCGTAGCGAGGATCTGTCCGTCAGGTTGCTGAGCATTCTGTGCGTCAGCAGTGGTGTCGTCGAAGAAAAGAAATTGAGGACGAAGCTGCGTCTTCTCGCTGGCGTTAGGGTTAGGCTCGCCCCTCGAAGGATGAACAGCGTTGGCGCAATTTTTACCTTCCGCATCAGGAAGCATAGTACCTTTTGCAAAGTCATTTTCCTGAGCTGCGATGATTGGCGAGACGGCGCCGACATAGCCTCCACTCGAGCGACCCAGCGACCGTGATCGCCTGCTTCTCGCAGCACTGGCAGGCGGTGTAACGCCGCCGAAGATGATTGAGTCTTTGCTTGTGCTGGAGTTGTTGGATGAAGCTGCCCTGTCTGCAGGAGTGGCGATTAGAGGAGGACCTTCACGAGGATTCCGCAAAGGTGTTTGCGGAGCAGACGCAACCGGTACAACCGGTGAAGCGAGATCTACTTCTCTCGCACCTGTACGACCAGAAGAACGAGGTGAATCAAGGTCGTTAAGTCCTCCTGCAAGGCCCTCTGAGTCTGAAGAGGTCGCGTCAAGAACATCCTCATCTTGCACTTGCTCCTCGCTCGCGGAAGGCGACGAGACACCCCCCACGAAACTGGCCAAATGATCCCCTTCGTACATGTCAACTTCTTTGATGTTTTGCGCTTTTTGGTTCGCCGCAAAAAAAGCCCGTTGCATGTCTGTCAGATTTTCCAAGCCCTTCCCGAATTCGGTCGTCAACACGAGCGCCTTCTCCATGTCCGTTCTTCGATCCCCGATCTGCTGCAGCACCGCGGCTTCCGCCTTCGAGAAGTAGCTCCGCTCCAGCATCACCATCTTTAGGGCCTTCTCCATGTCCCCGAACCCGTCCAACCCACCGTACATGTAGATTTCCTCCTCTTTCTGGTTGAACTCGCGATGGACAACCTTGTCCGTTCCCTTCAGCTTCGCCCGCGCTTTGGCAAAGCGCTTCTTCCGCTCCTCGTCTTCTTTCTGTTTCTCAAACTGCTCCTGCCGCTTTCTCGTTTCCTCCTTGAGCAGAAACTTTTGCCTCATCTGTTCGCCCTCACGGTGCTGCTTTTTCAACCCAAGGTACGCTTTGCGCTCGTGTTTCTCGCGGGGAGCCGTGTTCTCGCTGAAGGATCCCCAAGCTTCGCCGCTCCGCTCGTATTCCTCGTGAAAGTACTGCCAAACGAGCACGCACTTCGGCCGAAAAATCTTCAGCAGGTCCCGAACTTTCTCGATCTCCCGCTCCAGAACCCGAACCGAATTCCTTCGGTAGTACCGGCTGCGGATGTGCACCGCACGCCGCTTCCAGAAGGAAACCAGCAAGAGAAAGGCTCTGCTGCTGAGCCAGTGCGCGGAGTCCGGCAGCGCGTGGTCAGGAAGAATGCCGCGGAGGCGGCGCGGCGCTGTTTCAAGTTTTTCGAACACATAGCTCGTCCAGGTTAATACCGCTTGCGTTTCGCCGTCCTTAGTGGAGACGGCAGCAGCTTCGTCTCTCCCCCGGAAAGCATTCTCCACACCGTAACGCAGCTCCGGGCGTCTTGGCTCGAACAAGATCGAGCTTTCATCAAAGGATCTTGTCGTCATCTTTCCCGCGCGCTTCGGGTCCTTCCTGACCAAAAATTCGGTCCTCGAGGGAATTCCCTTGTTCTGGACGGCGTTGATGATCTGAGACACGTTTGTCAAAAGTCGGAACTTCGAGAACGGAGCCGCGAGATCGAGTGTGCCGGGGGTCTGCTGGGAGCCTGGCGGGATCATCAGCCCAACGATGGAGTCACCGGTTTGCAAACCGAATTTCCCTGCAAAGGTCGAGGAAAAGCGATGCTCGTCGTGCTCGGGGACAGTTAGACGGATTGTCGTCGATGCCATGGTTTCAAACTTGAAGCCCAGCTCGACGGTAGTTGGTTTTTGATGTTGACCCTTAATATTTCGTGCCTCGTCCTCTTTTAGCCGATCGTACGACAAATGGCGGTACTGCTTGTGAATCGAGCGAGGCAAAAACCAGAAGCTGCACACCGGCTTCCCGAATTCCGTCGAGATTGCCTTTTCAATGCGGCGCATGATCGCATCCTCCGGATTCTGCCCGTGCCACGACGCGACGTTCTCCACCGGTGAACCTGAAACAAGCGCAAGCAAATCGCCGACACGAATTCCGTACTGCTGCGTTTTGCTCAGCTCCTCCGTCGGGCCCGCCGGCGGCGCAGTCCAGGTAACGTGCACGTAGGGGAAGCCACTCCAATCCAGCTCGAAGCCAAACAACTTCTTGATTTTTTCACAAGCCGTCAAACTCCCGTCGTGCACTGCCGCCTCGTCAATCAGATGCTGTTTCCAACCGACTAAGCCAGACTTACCCGGGTTCGCCTGAGCGGCCGCGAGAAACACTCGCAGCAGCATCGGTGGTGGCGGAGGCCCGAGGGTGAGCGGGCGAAAGTTTCTTTTGTACTTTTTCGTGTTGCCTGAAGTGACGTCATAGTTTGCATCGCCCTCTTCAGGATGTGTGTCTTTTTCCCCGCCCCCCGCTGCTTGCTCGTCAAGACACTCAAGTGCGTCCACCATGACGATCCGCGGGTTGAGAACGTCTGGCTCTTCGCGAAAGTACTGCAAGGACGGATCGCCGCAGGACTTTAGGCTTTTTGCGGAGATGATCTCAATTTGCTTGTTCCTACGATTGTTCGCGATCCCGTTGTCCACGTCAGAGTCCATGACGAGTGGATACCGGAAAGCAGTGAGAGTCGCAAGCGTGTCAAGCTCCAATCGGCGCTGCTGGAATTCTTGCTTCTGTTCAGGCGGTAAATCATCAAACTGGTCCAAGTCGTCTTCCAAATTGCCGTCGGATTCGTCAACGATTCTCTGAAAGTGCATCCCAACTTCATGCAGCGGTCCCGCACAAAGCGGGTCCGCAAGCAAACTCCTGTGCAGCCGTGTTCCCGTGGCCAACAGTTGCGTATGTTGAATGCCGTGCGTCACAAGGTACTCGCGATTGCACTCGACCTCACCCGTCACCCAGTCCAGCTGCAGTGGCTGCCGCCAAAACTTTTCTCCGATTGTCTCCTGCACGTATCGGCCGCAGGAGCTCTGGAGTAGCTCCGGAATCTCCCGCTGCGCTCGGGAAACTGTGGACTCGGGGGGCAGCTGTGCATCTTTCCCTTTTCCTTTCTTTTTTCCGCCGGGTTTCTTTTTCTTTCCTTTGCCTGCTTTGTTTTTTCCAACTTTGCTTTTGCTACTTTCTTCGTCCGGGAAAAAGATGAAGGGCGCACCACCGTGGCCATGCTCACTCCAACCGTCACTGTCACTGAAGATCCTTGCCGGCGCATCAGCATAAACCGTGTCGTCCTGCTCGAATGTGGAATTATCTGTATCTCGGTAAAAGAGAAACGCATCTTGATCTTCGTCAGCACCGAGCGCGGGTCCGCTAGGAGAGAAAGCTTTTCCCTTCTTCTTGGTTTTCCCCGTTCCCTTCCCATGTGCGGGTAGTACTTCTCCATTGTCATTCATGTTAGCCTGGTGTGTCATCTTTTTGCCTTCGCCTTTTTTCATCTTATTTGCGCCGGCGGCGGCCCCGGCGCCCGGGGCCCCGTCGTTCGAATTTTCATTCACGTCCTCCGGTGGAAGAGGCTCCTCAAACGTCAGACCGCCAGCCAAGTACCCGTCGACCAAACGAGTTAGTCTTGATGGCGTAGGCTCTTCGCCTTGCTCTTGCGCAGTGTTCTTTGTAGAACCAGCTCGAACTGCTTCTGGAGTTGTCCCCTTAGTAGAAGTCTGGTTCAGAATGCTTCTCTTCGGCTTTGTCGCCGTATTTTTCGGCAGAACAGACACTGCTGCAAGCCGCGAGCTCGCTGTCCAGGAGGAAAAAAGCTCGTCGACCAGCGCAGCCCGGCCTACCGCTTCGCTTTTCTTTTCCACAAAGTCCTGGACCAAATCTTCTGCGCCCACGGGTCCTCGCACGAAGTCAAGAAACCGCCCGTTTTGGTTGAAGAGATCGAACCTGGTCACGCTCGACGGCTCTGCTCTCGACGGCGTGCGGACCGCTTGGCTCAGCGTGAAATCTCGCAGGAGCTGGATCAGGGCAAGCCGGCTTTTGTCCAGGCTTTCTCGAGCAACGATGCGCAAGACGTCCGGCGTAGCCAGGCTGCTAAAATTGTCTGTGCGCAGTTTCGAAACTTCCCTCCTCTTTTGCTGGCTCGCCCGGGGGCTCTCCGGCATCCTCCCGAGAAACGTCTCCTCTAACTCCCACTCGAGTCTCATTCTGGGCTGCCGCAGTGTGATAGCGATGATCGCAGATGACCCAGCTAGAGCATTTCCATCCTCGTCGTCATCAACATCTTCGCCCCAAAACTTCCCGCCATCGCCGCTCTTCTGCATGTCGGCGGGAAGTAGTTCTTCGCTTGCAAACAACTGACTGAGCTTGTCCTCTGGTGAAGAGCCCACACTAGTCCCTCCATCAGGTGCTCCCTCGGTCTCTTTCTGCGGCACGAACAGTTGTCTGCGAACGCTCGGTATTTCTAGGAAGTCCAGATCGGCTACTGCTGCGGCCAGGTCACTGTCGCCATTGTCAGTGTTCTCTGCGCCAAATTTCGCAAGCAAACCGCCCAGTCCGTAGCTCGCACCCGCTTTTTTTGAGGTGCGGCGCACACCGGCTTTGATAGCTTCCAAGGTCGGGGTGGAGGCGGCAGAGGAGCCGGATATTGCGTCCTCCTCAGCAAGATCATCTTCGCCCGACTTTTTCTTCCGCCTCAGCAAGGGGTCGTCTTCATCCAGATGCGTCCCCAGTGCCACGTACAGAGACGGCGCTGAACAAGTAGAAGTGGCTCCCTCTTTTTTGCTCCGCGCAGCCACGTAGACACGGTCCGCAGCGTCGGGGATCTGCAGCACCGCGTCTTCCAGATCATCCAGTGCTTGATGCTCAGGAGAAGCGGCGGTGTTTGCAGTTTCCGCCACTGCGTCAGCGGTGAGAGGGAAAACGTCCAGACTTCCCAATAGAATGTTCGCGCGCAGCAGACGGTGCTTCTGGGCATGCAGAAAGAAAAGGTTTTGAAAAAAATCCGAAGTGTCGTGCTGGCGCTTGCATCTGTAGTTCAGGTGGAGATGGTTCGATTTATTACTGTCTCGTGAGCCGGTCGTTTGCGAAGTTGGGTTTTTCATTCCAACTCCGGAAATCGCATTAGCGAGGTTTCCGCGCAGATTTTTCGCAGTGGTCTGAATCCCGTCTTGTTCAGCACCAGTACTTGCGCCGGCTTGAATCGTGTGCCACTTTTGAAGAAGCTGCGACTCCGGATGTAGCCAAGCGAAGAAATCGTGCCTCTTAGAGGTAGAACTGGCTTCGAGCAGATGAAGGTCAAACAAGGGAGAAGAAACGTTGTCTCCCAAGCCGCCTTCCAGACAGCGCCGGAAACCCTTGCGAAGAAGATCGCAGCGCGTGCGCAGAACCTTCTCGGCAGCACTCTTTTCCGGAAGCGTGCGAGGAGTGCTGGCAATTCGATAAGTCTGTAAGCGCAAGTCCAAAGTTTCCAACACTAGTCGACGGAAGGAGATCTCGACGGCACTCCTGTCAGTCACAGAAACCGTCGGAGACAACTGTAGAGCTGGACCAGAAGCGGCAGTTTGATCTTTTGGATCCTCATTATTTGTTCGCGGAGCAGTCTTCTTCTTCATCTTTCGCGCGATTGCAAGCTCCGCGACAGAATTGCTACTACTTGCCCCATCATCTGACGCTGCTACTGCCGGCATTCTGTGCCGCCCCTCTACCAGCTTTTTCGTTCTAGCTTTCGGCACTGATTTCCGCTGTTGCGCGGACGACGACGGCGATGAACTTTTCGGACTTGTTTTCTTCTTGTTTCTAGAAGACTCCGCTTTTGCGCGAAGCATGGACTTGGTGATGTCTTTTACGTCAAGGGACATTTGCAGTGGGTCGTCTTCTAAATGTTTGTTCAAACTCGCCGCAGCCTTCGCCACCTTCCGTGCTGCATCCTCCCGTTGCGCTAGCGTCCGGCCCTTTTTGAATTTCGCCATCTCCTTCTGCAGAGCCTCGTGTTTCTTCCTGGCCTCCTCTGCGTGCTCCTCGGCCTTGCGTTTCTTCTCCTCCCGCTTATCAATCATCTGTTGCTTGAGCCGCTTATCCAACTCGATTTGTTCCTCCAGATGCATCACAAAATACTTTGCCTTTTCCATGTCGCTGATGTCGGTCCGGGCGAGCGTCTCCTGCTCTTGCTTCGTCGTAAAGTAGCTGTGCTTCTTCCGCATTTCGTAGCGCATCCTCTCCAGCGCGGCGGCTTGCTCCATGTCCGTTTTTCCGTCGGTTTCCATTTTCTTCATCAGTTCCTCTTCCTTCTGCGAAAATGGATTGAAGACCTGGTCGCCCTTCGGGTCTTCGATCCGTCGAAGGCGAGCCTTCCCGGCGACGGCGACCGTATCCCATTTCGTCGGATAGTAGAAGGTGGTGGGGTCGCGTTGGCTTTTGACCATGCTGCGCGGGAAACCTCTTTCTCGGCGAACGAGCAGCTGTAGTGGCGGGCGGTGGGAGGCGTCGATCGCTTTTTGAAGAGCATCTCGATTCTTCCCATCTTCCAACTGCCCATTATCCCAGGCCATCACCAAATCGCCCTCCTCAAGCCCGTTCGTAGACGCCCAGGACTCTCCTTGAACGAGAGACGCCAGCTGTCCCATCACGGAAGCGCTACCGAGCGAAATTTCGCCCAACGTCAGTGACTCAATCCTCTTTTTGAGATCTGCCGCCTTCGCTGCTCTCTCGGTGGCCGGCGTTTGTTGCTCCGTCTCCTCATCAGCCTTGGGCTGTGCAGCTGCGGCTCCGACCGCCGATGAGGTTAAGTAAAACCCCACATCGTAGCCGCCGCTCATTAAAGCATCAAACGCAATTCCAGGCAATTCCAGTTGCACGTACTGCGACAGGAACTTTTTCCGCAGAAACGCGAAGGAATAGACCGCTGGCGATTTTTCATCTTTTTTTTCTTCTTTTTTTTCTGACATCTCGTTGACCCGCACCCAGCGCAGCACGTCCTTCCCCCGTTGCTGCAACTTCCGAACGATGGCCGCGTCCGGGTCGATCCCGGGCCACTGCGCCACCGCCGTCACCGGGTAACCCGCGACGGACAGCAAGACATCGCCCTCTTCGACTCCGATCCCCGCTGCCTTGCTTTGCTTTTTCGTCTTTTTGTCTTTCTTCGTGTTCACGTGCTGCACGGTCACGAGGGGAAAGCGCTGCCAGTCCAGCACAAATCCAAACAGCTTCAGCATCTTCTGTGCGCCGGAAGCGTACGCGTCCTGCAACGCCTTCACGTCGACCTTGCGCTCCTGCCAACCGATGAGTCCCAGGTCAAGGTGCGCCGGCGTGAGTTTCAGCAAATCCGTTGTTTTCCCGACGGTTCTTCTCAACCGGTCCTCTTCTTCCTGGCTGATTTGAAGGTCTTCGCGTTCATTCAGATCCAAGCTCTTGTCAAAATCCTCAGTAACAGGTTCGAGCTCTGCTTTCTGCCTCCCAGAGGACTTCGTGGCCTTCGGGACGAGGAGGGGAAGCAGAAACGGCGCTTGCTGCAGCAGGTTCCGCGCCTCTGCATCGCCATCCCCTTTCAGAGTTGCATCTGGCAAATTTCGCCAGGCTTCCGGAAGACGGACTGCGCGTCGCCGCTCTCCCCGCTTCTCGCGAATTTTGAGAGACTCGGGGAAGTCCTCGCTCGGTCTGAAGACGA